TGGCAGGAATAGGGGCCTACAATCGATTGGCCTTTTTGGATCCCCTCTAAAATTGGGACTTGGACTTGGCGAAGAAAGCTTTTCACAATCTGCATCACCCGGAATGGGACGCAACAACCGTAATATCCGACGGGACTGATTACCAGTTCCGAAAAAGCTCCATTTAAGAAGCTTCCTTCGAGGCTTACAGGCTGTCCAGTCGTGGTAAACACGGGGAATCCCCGACCGAATAAAGTTCATTCCAAGGAAAAAGGTCCCTCAAAAGTAAGCGCACAAGGCTTTAGACTGCGCTGTAGCCCAAGGGGCATCTTTTTCGTCGCAGACAAGTCAAGCATAGACACTCACGACTCATGAGACGCATGGGTGATGCTGCTTGACATTTTCATCTGTGTTTAGGAGAAAGCTTATTGTCTTTAGCCAGCGAATCAATCGCTGCCGCGGAGCACGCAGGCTTAGAAGTGGCCCAGGCTCAACATCAAGCTTCATTCTACTCCCTTCTTTCTTATTAGTGCTGCAACCTTGAGTCGGCCGAACAGACCCCCACAAGCCGGAGGTTCTTTTGGAGCATTATAATGGGTCACGGATCCGGAGGGACCTGAGAGACGGAGTAGCCCGGTGGTCGGGCTGCTCGCAACTAATTTGAGGGTCCCCGGGAGATGACTAACACTTTAGATGAGTCCTGGGACCCGAGCTGTGCGTGATGAGGAAGGATACAGAGAAACATGCCTCCAGTTTCCAGCCAATCAAGTCAACTTGGGTTGGCAAGTATCTTTGAGAATCTTGAACTGCACTCAACAGCAGATTTGTTCACCTACTTAATGGGCTGGATAATTGTAGAAAAGGTTGAGCGACTCTCAAAGTTGCTGGAGAACAGGGAGTGTCGAACTGCCGAACATGGTTTGATACAATTGCTCGATATTAGCCAAGACCTCCAAGCTTCCTACTACACCATGTACCTGAAACCACTGCAGAGTTTGCTACTCTCAGGTTCGAAGTACGCTCGACGCTCGGTGAGTACTAGGAATTCTTGCTCGCCGAGGGGATCACTCGAGGTGGAACTGGTCGGATTAGTGGTTTTGATCCATTGTGCAAAGCCATCAGCGAAGTTTCCCCCTCTTGATTGCAGGGTGTGCGAGTTCGCAACGTCGCGTATGGGTCTTGTCCTTAAAATAGCTGCACCAGCCGCACAGCCAACCGCGCTCTCAGACAGCACGCGACCCTTTGCCAAATCGGTACAACCAACCAACACAAGAGCTAGCCCCCAGTTGACATGTTTGAGATGTATTAGATCTTGGCAGCATACGATTAAGCATGAATCTTTACCCTGGAGCGTTCCCGACGTAGGACGATCACGGCCGATCATCAGGAGTAATCTAGGCCTCATACAGCCACACCTTCAATGTGATCCACTGATGAACACCTTGATGGTTTATTCCTTTGATCTATGCTAGATTGACATCAGTATATCATCGTTGTCTTCCCATAATTAGAACTTCTGGAGATGGTTTCGATGTCTACACAGCAATAATAGCCGGAATGAAGGGGGCCACGAACCACAACCAAGTTGAGGAGTAATCACCGCGGAATTGATGAACGGCATACCGTGGGATGATATTCTGGGAAACGGTGCCACTTCTCCCCGCAGTTCACTTTTCGGGAAGCCAAATTTAGAATCAGATGACTCTACCTACCTCTAAGACGGGATGACAAGCTCCCCCGTCATCAAGTAATCAATCGAGACGTTCTTTTGTTTGACGAACTCCCCCTCCACCTTTGGCACGTACCCCGGAAAGCTATCCACAATTTGGCTCAACGTCCCCCATGAAGCCTGCCCATTAATGTCATACGTCTGAGAGCTGTTGAAGCCGCTAGTGTTGAGGTTGTAGTACAGCATCGGGAACTCCTCGAAGCTTACGTTGGCATTGACGTGAGCAACGCGAGATCCGAACGGGTCTATCACGAAAGTCGCGCCGATAGCTGCGACGAAGGAGTAGGCACCGCTGAGAACAGAGTACACGCTCAGGGTTCCGGTATTGACCCATTCGTTCTCCCACCAGAGCGAAGTCTCGTCTCCGACACCGGCCAGATAGGGGAAAGGCGCGAAGTGAACATGCTCTCGCTGGACGTACATGTTGAACGTCATGCTGGGGTACAAATGCCTAGATTGAAAGTGGTATGATCAGTTCCAGCACTCATAGAAGCAAGACACAGTCAGTCGGGTCAGGTGGGCTCTGTAGACGTACTCTCCGCACTCCAGCATTCCCCATCGGCCGTAGTCAGTCTCTAAGACTTTGAGATCCTCGGCCACACCGTCACTGAAGAAGTATCGTTCTGCGCCTGACGGCCGAAGCTTACGACGGTGGTGCATGATATTTCCTTGAGGGCCTATCAATGCCTGAGACATGTACATGTAGTCGCCGTCAACTTCTGCGAAGTTAAGGTTGGCGTAGATGCCCACTGTCTGGATGGCGGCAATCAGGCGGTTCCACTGTGCATCGCCAATCACGATGGCATTCTCAATGTACGACGGAAGGTAGTCGCGCGTGAAGTTGTAGTGGCTGTCCGAACCCTTGGGGAATCTATTCGAGATTGTTCAGATATTTGCATTCGATGTTCGGATGGTTGAGCCTCAGGCTGAGATAGGACTTACCCGGGAAACCACAGCTCTGGAAAGATGACAACATCGGAACCGTTAGCCTTGGCATCGTTGATCAACTCAATTCCGGCATCTACACATTCGCTGATGTTGAAAGTGATGCCGGTGTAGTCGTAGTTCGTGAGAGGCAGCGGCCAATTCGGCGGAGGCGTACGGATCAATGCGATCGTCAAGTTTGATCGGTCCACGGTGCTGCTATTTGAAGTGGGAGCGGCATTCGCAGAGCCAAGAGCCGACAAGGCCAAGATGTAGCGGGAAAACTTCATTGTGTTGGGTCTCTTCCGAAGTCAGAGTCAACTAGCTGGGTTGTCAATGGTGCAGTCTGGTTGAACAGAAAGTTGCGGCATATCCCATTATTCTCGTCGACTTATATAACAACTCAGCCTGTCTTCGACTCGAGCTAACCTGCATCATCATGGCCTTATTGATGCCTTCATACGTAATACAATCAATCGGTCTTGATTCATGATATCCATGATAAGCAAGTTGATGGCCCTGAAAATGAGCTCATTATCCCACTATCCCACATCACCCGCTCGGTGAATGGCATCAAGATAGCCCAGAGATGGGCCACTTGGGCCACTTGCCAAGTTTACAACGATGGAAGAATGTGGCTCGATGTTCAAGAAATCCCTATCATGATTAGTTTAATCATGAAAATCCATGATAAGGCTACACACATCTACCGACCGCAGTGCCGATGGCTCACGGGGGTCCGTTGCGTGGATCTCGGGGTTTGCTCCGGCGTCGCTGCTCGGAAGAGACCCACTCGCGCCAGGTTTTCGGTGATTGAGAACAGTCGGACCGGATAACAAGTGATCCTCACTAGTACGGCGCACACTCTCTTGGCTCTGAATATCGCTGATAAGGATGCTGTAGATTTCCATTGGCTTGGTAGGTAAGGCGAGGGCCATCTGCTCAGCTGGCCCACATGAGGTTGTCAAGATCAGCTCGAGTCCTAAGTCGGTGTAAGTCTGTATGGCAGCATCCGTCTTCGGCATTTGAAGCAATCAGGGTGGCAGTCAGGTATCCATTAAGAGTTACATAATTCGAAGGTGGAATCATTTGCTCAAACTCATCGGAACTATTTTGAAGCCGTGACAATGGTGCTGTCTTCAAGACTGTAACAAACAGGTAGGATCTCGTCGATCATCGTTGACATGAGAGTTATACTTCGAGGCCCGGCTTAATCCCCATTGAGCATGGGTTCTATTAGCTGGGATTAAAGCGAGAATTCGAGCGAGCGCTACTCTACAGAAGTTGAGTAGCCGCGCAGAGAGAAGTGTACTACATAAATAAAACAAGTAAGATGAATAGTCGGATGAGTATAGCATAATAGTTGTGAATGAACCCGTCGCTACTCATCCCTCCCATATGTTTCTCTGCCCACTTTTGAATTGAGAAACTTATTCCTATCAACAGTGTTCCATTAGCATAAAAGAGGGAACAGCGGGGTTTATTTACGCATAAAGGCATACCTCTTATCCGCCCAGTACATCACGTACCAGGCCGCAGCCAGAGGTGGCCCAAAAAACCAGACCTGGCTCGCGAAGCGTCGCCAAATATTGAAGACAGCATTGTGACCAGCCTGGGCCATAGGATTTAGACGGTTTGGCGCGATTCCGTACGTGATAGTACCTCTTTGCTTCTCGCCACCTGAGAGAAATTGTTGATCAATCATCACGAACCCTTCCGTACCTTACCTTACTTAGGTACTAAGGTATGAACAGGAAGTTGTAAACCGAAAACGCATACCGATGTTTCCCCACCATCCTTTGTATCTGATTGAGAATTGTTTAGCTAATGTGATTATAACTCTCTTCCATATTGGTCCATAGCATATTGAAGAGCCGTTGGCACTTTTGAGAGGCTAAGAGAGGTTTCACTCACACACCATACCGTCCAATGGGGACATGTGGACCGTTTCGCAGGGACTGAGTTGACTTCATTTTGCAGAGAGCAGACTTAGAACCAAAGAGTAAGGATAGCCTGCAGTAGCTGGTGATTCAAGATCATAGTGTTAAACTTGGGGGACTCGCTATTGTTGAAGCTGTCTCCCCTACCTTTATGTGCAATAGCGCTTGGGAGCAGTCTTCGGGCTCACGGTTCGGACTCACGATTCGGACTAAGAACCCCGTGCCCTTTCTTCAAAGATAATTAAGAATAATTATAACATTACCTCCGAGGCCTCAAATAACGAATAGATTTTCTGAATCATACATCACTATGCTCTTGACCTCCTACGACGATAGAACGGCCGGAAGACTTGGAACGTCACCAATTGAACATCACGTTACTTAACTTCAACATCGTTCTGCTACCTGATAAACAATTTCCGAGAGCCTTAGCTGTGTGGCATTGGCATGAATCCACCCCAGTCAAGGGACGGGAAGTCACTTGCCCAGAAAGCTCCGATATCCTCCAAATAATTCTCACTCTCTGCATATTGAACAGCGCTAGTGGGCCCAATCGTTGTTCCCCCAGTCATATCCGATAGCAACGTCTTCGCGTCCGCGATTGCCTCCTTGCATCGCTCTGTCATCTCTTCTTCGACTGGTTTGCCTTTCAAGACAGCCTCTGCTGCGGCAAGCACGATCGCAAAAAATACATAATCTTTCACATTCTCTTGCCCTGCCTCGATTCTCTGTCTCGCCCATGCAACACCAGCCTTCAGTAGCCAACGCTCTTCCGCGACCCTTAGAGCCGACCCTGTCGCTATTTTGCCTCTTTCTGATATCATGGTGTTGAGATCTGCCGCGATCACACTGATAGCAATATGCTGTGCCGACCGCAAGGATCCCGAGCCGCAGACTATCAATCGGCCAAATTCGGGACAGTAATCTTCGTTATTTGCTTGCTGTAGAAGCTCCGAGAGTGGCTCGTTCGTATCGGATACTGGCAGAGTACTGTATGTCAGATGCAGCGCGGCATCTATGCACTCGCGTCGTGAGTGGGAAAAGACAGAATCGGGTAGAAGCATGTAAGGTAAATGCAGCGTAAAGACGTATCGCACAAGTACCATCTCGCACATATGACAAGTCAATAGCGAAGTATTCTTGCTCAAGTTCTTGAGCGTAGTTGTTAAAATCTGGCGGGTGGCAGTAAGCTGCGGACTAAGCTGTAGGATTGTGGCGTAGTTCGCCTCCTGCTTCACCTTGTTCCACAATTTAGCAATTGTCAGTCTCAACGTCAAGGACTGACCGAGAGCAATTTGTAGGGAACTATCGGTGTGAAGACTGGGGTCCTTCGGAATGGGACGGACTGTAGACTCGCAGTGCAGCTGGTCGTCGTTCAGATTTGAGGGTAAGCTACAGTCAAAGTCCTCGGATGAGATGAGAACCGGCTGGCCAGACTCTATGCTTGCTTCTAGAACCAGCTCTAACACAGTAGTCCAGAGACGGCGTCGAATCTCGACCTGGAAAGGCAACATTCGCGGCAGCCCAATCGGATCTCGGTGCAACCCGATGCACATCGCAGACCGAAGAAGGTTGCCTGAGAGAGCTGAGATCCGATCCCCATAGAGTGACTCTGTTGTCTGCTGAGCCAGCTGCAAGAGACACATGATTTGAATGCCCGAGATACTTGGCTGTGAGTTCTCAGCGTTGGCAAGCCAAGATTGGGCCTCGTAGATCCATTGAAGAGCGTGCGGTCGAAGAGAGAATAGATCATCGTATGTTAGAGCTCCAAGTGCAAAGCAAAGCTGAAGTCTTACAATGCATTCGTGGTTGACCGAAGCGCGATCTTGAAGAAATGTCTCGAGCTCTTTCTGCAGCTTCGGCGCATGATTAATGCGGTAGATCTGCTCAAAGCTTCGGAGGTAATTCTGAAGCAACGCGGCTGACACGGCGTGATCGAGTATGTAAGAGCCATATTGCCCGGGAGAGTTTGCGAGTATTCTCCGTGTTCTGAGGCATTCTCCCAGGCTTTTACAATGTATGAGGCCCTGCCAACACTCTACCTGCTTGACCATTTCCTTGTCCAGCCATTTCAGCGCAGGCAACATCTGTAAAGCCGATGAGTGAACGGTACCTTGCATGTCAACGCGACAATCTGCTATGACTTACTAGCATCACTGAGTACAGCCAGTGACTTGGTGAAATGTATCGTGATTTAACAATCATTACAGTCGGTAAAGATGTAAGCTCGATGAGTGAGCCGATAGTAGGTGACTTCTCGGCTGGATAGAGTGGCTCTATTGCTGGTCGGCGCGTAGAAGCCTCAGTCACCGCGAGAGGGAAAACAGTCCCCGGAGTCGAGATCTGACTGATCAAGACGCTTCCGAATGAAGACGAGTGCCATGTTCCATCGGTGCTGCTGGCGAAGACCCGGTCTTGGTCCGCGGGCTTTGGTGTTTGGGCTAACACTCCATGTTCCGGGTCGGACTGGCGCTGTTGGATGTTTGACGGACTACCCTGTCGGTCGTTGATATGGTTTTCCGGACTGGCAAGAGGAGCATTGGCGGGATAGACACATGTCCTATTCTTCGCCCGTTGACATTTGCTGCAAGGGCGATTGTGGTCACACCGCAGCTTTCGTTTCCGGCACTCGACACAGGCAAGGGCCCTTCGACGTCGTACCCTAGTTTCTTCACGGTGACGGGCGTCCATTGCGTCAGACCTATCTAGGTATAATGAATAGAGAGATAGATCTAAACAGAAGGCAAAGAATCGGAGTTGTCAGGTCGATGGATGAACTTGAGCTATCGTGACGGGATTACGTTCGGGCGCGGGGTCGGGCTCGGGGTCGGACTATGCTTCGGGGTCGGGCTTGGATCAAGAGGTCTGTGTGGCGCCTCATGACAAAGGGAGTGCGTGTATTCAGACAATGACGAGGAGTGGTAGTGGATCTATCTCAGCTATCGGGATCTTTATGAGCTCGCTCGCTTGATGTTTAGAAATGTTCCATGTCAGTTCCCGGACCATTACACTACATGCATCCCTAGTATTCATGGATGATTGACTGCCGCGTCAAGATCGACTTGGGGCGTGCCTAACTCGCTTTCTCCATCGTGTCTCCTCATCAGGGGTCAATGCATTGTGATTGATTCTTCACGTTGGAACTGCATGTAAAAAATCTACTTCAACAGGCTTTCGAGTTGTTTGCAGATCGCGTTGCCAACCTCAACTGTTGTCGCGATCCCGCCCAGGTCACTGAAGAAACCAGTCAGACGTGCGCCAAATGTTGAGCAGCAAGTGAAACTTACGGGGTCCGTATCTCGTGGCCGCCAATTTCCTTGGAGTCCAAGACCTTCTCGACTGCTTTATCAATGGCATTTGCCTCATTGATCATCCCAAAGGAGTATCTGAGCATCATTGCCGCTGCAAGAATAGTCGCGACTGGGTTGGCGATGCCTGTACAGGAAAGCCGTCAGCCTTTGAATCTTCTGATATGACCGGGAGAAGGCTCTGTTACCTTTGCCCGCGATATCGGGCGCGCTTCCGTGGATAGGCTCGTACAGACCGATTCCTCCCGAGCCAGGGGTGGTGCTTGAGATCGACGCCGATGGGAGCAGACCCAGCGATCCCGGGACCACGCTGCTCACATCGGACAAGATGTCGCCGAACCTGTGAACCACGTAGTGACTAAGTGAGCTGACTCAAACCAGAACTCTTGCTGTGGCGGTAATACTCACGTGTTATCCATGAGCACGACTCCATTGAACGAACGAGGATCTTTGACCATAAGCATGGCCGCGCTATCAGCAAGCTGGTGAGAAAGTTTGATCTGCGGATACTCCCTCGCGAAAAAGTCCGTTACGGCTCGACGCCAAAGTCGACTAACAGCAAGGACATTGGCTTTGTCGCATGAGATGACTTGCTGAGGCGGGTCCGTCTCCATAGCCAAGTCAGCGGCGACCTTTGCAACACGTTCAACTTCTGCTCGGGAGTACGCCCAGGCATCCGATGCAAAGTCCTCCTCTTCAGTCTTGTCACCGAAATAAGCACCTCCACAGTTTTCCCGCACAAGGATAAAGTCGGTTCCCTCCGTAAGTTCGGGTCGGATAGGACCGCGATCGACAAGAGACTTGCTCGCGAACTTGCAAGGACGGAGGTTTGCAAAGGCGTTGAGTCCGTGACGTAAGGCTAGGACACCCTGTTCTGGTCGCACTTTGCCTGCGCCCCTAAGGGTACATGAACTCTCAGTCATTAAAAGTGGTGAAAATGGTGTCGATGACCGGACTTACCACTTTGGCCCACCGACTGAACCGAACAAGACCGCATCGCTTGCCTTGGCCACGTCCAGGACTTCTGGGGTCAGGGCTACGCCGTGCTTGTCAATACTGCACCCGCCCATTAACTCTGAGCGGATCTCAAATTTCACACCAGAGGCCTTTTGGATCACCTCAAGGACCTTGATAGCCTCGGCGATGATCTCAGGGCCAACACCGTCGCCTGGTAGAACAAGGATCTTGCGAGAAGCCATTGTGTTGCAGCGTCAAGAGAAGGTCGCTCGAAAGTAATGCTGTAAGTTATTCTAGGTACTTAGTTAACGAGCCTCTTCACCGTGATGTTTCCGCTTGAAAGTCGGCCGACGGAGGTGAGGCCTTGTCGTAGACGGAGGTTGGTGGCTGTCGTTCTCCGCGAAAGCACCGGTCTCGGGGTAAGATATCCGGGAATGACGTACCCGATGCGGAGGCGCTAAGTTACCGCAAATAGCCGACTTGAAGAAAATATCCTTCCTCTTTAGAAAATTTCTAGAAAGAATTCAATGCGTTACTTTGGTTCATCTCGGAATTTCATTTGTAGCACGGAAACCTGTTCCCTAAGTTCTGAATTCCTTGTAGCTCTATTTACAGCTAAAACCTTATTCTCGTAAGGTTGGTGATCAAGCCAATGTCATTACAGGCTTAGACACATGGTTGGTCACCAACTCTTCGCTCGGTCTACATTCCCGACATGGTAGGACTATTGACGAGTACGGCAGCCGCCAAATGTAACGAAAGTCTATATCGGGCAGCAATTGCACTACAATTCTTTGTATGATTGCTTACGATCCCAACGGGCACCTAGATCCACACTTAATACCTCACATACTAGTCGTTCGATACGTCCAAATCGTAGTTCGCATTCGGGGTCGGGGTCGGACTATGTTCATCGCAGCATACTCGGTCTATTCAGGTGTCATCTGAGGAAGTGGAGAAAGCTAGAAAGCCTTGATTATTTGAGACGCTGTCTTTGGGATCGGATGAACTGTGAGGGGTTCGATCGACAGCGGAATCGATGAAGTGTCCGTGTTCGCACCGCTTGGACTACGGGGCAGAGAGTTCGGGGAGTTGACGCGATTCTTGCGAGTTATCTTTTGCCAATTGAAACATTGAAAGCTTCTCCCTATTCCCGCGAAGATTCGCTATTCCCGTGGAAAGCTTCTTCATGTTCCCGTATTACTCAAAGCAATTATTTACAAAGTGTTGTGCCCAACTTCAGACCGGAAAGGAGCATAGACTGGCTTAGACCGACTCACAAGTTCCAAGATTGACCACTAAAGAGCCTCAGCCGAAGATGTCTTCGTTCACCTGTGGCCTGCAATACTGCGTTGTCGTTGCCATTTTCACAATCACACTACTCTACCTCCTGCACCGCTCTCTTCTACCCAAACCGATCCCAGGAATACCTCACAACAAACATGCGGCCACCAACATCATGGGAGATATTGACTCCTTCCTCGAAAGCCAGGAACAAGGCATCTCAATGTTCCGTTGGGTCGCAGCCCAAACCGAGAACCTCCAATCGCCCATCATCCAACTCTTCATGCGGCCCCTTTCTCCCCCTACGGTCATCGTTACAGACTTCCGCGAAGCAGAAGACATATCCATGAGACGATACAAAGAGTTCGACCGAACCGACTTCTTGCGGTACATCTCTCAGCCGCTGATGCCCCAGTTTCACATGATGATGAAGAGCGATGATCCCTTGTTCAAGAGGCAGCGGAAATGGCTCCAAGACCTGATGACACCTGCCTTTCTCCACGGTGTTGTTGCGAAGCCCATCTACGACAGCGTTCGGCAGGTAGTTGAGCTCTGGGAACACAAGGCTCGTCTGGCCGATGGCCGCCCCTTCGAGGCCTTCAACGACATCTACTTCGGGGCGTTTGATGCTGTTCTAGCGTTCTCGTTCAGCAGCAACTTTCAGCACACGACACTACCAGGTCGACTGCAGCTGATCTCGACCCTCGAACGCGTGGAACTCCCACCCAAGGGTATCTCGCCGGTAGTCTTTCCGGAGAGTGAACAAAGCCAAGTCATCAGGGCGATGCTGCAACTAGCCGAAACGGTCGAGGAAACAAGAAAGGCAGTCTTTCCATGGCTTCGATGCTGGTACATCCATCAAACTCCCCGCACCAAAGCTGCCAAGAAGATCAGAGATGATACTATCAACCAAGAACTCGAGGCTTCTGTCAAGAGACTCGAGGCCGGCGAAGCTGCGTGCTCCGCGCTCGATCACATGGTCTACAGGGAAAAGCGAGTAGCCGAGAAGGAAGGCAGGGTGCCAGTGTACAAGTCAGTGGGTATGAAAAGCGAAGTACGTTCCCGCATCGACTTCTAGAACTGAGACCGTAGCATCCTGACTATGAAATCCAGGCGTTTGGCTTCTTGCTAGCCGGGCACGAGACGACGGCCACGACCTTTGGCTGGGGCATCAAATACCTTGCAGACAACCCAGACGCACAAGCACGACTCCGCAAAGCCCTCCGCAAGCAGTTACCTGAAGCAATAAAAGAGAAACGTAATCCAACACACGAAGAAATCATGAAGACTACCATCCCCTACCTCGACGCCACCATTGAAGAGATCCTTCGCTTCGCTGGAACGACCTCGGTCACGGACCGCGAGGCGATGCAGGACACGACGATCCTCGGCCACCATATTCCCAAGGGCACAAACGTGATGATGGTGACCATTGGCAAGAGTATACTTAAACCGGCGTTTGACATCCCCGACGCTCTGCGCTCCAAGACGGCTCTCGACGCGTCGAGCCGGGTTCGGAGCTGGGAGGCATCGCCATATCCCGTGGAGGACTTCAAACCCGAGCGATGGCTAGTGAAATCAGACAAGAACCCCAAACAGATGGTGTACGATGCCACGGCGGGGCCTCAAATGGCTTTTGGCCTCGGGCCTCGGGCATGTTTCGGGCGAAGGCTGGCGTATCTGGAGCTTCGCATGTTTACCGCGATGCTGATCTGGAACTTTGACTTTTTGCCGTGTCCTCCTGAATTGTCCGATTATAGAGGCTACGACGGTTTGACGGTCAAACCTCGGCAATGCTATGTCAAGTTATCGAAGATCTCACAGTGAGGTCTTTATCAAGGTCATCTTGAACTTTGTACACATTGCGAGGCGGACTCATCGATAGAAATAAGCTGAAAGACAAATCACAATGAAGGCATGACACAGTGATATGGCGAGAACGAATTGCCTATCTAGTATGCTTTGCCCTGAAGAATCCTCGCCACAATATGCAACGTTTTGTAAGCAACCTATTTTTCAAGGCCACCGCGGCCTGTATGCTGAACTCCAAAACACCATGCCCAATGCACCTATAGCCGCCCGATGCGCCATGCTAGGTAGGATATCACCCGCTTCAGCCTTCAAATGGCTAGCCCTACAAGGCCGTCGTAAGCACGCTCGACGGTCCGGCCACCCATTCCAGGGATGGTCTTCAGCTGCGCCAAACTCTCAATCTCGGCGTCTTCCTCATCCGCCAAGTTTTCCAAGTAATCAACGAGGTCCTGGGCCTTCTTCGAGCCGAATCCGTGCAAGCCCTTGATCTGGGCAAGGTCTCGCGAGTTGACGATGCTCAACAAGTTCTGGGTTCGGGGAGAGGCTGGTCCCGCCGGGTCGGGAAGGACCATTTTGGGAGGCTTGGAGGGCTTTGCCTTTCGGCTCTTCGTCTTCGCGGCAACGTCCACAAAACTCATGTCTTCGTCGCCTCTGTCTTGTTGATATTCCTCGTCACTGTCGTCGGCAGCAATTCTCCTACGCTTCTTCTCGTGTCCGTTCCGAGGAGAGGATGACACTGGCAGAGACTCGGTGGGAAGCATGTTTCCAAGCTTGACCCTCAGCTTCTCAATCTTGCCCAACAGCTTGGCCTGGCCTGGGAAGAAAGGAAGAGCCTCCTCGTACATCTGAAGCGCCACAACGTCATTGCCAGTCTCCTTGGCCTGTCTGGCAGCCAGCAAAAAGCGTAGCCCCTCTGAGCGACCATCGTCGCGTTCCCGCTCCTCATTCGCAATCCGACGCTCCAGTGCTTCCAGTCGGCGCCGCACAGCATCGTTGATGTCGGGGTGAGCAGGTGCAGGTGCAGGCTCTGCCGTTTTGTTCTCCCTTGATGCGAGGATCTCGCTGACCTTTTTCTCGACGATGGCCTCCAGTTGCTCTGCGGAGATGGAGAGCTTTTGTTCGGCTGGTTGAGCTTGTTGAGCTGGCTGGGTTGGTTGAGCAATCAGGGAGGACTGCGACGGCCGTGCAAGTTTGCTAGCCTTGGCTGGCAGTTCACGTTCGACGAGGGGCTTCCGAGTCTGCGTCATGTTGGCAGTCGGTCGGACGGGGACAGCAGACTTGCTACGGTCGGTGTACACATTGAATAGCTTTACCGGTCGCGTCGGATCGGCAGCTTTTTCGGTTGCCTTGGCTGCAATAGTGCCGCTGTGAATGTTGTGGGCATTGGACAAGGGGCGGAGGGGTTGTCGTAGGGTGGATGTAGAACTACCCGAGTTCGTACGCGGGACTTGCTTGAAGACGACTTCATTCTCAATCTCGCGGACTTCGATGCGTTTGGCTCTCGAGCTGACATTCAAGCTGCTCAAGGTGTCCAGATGGTAGCTGCGGATGGGGGCCAGGTTCAGGATCATGACGGTGATGCCGTTGTTCTGGCCTAGGCTGAGGATGCGCGTCATCTTTGACTCGCGGTAAGGAATCCGTTTATCCCCTCGTGAGATGGCGTCAATACACTGCGATAGGACGAAAAGACTCTTGTTGATGGCAGCAGACTCCACTAATCTCTCCTTCCCATTGTCGGTACGGCGGTTGTCTTCTGAGCCAGCCAAGTCAATGGCTGAGGCCACGCTTTCGCGGACCTGGTCTCCCGTCGTTTGGGTCACCTTGATTCTCATGATGGCATGGCTTCGACTGCTGTGGGCGTTGAGTTTCGTTGATGCCGTGACGCGGTTGTTATTCGCCTCAATGTAGAGTCGGGAAAAGTCCTGAAGGTCCTCGCAAGCGCGTTCGGACAGACCCACTACCATCGTCTTGCCATCTTTTTCGCGGAGGGGGAGGCCAGAGGGCTGGCGTTTTTCGGGAGGTTCGAATAGGTCAAAGACCTTGTCGTTGTATATCTCGTAGTATGATAAGACGACATCGACGGTCGTCTGGCCGCTGGTGTCTTTGGCGATCTTCTTCCCGCGCCGATACACACCGCTCAATAGCCGCGGAATGACACCGCGATCTGCCAGCTTTAGTCCACCTCTCATGGTGTGCGTCTTGCCTGTTCCGGTGACTCCATACGCAAAGATGGTGACATCAAGACCTTGAAAGAGTGCCTTGATGTGTGGTGCCACTGCTCAAGTTAGTATGACCGATGTCTCTCGATGATTCGTATCTCGCGTAAAGGTATCCGTACCCTCTGATGTGAAGAGTGCGTCCTGTGTCGTCGATTGGTCGTAGACGCTGGTGAAGGCGAAGGAGAACTCCTCGCTCTCGTTTTTCGGACTTGGGATCTTGACCAGCGTGGCTGGCTTGCCCGGCTCAGTGCTGTCCGCGCGGACAATGACGTCCTTATCCAGCTCCTTGTCGAGGAGGGGACGGATACGCGCGACCACACGAACCGACATGGTTAGGCCAGACCGACTTTCGACTCAATGGATAGGGTGGCAGCAGCCCAAGCCAGCGGGAATGAGAGGATGTCGATGTCGATGCTCGGGGGTATGATGTCGGAGTTCGGAGTCGACGCGACGTGTCGAAATTGGTTCGACGAGAAGACTTTTGTGGTGTTTGAACCGTGTTCGTGACTTATTCAATGTTGTGCAAGGAATATGGAAGGTTTGCACTGAGGCCTTGTCAACAGGGGTGTCGACATGGGCCGTTGCCGGGGTGATGGCGCTAATCTCCTCTAAGCGAATGAAACGAATCTCTAGCCCCGCTGTAATCTTCGAGCTTTGACATTGGAAGGAACGGTCGGATACGTACTCCCCACTGCACGTGCCACTACGTACCGATCCCTCGAGACCTACAGGTACGTACTCATCGGCACGGGACGGCATTGACCCGGGATGAAGCTCCGGGATTTTGCCGTCAGCTCAGCGCAAGGTCGGCCCTCCAAATTCCTGATGGAGCACTGCTGAGGGCGACAGCTGCTGGAGCTTCCAAGTCACGATCCGAACGACCGACGTCATCAGCCCTCCAGATGTCCGCTATGCGCGCCCAATTGCCCTTGCTGAGGACGGCGCAAGGTGTGCGACCTGGTCAATTGCCTTCATACGTCTGCAGGCAATGTAGGGGCATCCAGATCAGCGCTGCGCCGACGACTGAAGCGCCCAAGGTTGGCGGGGATGTCTTTGGAGCTCGGGGAGCGTCGCGGGATGCCGCCGGTATGGTCTACGGTTCAATGGCATGGAAGTCGGTACTGAGGGTATGCTGACTTGATGACCATAGATGCCCGTTTCGAGGTCCTTGGATCACCATACTCCCTCCTTTCCGTCTCTCTGTCGCCGTCACAGCAGCTCTACACCAGAAGGGGAACATTGGTAGGAGTTGCAGGCAAGGCTGAAAATGTGAGCATGGGACCGCACTTTGCTCCTCTGGCCAATATCTAATCAAGAAGCTATAGGCCCAATCGACACTTTCCATTCTTTCGCCTTTCACACGAGCCTTCTTCGGCGTTCCTTTCCTATATCAACGCATTTCATCTTCAACGCCCCTTACGGCTCTGATATCTACAAAGTCTCCCACGACAACCTTTTCCGTCCTTCACCTCGATGGTACCACCGACTACATGGTTTCTCAGCGCAATGCGCTTCTTGCTTGGACAGGTCACACACTCTCCGTATCGCCTCGTATAAGCCGTGGCCTCTCGCTGGCCCACTGGGGAAGCACTCACCTCACCGGCCGAGGCCTGGCAGCTCTATCCTCCCCCGGCCAGGTATACGAAGTTACGCTCGCGGAAGGCGAGGAGTTTGTCGCACACCCTTCGCACGTGGTCGCATACGCCGTATCTCGCAACCCTCCTCTGCCGATGCGCCTCAAGTCGAACATCCTCCGCCTTCAGATCCCTAACATCACTCGCTTCTTCCCCGAGACAAACTTTATGAAAGCGATGCGCGATACCAGTACATACAAGAACGTTGCTCGGTGGTTATTTACTTTGAGGACGTCGCTCAGACGCACAATTTGGGGCGATCGCTTGTTCCTCCAGTTCCGTGGCCCGACAACCCTTCTCATGTCCAGCAGAGGCGTCAGAGTTGCCGATGCTCTCACCAACAAGGAGGTCAACGAGATTGCAGATGCGCCGGCTGGCGTAGTCCCAGAGGCTGTTGAACTGACGACCAAGCCGAAGGTCGAGGCAAAGCCCGCATCAGTCGAGCAGCCGCCGTCAGCCATCCATGTCGCCAGCGTATCGCGTGATGGGAAGGTCAGCTTCGAGGACGCGAAGGATCTGAAAGAATTTGTGCGATAGAGGCGGAATCAAAATCGGAATCAAATACAGGCACCCCTGTGCCGCGAAGCACAATTGCCATGGCGATTTGATCAGACAGCCACAAGGCTGACAAATGTAACTTTACTGTGTAATAGACAAGGAAACGGTCAGGTTACAATGCTGCATGTGAATCGACCTGCAGGTTAAGTCCGGCTGCCGTAGGACATTTTCGCCGTGGGATGCTTTAGTTATCGGCCGGATCTTCTTCACTCGTATTCTCGTGATTTGTCCGTATGGTCAGTTACCATCTCGGATATATACGTTCGTTCGTCGTCCGGTCCCTGGACATCTCCGCTAGAATAAGCTTGATGAATGACAATTGCGGATACAAAGTCACAAAACCACGTGGTTTTGCGCCGTCAATGTAATCCGGCTTAGTGGTAAACAGCCACGGAGGCTGGTAATATCGACAAGCCTGACGTTCTAAATGACACTTGGATTTCCGACCGAGCGCCGAGCACACCCTTCCGAGACAATAGAACAGTGGTGATTGGTCAAATGGTCAAAGGTGAACAGCTCGTAGCATCCCTCATTCCAATCCAGAGTCTCGGGCTTCGCGTTTTCATCTCAACACCGAGCCAACAAGTCCCTTCCGGGCCCCCCACCCCGGAACACGGCTCCGGGCTGGGGTACGAGGCAAGATCTTGCAGCCAAGGCGGGTTCTCATGAAGAAGACGATTTTGAAGATGCCAAGAGTCTGGGTCAGGAACATTGAACCTCTGAAGAATCATGAGGAGAATGAGCCTTGCCATTTTCCGAGTTTGCGGGATCAATCACTCTATTGGCCTAAGAATTATTCAAAGAAGCTCCCCTGTGCACGAAATTGATCATCACCCAGCTGTAAATGGGATGAAGCCTCACCGACTCTCCAAACGCTAAGCGAAGATCAGCAACCAAGTTCTCCTCAGCTCACTTGAAAGTTGAAACCGCACTGGTTGATCGATCTAAGAGGGGTACATAGAACCGACTGACCTAGCGGCCGATATCCGTTTCCGTGAATCACAAGTGCACGTTCCCGCCGAGAGACTCACAAATGACACTGCGACAGGCGACAAGCTCACGAAGCTAGGAGATGGCTACCCAAGAACATTCGTCACCACAGCAGCTGGCCATACCTTAGTTGAGCCGCTTAGAAGCAAACGGTCCAACCTTTTCCCAATCTCTGCCTAACGGCTTAGGTTTTCACATTTCTCAAGTGGACAAAGGGGCCTTCGGCCGGTAAGTCGCTTGTTATATCCGGCCCGCTAAGCTAAGGGTCGCCTACCCCTCCCCAGGATCTTGGTATCCAGAATTGCGGTGATCCAGAAGGGCATGGCGTTTAGAACCGAACATGGGTTTGTCTGGAGTCTTCTGCATTCTCCGAGTCTAACCCCCCAAAACAATCTTGTTTCCTTACTTTTGAAGGGCGAGAACTGCGCGAGAGGAGCTTATGCCAACGTGTGTTGACTCCATGTCCATTTTCGATTAATAATTGTCCGTCACTCGAGCCGCACCATGGAACTTGTCGTGGAGTGTGGAAATACTTTCTTCATTCGGATATAGGCAGGGCCCCAGAGAATAAGAACAAGACGAACTGCTGCTACTGATCGTGCTGGTACTACCTTGGACTACTTGATATAGTCCCATATTTAGCCGACCAAGAAGCAAGCAATCTCGTTGAGCTATTCATCGACGATACGAAACGACGCAACAGTTCGCCCCACAAGCATTGCTCGCACCCAAGGGGCCCAAGGCAGTTTCTTTTCTGATCTCATCAAGGAACTTTTCGCCAACAAGATCTGCGTCCACGAAGTGAAGGGGGTACCCATAATCAAAGCTTCACTCGAAGCCACTTGAGAGAAAATATCGAGAAAAGGAGCAATACAACCCGATACGAAGCGGCAACCCGTTCGTGTCACAAAAGTTCGCTGAGGAAAACAGTCGCAACAACACCAGCCCAACCCAAAAGTCCACAGCAATGCCGCGCTCTCAACACGCCCTCTCGACATCGTCCAACTCGTCAACCGTCATGGACAGGTCCCCCGCGCTCGCAGACCCAGAAAAGTCGGACCACATCCCCTACGAGTCCTCCTCCTCCGCCCGCCAGTCCCTAGATCGCATTCCCTCCCAGCAGCGCGACACCGAGGCCAACATCTACCCGGAACCCGCCAACGTCGTCGAGGCCGATCTCGAAAAGGGCGGCTTGGCGCACGCGACATCAACGCAAGATGCCAAGACCGATGGCCCGGTCGGTGGTGATGCGCCGGCACCGCCCGCTGCCGGCCCGCCGCCGGGGATGAACCCGGCTGACTTTCCCGATGGCGGCGCCCAGGCTTGGCTTGTCGTCTTTGGAGGGTGGTGCGCGTTGTTCTGTACTTTTGGATTGATTAATTGCGTCGGTGTCTTCCAGGCGTACTATGTGTATGGTCCGCTCAGCTCGTATCCGTCGTCGACTGTCGCGTGGATCACCAGTCTGCAGGTCTGGGTGATGACCTTCATGGGCGTTATCGTGAGTTTCCCCGGGTGAGCCTCTTCGCCGCTCTGTCTCGATAGCTGACGCTTTGCTCCAGTTTGGCCGGCTGTACGACACCTTTGGCCCCAAGTACCTCCTCTACTGCGGTACCGTCGTCTACGTCTTCGGTCTGATGATGACCTCGCTGTCAACGCAGTACTACCAATTCATCCTTGCCCAGAGTCTCGTCTCGTCCATCGGCTCGAGCGCGTGCTTCAACGCATGCATGTCATCCGTAACATCTTGGTTCTTCAGGAGACGCGCAGCCGCGTTCGGCATCATGGTCTCCGGCTCCTCGCTCGGCGGCGTCATCCTGCCCATCATGATGTCCAAGATGATTCCCCAGGTCGGCTTTCCCTGGGCCATCCGAGCCGTGGCGTTCCTGTTTCTGTTCTTGCTCGGTATCGCATGTCTGACGGTGAAGTCGCGGCTGCCGCCCCGTCCGCGACCGTTCGTTTTCAAGGAGTACGTCGATGGTCTGCGTGAGCCCCCCATGGCTGTCACCGTATGCGCGTTGTTCCTCTTCTTCCTCGGCATGTTTTTGCCTTTCAACTTTGTCATCCTCCAAGCGCGTGCGCAAGGTATGGATGAGAACCTCGTCATTTACCTCTTGCCCATCATGAACGCTGTCAGGTAAGCACTTATCTCCATCGTTATCTATACCATGGCACTAACAACGCGTAGCATCCTCGGTCGCATCGTTCCCGGCATCGTCGCCGACAAAGTCGGTCGGTACAACGTAATGATCTGCATTACCTTCATCAGCGCAATCTTCTGTCTTGGCCTCTGGATCCCAGGCAAGAGCAATGCCGCAATCATCGTGTTCCTCATCATCTTTGGCTTCTCCTCCGGCGGCTTTATCTCACTAGGCCCGGCCTGCATTGCCCAAATCTCCGACATTAGACAGATCGGCGTTCGCACCGGAACTGCGTTCGCCGTTCAGTCCTTTGGAGCCTTGGCTGGCAGCCCTATTGCCGGCGCCATTGTCGCGTCGCAAGGAGGCACCAACTATCTTGGGCTTCAGCTATTCTGCGGCTTCTCGATGCTGGCGGCGGTTGGTGTTTTTATCGCGGCGAGGACCGTGCAGGTGGGATTCACCCTGAAGAAGGTTGTTTAATGGAAATTACGCTGGCTTCGAAGCGAAAGTTTAATCCTGGCATACTGCATGTCAGCAGGAGGATGAGAGTTTACCGGCCGATATGTCCGCAATCCCGATCTCCGCTCTAATCGCCGGCTCCGTTCCGGCGCCGTCTATGAGCCGTGCCCGATCCTACCTCATGATCGGCTGCGCCTCTTTCTTCGATGTCCGGTTGGATGCGAGGAAACATAAGATTATGGCAAAAAGAACAATGAAAGAGAGTTTACATAGAATATTAGTTAATGGTGCAATAGACAACGTCGCTGTCTCCAATACCTCTGGGCTTGATTCCCTACGAACACATCCTATGCAAGCTCACGCTTTCTGAGCTATGATATGGCTAGCGGGAGGCGACGGAGAAAATTTTGTCGATGGACATTCAGCGATTGCAAGTGTTATGGCTTCGACGAGTTTAGATGTAATGATGAAGACGGAGTTCCCCATATCTGCGACTCTCCGGAGCTCCGCAAGACAGCCAAGACAATGGGTTACAAGGTCTTCATTAAATTTGAACGAGAAAACATCCTCCGTATTACAAAAGTCCGATGATTTGAGACCAGTTGAGGCTGTTTGATCTCTCGCCTCGTGTCTGGACCTCCACCACTGCGGCCTTCAATTGCCGTCCAGAAGCTCTTGTACAGGCGTGGCCTCGACTTTTTTGGGAATCTTCCTCGAGCTTACCACGGGAGCCATCCCGAAGTGAGCATGACCACGCGCGCAGTCTAACCCGACAGGAACGACGAAGGTATAGCACATGTTTTCGACTACAATCTAAGCAAGTCTTTTCAGGATCGCGATTGAATCCCTTAGCTGGTCTCGAGATCATGTCGAGTCATCAGCGATGGAGAACTTGGTGTCTTGCAAAAGTTAGCTTTGATCTGTGACTTAAAAAGAAGGCTGGAATCACCTTTGATGCCTTCTGTAAGATGGACAAGATCGTTGAAAACGATCCTGTCGTCAGTGGGGTGGGTAACTCTCGGACCGCCAGCTGATACTCTGAAAAAGGGCGACATTGAATCAAGCCATGCCACACGTGTGATCAAGGAGGGTAGGAATGTTCGGAAGTAGTTCGCCCCAGTGAGGTCGACTTCATCTTCGTAATGGCCGTCTTCTTTCCAATCATAGGAGATATTGACGCATAGGTATTGCGCAGATCCGAGTGACGTGTATGAGTGTGAGTTGATGCGGTCCCCTAGATTGGCGATGATGCAAGGTAAGGAGGAAAGGTTGAGACTCCATATTCGGGTAAGTAAGGGACGCCAAAATGGCTTGGTATGAACCTCCTCGTTGTCTTCGATTTCTCGGCAGCTGCGACTAGATTTAACTCTGACTGGCTTTCCCTGGTGTTGTTGTTGACTGTTGAAATTACGGTGTCGACATTGTACTTCTCAAGGACGGCCGTCAGAGAATCAATATCAGAATAGTCTACAGCCACGAAGCGAACATTTGGGGCTGCGCCTCCGGGCTTTCCTGAGACCTAGGTGAGAACGTGACTATCAGTGTTGAGTTTCATTGCTAGAATGCGTAGAGCATTGTCTTGTTGATAAGTACCTTTCTCGTCAGCACGATAATCTCGTGGGTTCCTTGGGCCGAGATAGCTTCAACAAGAGCACGGCCAGGGCCGCTGATTCCGCCAGCAATTGCCACAGCCATATTGATCTTATCTCTCTTTATCTTGCTTTAAACAAACAAGACCTTCTCTCGGTGATGGTGATGGAGCCCAGAAAAATCAGTCTCTCGGCACTATTCGAGCTTTTCATCCTATATATGTTTGTGGATCAATGACGGCGTATATCAAGAGTCTTTCTCATGCCAAGAGTGAAGACTCATCTCGCTCTTCGGACAACGCCAAGGCGTCCATCACATGGCAGTATTGCGGCTAGCAGCGTCATGAACCGGAGATTAAGGACAAGATTTCGGAAGCGCAAGAGTCTGAGAAGGCGATGACCAACTAGCTTAGAAATTCAACTCGGCAGCTTCCGTTAACATGGTCTGCCCCGAGTTTAGCGGTGGGATGTGCAGCTGTCGCGGACACGGGATCTCGAAGGTTTCGGGGCTCTCGGGGACCGAGGACTCTGTTGGCCCGCCCCTCCCGGCGGAGATAGATCGTTCGCTTTTACGCGATCCCAACCGTAAGTCCTCTTGACTCATAGGTTCGGTTATCTTGTCTTCTAGGAGATTTCTATTCTGTTTGTTACCAGACTAGTACAATAGTATGATGCTCAACTCTATGCGTCTATCGTTGATCTCGCACCTAGCCGCAAGCCTCGAGCTGGGATAATACTGGTGGAATCCAATTAGAAGAAGCCCATGACCTGCTCCCCACCAAACATCATCTCCATGTCCTGATTAGACTGCACATGTTCAGCCGCCAGTTGGTAATTTCCCCCCATAGCATTAGCCGGATAAAATTGGGTGAGCCCCAGCGTTGACAGAGACGGGACAGCCGCCCAATCTTGCTCGCTACTTGTCTCGATGTGCTTTTCTGCGATCATATAGAGCTGCCGAGTAATGTCATAAAAGTCCGTTGCAGAAGGTGACAGATCGGCTCCCTCCTCAAGGCTGTCTGCAAAGCATTTAAGTCTTTGCGCATCCCTCGTGTCTTGGGTCTCGACTATGTGGCAAAATACCACCAGGAGTGGAATAAAAGGGGTTTGAAGCAGTCTCCTGGATACACGATGGCACCTGTCAGTTCCACAACGGACGTTTTAGGAAAACGGCATGAATAGCGGCACTGGGCTTACCAATGGAGATAGAGATTCACAATGTGTAAGTCGCCGCTCATCAAGGGAACGCACTCAAGATGGGCGTCAATTGTCGCGCGTGCATATGCCAAGCAGTCCGGTGAGAAAGACGGCACAGAAGCTCGGGAAGTTCTTGCCCTGCATATCAGAGTTCCTGTCGTATAGTACATAACTTTGGCGGATATCGCAAGAACGTCCTCCAATTTTGTCGTTGGTTTGGTACTATTGGCAGAAGCAACCCTTGAGTTGACCTGATTATCCGTTACCATCATCATATTTAAACTGAGTAACAAGCTCCACGGTCGTACATACCACACTAACGGGCTCTATCAACTTGAGATCAGCAAGCAGGCCATCTGCTCGATCAGACAAGTCTTCCTGAGAGACAAGCTGTGCGCTCCGACTATAGAGCAGATCGTAAATCTTGCTGTGAATTGAGGCATTCGAGACCCAGAACGGCACCACTTTGTCCCACAGCCTTGGTAGACAGACCAGATTGAGCCCTTTGGGTATGTCAATATCAGAGTCTCCAATCATGGAGGCTCTGCCCACGCGCAAGGCAAGACTCTTTTCGAGCCCGTAGACATGCCAGAACAACAAGGCTTTGGCGTTCCTCGTACTTTCGTCATCAGCTACAATAAGACTCTCGTCATGAAAGCCTGCAGCCATGCAAAGCTGCGCTGCGAAGCATATCAATCTCCATGCCAGCCACGGTTTTGCCATCTCGATGGCGTGCGTTGTCTGGGTTGTTAATGTAGAACAAGGTCAAAAGATGATGGACAACATACGCCGAGGATCAATGCTTGTACGTTTTTGGCTTTTGCAGATAAACCGGCATCTATGGTTGCCACCGCGGCCGTGAGAGCGTTCCTGCACATTGCCCCCCAGGCGAGGGACTGTTTCCGAAGCTCAGACTGTCCCACACTAGGGGGACAAAAGTACTCTGTGAAAAGATAATGGAGGCCCGAGTTCACTATAATGAAGTCAATGGCAGTGTAGTCGTCGACGGAGAAGTAGACGTTCCGGCAGAGGTCAATGAAGTCCGAGCATGGGAGAAAACACCTCAAAACAAAGAAACTGCTGGGAGGGTTGTCTATCAACTCAAAATTCTTAGCAAGAGACTTTGGACAACGACTTTGACATAGGATACAAGTTGATCCACGTACCTTTCAGTTGTCTAAGCACGCCAATGACAGCGGCTATTGGCGGCAGAGGCATGTTTCGGTAAGTTACGGGTTTCTGGGCCAAGTGTCGTTGGGAACATCCTGCTGGGCTCTGGGATCCTACGACTCTATGCGCACTAGCAACGGCATTCACGTAGCATGAGGCGCCCAGCTCGATGGCCGCACTTTCTGTGAGCCTTCTTGTTGCTGCCATCTGGAACCTCAGTGAGGAGGGGCCTTCAACCGGTGGAGCTTCATCTGCTGCATCGTATTCTGTGGCGATGTGAGGCGTATCCTTCACCGAGAGCGGCACCTCTGAAAGGGCCTTTTCAGGCGTCAATCCTGAGCACGAGCATTGTGTTGACGCCTCACGCTGCTGTTGTCTGAGCAGCAAGGACTCGATACTGGCTAAGCGTTTATCCAAAAGGTCGATTTTCTCCTCACTGCGAGCCTATTAGCCTGGAAGATACTGCGAACGGAAGGATAGGCTCGACCGGGAAGCATACTACTGCAGGGATACATGAACCCTCTGGCGAGGAACCTTGGGCTTCTGACCAGCGCCTGTGAATGTGCAGTCCTGCGACGACTGACGACAGTTGAAGCAAGGTACGCTTTTGTCACATCGAACCTATGAGAGTGGTTGTTAATGACTGGTGTTGGTTACAGAGACAAAGACACTGGCACAGAAACTTGTGCCCCCAGAATGATGCTGCGTCTCATTTGGATATCGGTGCAACACGTCCACTTACTTTGCGCAATCGGCATAAGTCGCACTAGATACATTTCTGTTAGACATGTACTTGAGCAGAACCACAATCTATCTTTGCTTACTGCAGTTGCCCTTGAGTCCATGCCAGCTATTCGGGCTTGAATGCAGCTACCTGAAGCTGTGTCGAGTTGTTGGGGCAAGAGTCGTGGAATCTCCTCTCGGACTCCTCGGTCGCCATTGCAAGGACTCAGTGACATCCCATCGGTGGGAATATAGTGTCGGCCTCCGAGGAGACCGAGCAGGGATGTGTACACAAATGTCCATCTCCGTCTGTGGGCCAGATCCGAGATCTGAATGAGCAAGGGGTGCGGAGCAGTCCGCCCGGCGCTCGGCCCCAACTCGGCGCCGGCTGCGGACCTTGAATACCAATCACCCGTACTATTCATTGGCGCCATCGTGCTTGCCTGTCAATCAACTTCAGATTTGCTCATCGGCTGATATTGTTCTTTATATAATACAGGCTGGCCAGATCCCAGTTCATTATCGTGGCTAGCTGCCTTGTTCTCTCGAGATTGTAGCAATACTCCATGAGAGAAAAGTCTTGTCTAGTCCATGGACATCAAGGTCCAGTCTAGAAATACCCTTGGATCCCGGTGATACCGAGTGAGGTCTTCTTAAGTCTTGACTCCTTTGAGGCTGCCTGACCTCACAAAGAGTCTTGCTTAGTGTGCCTCACCGGTTTAAGTAGGACCAACGCCGTGTGACAACTTCCTCGCCACGGCAAACTGCTCTGTCCGAAACTTGTAGGATCCTCGGCAACGATTGGTTGATGAATAGTCTGTTGCATGGTACATGTATCGGCTGAGAAGAGGACACCAAGATGTTTGGAGCGGGTGACTCGTCGCTTGCTGTTTTTGATTCAGGTTCAGGTACGAAACGTGTTCTAGACAGCCCTCATCAAAGATCGCCTCGTCTCGTGGAAGAGTCGGCTGGACCGAAATCGGGTCTTCGAATTAGCGATCAAAGCAAACATTGAGTTAAGATCATCGGCCGTTCAGGCTTGAGGAAGCTCAAGAAATCGCACTCGTCGGCTAAGGACGTTATCTTGCTGGCAGGAACGGTTGAATCAAATGAATGGAGCGAATTGAAATGTCAAGTATCTAGACGCGGTCATTATGACGCTACTGTTTCCAACCCCTCAGCAATTAGCAGCAAAATCCGACAGGACACATTTCAAAGCTATGAGATTGACTCGTCCTGCATGGCGCTAAATGCTGACTTCAGCTGTCAAAGCCTGGCGCCGGAAATGCAATGTAGAATGACGGGGATCATCTTAAAGAGACTGGTCTGTCTAGAGCTCCCATCATCATCAACATCAGGTTGCCTGAAGAAAGTCCATTCTGACGTCGACGACACTTCATCAACAAGCTCTTATGGCTTCACACATGAGTACCGCGGACCTCGTCAATCATCTGAAGGCGATTTACGCTTCTTATAGACATACCGCAGATATTGATGCGAAGGGGATCTTTTTTTCTCCATCTTGTTACCAAATATGTCGCCCAAACCCCTCGTTTGCTGCGCACAATCGTGAGACAATCGTGCGCTACTTGCACGAGTATGCACCAAAAGACGAAAAAGGGGCACCGGGGTCAAGTGGAAAGCCAGCAAAGAAGGGATATTATACAATACGACCACTCGAAAAAGAGGAATTTGAGTTCGGCACCGACGAGCATACTGCTCCTGCCGGCTTCTCTTCAGCGTCGGAAGTCGAACAGAAGGCCAGAAGAGAAGGGTGGGTGGGATTGAGGGTTGATCTTTGGGATGAATCGCCAGGTCATGAAACAGACGGGAAAGAAGACCTTTTGGTCAAGGTGCAGTACTGGTGGAGGAGAGAAGAAGGCAATTGGATGCAAATCTTCCACGACATTATGTACATGGGTCCGCGTGATGGGAGTGAAGGGGTTGATGCGGAGGTCTTAGAGTGACATCCAGACCCATCACATTTGCGAGACAAGAATGGATGACAGGTAACTTAGCGAAGGGTAGCTTGCTGGATGTCTCACATTGTTCGGCTAGAGTTGGCTGTTGATGTTTTTCGTTGATTTCATCACACTCGATTTCGATGTCTCAGAATGGTTCGTTCTGTTCTGGTATCATTCAGCATGGTGGGAGGGTTAGGAACAGGCTTGTGTCGCAGGCTGGGAGATGAAGCCGCTTAGTATGTATTACGTCCTTCTTCAAATAACATGTCCTCGGCCAAGGTACTTCAATATGGACAGTACGCTCGTGTACAATGTTATGTCCTGATTCTGGTCAACAGATCTGCTACAACAAGGGAGAAGAACTATCAGTGACTGATGAGGACATCTGGAAAATCTCCTAGACATCATTGCTTATAAACCAACTTTAGAGGTAGTGTACCACGTGTCTCATTGTGGACAGTACAATTACCTAAGTATGGAGTGTATGACAGGTTGGCTCCCACCTCAAGTGCTCTCATCTGCTCGGTTGATAGTTCCAGAATCTATGCCTGTCTCCCGTTGTACTTGACCAACGTGGTCTCAGATGTAAACTTGACAGGAGTTCAGGTGATTTCACGACCATCTAGATCCCCTCTGAGCAATATTTGATCCATTTCATTCCAGAATGGCCCTGAGATGGATGCTGACTATCTCTGGCTTCACCTCAATCTACCACAGTGGGAGAATCCATCATGGCCTTCCGAGCTTCCCTAACCTCGACCATTGGCGTATTGACTCTAATATGCAGAGCACAGAATCCAATCCCCGAGGACCAAGATCCGTGTCTAGATCCTGGGGTCCTTGCCTCGAAATGGGTTGACGACAACATGATCCGGCCGAACTATATTCCAGCAACAACGGAAGAAAAGCCTAGTAAGTGATACCCGATGCATTCTTTCCGCAGATCATATTTCAGGAGTGGTGTAAGAGCCCGTGATATCGTTAACCAACGAATGCGAGTATAGTTGTTGCTCAGAGAATCTTCGATCAGCCCCAGACTTCAGAGACTGGCCAGTCTTATGTGACTAGTCTGGAGCAGACCAGCGTGCTCTACATGACGGGAGTCATTGTAGACTTACTTCAGGCTGATGTCCAAAAGACTGGAGCACCTGAAGACTTGCCGCGGTCCCTCGGAACAGGTTATAATAGTGCCATTCTTGTCGTAAGATCAACAGTATCCTCGGACCTTGCGTGATCTTACAAGATGACTGACTTCGAGAAGGGCGAAAGATCAACACTACGGTTCTCTGGTCGCATCGAAACCCACAATGGCGCAATCAATCTGTATGCAACTGGAGCTGGGACGACGGTCACCCTAGAGGCACCCCAACTGTACAGCAGCGGCCCGGGAGCCATTGGACTTTTTGCCATCCGGGGTGCCAATCTGGATGTTACCAATCTCCGCCATTGCTCGGGTGGCTACCGATCACCTACCCTCGCGGGCCTCAACATCAACAGCCGTGGGGGCGTCGCCCACACTACCAACCCGGGGTCGCCATTGATCTACTCGCTAGGGCGAACCATGTCATCCAATCTGACCGGCTGGGCCGATGCATCCCCTGCCATAATCATGGAGGGGCCTCAGTATGTACATCTAAACGGTTCAACCATCACTTCGGGGACCATCAGTGGTTTCCTGTTCTTCGATTGGTCCATAACGGCTCAACATGATGCCGGCACGTTGGAGGCGACATCCCTCAATCTGACGGTCCGCGAGGGCCCGGCCTTTTACCTGGCAACATTTTCCGCCGAGATCATTCTAATGAATGCAAGGATATATAATCCTTCGGGAATTCTGCTTCTGGCGGATACGAACACAGCTTCCCGGGACCTTGAGAGGGTCGAGCCGCAGCTCTGGAGCGGGAGTCCAATCTCTTCCAACTCTTCCCTGACGCTGATGGGCTCGGAAGGTATTTCCGGAGATATCGTCACCCGGGGTGGTTGTACAGTCACTGTCAATCTTCTGGCGAACAGCACGTGGCAGGGCTCCGCCAATGCATCTCTCATCAACAATCGTGGGGGCTTGACGGTGCAGATTGACGATACAAGCACCTGGATGGTAGGAGAGAACTCGTTCGTCCGAGGTCTGTCAGTCGTCGGTGGGGATCTTGGACGCCTCAAGGACCAGGGGTTCACAGTTGCGTATGATCAGAAAGCCCCAGAGAGCTCCTGGCTTCAAGGCCGAACGTACACTTTGCAGAACGGAGGAAAGCTTCAGCCGTGGAATTGAGGTGGTAAGTAGCTGGCTGTTCTTGATTACCGATACAGAATGCTTTGCGATGGAACGAGTCATGGTGAGGAGATTGGAAGTCGGTGTTTGTTCATCCGTCTCTGACATTTTGCATTTGAAATCGAATAATGGCAAATAGCACAACGTAACATGTCGGATCCGAGCAACGTTTTGCCCAATTGAAGGAATTTTTTAAGCTTTACCTACTCCTTGTCGACCCAACCCACCGTTCAAAGGCCGTGTTCCACAGGATCCATCTCGGCTAATCAGCCTAGTGGTTGTGAAGATCGAGGTTGATCCTGACTCGAGGGACTTTTGGCGATGGCGCAATTGCTGTTATGTACGGGATTGGTGAAGAGACTTTTCTGCAACACAATTGTGTTTGTTTGCCACGAGAAACTCGGGAACTTCTGCTGCTTACTATGGCACAATATGTGAACACGCTCTCGCTCGAGTCGCCCCTATGAGATGATTGAACCAAGTCGCAATAGGATGGCACTTTTGCCGCAATACGATGCAGTGCGCCGGCGATCCTGCGGGGCATTTCGAAAAGCCCCGTTGGGTTACATTCCTAGAACCGAGAGCCACCTTCAGAAGCCGCACATCCGCTTAGGCTCGTGCCATCGCGCGACGCAGGTAATATAAAGATGAAAAACGCCGATGACACCATCGCAACGGCTCCGCCAACTAACTGTAACGGTCGACTGACCTCCCACATTCGGGAGTTGTCTAGAGTCAGTAACGGCGAGTGGGCAAAGCAGTTGAGCCATGGACGGCTTCTTGATATAAGTTGCAACGCCCAGCTGTCGGAGGGTTGCGTTCGGAAGAAGAAGGTCCCTGATCCCCAGAGGCTTGGCCAACTTGGCTCCCGTGTGGCGTTCTCTTCCAAGCATCTTGGCGATCAGCCGCCCTGAACGACCTCCACCATGTCTCCATCCCCCAACCAACAACAACAGGCCGCCGGTGAGCTAAAGACTGGCGGTCTTCACGATGGCGATGCCATTTCCGTCGACTCTCCCAGCAATGCCACGCCTGAGAAGCGGTCCGGCGAGCCCGCTGCTCCTTATACTGAGAGCGACATGGAGAAGCCGCCTTTTGTGTTTACGACCAAGGCCAACGGCGAAGAAGAGGCTTTTGACGAAGACGACCCGAGACTGAAGGACATCCCAGCCTACGTGCGCCGCATCGTTTCGCTGCACGACGACCCGGATTTGCCCTGCCTTACGTTCCGATACTTCCTCCTCACAATTATTTTCGTTATTCCCGGCGCGTTCCTGTCGATGATGAGCCATTTCCGCACGACGTATGCGCCCTACTCCATCTTCTTCGTCCAGATTGCCTCGAGTTACTGCGGCGCATGGCTTGCCAAGATCTTGCCGGCGTGGGAGGTCAAGGTCCCATTCACCAAATTCAGCTTCAATCTCAACCCGGGGCCGTTCAACGTCAAAGAGCATGTCCTGATTACCATTTCCGCGGCATCGGGCGCTACCTACAACTTGGGATACACCCCCGTTGCGATGGCCGAGCTTTACTTCAACTCCAAGATTCACCCTGCAGCGGCGATTTTCTTCATGTGGGGCATTGTGTGGACTGGCTACTCGTTTGCCGCACTGGCTAGACAGTTTTTGATCTACGATCCTCAGTTCCCGTGGTTCACGGCGCTTTGCCAGACCGCCCTGTTCGAGACGCAAAAGAAGCAGCGCGAGGCCCCAACGGCTTCGTCCCGCAAGCAGACAAGAGTTTTCTTCTGGGCTCTCCTCGGCATGACCATGTGGCAGTTCCTGCCCGAGTACATTTTCCCTATGCTCGGATCGCTGGCCTTCCTCTGCTGGGTGGCACCCAACAACGCGGTAGCCAACTTTGTCGGTTCCGGATTCGGAGGAATGGGCTTCTTGAACCTTTCGCTGGACTGGTCTAACATCTCGACCAACGGATCTCTCTTCCTGACTCCGTGGTGGACTCAGGTCGTCATGTTCTGTGGTTTCGCGTGCAGCTGCTGGATCTTGATTCCGGCGGCCAAGTACGGCCACCTCGGTGAGTGGCACGGGCACTTGATGTCAAACAGACTCTTCCTCGAGAACGGCACGTCGTACCCGATCACGAAGCTGCTTACTGCAGATGTTTCGTTCAACGAGACGGCGTACGCCGAGTACGGCCCCCCGTTCGTCAGCACCCAGGTTCTGTGGACCATGTTCTTGTAAGAAAACCTCCCCTGATCCTCGAGAGATTCCCTCGTAGTCTGACCCCTTTTCTTCTAGTGACTATGCTGCTTATACTTCTGCTATTGCTTGGGCTGCTCTCTTCGGCTACAAGACCATCAAGAGCAGTCTCTCGAAGATGATGGATCGCATGAGAAACGGATCGCAAATCAGCACGCAGTACAACGACCAGCTCAGCATCCTGCAACGAAGCTACCAGGAAGTACCCTTGTCTTGGTTTGCCGCCCTGTTTGCTGCCTCGGCCATCGCTCTCATCACCATCACGGCCACCGGAAACATGTTCATCCCCGTGTGGACATATTTCGTTGCCATCGGAACTGGCGCGATTCTCGTCGTTCCGCTTGGATGGTTGTATGCGCTTAGCAACTTCCAGTTGGCCATTGGTACAGTCAACGAGCTGCTTTACGGATTGATGGTGAACTCCGTCAGTGGATTTAAGAACCCTACCGGTGCTTCGGCGTACGGTGCCATCGCCGGAAACGCATGGTACCGCGCGCAGCTCAACCTCCAGGACATGAAGGTTGGGCACTACATGCATCTGAGCCCCAAGGCTGTGTTCTTCTCTCAGGTCTTTGGCTCGTTCTTGGGTGTTCCCATCAACTATGCTGTTGTTCGCTGGGTCTTGGACACCAAGTTCGATTACCTTACAGGAGCAAAGGAGGACCCCGCGCATCAGTGGACTGCGCAGTCTCTTACCTCCAACCTCACCATGGGTGTGCAATACGTCCTCATCGGTCCCCGAAGGCTCTTCCAGCAGCACATCTACAAGGTCCTCCCGTACGGCTTCCTCGTGGGCGCCTTCACTCCCCTTCTCATCTACGCTCTTCACCGCGCCTTCCCCCGCGCCAAGTTGCAGTTGTGGAACTCGACCATCTTCTTCTCGGCCATGGCTAGCTTCTACGGTAACATCAGCACCGGATACGTGAGCAGCTTGATCGGTGGCTTCGTGGTCATGTTCTGGGCGTACCGCTACCGGTATGACATGTGGGCCAGATGGAACTATATCCTGGCTGCTGCTTTCGACGCGGGATTCAACTTCAACATGCTGCTTACTTTCCTCTTCTTCGGTGCTGGAAAGATCGTCACCATGCCGAATTGGTGGGGTAACGATGCAGCGAGTTCTGAACGTTGCTTTGCTCTCGATTGAGCCTACTGAAAGGCCAAAGTGCTTCTTCTTGTGTTGGAAGGGATTGTTGTAAACCAACAGAAGTAGGATGGTGCTATGTTTGGTATAGCATATTTAAACGAATGAAATGAATATTTAATCGTACAAAACTTGCTCACTGGCAACCAAAGCGAATCTCAAGGTACTCAATGGTGCACTGATACGCCGGGACTAAACGAGGGAGCCAAGAAATTCCTCTTGGAAACCTTCTCAAACAGCCTCATCCCCCCCACCTTAGCGAGCATTGCGGCAACGTCACTCTCTCTCTCTCTCTCTCTCTCTCTCTCTCTCTCTCTCTCTCTCTCTCTCTCTCTTATTGACCACTTGCGCGAGTTGATGCTTTAATATCGAATTACGGTGCGCTGATTTAGGCATCTGATCCATCTCGTTGCGACCATAGAGACTGTGGCTTGCAGAAGTTCCCATCCATGATCACATCGGAGATGACCAAATGGTACGCCTGACTTGCATCCTTGCTTCCATCTCAGATAGCCAAAGACTCACACGAGGTTGTAATTTGCTCATTTCAACATCTATAATCCTCGAAAGAACGCCCGTCTTCGCTTTGACTCGAGAGTAGACAGTAGACACAACTCATCATCCTAGGAAAAACCAAGTCGATTTCTTCCACCGAGATCTCACGATGGATATGCCCAGCACTATGTCCCATTCTCATGGCACCGAGCCCATGCCAGTCGTTTTCCACACCAAGATGGCCACTGCGCTGTTTTCCGAATCATGGACACCGCGGACGCCGGGACAGTACGCCGGTACTTGCTTCGCTCTCATTTTCTTTACCATCATACTACGTACTCTGATTGCCTTCAAACCCATGCTAGAAGCGACAGTATGGGCAGAGGAGCATGAGAAGGGCCACTCGAGAATCGACGAGGAAACCGCGCGAAAAGAAAGATCATCTCCTCCTACAACAAGATCGATTCTTCTCAGAGTTGCGCATGGTGCCTATGAGGTTGTCATTGCCCTTCTAGGGTACCTCTTGTAAGTGCTGGCCAATTTCTGCATTATAGGGGACACTCTTAATAATGTTTACAGAATGCTGGCGGTAATGTCGATGAATCTGGGATACTTTTTGTGTGTTCTTCTTGGTGTCTTTATTGGAACGCTCTGCTTGGGTGGCATTGCACGCAACACAACATTTGATCATTGTTCTTGACAACATAAGGCTGGGAAATTCTATGAGTGTCTTCCAGTTGGTAGTTAATACTGGTCTGGCTCTTATCACGCAGTAATATCGACCATCATCTGCGAGAGTTATCCGTTGGACCATATACACTTAACTCTTAATACTAGGGGTTCTAAGCAGTCGCGCTTATTGTTGAGCATCTTGTGATCATGGCCGTGACATCACATCACCAACAACGCGTCTGTCTTCATCAATACCACCTCGGGCAGAGATCGCGCCGAGTCTAGCCAAATGCACCCTAGTTGAATATACCCTGTCGTGCCTGTCCAACATGCCCCGCCAATCCTTTTCAAGTCTCTACCCCTCCACCCCTCCAATGCTGTACCATACCAAGTCGCATTCGCAACATGCCAGTCATCCGAGATGCTGTGCAAAAGCTGCAACGACCTAGCAGATGGACGGAGTAAAGAAGCCGAGCGACATTCCGAACAGGCTCGCGGGCCATCGTCAAGCCGCGTCCTCGTCCACCACGCGACGTGGGCCTCATTCGAAGATGCCGTCGGTGCTGGCTGTCACCTATGTACCTCCATACATGAGGAACTGGTGGCAGAGCGTCTGATACCTGACAGTCCCGATACGGCGCGATTGTATGTGCAGGCTCACGCGCCTACAAGCATGCCGAGTGGCACCCTTGAGTTCTCGCCGTCGATGTAGGAAGCCTGTTCTCGAGATACGCAAGTCGATATGAAAGCCACTGACTGTTCATATCCTTGATAGAGCCTGTCGAACCGGAGCTAGCTTTTACCTGTTAAGGAACCAAGGTTGGAAACCATTTGAGTAGATACGTTGAAGCTCCGAGTGAGTCAGTAACATCGATCAGGCGACGAGCACGCGGAGTCTTTGCGCCTGGTAGAAGGTGACATAGCCCAGGAGGATAGGGTTCTCAGCACTACGAGAACTTGGCTTGGAGATTGCATTTTAAACCATGCAGACTATTGCGGGAAGGATACGAATGGGTTGGTTCCGACGAGGCTGCTTGACCTTGGGAGCCCAGGAAGTGATGAAGTGCGGCTGTCAACGTCTGTTCCCGCCTATGAGAAGTACGCCACTCTCAGTCATTGCTGGGGAAAGTCCCAGATCTTGACGCTGAGACGAGCCAATTTGGAATCCTTTCGGGCCGGTATCCGAGTCAAGACGCTGCCCAAGACCTTTCGAGATACCATTTCCATATTGAGGAAACTTGGACTGCGTTATCTCTGGATTGATTCCCTATGTAAGCCGCGTTCTGTGGGTCTGGTCAATGAACGGACCTGGGCGACTGACGGTCATGCGTAGGCATTATTCAAGATTCAGTTGACGACTGGCGAAAGGAGTCCATCACGATGGCTGAAGTCTATCGCAACGGCGTCATCAACATTGCCGCGACGGCTGCTTCTGGTGGAAATGATGGGCTTTATTTCGAACCTCACCCAATTCACTCCAGGCATCTTCGAATATCCTTCGCTCAGCCCATCGACAGCACTCCCCCTGAGGAAACAACCAACGGGGAAAGATCAAATGTTGTGGAAACTGGAGACTACTTCCTTTTGAATAGCAAAATCTGGCAGCGTGGCGTCGAGGAGGCTCCTTTGAACACGCGCGGCTGGGTTCTACAGGAGCGCCTCTTCTCCCCGCGAGTTGTTCACTTTTCACGCCACCAGCTATTTTGGCAATGCGGCATGGACTACCGAATAGGACAGTTTGCGTTCTCGAATGATCGTATAGGATCCTTTGGCAAGGCCTACACCAACCGTGATCCTCGCGCATTTTCTCAAGTCCTTTGGCGTCTGAAAGGCATGGCAAAGGAGGAGAAGGATCCGTTCATCCTCGAAGAGGCATACCTTCCTTGGGAAGAAGTCGTGACGACGTACACGGCGCAGCACTTGACTAAAGGCGAGGACAAGCTTATTGCAGTACAAGCGTTGGCGAAAGCTATGGAGGAGGCGGTAGACGATTGCTATGTCGCAGGATTATGGGAGAGCCGGCTGGTTGAGGATCTGCTGTGGGCTTGTTCGGCACCGGGTGAGAGGGCGACATACTCGCGTCAGATGACGTGGCGTGCTCCTACGTGGAGCTGGGCTTCGATTGACGGCGGGGCGGTCAAGAAGGCAACGTTGACTGGGAGATATGCCGGGCGGAAAGTGTTTGAAGGAGAGGCTCTTATCAAGAGTATTAAGCACTACGTGGAGGGGCATGACGGGGTGACGACGGGACAGCTCAAGAGTGCCCGTCTACAGCTCCAAGGTTGCCTTCTGAAGAGTGCCATATCCTGGAAAGGAGAAGCAGTGTTGAGCGACGGCCACGTCAAGGGCATCAGAATGAGATCCCTCGATCCTAGAATTCGCACCTTCATTGTTTGTCCAGACGAGTGGACCTGGGATGGGAATGGCAAACCCAACCATGAACTGTCAGCAGGTAGCATCCTGCTCCCGATAGGTACCCATCCCGCCTACAATGCTGCCGGAACGGACCCGGCCCCGTGTATTGAAGGTTTGATATTGCACGATGCTGGTCAAGAAGGAAGTCTATCGTTCTATCGCGCAGGCTACTTCAAGCTGGTCGCGGAAGGGACCATGATCAACGCTTGTTTGACAGGGGAAGAAGGAGCAATGTTTACGAGGCACGAGAGCGCGTCTGGCGATGGAGCTTGTACTTTGAACTTGTTCTGATTCGGGGACTGTGCCGCGTGGCTTATTGAAAGTATGTACAGGAAAGAAATGTGGCCGTGAATTGGTCACAAGAAGACACGGCGGTCTTCGAAAAATACCACTCCGATGATGAGGCTCACCAGCCTTTGAAAACGCAATGATGAACACATGTAACCTAGGCCGTAGCCTAACGCCAAACACCGCCCAATGCTACCCTCGAGTCAGGAAAGCAGGCGTTGGAACATCTATTCCAGTGCCCGCCTTTGGGGAGAAAGACAAAGAAGAAGACACAAGACCTAGAAGACTAGGCATAGTGTGCGAGGGGAGCATCCCTCTTGCCCATGCGGCGCATCATACCGCGAAGGGGACCGACGTTGGCGTCGACGAGCGTGTTGACCCAGACCTTATCCTTGGTCTCCTCGCTCTGACACTCAACGCTGGCGGCACCAAGAAGGAGAGGCTTCATGTTGCCGTAGATGGTCTCGTACTGGCCGGCGTTGGTGACGAAGCTCTCGTGGTAGATGCCAATGTGGTTGTACTGCTGCTTGATGCCGTTGTACCAATCCCAGCCCTTGCGGTGGATGGGGTCGTGGGCGAACTTGTTGAGGCCCTCGACGTCGCGGAAGTAGTAGATATTGAGCAGGGAGTTGTTGCGCGGGCCGTCGGCGCCGAGCCAGTTGGAGACGTGGTAGAGGCCGTATTCGGAAGCGCGCTGGGCGAGGTCCTTGTTCATCTCTCTGAAGTATTGGCCAATTTCGCGACCGCCAGGGCAGAGGAGGCCCATGGGATGGTTGAAGCGGACACCGAGGTGGAAGACGACGAGGGACTGGGAGGCGGCGACAGCGGGGATGGCGCCAGTGGAGGGATCGGGGAACTGAGCGCTGGTGCGACCACGGACGACGCCCTTCATGAAAGGGTTGGACTTCTCGGAGCGAGTATCGAGGATGGTCGAGACAATAGAGCTGAGACTCATGGCCAAAGCCGGAATGACGGCGTACTTGGCAGGAATGATGAAGAAGAGGAAGCACTGCATCAAGGCGCCGATTGAGAGGAGGGTCTGGAGGTTGAAGCCATCCTTGATGAGCAGCTGAAAATAAAAAGTCATTAGTATTTGCTTTAGTGCAACGTAACACTCGGGTGTGATAATGAAGAGGAACTCACAGGAAGATGGTTGTACGGCTTGGTCCACTGGGGAGACTCGGTCGGCTTGAAAATGCCGTGGAACCGCTCAGCGGTCTGGTACTCGGTAGCAGTGTCCATTGTAGGCATGGATATTTCGAGCGGTGGAATGTGTATTCAAAGGCGGTTCGTGAATACAAGTGCGATGAGAGAAAGAATTGGGGGATGAGCGTGAATATGAGTGACAATGGAGCGTGAGTTTGAAGATGAGGCGTAACGGTTGAGGGTGACGATGAGGTTGAAGCTGTTGTGGAACGGTGTGATTCGAACAAGGTTGAAGGGTTGAAGGAGGGAAAGAAGAGGCCGGTCCCTTGGATCAATATATTGTCAAAGAAAATAGAAGCCTGGAAAAAGGTCGTTCGTTAGCGCCTTTTGACTCCTTCCAATACAGCCGTTGACAAGCCCAGGTTGCACACCTGAGGCCACCTCAAGGTGAACGAGTGAGTGAGTGAGTGAGTGAGTGAGTGAATCACTTGGACCCTTGACAGAATATCGTGGTTTGGTGGGGAAGGAGGAATTGAAAGCTTCAGGCCCGAGTCCCGGCTACGTGGATCACCTGGATTTAGAGTGGAAAAAAGAAGCGAAAGCGCAGCGGCGCTAGATGATTAGATCGGGACAACAGGCGAGATGGGCACGCGTGTTTGGCGATGGCGGTCGATGAAGGGCCCCAGGTCGTAGACTAACATACGAGAACGGGTTAGCCTGGGAATCATGAGCGGAGCATCTTGAGTCCTGTTACATGGGGATAGGTACTCGTACCTGCAAGAGACACTCACTCGCTCTCTCTCACTTTCTCACACTGAGGACGATACTACCTAGAGTACTGGGTACGAATAAAGCCACACGGAACGGAAGCTAGAGTACGCCAAGCGAAGAGGAGGAACAACCTTGTCACCGATGAGCCGGGACAATTGACGGCTTTGGGGGAGCAGTTTGGGAGGGTCTGACAACCTTAGTGCGAGATGACGAATGCCGCTCTTCGCACTCGCTAACACGGACAAACTCCCAGGCCCAACGGCGGTCTAGCGGACAACCGCCGACGTGGGCCAGGGACGCGACCGAGTGGGATGATGGGATGATGGGATGGAATGGGATTTTGCCATGAAGGCGAATTTCACATGAGCCACATGCGTCAACGCAAAACGCTCCCGGCCCATTGCCCCAAGACAAGGCCCCAAACGCCACCACCTGTTCATGCCGAAGCTGATACGGATGCGGTTTGCGCTTGGGGTCTTGGTGGTCTTGACGGATTCGCGCGATTGTAGGCGCATTTGCAAACCGCCGTCTTGTCTTGGGCCGCTGACCCGCACGTGGCTCCGTCACGTATCCTTGCTGTATTACCAGGAATCTACCGTTGTTCTGATGCAGGTTGCTGCCAGCATGACTTTCTGCATGTCAAACAGCCAAATAACAATTAGACGATTCAGCAAATATTCTTGCACAATATCGGAGCACCTGCCAATTTCATCTTCCTTGCAAAGCCTTGCCATATTGAAGCAATCAGTTTTTGGCTGTAAAGACATAGAGATAGCGTGCAAAGACTGCAATAATTCTAGATAGGATAGGTCATTCTAGGATCGTGGGTATGTGTTCTGGAGACATTTTGTATTTGACAAAATGACGCAAATTGGCCCAATGTCTGCTATTGTTTATATGAGATAAACATGACTCTAGTACGATAGTTTACCCATAGTACTCTACCTTGTACTCAACTAGTATGGACGTAATGTAAATAAAGCTTTCCCGACAAAGCGGATACGCAGCATCCGCACTTACCGTTGGGAAAACATTATAGTCGGTATATGAACCATATAGTAATTCTGATAGATGTCACAACCGGTCTTGGCCACAACCATTTTGTTCCATAGATCGCAGCCGAGTTCTGCTCAGCGGAATCTTTCCGTCGTTACAACTGACGCCACAATGCTTGGTATTTGATGATACCCCTGATGCTACGATTCTCGAGTCCTAAATTCCCAGCCTCGTTCATGCAGCTTCCCGTGCCGAGGAACTCTAGTTTGGTCCATTGAACACTATGGCCAATCATCGAGTTCTCAAGGGTACCGATAGCCACCACTCAAAGTCGAGATGTCGGGAAGTCAGGTTCGCCTAGCCAGCCAGAGCCCCAGAGCGTGATTGTTCCGCTAGGGCAGCTCTGTGCGACACGAAGCGGGTTGTTACTTGAATGCATGGATCAACTTCCTCAGAGAGGCCTTTCGCGTGCTACGTCGCCTTCTGTCTTGCCTCTCCCGGATGCATGTGATCTCTTAGTCCGACTTTCGGGCAGTTTGATCTAGGCTGCACGATGCTGAGAGAAAAGGATATACCTAGACCCGGATCGTATAGTGCATGAAGAAATCACCATAGCGTACTCACAGTTGATATCAATACAACGAAATCAAACGAATGCACAAACGAGTGTCATATTCCTACAAATTTCATTCCATCAAAAAATTCCACAAGCATCAAATCCAAAATTGTAGCCACAGCCCCCAACCGGCGGCTGGTTCTCGGTGTGGCACAGGGTATCATGAAGCCCCCCAACTGACAGACTCCAGGACGCCGCGCTTCCGAGTAGCTAATTAGACAGAAAATCAAAAAAACAGGGGGGTTAAGAAGGGAAAATGGGGTGAGCAGTCCCATCCGCCCCGTCACATTCCCAGCACTGAGGCCACAGATTACCTCAATCAAGCCGATTCATCATCGCCCTTGGTGGCATTGGCGATTTTGATCTGCTCCACGTCCTCTGCCTGGCCCTCGAGGACCTGCATGGCTCGCTTCTCGCGGTTGTGCAAGACCATGATGCCCATCACCAAGCCGGCCTGGAGGATGTTGTTGGCCATGACCCAGAACCAACCGAACTTGAATCTGGGGGCTATTTCTTCTGTCAGCAGTGGTCCTATCAATGACTCAATGGGAAACGATTTTCTTACCTAGAGGGGTAGGGAATGTCACAATGTTCAAGCCTGCGAGAAGAGCCTGGCCGACTGCGTTCATGGAGGCGACGACGACAGCACGCTCTTCAGCAGATCGGAACGTGACCTCGGAAGCCCAGGACATGAATAGCGGGTTGAGCGCACCGCCGAGTCCGGCAACATAAAAGGCAAAGAACTTGAGTCCCTCGGGGATATTCCACACGGCCATGCAGATCGAACCGACAGTCATCCAGCCGCAGATCCAGATGGAAGGCAGCCAGCGCTTACCCGTCGCATCAGCCCAGTAGCATCCAACCAACGCCGCCACAATGGAAATGGCAGACTGTCCGGTGGGAAGGTTGTTAATCTGGCTGATGGAGTAACGATCGTTGTTCGCCTTGAGATACAGATTGAAAGGCTGTCCGTTGGTGATCATGGCCTGGTTGAAGACAAAGTACAAGCCGACAAAGGCGTACCAGTGCCAGCCCTTGAAGACATCGGTGATGGCCTTGCGGTCGAACTTGACCTTGGGGGCCTCGGATCCGCCCTCGGAGACGCGGCGGCGAGCAAGGGCGATTTGGTCGGATGTCAGGAGCCACGAGGGGTTCTTGGAATCGGGTCGAGCGGGGAATACGACGGCGCCGAGGATGGCGACGGGGAGGGTGATGCAGCCGCAGACGATGAAGAGCCAGCGCCATCCCTCGAGGCCATTGACGCCGTTGAGGTTGGTGTAGCAGGCGGTCTGGAAGTAGCCGGCAAACATCTGATGGTATCGTGTTAGTCTTGCAGTGTTGGAAGTCTGAAACAGAGGTGCACTCACAGTTCCTAGAGGACCCGCAACGTAGAACAAACTCAGCCGGCGTGAGATCTCGGTGCTCTTGTACCAACATCCGATACAGTAGATGACGCCAGGATAGGCCACACACTCGAACACACCACTGAAGAATCGGATGATATAAACATGCTTGATATCTTTGACGAAAGCCGTGAGAAGAGTCAGGATGCCCCAGAGGATCTCGAACGCCGGGATAAGAATGTTGGGCCTGTGCAGGTGTCCGTGTTAGTCTTTGTGCTCAATTTCGAACGTATAGATTCTAAAATGTTTTTCTAGGACCATTAGACTTACCGAACACGAGTGAGAATGATGTTGGAGGGGATCATGGCAGCGCAGTATCCTGCTTGGAAAACACCAGTGGTGTATTGCAAGTCATTGCCTTGCATGCCAACATCCTCTTTCATTCCACTGACGTAGGCATTTTGGAAGGCTTGGAGGTCGAGAAACTATTGACAAAGTCAGTCAACATTACACGGCTCTATCAAAGTCGCAACTTTGACCCACCTTTGTGAAGAAAGTGAGGCAACCAAAAGTCAAGATCATGAAATCCTAGCACTTGTTAGAAGCTGCGTGGTCGCTCCGGATTCAGACCCAGTAGACCTACAAGCTTGCGCAACAACACCTTCTCTTCCTTGGAGGTATTACGCTCGTACCAGCGCCACTTGTCCAGCCAACTGGCATTGGTAACTGGCTCCTCACGGACGCTTGTAGCTACGGTGTCGCCCGCCATGGTGTAGTTCGTCGGTCTCCGAGGCAATTCGCACGAAAGAAACTCAGGCTCAGCAACACGTAAACCGTACAACCAACCGAAATTGGTCACTGAAAGTGTTGTGCAGCTTTGTCGAGGTGGAGCTGACGAACCGAACGGCGTCAGAGGGCAACGGGGAATTGATGAGAGGCGGAGCAGATGAGTAGGGGGCTGCTGCAGTCGGAACAAGCAGAGGCGGACGAGGAGTAGTGGCGTGATCGCGTATTATACTCAATGCATCCGTCTATCTCTCTCCTCATGCTCCTCACGAAGGGCACGTCTCGGCTATTCACAACCGGATTTGGGAGTTGTTGGTTGACGTTGAGAGGCGTGGCGCCCTTCATTGCCCCCCGGGCGTAGGGACGTGGTGTTGCAACGCGCGCCAGAGATAGGCATCACCGGACAACCCAAGCGAGTCGTGAAAGTATGTCCCAAGGAGTTGACAGGGCATGCTCCACCTTCGTCCACACAAGGGGGATGGTTGCAGAGAGACTAGAGAGAGACTAATTACCATGTCAAGTAATCAAGCTGGGAGATAAGGAGGGGGATAAGCGTTGGTGTGGTGCAAGGATCAGACGAAGCTAAATGGTGGAGCTCCTCATAGTTGTTAAGCCATGCGGCCATGCCCGTATCTTTCAAGTCTGAATCCCTTCAGACGCCCTGACTATTCCGCTCGCCTCCACCTCTCCTGTGATCCACAGCATTCGCGGGGTACGGCATACGACGGCCGGAGATCTCGCCGCGGCCCCTGCTGCGTCGGGTGTCATGATGTTGGGGGTGTTGCTAACACGAACGAGGCGATTTGTCTCGAGTCAATTCGGCTCTTGCTGAGTGGTCTCGTTAGGGTGGGTGTTAGTGTGGAGCATTGTCCTCAGCTGTCATAAACACCACACCAGTCCACGTCCGAAGGCCGAAGTGCATCAGCACCACTCTGATAGAGAAACTGGAGGAAGATGTTTTGGAAGGAGGAGCTGGAGCCAAGACTTGGATATAGCTGTCGAAAGATGATCATCATGTTGAACAGACAAAACCACCGAGTCAGTAGAATGAAGAAAAACGTCCTTGCTTCTCTGAAATTTTGGCTGCGAGATGTCGCATTGTGATAATTGAATTAAATAATACACACCATTCATATCCAAGCACACCACTTCGAGATATGACAGCAGAGTTCGATTGTAATATTCCAAGCTTCACTCAGTGCTCCCCGACCAAAGAAGACCTCGATTATGTTGACCTTGTCAACCTCGATCTCTCAAAGTTTGACGACATCAACCACCGCCATCAACTAGCTGCGAGTCTCTTGAAAGGAGTCACCCGCCACGGCTTCCTAACTATCACCAACCATGGCATTCCGGAAAGCCTCTACTACTCCCAAGTCGATCTAGCCCATGCCCTGCTTACCCTTCTACCAGAGGAGAAGTGGCCCTTCGAAACGACACCCGAACAAGAAAAGAAGGGACTAAACATTGGGTTTAAGCCTTTGGGAAGCCAGAAACATAAGCAAGGTTTTCACAAGACCCTGGATCATTACGACTTCCCGGCAACTACAAATTCCCGTCACGATGAGCACCCTATACTTCTGCAGTCGCACCTTACTCACGTCAAGGAGCTGATAAGTTACCTTCGTCATGATCTGCTGCCCAAAGTTTTGGCACTCGTAGCGATAGTACTCGAGGTGCCAGAAGAACAACTTCTCTCCACACACGCCTCCAGCACACAACCATGCTCAGAGTACCTACGATATCTTCTGTATCATCCACGCCCTGCAGAAAGTGGGACGCAATACCGAGACTTATGGCTGGGAGGTCACACTGATCTGGGCTCCTTCACATTCCTCTTTTCTCAACCAGTCTCGTCATTGCAGATACGGCTACCATCCGGTGATTGGAAGTGGGTGCGCTACGTCCCTGGGGCCCTCATCGTTAATGTCGGTGAGGCCTTGGAGCTTCTGACAGGTGGACTCTTCCGAGCCACCGTACATAGAGTTATCAAGCCGCCGTCAGATCAGGAAAGAGCGAAAAGACTGGGCATCATCTACTTTGCCAGGCCGAGGGACGACCAACAACTTTACCCCCTCGACAGCCCCCTGCTTCGAAGGCTGGGAATTCTTGAGCCCCTAGACGAGAAGACTTTCACAATGTCACAATATTTACATGCAAGGAAGCATGGATATAAGAGATTAGACTTTGACCATGCGCGGTCAAGGTTGGAGAGACTGGGGGCTGAGGCTGATGGAGATTTGCCGCATGGAGAGCATGCACTGCCGCCCCTTCATGGTCTAGAGGTTACAACCTGAATAAGAAGACTTTCTGTTGTACGAAACTTACTTTATTCGCTACATGAGATTTTTTCCATGACCGAGAAAGTGAGGCTAATCGACACCATCCTCGGGCCCCATCAACCCCCTCCACAATGATCCACCACTACCCTAGTCGCTTCATGAACCCGCACCCAGCTCCAGCATCCCAATCCACTTGAAGCATCACCAGCTTCGACCGCGTCGATGGTTTAGTGGTAAAATTCTCCGTTGCCATCAAGCAGCGTCGGGGAGCCGGGGGTTCGATTCCCCCTCGACGCAGTTCTTTTGCTGTGTGGCGCTTGTATCGCTCAATTTTTGCATGGGAAGAAGTTGGCAGTCAATTTCTGGTATGAAGCAGCGGACAGGACCACTATTTCATATCTCGAGTTGTCTTGGTATCATTGGGGCGTGTAATTGCATCTACTTCTTTGCATCTCTTTCTTTGCAGGCGTCAGAGTAAAAGTCGAGACCAGCCTCCAGACGCACCGCACCATACATAGAACTGCTATCCAACGGCCTCACTGCTTCAAACTCTCTAGCCTTTTCCATATGCCTCAGTGCAGCCTCACTAGTTTCCAGCTTTGTCCCCGCATCCTTGGCACACGTGAGTGCATGCCTCAAATCTTTCATCGCCAGCGCCACATCGAACCCAGCCTTGCCATCAGGCGGCGGTGCGTAGGAGCCACTGGTAATGCGCTTGCTATAGCTCTCGAGAACGGGGCCGAACATGTCCGAGATCATGTTCTCCAGTACCGGTGAGCCGAGGCCGGTCTTCTCGGCAAAGACGTGGGCTTCGGAGAGGACCTCCATGAAGGAGACGACTACGATGTTTCCGGCAATCTTGAGCAAGCTTGACTTGGTGACGTCTGTGCCCATGGGGATGACGGAGCGGCCCATGACGCCGTTGAGGTATAGGGAGATAGCTGAGGTCGCGGATTCGGGTCCGGCCGTGACGAAGATGAGTTTGCCGGCGGCGGCCATTGCTGAGGCTCCGAAGACGGGGGCTATCCAGCGTTAGATTAAAATATTCGTCTGAACAACGACCGTAAGTGAACTTACCAGCAACAAAATGGCCCCCGGCCTCGATGATTTGTTTGGAAACGGCGGCGGAAGTATCGGGGTGGACGGTTGAGCAGTCGACGTAGATCTTGTTCCTGATATCTCCAGACTTGATGATCTCATTCGTAGTCTCTTGGAGAACGGCATCGTTGCTCACCTTGATGGAAACGTCAGAACAACTCACCGTATAGCCGTATGGGGTGTTTTTGGGGAAAGATTTCACTTACACAAGAGAAGATAATCTCAGACTTCTTGGCCACCTCCGAAACAGTCTCTGCAGGAACGGCGCCCAACTCCTTGAGGGAATCGCCGCGTGATAATGTCCGGTTGGTGTAGATCAAGTTCGGTGCTCCAGATGAAGAGAGAAACTTTTGCAGGTTAGTGGACATGCCGATGCCCATTGAGCCAAGCCCAACCCATCCCACTTGTCTTTGCGCCATTACGAAGGGTTGAGTGATTGCTGCAAGTCGCGCGATGCTCTCCGACTCTGTGTGAAACCGGAAATATCCTCGCAAACACCTCGCGCGACTCTTCGTGGCCATTGCAGACGGTTTGTGTTGATAAACACTTGGACAATTCGCCGATAGCGGCGGCCGAGGCCCGAAGCACCGGACGACACGTCCGAAGTGACAGGCCGGCTGGGGTCCCGGTCCCTGCAGATCTCGTAGACGGCTTTTTGTGGGTGCGATGACCTAGCACCATGCTACCCCAAGGTGTGCTCCACGTGGAGAAGGGGTCTTTCGTTTTGAGCTCCACGTCGTGATGGCTGTGATAGACGCAGATATCGTGGAGTTGAGAACGCGGTATGAGTCGCAGCTTGCGTGATAAACAATGGAGATGGACTCGGTCAACTTGCCGCGTTAGCAAGCTGTTGGGTTTATTAACCAGACGCCGAGCTGGAATTTGCTTGTTCAACACTGTTGCTGTCGTCATTCCCAACTCTGTCTCGCATCATTATTCTTGCGTCACGAATAGTGCAAAAGCTCAATCTTGCAACATGTCTTTCGGAAAGCTTTACTGGTATCCCAAGGCGCCTCGCGCCACGCAATGTCTCTACATCGCAGAGTACAACAAGTGAGTTCTTTGCGCAATACTGACCTGACTTACTTTTGCGCGGATGCTAACCATGGAGTCACTGCTAGGCTCGATATCGAGTTCGTCGAGGCATGGCCGATCAAGGTGGACGCTAGCAAGGGCGGCGTTGGCGAAGATTACCTCTCAAAGTTCCCTCCAGGCAAGGTGCCAGCCCTTGAGCGCCCCAACGGCTTCACATTATTCGAGTGCATTCCTGTTTCCATCTACCGTGAGCATACGATACTGCCCTGGTGCTTTTGGTGGGTACTAGCTGACAGTGTGTGCCAGTCGCGAAGCAGGACCCCAAGACCAAGCTGCTCGGCTCCACCCTCGAGGAGGAGGCCACGATCCTGAAGTGGGCCTCATTTGCAAACAGCGAGCTTCTGCCCCCCATCATGGCGTGGATTAACCCGGTTATCGGCAAGGCATCTTCATCACCAGAGATTCTTGCGGCGGCCGAGAAGAACAGCGAGGGCATGGTCAGCGTGGTGGAGAAGGCGTTGACGGGCAAGAAGTTCCTCGTTGGCGACGAGCTCACGATAGCCGATCTGTTCATGATTGCTGCTATTGCTAGAGGATACCAGTTTGTAAGTGGCCCTCCCTCGGCTCACATAGGAGAGCTCCCCGGAAAACCACAGTCCTAGATCCGATCTCGGAGAGTGTCACTGCGAATGCTAACAACGAGTTCGCAGGTTTTTGCCAAGGAGTGGACGGAAAAACACCCCGCCATCCACGCGTGGTACTGGCGCATCAAGAGCGATGACATCTGGAAGAAGATTGATGGCGAGCCGTACGTGCTGGACGTGCCCGGAGGCAAGCCGATCTGAAGGTGGGCAAAACGACGCAGACATGACAAACTGTAGCGAGTCAGTCTCAGCAATCAATGCGATATCCGAGGGGCAGCGAGGGGCAGAGGAAGATAGAGAGACGCGTCTGAAGGGGGCCCGGAGCTGATGAAGCGGGGAGTTCTCCGCTTCCGAGAAATAGCGGGGCCGGTTATCGATGCCCGAATCGCCAATTGAGGTGATCTGATTGGCTGCATGGGGGCCGGATAGAAGCGATTTTACCTTAGCTAATCAGATTGTCCACATGAGTGAGGTGCCTTATCTGTCACGTGGGTGGACAAGCTTAGCCCAATTGAGAAATCTGTATCTTATCTGCTTATCCGTCGCCGCCGGCGTCCACTCGGTACGTACCTCCGAGGGGTCCTCGTCCACTTTCATTCCGTGAAGTTCCCCTCGGTGCCGTCCTCCTCCCCCAGACTTTGGCAAGAATCCATGCCGATGTCCACGTTCGCATTCTTCAACAAACAAGCACGATATTCTCTTCTTTTCTATAATGGATGAAAGTCTTCCTCGTCCTTTCAAGTGCGCCACATGCAAGAAGGGGTTTACCCGTCAGGTATGCAAATCCTCTGGCATCGTGCTCTGCTGTTAGTCGTCACTAACACGACAGCTCCATCGTATAGGAGAACCTCAAGCGCCATGTAAATACACGTGAGCCAGCCCATCTTTGTCGAAGGTTTAGCATGAAAAGCTGACATCCGTCAAGATCACAGAGGAAGGAATGCGCCATGTTTCCCATGCAATCAGTGCAGCGCACGATTCGCGCGAAGGTACGGCCCAGCCATCGCGATCCCGCTCAGATTCATCACCCAGCGTGTCCGGTACTTTGGTAGTATTCCAGATCAATTTTGCTGACAACAATGACAGCGATCTCAGGAAACGACACGTAGAGAATTGCCATGTCTCCTCCCAAGCTTCACCACCAAAGACCGCTCCTCCTCCAGCCATTAATACACCACATATCGATTCACCCAGCACGACAGCTTGGATGGACGTCTTATTGACACACCCGCCACCAGCTCAGACTGAAGTAGAAGAGCCAATGCAGCAGCATAACCAGATCTATGAGCCTCCATCTTCAGCGTAAGTTTGTGGGCACCTGAAGCTTCGCCTGGCACTAACACTATGCCGACAGAATATCCAGCGAGATTCGATGCGTTGAGGCTTTCTTTGATGGATTCCACCGAAACTTTCCCATTCTACACGAGGGATCATTCCATATCGTATCGACACAAGTCCCTCTGTTGAACGTAATCACTGCTATTGGAAGCCTCTACTGCGAGTCTCCGTTCGACGAGGCTGCTCGGAAGGCCGTGTTCGACTCTACTCTATCTGCACTACAACAATATGTCAGTATCCTAGACTGTTCTTACCCTCTGAACTGGGCTGACACAATGCACAGGTTGAGCAGAACCGATCACGATACCAAGAAATATGGGTTCTTCAAACCTTTCTCCTCCTTGAATTCCTCGGTATCTACGGCGGCAACGACACGAATTTCCTCAAAGCTCAGCGCATCCACCGGGACCTAATTGACGCGATACGGCTTCTCCAGATGTCCCAAGACAGCTCCCTTGAGTCTCTATCCACCAACTCTGGCGAAGACAGTGGATATGGCGAGGAGGGCGATGAAGACGATATCAACGAACCAGTCAGCGCCGAAGCGCTTAGTGAGCAATGGCAGGACTTCATCAAAAAAGAGTCAAAGAAACGATGTGTCTACATGCTCTACCTTCTCGATTCGCAACTCGCCATCCTCTGCAACCTCAGACCCATGCTCTCCTCGCTCGAGATCAAGTACGACCTGCCCTGCTGCGAGGACATCTGGCTCGCCCGCTCCGACAGGGATTGGTACGAGCGCCGCCGCCAAAGATTCAAGTCCTTTGATGAGCCCGACGACAATGCCTATTCCCACGAGACGCCCCCCTCGCAAGGCTTCTTCTACGAAGCTTCGCAGACGCTTCTGCACTCAGGACGCGGGGACGACAAGGACAATGGTGGAGGGAAACGGCAGCCCAAGAAACTCAGGCTTCTCTGGGCTTCGCCTTTTGCCGCCGTCATCCTTGTCACCCAGCTCCAGATGATGGCCCGCGAGCTCACGCACGCTAGTTGTCTGCTTGAACGGCCCAAGGCACAGCGCCGAGCGCTATCCATCTTGACGGACAAGCAGCACGCGCAAATATCGCAGGCCCTGAAAGGTATCGCGGAATTGGTACCGCGTAACCAGAAGCCCGTGTTCAGCTTCTTTGACTTTGGGCGCATGGACGTCCTTCCAGACGGTTCGGATCAGACGCCGCTGTGGCACACGTTCTGGATACTCTGGTACTACACCTCCATCACTCTATCACACCCGGACTCGCTATTGGTGAGCGGCGTTGTCGAGTCTAATCTTCCTCTGGCTATAGCTAGTAAGTGTCACTTCTGCTGTCATTCCCATGATGTGTAACTAACTTTGGGTAGCTGCTGGTCACCTTGCAACACCACGCTCCAAGGACAAGCGAGACATTTACGAAGACAGGGATGTTTTCAGAATAGTAGGAAAGACCGTACCCATTCTTCCTCCTGCGCTTTTACTGACGATGCTTCCCCTCGCAGCTCAACGATCTCGAAATGGCCCTCGATCTATTAAACCCGATTAAGTCGACCGCACCGCCTTCTCTCGAAAACCCCTTCATCACACTGCTCGGCTTCAAGATCTGCCTCGTAGGCTGGCGCCTCGTACGTCTCACAATGCCTGCGGCTCAGCGCAGTAGTGTGAGCGGTATGAGTGGGCCTGGAGGGATGGGTATGGGACTGGGCATGGGAATGGGGAACAATGCCAACAGCCGCTCCAACCCCAGTCGCTTTGTTCTGGATGCCATCATGGCCTGTGTCGGGAATGCTGGAGACGATGACGTCGAAAATGCGGCGGCTACGCTGGCCATGTTGGATGATAGGCCTGTTGACCTTGCACGGAGTGAGGTGCGGTTCCTGGAATGGATCGTTGCCAACTTTAACAAGCGTACGACTTGGCCGGTTGGGAAGTGGGTGTCTACGGTTATGGAGGAGAGCCTGTCCAAAGCGAAGGAGGCGTATGCAGCGCCGCTTAGTGAATGAGATAATGACTTTGATGCCGTCGACGCTTAATGTAGCAGAAACCGAAAGAATCTCGGCTCCGACCTGTTTTGCTTGTTCATTTTCTATCCTCGGCATCGAGTAAGTTATTGAGTGATGACTTTAACTTCACATACCATCTGACCTGACTAAAGCAGGCGTACCTTTTCCGTGGGAGTATCAGACTGCGTTAGTTTTAGCGCAGAGAGGCTCATTGACAGTCATACGAGGAGTTGTGCTTACTTCCACTCATCTATTGAGGTTTGGATCACGTTCAACTGGCCACTGTGCTTAGAGAAGTAGCCTGACCGTGGAAATTCCACACTTCAAGTTACAGCCCACGATCCGCGTACCCCCGCGCAACATCATTTGAGAACTTTATCACGCCAAACACCAGAGTTTAACAGAAGACTTTGTTTTAACTCAGCGCGATGATATGCGCCAACCCAGGTACAAATGAAACTCGAGACAGTATACATCCCATCCCCTCACAACAACGCCCTACATTCCCCTTCAAGCAGTGCCAGTCTTGACAGTAGGCAAGCTATACTGCAGACGCGGCACATTATCAAACTTTCCGAGCGACTTGTGGCCCTCGGGGTCGGTGTACTCGCCATCAAAGGGGTCCTGGTGAACACCCTCCTCACGCGGGCGGTCAATGTCAAAGTCGTAGCGCTTCCACCCGTGCTTTCTCGCGTCGAGGTAGTCCGCCATGCAGAAAACGCGCTCGTCGATGGGCTTGTCGGTGCCCATGCGCTGAAGGAGGGGCGAGTCCTCAATGGGGACGAGCTCGCGCTCGTCGGCGGGGCGGGAGAAGTAGATTACGCCGATGCGGCGGAGGTGGCGCTGGTCCATGGGCGGCTCTGTTTTGCTTGTGTTAGCTTTGGAATATTGCATAATGTGTTTGTGGAGTGGGCTTACGGATGACTCTGTGGATCGTAGCCTTGAAGAGGCCGCCGGTGAGGCGCTCGAGGGCCTCGCCAAAGTTGACAACGATTCCGTGCGGAACGTGACGGACGTGACGGTATCTGCCAGTCTCGTGGCAAAGAACTTGCAGTGCTGCGACGGGTTGGGAGAAAAGGAATGTCCAAGTGCCCCTAGACATGGTATTAGGGATGTTTCCCATCAGATGGGTTGGTAATGGGCACAGCTTACCAATCGGTGTGTCCAGCAAGGAAGATATCACGGTATTTTTCACTCTCCTCCTTTGACCGAGGTTCGCACATCATATATCTTAGGTATTCCGTCTTGGATCCACCAGGGGCGTGTGTGGAAAGGACCTTCTCCTCGGGAACTTCAAGAACCATGGAGACAAGCTTGAGCAGCTTGACCAAGATGTTGGTTCGAATGTAGCTCATGACCTCGTACGTCTCATCCATAAACGGACGGATGATCTCGGGGTGGGGGCGGTCCTTGCTGGTGACGGGTCAGCACATGTACACAGTCTAGCTTCTCGACGTGCAGGATATCACTTACGGATCATGGACAAGCATGTTGTAGTGGTCCAGGGCCTTGGGGAAGCCACCCTTGTGACCAAGGGGTCCTGCAGGCTTGTATCCGGCATACAGTCCACGAGCATCCTCTTCAGGAGTTACTATAATCGAGATTAGCATGGTTCTTTGGCGACGGTGGTGGTGGAGGAGTGTGTACCTTCGTAGGGGGCCTTCTCTTCAGGCTTGAGCGTCATGGCCGCATTAGCGATGCGCATTTGGCGCTCATAGGTCTCATTAGAGATGCCGTGGTTTGTTAGGTAAAGGAAGCCATAGCCGGTAGCGGCCTCGTAGAGGTCTTTGGCGAGCTGTTGACGGCCCTCGGGGGTATCGAATTTTGAAAGATCAATGTTGACAAGGTCAACGTAGTCGACTATGCCGGTGCAGGTCAGCTCATACTCTTACATGTCTCAGTGGAATGGAGAAGTCGCCGCAACTCACGGTCCTCTTGCGTCGGAGGGGGCGGGCTGTACGGCGGGAGTTGGTTGATGTCGGCGACCATGTTGGGCAACGATAAGAGGGTATCAAGATTATGCAAAGTGTTGGGTGAAATGAGATCGATTAAATGCTGTTGGATCTTGATGCTTTTGTCTGCTGGATGTTGTTCTTGTTGGAGTGTACTTGGACTAAACTCAGTTGAACTTGAGGATATTATATGAACCCAACTCTTGCCTCTGTCTGGTAGAACAAGCAAACATTGGCAAAGATGTTGACAGTAAGATACGTTCTGAACGAGCTGGGAGGACGTGGAACGATGCTCCGCGGGACGCCCTCCACAGACACCACCCGCCATGTCCTCAAACTTGATGCTCAACCAGACGTGGAGCTTGTGGCGGCATTAACAATCCTAGGTGACGGGTCACGTCAACCAAGACAAAATCAAGAGGAGCTGCCCCAGAGATTGTCGATCACTTGCAGTAGCTCCGTCCGCATCGCTCGCGGTTTACGAGGCAGTGGAGGAAGTGGACGTGGAGCTCCTCCCACGTAGCGCGGGGAAGAGGAGCTCCACGCAGGGATTCAACGTGGCGTCGGAATAGTGCTGCATCACACGACTCAGTCAAGAGAGGCAACTGGTAAACTGTCATGCAACATATTCATTGCCTCGGATGGATTTCGTGGCCCGGGATTTGTCGTTGACTTCCTGGAGTAGACTCAAGGTAACATAAGGAACTCTCAGTATATCGACTGATCCCATGGAAATGCGGCGGGCATGGAGAACAGCCCTTCGACCGACTCAATCCAGTCCAATGGCTGGAGACCAATCTCGTCAAAGGATGGCAGATGACCTGTGTCATCGTGGTTCTCATCATTACCATCGACTTGATTGAAGTCATTCAGATTACCAACCTCATCGGATTGCACTCTTTCCTCAGAGCCCCGGCTTCTGGTTGTATCTCCTCTCGCTCCTCCTTTATGGAACCATAAGCCATTTAGCAGTTTTGCGTACTTGGATGCAATGTGATCGGTATCTGTCGCTGCAATTTCTAGGACGCCTATAAATCGCCGCACCAGGCTGGCAGTCTGGGCGTGCTTCCCAGACGAGATCGCGCCGGCGGCATGGGCTTTGTAGAGAAACACGGCTGAGTGGATCTCATATCTGATATCACAAGTTAATTTCGACCTTGGAGCTGGAGGCTGGCGATTCCGCACTCACAGGTAAAACCGAGCTGGCATATATCGCAGGTGTCTCTCGGGACCAATGTCTTCAATTGCAATCCTTAGCAGTGCCTCTGCAGCATCAACAGCCTCGTAAACCATTCGTGCATCCGGGCTTGCCATGGCAGAGTGGGGGAAACACGAGACTCTCGCCACGTCCGTTCCAGACAACGACGCTCTGTACAGGACAGCTTGGAAAGCAAAGGCGTTCACGTAGAGACGTAGATACTTTTCCATCATTCTTAAGCAGCACTTGAGGTGGGAGGGAGCCGTCAATGGAGTCCATACCAAATCCCACGCAACGATAGCGCGACTGGCATCATCAATGTACTTGGTGTAGTCCCCACGGACCATGAGTTCAGCAGTTCTTTGCTTGGAAGCAAATAGGATGTCGTGGGCGTTGCCGAAGAGAGTAGTGAGCTCAACCTGCGCTTGAAGCAGGGACGCAAAATCGTCTCCGGATGCATATTGAGGCTGAAGGGAGGGGAAGTCCTCCGCGGTAAACCGAGCTGACAACGCAGGGCCACGGGACCAGAAAGCCTGGCCCATGCGGATAGATATCTGCCGGTCGGATAGGTAGGTAACTGAACCAAAGCTTGTAAGCAGAGCGTGTCTGGACTCGCGAGGTGAGTACTTACACGTCCAGGCAAGACGCCTTCTAAGCATCGCAGGGTCAGCCTCTTTGTCTGCCCGAAAGGAGCTCTCTTCCAATCGTAGCAGATACGCAAGTCGAACGCCCAAGCCGACTATGGACCAAGCAGCCCCTTCGCCTCCATCATCATTCTGTCCGAGGGTGAGGGGTGTCCACTCTCCCAGCAGTAACAGACCCTCAACGCAGCCGACGCTTCGGATCGTGGACATTCCTAGCACAACATCGAGTATCAGGTGTCGCATATGGGCCCATATTGATTGGTGTAGCTCTGCCAAATCTGATCGATCCCGCGAAGCCACTACGAGGGCCGCCGTGAGAAGAAATGACTCGTGTTTTATCGTCTCGTGAAGGTATTGCGGGAGGAGTACGTTGGCTGGCACTATCGGGAAGTAGGGATGGTAATTGATTGCATAGCTATGCATGTCAGCGATGTTCGTTCGAGACAAGCAAGTTCAACTCACTGTTGTAGAAGATGGTGGAGAAGAGGAGCATCCAAAGCGCCATTCTTGACGGGTGGGTACTCCCCAATGTCTCGCTCGATAGTTGCTGGATTTACCGGAGAGCCGAATGGCAACAACGGATCTTGACGAGTCTGTTGAACTGGTGAGAGTATCGAGCCTAGAGCTGAAGATGGGTTGCCGGGAGTCGAGTCGGCGGGGTTGTCCAAGGGAGGCCCGTCACCATCTTCGTCCTCGGCTGCTCGGGCGAGTATGAGTAGCGCATCCGAGGGGTTCTGAAGGGATCGATGCAATGGCTCTTCCCGGACTCTCGGAGTTTCTGCCACGGACTCTGGAGCAGCGAAGGATGTCGTTGGTGTTGTTGAGATTGCCGGATGAACATCGCTGTCTCGTCGTTGTCTTTTGCTGCCCCGGTACTGTGAGAAGTCACCCCCGCGCCGAGAGCCAGCGAGAGAACATTCGGCTCCCTCACGGACGCATTTCGCGCATGGCGGCTTCCCGCTCTCTCCAATACTATTCCTTGTTTCTTATTAGCCCAAGGGAAGTGAAGAATGAGAACAATGTCGGGCTTAGACAAGGTTCTAGGGAACGACGCCCTCTCGGGATGGCTCAAGCGGAACGCGTTGAAACTGCTGCAAGGAAAGTGACCCACAAGTCGCACCGCGTCTTCCGAGCGCGGCATCTCACACATGCTCGGTATTGTCTGACTCCGGTAGCTTTCGTCATGGCTTAGGTCCCGTCCGGGGAAGAGACGGGGTGGCAGATGTGAGATCCTGGGGTTGCTCGTACGAGGACTGCGGGGGCTCAGAGACGGTTTTAGACGGCCGATGACCGGCTATAGACGACTATGGATGGCGGGGTCACAAAGTGGCCCGCGGGGTACGGCAATAGACGGCGACGGTCCTATACCACCACCATTTCAATGTCACTCTTAGTTACTTGCAGACGCGTGAGGGGTCGACGGGAATAGCCAGAGTCAGAACTGAAGATGAGTGGCAATCATGAGCCGGTGCTCCGATTGGGCTGCCGACGAGTTGTCTATTATAAAGAACAGTATGGATCCAAGTCGAGGCGTCCTCCGACCCTTGTTCGACTTGGTTGTTCTGTAATCTGCCTAGTAGGAAAGATCTTGGAAGCTTCCACGACGACAACTCTTACAATCTACGAATCCCTTACATTCACTCATTCTCTGCTATCATTATGGCTCCCGGGATCCTTCAGTCCGAATCTCCAACATTGGCCCTAGCGACCCTGCCTCGGGAGGCGCTGAAGCCAAACAAGAATGCATCCGCCAACTCTACACAAGATATCTACGGCAACTATTATCCTGCCAATCCAGAGACCCTCAGTCTGGAGTCCAACTTTGGCCCTATGGACCCCACGACCATCGGCTATCTTCAACCGACCACTGCTGACACCCCCATTGAGACTATGCGAGAGCGCTTTGAACGTGATGGGTACCTTTTTGTGAGTTATGACGGTGCTGATAGCCAGGTTAGTCTTGCTAACAACGATCAGATCAAGAATCTTCTTCCCCACGAACCCGTCCTCGAATGTCGCCGAGCCTACTTCGACCACATGAGCCCAAGCGGCCTCCTTCAACCGGGCAGTGAGCCAGTCAACGGCACGTTCTCCGGAAAAGACACTCGCAAATACCTTCCCCCAGGAAACCTCCGTCGCTTGTTCGGGTTGAAAGATGACGCCGAGAGCGACAAGTACGCCGAGCTCATGGTCACTGCGCATGAAGCCGACTTTTACGTCAACTTCTGCAAGTTCCCAGAGCTCCGCGAGTTCGTCAGTCGCTTCACCGACTGGCCATCCCCGCACATGCTCCAGCGAACGATGCTTCGCGCCTTCGTCCCCAACAGTGAGCTTACGCCCGTACATTTTGATCAAATGTACCTCCGAGCTGGACCGCCGACAAGCTTGACTGCGTGGGTTCCCATTGGTCCCGTGTCGCTCGAGGGAGGCGGCTTGATGTACCTCCAAGGTTCGACAGACATTGGCATGAAGACTGAAGACGACTTTGCTGCGCATTCCCATAATCTTACCGACGAGGAGAGGGTGAGCGCCTTCAATAAGAACATGAATGACGGCGGCTTTCTGAGCAGAGACACTGTGTCCTATGGGAAGAAGACGAAGAGGAAATGGCTGATTGCCGAGTATGAAACTGGAGATGTCATCTTCCACAACCCTTACATGGTGCATGCAAGCTGCAAGAACAAGGACCCCGACTCGAGGATCCGTCTGGCTACGGATCTGCGATTTGTTGATCCCGAGAAACCTTATGATAGGGTGAGCTTTCTGAACCCCCCGTAATCGCGACCGCGACTAACACGCCACAGCGCTGGATGAAGGTATATAAGCCACTTGATGGATTGTAAACTTTGGGTTTGGAGGAGGAGAGCAGTGTAGAAGCTCACAAAACGTAAATCACCTTTCGGGTATCGCTGTCTAGCATAATAATTTGACATCAACCATGCCATCTTATGCTCTTAAATCCTTTGCGGACACATGTCGACGCATCTCCCACTGTGGGGGAACTCAAGTCGCAAAGCGCGTGTTCAATCAATTGTACTCTTCTAGGCAACACACATTCTCAACAAAGTCGCCATCGTAGTGATTTCTCGGACTGCGATCGAAGGCCTTGTGGACGGCACAACCTAGTATCTGTGTTACTACTTGATCCTCTGCTACATTTGCCATCGCCAGCGTGCCGCAGCCCTGGGGCCAAGTTTCCCAAGCAGCTCACTTAGTCCTACACCATTACAGGCTCCGCGTAGGAGAACGCCAAGCGAGGTCTTCCAAGTTGTCCCCGCGTGGCACGCCACGTCCATCTACAGCCGACGCTAAGTGTCTCGGTCATCAACTAGACTCTGACTCGCTGTAGGCGCCAACACCCGACGTGTCTCTGGAGCTTTCAGGACGTGACCCCCTGTCTCCCTGTAGACCCTTCCCCAGTACCCCGGATTTGGGGTTGCGGGGTGAAGGGCTGGGGTAACTGATGGGTGCAGCAGGGAGCGCTGCTTCGGATTTTGCCCCGAGGTCCATGCCAGTGACCTCCGTCTATTGCCGTGGACGTCGAGTGGGAGTGTTGACATGACAGGATGCGAATACGCAGTACGAAGAGTCTCAAAGTACTTATTCAGGCCATCCGAACATGATTCTACGCAGTCAATGAGGAGAAACATACAGCAGCCGGGCTTTAGAACTGGTAACTGCATCTTTGGACCGGAAGCACAATCACGATGGGCTTCTTGCAGAAGATCGTTCGTAACGAAGCGACGAGGAACGATCCTCCCGAGATATACAATGCCCGAGTCATTCTCATCAGCTTAGTGGTAAGTTGCCTCTACTCAACGGCCGAAAGATGGCACGGCACTCACAGAGATCACCCGTAGGCTTGCGGCGGTGCCCTCCTATTCGGTATGGACATGGGCATTATCGGAGGTGTCTTGACCATGGACACATTCAAGAAGTAAACTACTGGCGATTCCCACAGCACTCAATTCCTCCTTGCTAATGTCGCTTCTCTCAGGCAATATGGCCTCGAGAATCAGCCCAAGACCGTTCTAGCAAACCTCGAGTCCAACATCGTTTCCGTTATCCAAGCCGGAGCATTTGCGGGTGCCTTGTTTTCGACATGGCTCGCCAACAGAGTTGGTCGACGATTCTCTCTCATCATCGCTTCGATACTCGTCTTCATCGGTGTGGCCCTTCAAGCCGCCGCTAGTGGTCATATCGAAGCCATGTACGTGGGCAGGTAGGCAGACGATTAACAACTCGATACAAAAGTCTCGGCGCCGGCGAGCTAACTCATCTGATAGACTTGTTGCCGGAATCGCCATTGGAATTGCATCATCTGTAAACCCGCTTTACGTCTCCGAGAACGCACCGCGAGGTATCAGAGGTCTGCTCACTGGGTTGTACCAGCTCAGCATTGTGACTGGGCTGACGGTCAGTCCATCCTTGCCTACGATGCGAATGCAGCTAGACCTCAATGCTAATGTGAAGGTCGATCAGCTTGCATTCTGGATCAACTATGGCTCGCTCCTCCACATCAAAGGCCATACACAATACATCATTCCACTCTCGTAAGCACCACATCTTGACATGAACATTCACATCCTCTGACAACCCCCAGACTCCAAGCATTCCCGGCCGTCATTCTCTTCATCGGCATGCTTCTCGCCAACGAATCTCCCCGCTTTCTCGCCCAGCGATCTCCCGACAAAGCCCTGGCGGTTCTCGCAAAGCTCCGAAATCTACCGGCCGATCATCCATACATCCAACAAGAAATGGAGGGCATCTCCCGTCAACTTGAGGAAGAGAGGGCCCTCTCCCTCAACGCCAACCACTTCACGCTCCTGAAAGAGGCCTTCACTGTCAAGTCCTACCGCAGACGCAGCATGTTGTGCATCACTCTTATGATGTGGAGCAACCTCACTGGTACCAATGCAATGACATACTACTCAAGTCGAATCTTCGCCAGTGTTGGGTTGACGGGATCTTCGACCGGTCTCTTTGCGACTGGCGTGTATGGTATTGTCAAGATGATTGCCTGTACCGTCTTCATTGTATTCGTCACAGACTCACTCGGCCGAAGGAAGAGTCTGCTTTGGACTGGAATCGTTCAGGTAAGCCAGAGCACCAGATACAAAAGCCAACACGAAGCAAGGTACTAACATGACACCTTTCGAAGGGCATCGCTCTCTTCTACGTTGGCTTTTACATCCGCTTCGACCCGCCCATCGCCGGCGAGCCCGTCACCGCTCCGGGCTACGTCGCTCTAGTGGCTATCTACATCTTTGCTGCCACGTACCAGTTCGGATGGGGCCCTGTCGTATGGACCTACAGCTCCGAGATCCCTCCGGCCCGTCTCCGCGCCGTGATGATGGGCATGGCGACAGCAAGCCAGTGGCTCTTCAACTTTGTCGTCGCCAAGGCCACACCAAGTATGTTTGCCACGCTTGGTGAGGGCGGGTTTGGGACGTACTTTGTTTACGGCACATTTTGCTTCATCATGGTGTTGTTTGCGTGGTTCTTCGTGCCCGAGACTGCCGGTGAGTTTGGTGATTTGGCTGAGTTAACTACTTTATCTCATACTAACATTCCATAGGCCTTGCGTTGGAGAAGATGGATGAGCTGTTCGAAAACGATTCGTTGAAAGACAAGCTCATCTGGAGAAAAAGACCCCAGCTGAGCTCCAGAGATAGTACGAGTGAGGAAAGGGTGATGGATAAGAAGGATGCTGAGCATGTTGAAGTTGTTTGACCCAATATCTGTCCACATTCGTAGGGCAGCTAACACATTGAAAGTTATTCTTTGTGACATTGAAATGTATCATCGAGATGAATCCTTCACTCGAAGACTGGCTTAAGCTCTTCCACTTCCAACACCTTCTGAATACCAGCCAACTTCTCCACCTTCTTCTGCAAGCGCTCAAAGTTGGGATACTCGCCCAAGTCGGTCATGTACACTGCCGACCGTCGGAAATAGTACATATACATGTCGACCACCGTCAAGTCGTCGCCTACAGCCCATTCACGCCCTTCCAGCCTGGACTCGATCCTTTCAAAGCACTCCAAGATATGTTCCCACCCCTTCTCCGCGACCGCCTTGCGAGCCTCCTCTCCATCAGTAAACCGGTACGGCCTCGCACACGCCGCGAGACTTGCGCCGAGGAACGTCCCGCTCAGCCAATTAGTCCACTCATTCACCTTTGCGCGGTTGAGGGCACTGGAGCCCAGGAACTTTTCGGTTTGCTCGGGCGGGGCGATGCACGCGATGTAGGTCAGGACGGCCGGGAGCTCCGTGATGACTTCCCCGCTGTCGAGGACGAGGGCCGGAACGTAGCCTGAGGGGTTTATTTTGCAGTAGTCCTCGTGCGTGAAGCTGCCGTCTGCGGCCTCGAATCGTTTGTCGGCATTGGGTCTCAATTTGACGGTCTTGAAGGGGATGTCGAGGTGGTAGAGGAGCGCGTGGGCTACGAGGGAGCATGAGCCGGGTCTGTAGTAGAGAGTGATTGTAGGGGATGACATGATGAAAGCTCAGTTGTCTGTTTGAATTGTGTGTTATTACTTGTAAGTAACGATATTTGCATGTCGATTGAAGTGTTACACTCACTCGTGCTATAAGGTGGTTTTACTTCATGTACTTGATCAAAGAGGAGGGGAGAATTGACGCCCTTGGAGCGACAGTCAGCGCGGGGTTGATGTAGATGGACAATCTCATGCTTACGTAGCTACACAAGCCGACGGAAATCCTTGCTGGGCTTAACATTAGGCTTCAATATGATTTGGCAATTCTTGAAAGAGTGATTCTTATCGTCAGGGGAAGTGTCCAAACCGGGCAGGACGGCAACAGAATGCGACAGTCAGATGGCTGCCTAGAGGAAGGGACTTTCGTGCTTGTTCGTTGATTGCGACGTGGAACATTTTGTCTTCCCTCTCCAAAGTGGCGACAATGAACAAATGAAGAGATCATCAATCCTCCTCACAAGTCGGGTCGCAGAATATAGGAAGAGACGCATTTTTGGTGATGGGGATAGCCTCAAAAAGCGCAAGTAAAGTCCTACAAGGTGCACAATCGCTGTGAGGGCTCATATGAATATCGGCCCAATTGAAGACAGCAACTAAAAAGGTCGGGGCTTGGTTAGAAAGACAGATTAGAGTACTCGCACGTTGATAGTAAGAGATCAGGATAAGTGACAAATCATGGATTTGCAAGTATGTTACTGGAGCTGCTCAAGACATGCTGACCGGATATTATGAGACACCACTCGATTTCAAGGTCAGGTTAGCTCACCGAGAGCGTCACCAGAAGTGTCGATATGCGATACCAATGATTGGGTATGGCGCGGTGACTACGCAGTCAAACCATAAAAGCGCATGAGTCCAGTAAGGATCTGGATTGGAGTATAGGCACTCACAACCGGTCACAGCTTACGTGTAGAGTCAAGATCAATCGTGGTTGAAGAGTGCAAAGTTCCAACACTTGTGAGAACCTCTCGCACGATCGTACTCTCGGCGCGATCATCCGAAAGATCACGTACGCCAACCACTAAGAGTGCTCGTAAATGGCGCTGTCGGGACAAAAAGATGCACGCAATCAGGCTTAAACCACCGTGTCGCCGAAGACGAGGAAACGTGGCTGGTCTTTTCGGGACTCTACGCCCACGATGCGTGTATAGAAGTGGTACAGCAACAGCCACTAGAGAGGCGGGATTGGCGCCATGTGCCTGGTCTGATGGCGGGGAGATTCTCCCGCTGTTCGGACCAAAAGAAGGCCTTATCTGTGGTAGTATGCAGTAGCAGTTGTATCGGGCGACGAGATCAGACGGCCCTGCATCGACTTTCGGGCAGAGTCGGTGGCATTGGGTACCGCAGACTCTAGAGTGCGGAAGAGGAGGGAAATGGCTCAGATGCTGTGCGATGCCGTTCAGCCTGATGTGATGGGTGCAGTGGTCACTGGTGAAGCTGCTTCGGAGAGCGTCGAATAGCGCAGCCATGAGCACCACGGCGTAATAGAGAGAGAGAGAGAGAGACAGTGGCCGAGGGGGACGAGGAACCAACCTCTCGGCGTAGCCTGGTGGAAGCTGGGTCTAGGCCCGACGAGGAGTGAAGATGGGATGAAGATATGGGGAGGACGAGATAGCAGGCCCATGGGGTTTGTGGATATGCTGGGCAGAGCGCGAAGAGCTTTGAGACCGGTCTGGGCGTCGTCGTCTGCGGGCCGTAACGCACTAGGAAGGGAAGCAAAAAGTGTTGCATGTCTGAATCCGTACAGACTTTTACCTCGTTTGGGGCTTCTTGGCTGAATTCTGGACGACGAGATGAGGGGGAGGGGCACTCGTCAGTTGCGTTCCAAAGCTTTGAAGCTCCAGCTGTCTGTGCCATGGCAAAGTTCCAACTCGATACATATCATGAAAGGCTGATAAGAGATCCTCCTAAGGTATTACTGGGTCTCGCAATTGGGAGCCCGATCCGATGGCATGGGGATGGACGTGCTCCTCTTCCACCTGTACCATCCGGGAATGGCCTATGCGGGTTCCTGTTCCTGGAGAGGGAACGGAGCGAGGCCGGCGGGCGATAGGTGATGCGGGCGAAGAGAGAATTGGCCGAGGGTGCATGATGGCATCTCCAGGCGCCGTAGTCTGCATTCTGCATTCTGCAGGCTGCAAGTGGTCATGGTTGCCCAACCGTTGTTGGTCTAGCGGTTCTGTTGGAGTGTACCTCGTCGTTGACTCTCATGCATGGAATGGAGAGAGTTGACCCGTCTCGAAGCACGTTTTTCGTCAAGCCATCCAGTCATTGCTCATCCATGAGCCAAGCCGTGGTCACTGTAAACCGGAGTTGCATATTGGGGAGGACGTTGAAAAAGGCGGTGGAACCCAGCGTGCTTGATGATGGCCCCGGAATGGGCAGAATTGAATCGCCATTCTCTACACAGTATTCACAGGTCCGAGCGGGTCTATTCCTCTGCAGCTCTTGGTTGAATTTAGGAGGTGAGTGGTTGCGTCCAGCCACGATCTCACTTGGTCTCTACGTCGTCCGACGTGGCCTGATAGAGATAGACCAGACCTTGTGGTCTGTCTTTGCCTTTTGAAACGCATCAGTCAGTCCAGTGCAAGTCGGAGTCGCATTGCAGCAGCCAGCTTGAGAAAAGCCAGTTGTTTCGTCGCTCAAGGCGTCCTAGTCCGCATTCCGCGCCGCTCACCGTCTTTTCGGAAACCAAAACAGAGCAGAGCAGGCGGTTAGAGTTATCAACCCCGAGGCCGGAACACGCGCGGGAAACGTTACGGTTACCGAAGTCTGTACACAAAGTACGCTTCAGCTTTGAGGCAACTCTATTGCAGAGTACAGAGTATCCGTAGAGAGCCTCACTCGAGTCACTGTTGTGGCACTGGTCAATGAGTCGGGGAATAGGGGCAGATAATTACCTCGAATTACGTCAGGTGGGTCACAGCTTTCCGCAGTTTACAAGTAGATTCCTCTGCATCTGCGCAATACTTGACCCGAATTTACGGCGGCTCTGTTATCGTGTTCTGATGGTGTCTGCGCCATCCGGGATGACCGCGGCGGCAACTCAACGTGGCTCTCCCAGCAGGGCGGGCACTATCAGACGGTGGCGGGGATGGCTTCAGTTGGGGATCAGCCGCGGGTTTAGTACCGCAGTAGGCTGGTAGAGAATAGGATAGTGTCCGGTCTGTCAGTCCAGCGGCCAGTTCCAGTGGGCTCAGCTCAGCTCACGCCACGAGATGATGAGATGCTTAGCTGTAGCCCGGCGTCCTTTTCTCGGCTCACAATGTGCTGTCTGGATGCTGCTAGTGCAAAGTCCAATCAACTGGTGAGGACCGAGAAGTTTGTGGGCTATGGACGGGGGGTGGGATCATTACTCAGTCCCGCTATGATGTTGTTTTGGGTCAATTATTGTATCTTTTTTGTTTGATTCTTTCCGGTCCCCTGAATGCTTTACGTACTTGGACCGTATCCCATTTCCCACTTAGATTTTTCCATGTTTCCATGTTTCTACACTGTAATTGTTGAAGACTTGTTGATAGGTCCGAACAATTGGATTTTGGAGAGATGCGATTTGGGTTGCATCACAAAGACATCATAGGGCACACAGACAACGGCAAGTAACGCGAGGTGTCAGAAAGCACGGAGCTTATAGCAGACAGAGACAGCGGCATCGACCAGGGCACATCCCACCATCCGTGATCCTACCGTTCAGAGCCTGTCAACCCGGCACCATATCGATTACCATATCCGTAGACTTAAGACAAGATAGACAGTACCGGTACTCTGAAGCTGGCCCTGAGGAACAGTATGGAGCACTCGATAGACCAGAGGTAATGACAGAACAGTTATTGGATCTTTTGCTTCTGACGGCCCCTTTTCAAAAGCATTGAGCCAATCCCGCCATAAATAATTCGTCCCATCCGAACCAGGCGAGTGGCCTGGCAGGGGGGGAGGGGAACTAGGTCCAGGTAACGGGCGAGTCGCGAGGAGGTATTCTCGGTGTATCCCGCCGCATGGAAGGGGTGTGGAGAGACTTATGACGCAGCCATTTCCACTTGGTTTGTTACATGTTCAAGACCTTGGTCAAGATGGTCCTGGTTCTGTCTGTCTCCACGCCCAATCCCGGAACGATTCTCTCCTCCCCCACCATGATCCATCTCTGATCTCTCTCCTTGGAGTCTCCTGGTCTGTTCTGCGCATAACGAACAAGTACCTACTTATCGAGTCCTGGTTTGGCAATGCTCTGGGCGCAGAGAGGAACAAGCTGGAAGACGCCAGAGCTTGACCACGGTATCCTCCCGAGTCCCAGCATCTGCCAGGATTATGCAGCACCAAAATAGACGGGGGATGCTACTGTGTACAATGGCGGTAGAGGCCGCAGTGACATGTGCTGCCCCTCGCTGTCGGTGTCTCTCTGTTTGGAACCGTTCAACACTTTGAGCATCTCGATTTGGGGTGCTCACCACTATTTTCAGCTCCGAGACACGGACAGTCGACTAGGCTACCACGTCAAATGCTTAACTCTTGTTGAACCGTCTCTCTGATTATCATGACTATCAATCTGATCTCACCATTCAGCACCTAATTGCAGAGAGGAGAAGAGAGAAGAAGAGGAAGAAGAGACGATGGAAAAAAAGACAGAGACCCCTGACGCAATGGTACAAGCCTCTACCAAGCAACACAGCGGCATAGGCATCGTCCACCAAGGCCAATCATTGAGCTCGTGGGAAAGCAGCTGTGGGTTTTGCCGTGCTCAGGCCGTGGTCTGTCAGTGTGCGATCCCTGGCGCCGCTCTTTTGTGTTTTCTGGAGACTTTCTCTTGGAGAGTGGCCTGGGCCGGAGAAGACCATCCACCCACCCATGCTTACTCTACTGGTAGTGTTGTACTGTAGACTTGAGAAGAGAGTGAGAGGATAGGAGCAAAGCGTCCTGCAGCTGTCGTACTCTCTGATACCGAGTATCTTTTGCGTGCGGTTACTGCAAAAAGATACCTTTTGATATTCCCCTCCATCGTCTCACAGTACCAACATTATTATTATCATCAGCAAGAACACAGTAACAGAGAATCCCAAGAGTAAGAGAATACCTACCAAGAAGCATATTGTGTCCATTGCTTGCATTGCTTGCATTCAACAGACACATTCCATCCAGGCCTGGAATTCACCTCCTTCAACTCCGTACCCCGGCTCAGAACCCCCACCACCTTGCGTCTCCCCCGTCACTGTGAACTCACCGTTGGCTTCGTTTGGTTCGTTTGGTTTGGCATCAGATCAGATCCGGTTACTTCCATCTTGACTGACAGTATCGTCTGGTTGCTGACTGCTAGTTGCTTGCTGTGTTGCCCTGGTCTCTGGTCTTGGTCTGGAAGTTCGGCTCTGCTTGCTCTCTACACTATCCGTAAAGACTGTAGCTGTTGTCTTTAGTCTCTTTCTTGTCTCTGGTCTCGTCTCTGGTGTCTCTGGTGTATTCCTCTCCATGGCTGCATGCCTCCCCCGTATTCCGTCTTGCGTCTCCAGATCCCCCGGTCCAGCCCCAGCTCAGTCAGGTCCAGCCTCCAAGCGGTCAACCGTCGTCTTTTAGTCTGTCTTTGTCCGTCGCTTTCTGAGCCTCTAGTCCTTCGTGCCTGCTCTTTCCATCCATCCTTTATTTTTCTTCCCTTACGTTTCTTCTCCTCCTCATCTACACACCTTCACCTTCGCTTTCGCTACTATACTGTACAGAGCATCACCACCCTCACTTCATCTCAACCCTGGTCATACGTAGGGTGACATTTCCCACTTGAGGCTCGTCTGAATCTTCTGCCCGTCTCCCCCCTCTCGGCCTCTTTCTCGTCTCCCCCTGTTCCTTGGGACTGCCGCTAAGCCAAACTCTACACGTTCCCCGGCACACCACACTCAGCACCACCACCCTCTTTCGAGAGAACAGAACAGAGAACAGAACAGAGAAGGGAACAGTGTAAAGAGACAGAAGAGAGAGAAGACGAGTCATGGAGCAACACTCCCCCGCGCCCGAGTCGACAGGCGTCAACCCCGCCAACCCCGTGCTGCGAAGCATCGCCCTGTCGGACGCCGTGACGCCGGGCATCCACCAGCACACGTACAACTCTGCCGACAGCTCGCGCGCCCAATCGCCCAGCGGCAGCAGCTACTTTCCTCCCTCCAACTACACCACCCACGATTCTCACCGCCAACAACAACCTCCCACAAACATCACGAGCAATCCCACTTCGTCTCCCGCAAACGCCGCAAACACAGCTGCCTCGAATACCTCCAAAGTCCCTCCGTCGCCAGGCCCCGGCGACATCCTCAAGCGCATGACCCTCGCCGCCATGGGCCGTCGCGAGTCCCTCTCCCAGATTCGCAGCGCCAACCCAGACCTCCAGCTGAGCGGCAACATCATCTCGGCCACGTTCAACATTCCCCATTCCCTCAAGTACCGCAAAGGTTCCGACTGGGTGAGTTAGTCTCCATCTCTGCTGTCCAAAACCCCCTCAATTCGCGATCCTTCACTACGGCCAGGACAACCCCGCTGACATCATCGCCATCACAGGAATTAAAGGCGCGCCGCGGCCAATCCGCCCTCTTCGACTCCTTTGCCTACCTCTCTTCCGACGAGACCCCCTGGAACCACACCGTCGTCGCCTGGACCGGCGAGATCGATACCCCCCAAGACGTCCTCTCGCCGCCCGGCACCCCGCCCGCTACGACTGTACACTTTTCCTCCCTCAACACCCTCTCCGCGCCCGTCCCCATCGATGGCGATGCCCGCCTGCCCACGCCGCCCCCCAGCGAGGGCCTCTGGCTTCCCAAGGAGGACCAGGCCCGCCTCGAGACCCAGCTCGCCCACAGCAAGACCATCAAGACGGTGCCCGTATGGCTCTGCGACGACGACGAGCAGCAAGAAGCGGGCGTCCTCCTCAAGGACCAGAGCCGCTGGCGCCGCTACGCCGAACACGATCTCTATACTCTCTTCCACTACAAGCAGCACGAGCCCACCGACGGTCGCAAGGAGCGCCTGCAATGGGCCGACTACTACCGCATGAACCAAAAGTTTGCCAACCGCATCATCGACCTCTACAAGCCCGGCGACATTGTCATTGTCCACGACTACTACCTCATGCTGCTGCCCAGCATGCTCCGCCAGCGCGTCCCCAACATGAACATCTCCTTCTTCCTCCACTCGCCCTTCCCCTCCTCCGAGTTTCTGCGGTGCCTTCCCCGTCGCAAGGAGGTCCTCGAGGGTGTTCTCGGCTCCAACCTCGTCGGTTTCCAGTCCTACAGCTACTCGCGCCACTTCTCCAGCTGCTGTACCCGCGTCCTCGGCTTCCCATCGGATAGCGGCGGTGTCGACGCCTACGGTGCGCGCGTTCAGGTTGGCGTCTTCCCCATTGGTATCAACGCCGACAAGTGCGAAATGTACGCCTGGACCGACGCCGTCACCGAAAAGTACGACGCTCTCAAGAAGCTGTACGAGGGCAAGAAGATCATTGTCGGCCGCGACCGCCTCGACTCCGTTCGCGGTGTCGCTCAGAAGCTCCAGGCTTTCGAGCGCTTCCTCGAAATGTACCCCGACTGGCGCGAAAAGGTCGTCCTCATCCAGGTCACCTCCCCCACCAGCATCGAGGAGGAAAAGGACGACGATGGTTCCGAGTCCCGCATCGCGACCCGCGTCAACGAGCTCGTCATGCGCATCAACGGCATGTACGGCAGCTTGGGCTTCTCCCCCGTCCAGCACTACCCCCAGTACCTCAGCCAGGACGAGTACTTTGCTCTCCTCCGCGCCGCCGACATTGGCCTCATCACCTCGGTCCGCGACGGCATGAACACCACCAGCATGGAGTATGTCATCTGCCAGCGCGAGGGTCACGGCCCCCTCATCCTCTCAGAGTTCAGCGGTACTGCTGGTAGCCTTAAGGACGCCATCCACATTAACCCCTGGGACCTCAGCGGTGTCGCCGTCGAGATCAACAACGCCCTCACAATGACCCCCGAGAAGCGCATGAACATGCAGGCCAACCTCTACAACCACGTCACCACCCGAAACGTCCAGAGCTGGATCGATAACTTCATCCGCAAGCACGTCCACGTACTCGGCACCCAGAAGAACGTGGCCGCCACCCCTCTCCTCGACCGCGCCACCCTCCTCAAGACCTACCGCGATGCCGGCAAGCGCCTCTTCATGTTCGACTACGACGGTACCCTGACCCCCATCGTCCGCGAGCCCAGCGCTGCCGTCCCCTCTGAGCGCGTCCTGCAGACCCTCAAGGCCCTCGCCAGCGACGAGCAGAACGCTGTTTGGATCATCTCGGGCCGCGATCAAGAGTTCCTCACCCAGCACCTTGGCCACATTGCCGGTCTTGGATTCAGCGCTGAGCACGGCAGCTTCATGAAGAACCCCGGCTCCGACGAGTGGGTCAACCTCGCCGACGAGTTCGATATGGGCTGGCAAGCCGAGGTCATGGCCTGCTTCCAGTCCTTCACCGACAGAGTGCCCGGTATGTTTGGATTGCCTTTATCTGCTAGTAACAACGAGAACATTTGCTAACATGAATCAGGCTCCTTTGTCGAGCGCAAGCGCTGCGCCCTCACGTGGCACTACCGTCTTGCCGACCCCGAGCAGGGCATCCACATGGCCCGCGAGTGCCAAAAGGAGCTCGAGTCAACAGTGGCGCAAAAATGGGATGTCGAGGTCATGGCAGGCAAGGCCAACCTCGAGGTCAGGCCGACGTTTATCAACAAGGGCGAGATTGCGAAGCGCCTCGTACACACCTACAACTCGGCGCCCGCGTCCGAGAAACACCCCGGCCCCGTCGAGTTCGTCCTCTGCCTGGGCGACGACTTCACCGACGAGGACATGTTCCGCGCCCTTAACGGCCTGTCGGGCACCGAGGTCCAGCACGAGCACATCTTCACCGTTACTGTCGGTGCCAGCACAAAGGTCACTTTGGCGAGATGGCATCTGCTGGAGCCCGAGGACGTGGTCGAGTGCGTCGCGTTGCTGGCGGGAGTCGGTCTCGGCGGCGAAGCTCACGAGCACTTTGGCCAGGTCAACTTGGCTGCTCTGAGCACGGTCGAGGGCCACATTCCCGAGTCGGAGAAGTGACTCAAGAAGAAGCCAAGTAAGCTGTGATGGAGAAGAAGAGCATACAGCTGGGGGGGAGTCATACAGCCGGGAGTATGGATAGAAAGCGGCATTATTTGATTTTGGTGTGATTACCTCAGCCGCCGGTATTTGCCTTTTTTTTTCACCTGTTTTGATATTCACACACACACACACTCGCCGATGAGCAGAGCGACAAGTCATCGAGCAACACGGGAGGTGGTTGACACGAGGCATGATGCATGGGCTCAGCATGGGAGCGGGACAGCCCAAAGAGACGGGCTAGATGCATATAGACTATATTCTTATCCTACACATTGGACCTCACGTCTGCACATTTCCCTCAATGTGATGTCAATGTGATACTTCTAGTGATCTTGGTGATGCCCCCCTCTTCACATGTATTTGAGAGCTCCAAGATGGTGTGTGTGACGGCCCCAGAAAACAGCGTCACATTGACAGCGGCTGTGCTCGAGATCGTCGGATCTACAGCCCGGTCCCTGACATACGCTCGGGCGGCATGGCCGAAACTCAATTGAAGCTTGTTTGCTCCGTTGGGACGGACGAATCACTCGTTCTCAATTGGGAATGTTTGGACGAAGCAGCTACCTGATTGTGAACACCAAGAGACTTGCGACTCACAGATTGATAACACCACGAGCTCGTTGCCTCTCGGGGCATTGTTGAATAGAATGTTGGTGGCTCCCCAAGAGCACGTTTGCGCAGGTTCAAGATCCTAGTCGTGTGGATCTCTTGGCGAATGCTACGATTCTCGGGGTTGAAGATGCGATTCTTGCTACTCATTGTTGAGCAATCTCTTCTTTCGATATGAGCATTTGGCAACTTGCCGGTTGACGTGACTACTTGTCGCCAACAAGCAGATGTAATGACGGACAGTAAAGACTCGGTCTCGCTCAGTATGTCCATCATCTCACCAGCCATACCCGGTGCTGTCTTGGCACATCCAGATATAGCGATGTCGGACCCATCACCACTTTCGACCTCCCTCTTTGAGCTTCCTGATCCGACGTTGGATTATCGAAAGGAGACCGAGCACATTACGGAACCCATGCTCACACGAGATGCGGGGCAATTAATACGCAACACCGGAGACTGCGAAATGTGCTCAAAGAAAGGATGTGATGGGCTATCGCAATGGTTTATGGTCTGGATGCTCGCTGTCTCTATACTCGACGTGATATATTCACCGGTTACAGCAAACTCGTGAAGGTAAATGTGAAGAACTTCGCCGAGAGCCACGATGCGCTGCCTATGGATCTTGTCCGCCCTCGCCTTCGTCGGCAAGACCGCCGCTGAAGACATCACCGACGAGGACACTCCAAAGATTGAAGCAAACCGCTTCATCATCGAATTCGCCAGCGCAAGTCCTCTCACCATCTCTAACCAATTCCTCAAAACTGACCGACAACAGGGCACCCACACCAAGACCAAACGCAACGAACTCTCCTCCACAGGAATCCGCGTCCTCAAAACCTTCGACTCACCCCTCTTCTCCGGCGCAAGTCTAGAAACAAACAACCACACCCTCGACTCCCTCCTCATCCTCCCAGACATCGTAGCCGTCTGGCCCAACACGCAGGCATACCTCATCGCCCCCGTCAAGCGCCAAGTCGCCGTCGACCCTACTGCCGCAGCAGCGCACGCAGTCCACTGGGCTACGGGCGTCGATGAACTCCACCAACAAGGCGTCCGCGGGCAGGGCGTGAAAGTCGGCATCGTCGATACGGGGGTATGGTACAGACACACCGCCCTCGGGGCGGGCTTCGGTCCCGGGTTCAAGGTTGCCGGCGGCTGGGACCTCGTCGGGGACGGGTGGGTCGTCGGCACCGAGAAGAAACCTGACGCGGACCCGGCTGATGAGCAAGGGCACGGAACGCATGTTGCTGGTATCCTTGCCGGGGAGGATGTTTCTTCCGGGTGGGTTGGTGTTGCGCCTGATGCGAGTTTGTATTCGTATAAAGTCTTTGGGCCGGGTGATGGGACGGATCAGGCGACTATTATCGATGCGTTTCTCCGGGCGTACGATGATGGGATGGATGTTATCACCGCTAGCATTGGTGGAAGAGGAGGCTTCGCGAGTAATGCCTGGGCCGTCGTCGCGAGTCGCATCGCTGCTGAGGGTGTGGTTGTCACCATTGGCGCCGGGAACTCGGGGAATGGAGGGGCGTATTATGCTAGCACGGGAAGTTCAGGTGAGAATGTGCTCAGTGTTGCGAGCGCGGAGGTGAAGCGCGACGAAACGACAGGGGGAGATATCCTGCGGCCGTCGTATTTCACCAGTTGGGGCGGGTTGTATGATTTGTCTGTCAAGCCTGATGTTGCTGCGCCTGGGACGGATGTGTTTAGTACGTGGCCCGGCGGGGATGATAATGAGTTTGTGTTGCTGTCTGGGACGAGCATGGCTACGCCGTATGTTGCCGGTGTTGCGGCGTTGTATATCTCCAAGCATGGCGGCAGGAGCATTCACGGCAAGGGGTTTGCGAGGGATCTGAGTATGAGAATCATCTCGACGGGGGCATCGCTGCCGTGGTTGTTGTATAGTGGCGAGGCGGATGAGGCGTACCGAGCGCCGTCGCAGCAGGTTGGCGGTGGGCTCATCGATGCTGGCAAGGTTGTTGGGTATCGAACGAGCTTGGAGCTGACGAGGTTTGGGCTGAATGATACTGCCAACTTCCGCGCGAATCAAGCAGTTCTGATCAGGAACGGCGGTAATCAGACCGTGAGGTACAGCTTCGAGGTTGAGAGCTGGGCTGGGGTTGAGATGCTCAGGGCGTTTGATGGGCGGGATCCGGGAGAGACGCCGAGGATCAAGTATAGGGCGGAGATTGTACCTCGTAAGCTTCGAGGTTGAGAGCTGGGCTGGGGTTGAGATGCTCAGGGCGTTTGATGGGCGGGATCCGGGAGAGACGCCGAGGATCAAGTATAGGGCGGAGATTGTACCTCGTAATATCTCGGCGAGGGCGAAGGTGCCGGATGAGTTTGTCTTGGGTCCTGGAGAGGAGAGACGAGCAGAGTGAGTCGTCTTCATTTCGAAGAACGGGTATTGGGCACCATGCTGACTTTGCTAGGTTCATCTTTGAGGCGCCCGAGGATGTCAACCAGACAGCGCTTCCCGCATACGGCGGTCGTCTACTAGTCAAGGGCAGCAACGGGGAGACTGTAGGCATTTCATATCAAGGACTGGCTTTCGACTTGCAGAAGCAGATGGAGAGTCCCTTTCATGGGACGTACCCATGGTTGAGGTCGACGAGCGCGTATAGTAACAAGACGACGTGAGTCTGATATCATTATTGGCCTGCAGGTGTATGAAGCTAACTGAACCACAGCTTCAGCTTCGAACTGGCTAGTGGTATACAAGACTTTCCCATGATGTTCATGAAGGTCAAATGGGCCACCAGAGAGGTTCGGTGGGATGTAAGTCAACTTTGATACCCACCCCCAAAGCAGGGCGTTTTGATGCTAACCCCACAAGATATATGAAACCGACTTTGACGAGGCGCGAGACTGGGAGTACCCCCCCGTGTCCGGACAACGAGGCTACATCGGCTCAGCCACATCTTGGGCGTCTGCCGGTAAGACGTCGAGCTTCAACCCCGCTCGTCACAACGCCAGCGATACTTTCTCGTTTCCAGAGACAGATGTCGCGAGGAACGCGCTGACGACGGGCGGGTTCACGACGGCGTACTATTGGTTCGGCAAGTTGGGCGACGGAAGCGTCATGGCACCGGGCAACTACACGTGAGTTCTTACTCCACCGTCGCCAGCAGATGATGTGTCTTGAACCCTATGATGCTGATCTGGATATAGAATGAGGTTTGCGGTTCTGCTACCATTTGCTGATCCCCAGCTAAGTGAAAGCTGGAAGGGGTTGACGACCAAGTTCACAGTCTTGCCGAAAGTTGGGAACAGCACAATTAGCAGAAGGTGGTATTGATGGGAAGTCAGACATTCACCGTAAGGAGATTATGGATGATGGAATATGTACAAGTCTCTGTAAATGCATTGTTGGCGTGGGCACCTCCTTGTATTGGATGTCTTGTCTCCGTGTCAGTCGTGCCAGTCTTGCCATACCAACTCCCATCGGAGGCTCATTCCCAGCCCCCAACACCCCTCAACATGTATGAAGTCCGTCAATGCTTCCTGGGCCAAGCTCCGAAGCCACTTGGGAGAAATATTGACAGTTGCCCGTCCGAAACGCTCAGTGACCTCAAATTACCAAAGCCTTTGGATGCAATCACCAACAAGCTTCATCATGCAATCATTGCCAAAGTTGGGGCGCTCCTTGCACAGGGTCTTGAACTCTGGCATCTGAAGATTGTGCTTTCTGGTATATGGGTTCTCTAGCGTAAGCTCGAGAAATTTGACCTTCAGGATGTGGATCTTGTCCACCTCGTTGTAGTCAGTGTAGATAAGACGACCGACTTTGAGCCAATCCTGGGGGCAGGGAACGAAGGCATTGGTGCGGCCTTTCAATTCGTCAAGCTTCGACTCGACGCAGAAGCAGAGGTTCGGCACTAGGAAATAGTCGCCCAGAGTCCAGAGCTGGACAGCGGTGTTGAGAATGGTGTTAGTTTTCTGGGCGCTATCAAAGTTGAATTCTGTTTGACGATCAATTAGCCAATGTTCCCAGGGCCCTGACTAGAAGTTTGATTTTGTATCACAAAGACACAGTAAGCATGGACCTTGATTTTATCGGGCGAAAAACATGCAAGAGGTATAGTGGACAGCAAGGGACATGAGAGATGGGGCCAATTCCGCTTACCACCAGTATAGATATAGGAGATTATCCAGTCCATCTGCTCAGCAGTGAAGTCGGTGATTTCGACAACACCAGTCTTGCCGCCCTATCAACAAGTTAGATATGCCATGCAATGCCAACCTGTCTGGTCCCCAACATACCGGCCAGTCCTTTCCAAGGCTGCTCCTGAAGTAGTCCGAGCGCATGCACAGGATGGACTTGTGGCAGTTCCATGTCTTGCCGTCGCACTTGACCTGGCAGTCTGAGAACTCGCCACTCTTGAGGAGCCTATATACATCAGTTAGTCGACGTTGATCATTTTGAAGGAGGATGGCGTTCTGATGTGTTTCGGGCCAAAGTATTGATCGAATCACTTTTTCTTGAGATGACCTACTTTGCATCGAGGTCCCTGAAATTGCCCATGGTGATGCGCTGTCTTGTGTAGCATAAACGTGAAGATATTGTTGAAGGGAGGGAGATTGGAAACGGCTGGGCAGGTAAAGCGATATTTATACCTCTGAATCACCGCCTCCGAGGGCAGGACCGTCTAGGTTGCGCCTTCTTCAAGGAGTCAAATCTCTTGCGTTCCTTCTTGCTTCATGAACCTGAATAAAGTGAATTCGATGAAATGGGTCAGCCGTAAAAGTAGCATACAATATCGAATACACAAAACATCTGACAGAACATTAATGATGCCACTGACAACGACTCAAGCTACGGAGGTACAAATGACTCATGGAATGAGGGCCTGGATGATACGGAAAGAACATGAAATGGACAAAGACTCGTCTGTTATAGAGTTCCGATAGAACTGAGAGCCGGGCCGCAGCAAGTAAACACCCACCCCCTTTCACAGGGCAGTTGGCAGAGGCACGACAACAAGTAGCAAACGATGATAGACACACAAGAGACCCAAACCTCGCCATCACACATTGGAAGACTGGGTTCACATCCATCACTAACTTCTTGCAGCGTAAGGTATGTCACAAGATTTCAACAGCACGATAAGGACTAAGTACGTTGTAGAAGAGAATGAATTGCAGCAAGAGGTATCTAGTCTATATCTATAGCACAGCGAGTCCAATCAAAACGTCAAGGACAGTTGACTTCTAAAAAAGTATGTACAAAGAAAAAGAAGGCGCAAAGTCGTTCTGCCTTAGATGGTGATGTCCGCCGAGGCGCGGATGTCGCGCGAGCTGGAGCCAACAGAGAAGGTGTACTTGCCCTTGGCAATAGCCCACTGCTGAGCAACAGTATCCCAGTAGCTCACATCACGTCTGCGGACGCTGAAGGTCACATCACCGGCAGCACCGGGGGCGAGGTCGATCTTCTCGAAGCCGCGGAGAACGCGAGGGGGCTGGGCGGCCTCGGAGGGGAAGCTGATGTACAGCTGGGCGACCTCGGCGCCCTGGACGCCGCCGTCGTTCTTGATGTTGGTCTTGACGCTGATTACCTCCTCGAAAAGGTCCTCCTCACCACCGGGGACGAGAGTGCCGGTCGGGTAGGTGGAGTCGGCGGCGGTCTGGTTGGTGACCTTTGCGTCGACCTTGCCGTAGGTGAAGGCGGTGTAGCTGAGGCCGTGGCCGAAGGGGTAGCGGACGGTCATGTTCTTGGAGTCGAAGTAGCGGTAGTCGATGAAGACACCCTCGGTGAAGTCGCAGTCTTCGGTGTAGCAGATGGAGACGGGGTAGTCGTCGGCGTCCTTGGCGATGGTGTGGGACAGCTTGGCGCTGGGGTTGACGTTGCCGTAAAGGACATCGGCGATGGCGTTACCGCTCTCCTGGCCGAGGAGACCAGAGTAGATGACGGCGGTGATGTTCTCGTTGTCGATCCAGGCGTCGAGGATGCGGGGGCCGGCGGTGTTGACGACGACGATGGTGTTGTTGCAGTTGGAGGCGACGGAGGTGACCATGGCATCCTGCTCGTCGTCGTACAGGAGGCTACGGTCGCCACCTTCGCCGGAGTAGGAGTTGATGAAAGCAATGCAGACCTCGGAGTTCTCGGCGTAGTTGGTGAAGGAGGGTGTCATGGCGGTACCCTGGCCAAGGTTGCCGAGGCCGCCGCCGCCGCCGCCGGTCATACTTCCGCCGGTGCTGTTACCCCCCATGCTGCCACCCATGCCGCCACCAGTGCTGTTGCTGGAAGAGCCGCCAGGAGGGCTGCCGCCGCCGCCGCCGCCAGACATGCCGCCGGAAGAGGTGGAGGTGTAGGTGTTGTTCAGGAGCCACCAGATCATGCTGTTGTCGTCAATAGCGCGCTGGGTGATAGCCTGGAAAGGGGTAACAAGGTAGGGGAGCGAAAGTTGGCCGGAGCCAGTGCCGGAGGCAAGGTGACCCTGGTAGACATCGCTGTCGGTACCCTGAACGCTGAAGGGCTGGTTAGGACCAGCGAGCGCAGGGCCGGCGTGAGCACCAAAGAGAGAGATGGTACGGGGCTTCTGAAGAGGGAGACCGAGGCCGGAGGTGTTGGAGTTCTTGAGGAGGACGATGGACTCGCCGGCAACCTGGCGGATGAGCTTAGAGTGGTTGCCACGGACGTCACGGTACTCGGTGGTGGAGGCCTTGGAGGGCTGCTTGCCGTCGTCGAGACCGACGTAGTAGTATCCAATGACGTTGCGGACAACCATGTCGTCGAGGCGGGCCTGGGTGAAGCTGCCGTTGTTGATACCGGCAGTGAGGATATCCTCAGTCCAGTAAGTGCTGGAACCGTAGTCAAGACCGGCGTTGGCGGAGCCGTAGGAGGTGGACTGAGAGTTGACATCGGGGAAGACGAGACCAAGGAAACCGAACTCCTTCTTGAGGAGCTTGCTGACAAGGGCGTTGTTCTCGCAAGAGAGGGTATCGTTGACGCGGGTCATGCCGCACATGACGGCCAGCATGCCGGCCTGGACACCATCGGCAAAGGGCCAGGAGTAGAGCTCGTGGATGGTCTTGTCGTCGGCGTTGGAGGAGTAGACGTTGGTGGTGGTGGCGGAGATACCAGAAGATCGGTTGGTCTCCTGCTCGTTGAGGAGGAAGTGACGGCCACCGGCGATGACACCAGCGGAGTTCATGCCGGAGATGGCCTTGCCCATGGCGATACCCGTAAGGTAGGGGTCGGATCCGAAAGTCTCGGGGGTTCTTCCGCCGTAAGGGGTGCGGCCGAGCGGGCCGGCCTCGGGTCCGTTGATGAGGTTGTAGCCCATCCCGTAGAACTCGTCACCGATGGCCTTGAACTGCTCCTCGATGAGCTGACGGTTCCAGCTCATGGTCAGGGCGTTGGCCATGCTGAAGCCGGAGACGTAGAACTGATAGTTGATGCCGGAAACACCATCCTTGTTGTTCAGGGCGGTCCAGGTGGCGTTGCCGGTGACGCTCTGGCCGGTGATGATGGAAACCTTGGCGGCGGTGTCGAGAGTCGCAACAAAGGCCTTGGCCTTCTGGTAGGCATCGTCGAAACGGCCGAGGGAGACTATTCATGGCAGGTTAGGTGTAAGTGAAAAACTTTACTTGTAAGAAATGTAAGTACTTACCATATCCGTCGGCGAGAATGGCGTTGGTGAGGGTGGAAGAAGAGTTGGAGGCAGCAAATGCAGAAGAAGCGAAAGAAAGAGCGGCGAGCGCGCCCGCTGAAGTAGAAACCTTCATGCTGGGCAAGAAAAGCGAATGTCTAATAGTGGATGAAGCAAAAGAATGAAACTGGTTGATGGGTGTTCATCTCAAGTCTACATCTTGGCGAAACGTCTGAACTTATATCAAAGTTGTGTTTCCATGTTTTCCTCCTGTTTCCTCCTGTTTGCTCCTGTTTCCTATGGATTGCAGTTTCATGCTCCGCCGTCATCGTTGCGTGGCCGATGGGGCGATAGCGCCGACGTCCCGAGTTTACCTCCGTAGTTCGTGGTGATGATGATCCACGGTGAGCCCCATCCATCGGCGAAGTTCCACGACCCGGCATGTGGGGGATGCTCCCGGACACCGGGCTCAGATCTCGGCCTTATTCTTAAAGGTCTCGTTCTGTGACATGGGAATTCACCTAGATATTGGCAAAAGTATATTCATTCGAATTGTCAAAGTTCATTATATTTTCTGTAAATTTTATCACGATTTGAGGACTATTCTACGCCGAGCTGTTTACTATCAAAGCTCTGGTGTTGAAGTTTGTAAGCGGCGGCGGGAGGCGATATCGCGCGTCGCCAGGAGACTCACGATAAATTAAGGCTGCGAAGCGGGCCACATCTGAGCCACATCTCTAATGGCGTTTAAGTGTCTTTATCATGGAGACTCCGATTTCCCAGGGTCAAATGTATGCGAGAATTCTTTTCCAGGGCGGCGGAAAACCCGGGCCCCATACCGGGAAATCCGAACTCTACGTGGGCGACGCGTGGCTGTCTCCGTAGAGGGACCTCGAATAATGCTGTTCCCTGCTCGACGCGCTAGAAAGTTAGAAACTCTGCAATCGGAGCCCATGGACTTGGGAAAGGGAACTAAAAGAAGCGGCCTCGCCCTTGGGGGCTACCGGGCTAGACTGCGCAATGTTCTAAAAGGGGTATTTTTCTGCTCGCTGATCCCGGAGGCGATCTTGACATCTGCGAGCTAAACCACGTGGATGGTAGCATTGGACTATCCCAATCATAATTCACAAGTGCGCCATTTTGCTTGGCGATGTTATCAGATGGACAATAGTAGCTGAAGTGTTGAACTCTTCAGTTCTCAATCTCAGGTCTTGATGGAAGCAGATCCGTCAGCTAAGTCGGAGGCGTTGAGATGGCTCATGAGATGGCCACTGCGGCTGGATCTCGAGACCAGTTGCACATGGTTACGCGGCAAAGCTTTGCTTGCGTCCGAGGGGCTGATGATAGGGTGACAGTGAGTCGATGGCGAGACATAGGGATAAGAGGGCGGGCGAGGCCGACATCAACAATCAAAACTTTGCATGGTACCCCCCACTCAATCTTTGACAGGAGTCACCGCCATGCCGCTTCGTCACTTACAAAGTTCCTAATCGGCTTGAAAAGAGAGTCCCGCCGGCACAACCACTCCGGAGCCCCTGACGTTGGTGATAACTGTTGACTGTTATGCAGATTGTTACACATTGAAAGCTTTTGAGCCACAGCACCGCCTTGGACCGGACGAACGGCGTGTGAACCCGAGCATATGTCTCAGGATCCGACTCTAGAATTAGAAGAGGGCGGCCGCGCAGGCGATAAACTAGGTAGTAGCACCGGCTCGAGGACGGGTGAGCCGCATCGGCCGGACATAACTCTAGCCCCCCGGCCCGCTTCAAGGGCGATAACCGAAGCTTGGCGATTTTGAGAATGCTTTAAGGAGCCCGAATTCTCCGAGCGGCGATGCATACGTCACCCGCACTGCGATGTCTCTCACCTTATCACGTATTTTGCACTCTAGACTTATAGCCCGCGATGTCGTTAGTGAGGTGCTGAGTAGAGCCAGTGCTTAATTGATGCATTTGACTTCTATGGACCAAAGATCCATAAGCGCCGGAAAGAATAACTTTTACCATCAAAGCATTTTCACACGGCGCGTGTTCGAGTAAGGCTGGTTCTTCTTCCTACTCTTCCTTGGGAATGATCGGTGAGCATTGTCGGTGTGCCTGCAGACCTTGGCCCGTGAGCGGTGAGCCTCGGTAAGAGTTTGAGCACCTTGCTGGGCTCGGTGTGCCCGGTGTGCTGGTGTGGAGCCAATCGGGCGGGCTCTCAAGGTGCCTTAGGCGCCGGCGATTGCATCATCCCGGCCGAGGCGCTCGACAATGCCGAGCCCGGTGCTTGCGACTTTTACGCCTCGTTGTGCATCATCGCCGCGTTTGACACCCAACCACGTACAATCCTATTGCTGTTTCCCTCCCGCATCATCCGGAAACCACGATTGGCCTCATGTTTGCTGTCTAACCTCTTCAATTGTGGTGAGTTGCGCCAATTTCCGCCCATCCCCGTGATAGGATCGTTTATCGATAGCTCGGCCCAGCTCCCTTCACCCCGCCATCCGCTGACATATCTCTCATTGCAGACCCCACGAGGAAGATGATCGAGTTGCGGCGCAGGGCACGATTACGATGATCATCCGAGCCGTCACCAAGGCTCCTTTGGCCTGCCCTCGAGGCATTTCCCACACCCAGTTCTACCGACCGGCATGGCTTCCTCAGAGCCCCCGGGCTCCCATTCGCATCTTCCAAACGAGTGCACCTTCGAGACGCGACCAACCCAAGCCGCCGACGACGACAAAGGTCGATAATGGCGCCGACAAGACCACGGCACAGCCGTCCAAGACAGAACCTGCCAAGTCGAAGAAGAGTACGGTCGTCGATCCTCTCGCAACGCCAGAAAAGTCTACACAGGAGCAGCGCAAGGCCGACTGGGCCATCATGAAGGAGATGTCGCGATACTTGTGGCCCAAGGACAGCTTGAGCACAAAGTTTCGCGTCGGCCTGGCTGTTTCCTTGTTGATTGGCGCAAAGGTCCTGAACGTGCAGGTTCCCTTCTACTTCAAGAGCATCGTGGATTCTATGAATATCGACTTTGGCGCAACCGGCGGCACGGCGGTGACAATAGCGGGGAGTATGATCTTGGCATACGGTGCGACGAGGATAGGCGCCACGATCTTCCAGGAGCTCCGAAACGCCGTCTTTGCTTCCGTTGCCCAGAAGGCCATCCGCCGAGTCGCTTGCAACGTCTTTGATCATCTGCTGCGGCTGGACCTCAGCTTCCATCTTTCCAAGCAGACCGGTGGACTGACAAGGGCAATTGATCGCGGTACCAAGGGCATCAGCTTCTTGCTGACGAGCATGGTCTTCCATATTCTCCCGACTGCACTGGAAATCTCAATGGTCTGCGGTATCCTGACGTACCAGTATGGCGCCAAGTTCGCCGCCATTACAGTGCTCACCATGGTTGGGTACACGGCCTTTACTATCTGGACGACAGCTTGGAGAACAAAGTTCAGGAGACAAGCAAACGCGGCCGACAACAAAGCATCGACAGTTGCCGTAGACTCGCTGATCAACTATGAGGCTGTCAAGTACTTCAACAACGAGAAGTTCGAGGTCGCAAGATACGATCAGGCCCTCCAGGTCTACGAGAAGAGCTCCATCAAAGTCGCAACTTCGCTAGCCTTCCTCAACAGTGGACAGAACATCATATTCTCTTCGGCGCTGACAGCCATGATGTATCTGGCTGCTAACGGTGTTGCCCAAGGCACGCTTACTGTCGGTGACCTCGTCATGGTTAACCAGCTCGTGTTCCAGCTCTCCGTACCCCTCAACTTTCTTGGTTCCGTCTACCGTGAGCTTCGCCAGTCATTGCTCGACATGGAGACGCTCTTCAACCTGCAAAAGGTCAACGTCTCCATCAAGGACGCGCCCGACGCCAAACCCCTGGCTCTGTCCAAGGGTGGACAGATTAGATTCGAAAACGTCACCTTTGGCTACCACCCTGATCGCCCCATCCTCCGCAACCTGTCTCTTACCATCCCGGCTGGCAAGAAGGTCGCCGTCGTCGGTCCCAGTGGCTGCGGAAAGTCTACCTTGCTCCGACTCCTCTTCCGTTCCTACGACGCGCAGTCTGGCCGCATCTTTGTCGACGATCAGGATATTCGCCAAGTTCAGGTGGACTCTCTCCGCCGGGCCATTGGCGTTGTTCCCCAGGACACCCCGCTTTTCAACGACACCATCGAGCACAACATCCGATATGGCGACATGTCAGCACCCCCGGAGCGCGTCATCGCCGCCGCTCAGCGCGCGCGCATCCACGAAATCATTGAGCGGTTCCCCGATGGATACCAGACCAAGGTGGGAGAGCGTGGCTTGATGATTTCCGGCGGCGAGAAGCAGCGTCTGGCCGTCAGCAGACTCCTTCTCAAGGACCCGCCTCTTCTCTTCTTCGATGAGGCCACCAGCGCGTTGGATACCCACACTGAGCAGGCTTTGATGCTCAACATTAACAGCATTCTTCGTGAAAAGGCACGGACCAGTGTATTCGTGGCCCACAGACTGCGCACCATTTTCGACGCGGACCTCATCATCGTACTGAAGGAGGGTAACGTAGCCGAGATGGGTACCCATCGTGAGCTTATTGACAGGGGTGGACTCTATGCTGAGCTCTGGAGTGGTAAGTCGCTCGCTTTCCTCAATTGCGGTGACCTGACTGACGTCTTTGTAGCTCAAGAAACCCTGTTCGATGCCGATGGTCAAGAACGCGAGCAACCAGAGGAGGATACGAAGAAGCCACCTGCGGCACGCTAAAGATACCATGTCCATTCAGTTTTTTATTCGAGAGCATAACAAGCATTCCGCTTTACCTTACCCTAGAAATTACCTCTCCTTCGTGAATGCTATGGCCGAAAGAGACTATCGTCCGTCTTCTTCCTAGGAACTCTGCCCTTTCGCCGCCGCTGCCGTGCGGATAGATACGACATCCGATATCTCCAACCGGTGACGCTGGCTCTTCCATGATTCGGCAACCAGGTATCTTTGGGTTCCGCCGTGCTCGTCCAAGTCGGTATCTCCTCAATCAAGAAATCATGGGGTGCTGTACTCTTGTCGGCCGATCTCAGCGCCCCGTTTGCCCATGCCGCGATCATATCCCACTTGTAGCCGTAAAGAAATGCCAAGCCTATGACCCCGAATGTGACGGGGAGGGCCGAGATCCAGAAGATCTTCTGGTCGTAGTCGGTATCTCTGATGTCGGTTGTGTTCATTCCGAAAAAGCTCGTAACGAATGACCTGAGGACGATAGTCAGTCCCAAGTACCGTTGACAGAGTAGAATGCGAGGAGAGCCGCAAAGGAGAGGGCACTCACAGTGGCAGAAAGAACAATGTCACTATGGTAAACACCCGAATCGCCTTTCCATGGCCCTCGTCAAGGATTTCAATCCTCTGCTTCGTCTCGTCTCTCAACACCCTTACCTTCTTCCGAAGAACTCCAAGCGCCCTGTCGCGCTCCGCCAATCGTCGCTGCTGCCTGCGTACGCACTTGCTCTCAAGCTTGAAAAGAGATTTCCGTTCCTTATAGTAGATCCAGTCGGTCATGGGGTGCTTGAAGTTCAACGGGGAAAAGAGCCTCTGGTACGCCCTCAATAGCCCTTGCTGCGAAGCGACCACCATCTGCAAAGCCTCCAACTCCTCTTCAAGAGCATGGATCTCAACAAAAGCCTGCCGCTTCGGCTTTCGATTGGTGTTGAACCGGAGCCTGGCGGTGTGGGCTCGGTAGTGACTGATGAGATCGACCTTTTCGTTGGTACCTTGCTTGGATATGTTATTCTGCAGGTTGCTTATCAGCGCAATTGCCAGGAACTCGGGGCCTATTGGCGCGATGATGATCCTGTCCATGTCACCCCTGCTGGTCCCCAATAGGATAATGTCCTCCTTCGCTCGGTCGAGGTGATTGCGAACACGCTCTGAGATTGCTGCCGCATTCCTCTTGAGATCCATCAAACGTCGCTCAGCATGACGGCCGTATAACGAATCAGGAGTGACAGTGAGTCTGTTCATCCAGGAGATTTCCTTAGCTTTTAGTACGAAAAGGCCAATGATCCGCTCAAAGGCCTCAACTAGGCTATTAGGCAGATGAGGCCGGCTGTCATGGCAGTCGACCGAGTCTCCCAGGCTGGTCACGCTCATGACCAGCTTGTGGAGTTCCTCCGTCCGGTCAACCATGTCTAGCAACTCTTCACAGAATAGTTCTAGACACGAAACCACTTCGTTCCTAGGAGCTGTCTTCGATCTGATAGTCCAGGATTCTTCGACTGCGTGGCGGCGGATCCAAACGAAACAGGGATCATCAAACACCCGGCCCTTTTTCGCTTGGTGCAGACAGGGAGTTCTCATGTGAACCTTGTGCCAATGGTCGAGTGCTTCTTCTGGTGACAAGTACCCTTTCACCTTGTCGCACTCATCGCAATCGCTCAGAGCTTTAGAGCCTGAGATCGAGGCTGACTCCCCTGGCGGAAAGGGGGTGGTTGGCCGTGTTACAAACCAGGAAAGCTGATCCGTTCCTTTCATCTCATCGATCGACCACTGAAGCCCCTGAAAGATGTCAGTTCAGACATAAGCATTTTGCTTGCAGCCCTCACCCTCAATATCGCGTCAACTGAACCCCAGAATCGTTTACAGACCGGGTGATGAACGAGACGCCCCTCGTCGGGAAGAAACGCGCTAAGCATACTCTGAGAAACGCTAAAGATTCTCGACAGAAGGAATGATTCATGGTCCTCTTTAGAATCCATCAGTTTCCAAGGATCATTCCCAGATCGGAGATCTTCGCACGATGAACTGTGTACAGGTTGGCGAAAGTGTGTGTTAGGTTCAACCTTCGGGTCCAACTCATTTTCTTCGTTTTCGGTAGACCCAAACAACGTTGACGCTTGAGCTACAAGGCTTCCGGTAGATCCCCCAAGTTCAGTGCTGTTTTTTAGGTCTGGTTCTTGTACATTGGCGTCACCTACGGGGTTCGATCCTGGATTGACGTCCGGCCTCGAGTAAGTCTGCGCCACGCCCTCAGTTGCCTCTCCAGTTGGTTTGGGGGGAGATAATTGTAGCATGCTAGCCAGCCGCTGGGTAAGCTCGCCCTTGGTACATTCAAAAGAAGCCTTGTACCATTTCCCGATCCTATCCGACTCGATGGTCGCGTTCAAATTACCTAGTAGCTGAGTAAGGGTCTTTTCAATCTCCGACTGTGATCTCTTGTCGTCGTCCCATGTTAATCTCCAGGCAAGAAATGGTACAAAGTTAAGATCGCCTAGACTCAGTGGCGGTAAGCTTGTGGAGGGAAAACTCGTCCCAAATCCCCGATCGGGAGTTTGTCTAGTCCACGAGCCGCTGAACGAACTTGCATCACTGCGTGTTCTTCTGAACTGCTCCTGATCAGTGAGCCAAGATGGAAGTGGCTCTGCTTCTAAAGGAGAGTCGCGGGCATAAGTAAAGCTTGGAGTTCTTGAACGGTTTCGACTTCGTCTATGACGTGATACAGGAACGTTGGACGTGAGGTTCGATCTCAAACTCCTCGTTGACATAGGTCGAGTTGTTTGTCTGTGAATTCGTGGGAGAATGAATCTTCTTTCCTCGACAACCTCGGCATATGACTGGCCAGGCTGTAATCGCGGGCTACCAGTCTGCACGAGGAAACTATTGTTAGCTTCGTCTCGTCATGAAAATGATGTAATTACGTACTGTTTCACTCGTCTGATTCGATTCTACCGTTTCTTTTTTAAGCTTGAAGAGCCTGGGGGCTTCAGCACCCCCAAGCGAGACAGATGACTCAAAGTTGGCTATGTTTCTCATCCTAAAGCTTATTTCCGACATGGATGTAGTCAAGTCGACAGTGCCATCGAGTGAGGAATTATCAATGCCCAAGTGTGAGTCAAACGACATGGTTGAAGTTTCAAACGTGTCGCTTCCTACCTGGTCTAACCCGTCTTCTGAAGGACTCGGAGAGTCACCACCATATTCCCACATACCAGGATGCAGTACTATCTGCATATCCATGTCGATCGGATTCAAGTTTGTGGCTCTCGAGTCCGACCTGAATGAACTAGGTGAGTGGCGGAGAATCATCAGTACATATGGCGCATAAAGACGTAAGATCTCATTCATATCTTACCTCCGGCGTGACGCTCTGCGGCTGCCCAGATTGCTCCTGCTCCCCGCAGTGAGGAGCTTCTCCGACAAAGCAAGGAATTCCTCGTTAGGTCTCCGCTGCGCCTCGTGTTTCTCTCGGATTCCGAAGACATAGTTCTCAATTGTCTCACTCGCAAGTAAGTTCAGCCAGATATCTGCTGTGATTATGCCCCAATAATCGTTGACTAGCACGTAAGCAGCTGCATTCACAGGACCTTGTCCCTTCAGTGCCAGTGCCACCGCGTGCTTCAGGAAGTCCTCCAATTCTTAGTAAGATTCCTGGTAGGATGAAGCTGGTGTCAGCAGTGAACTCACTGCATATTTCCAGTCTGCTTTAACGACAACATGATACCGGCACATGTCTTGTTCGTCAATGAGCCTGACGGTGTAAAGTCCTACAGATGATTTTGTCCGGTCAATCTTGATCATATTTTGTTGTATCTCCGGCGACAAAAGTTCTGAAAAGGTGATAATCAGGTCTGATATGGTCAGGAGGTGTAAGCGAGTGCCTCTGACGTGCGCGACTGGCGACTATTTAGTAGATGGAAAACTTACCTGCACCAACTATCAACGTCCAAATTTGCGGAACCTTCAATTTGGGTGGTTCATCCTCGTCAAGCTTGTGATTCCGTCCTCGAGACTCGTTATTGGACTGTGTTTCATCGTCATAGCCATAGAGAACTTCTCGAAGACTCCTCATATAGTGCTTCCCGGGAAACCTTTTGGTTGGGCGCTTGTCGGTAAGAAGAAGGTGAGGTGAAGAGACGAAGACTACAGGTTCGGTATCAGTGGCGTCTTCGTCTTCATAGACCCCAAATGAGCTGTTGTATCTCCCAATGTATTGGATAACAGAGCCAGGTTCGAGGTAGGAGCCATTTTCTGAGGATCTCTCACATTTCGCAGTGACTTCTTTGAGAACTGCGAGTGCTACTAGTCTTAGTGATTGGGATATATATGGACAGTCTGAAATCAGAGTCTTTACTTGTCGGTCAGTGACCACGATTCCGTGTTTGTGAAGTTGTTCACAACTGTTCAAAGCTTACCTCCATAGTCGCGATATTCAAGGACTCGGACTGTACGTGTCTAAATTATTTCTTGTCAGATTCGACATTTGCCTCATTATTTGGGTTATTCTCACAACCATCTTAACCGAACAAGGGACTCATCTGTAGCCCCAAACTCGTAGTCCTCCGGGCAGGCAAGAGTGACCTTTTGGTTGCCGGCTCGATCCTTATAGAACTCTGCTGCATGCACTGTATTGAGCTCCGTTTTAGCTCCATTAATGAGATCTGACTTTTCTTGATTCCAAGCCAGAAGTTTTCCAGCAGTAGAGTTCATCTCATTGTCCATGGACGATTTTGTGCTGTTCAGGTTTAGAACCCCTGAGTAGATCACTGGACCTTCAAAATCGTCCCAATCCCAATCCGTGTCATCTGGCGTCGACTCTCTGTCCTCGTTTCCAGAGAAGTCTTTGATTTCTCCCGTCTGTAGATGCGGCGTCTCTGTATCAGGTGCGTTGACGTTGATCCAGTCATAGCCTCCATCTTCAACCTGAGGGGCCGCTTCACCGCTATCACCGATTTCCGAAGTGCCTTGGTCTGAACTTCGGATTCTTTTGCTGAGTTCGAGAAGTTCCTCAATGTGATTTTGTCCGAGTGCCAGCTGAACAATAATGGTGTCTCCATCCTCGGCAAAGGAGTATCCAAGGTGTATCAACGCGCGCTTGGAAACAATTCGTGCAGGAATGCGCGTCGTGCCTCGCTTTGGGCGAGAGTCGCGTTGAAAGGAGCTGACACTGGGCGTTGGTGACCGGGAAGGCGAGCTTGGTGAGTCTGACCAATCCTCGAACCCATCTTCTTCGAAACGGATCTGCTTAGGCGTGGCGGCCATATCTGCGGCGGCAAGGGAGAGTTGCTAAGCATGAAATGTTCTGAAGCTAGAAGCCCTTGGTTGGTAGGTCCGATGGCTTCGGCTACGCAAGGCTCAGAAGCCAACCCATCGCGGCGGTCAGTGACAATTGAAGCTCGATAATTTTAGTGCTGATGGAATTTGCGATAGCCATATCTCTCGCAGCCTTGCTTACTTAGGACGCTGCTCTGAGCTAAACTCAGCTGGGGTCCAGCTCTGCAAGGGTTGCATGCATCATGACGCAGCTTATGATGCACTTCCTCCACACACCATTGTAGCATCGTGCTCATCCAGCCTCCTTAAAACGATGGCGGGAGATCACCAACATTTTAAAGGAGGGAGACGGAAATTTCTGCGTGCAAATTGGCGCTGAGGTCAAATCTGACTTGTTCCGCGAAACCCACATAACAATATTTGCTTTCTAATGACAAGTAAGGGGCCAAGATAAGTTGCTGATTTCACATCCACGTTGTTCAAATTCTGAGCAGCTTATCGAGATTCGAGTCAACTCTTGTACGCATGGTCGACGCGTTGAGGATGGATACCTGTGGACTCGTCTAAGAAGAAGATGGTAGCTTCCATCGGAACGAACAGTATTCAAGGCCAATTCAACCCACACATCATCCAACAATTCCTCGGTAGTTTGTAAACTGTTAAAGTTAGATCGATGGAACCATGATGCTTCAGACTAGTTTAGCAGTGGCGCCCGAGTCAACTTCTATTGACTTGCGGCTCAAGGTGACGGCGGACAAAACCCACTGCCTCCGCACCATGTTTCGGCGGCATCACGACGAGCCCGAGTCACCGACCCACTTGACGGAGATGTTTGTTTTCTCCGGCCGGCCTCATGAAAGGACATTTCTCAAAGGCAACTCTCTATGACATATGGTGATTCAGATCATATAAGAATATGCCGTCTGAACTGTCCTCGATTTTCGCTTCCCCTTCTCCTTGTTCACACCACACTGTACGCATTTAAACGCAGCTATACGTTACGGCATCTGAACTCAAGCAACAACACAGACACACACCAAACTTGCCATTCCCGGGTTGAGCATGACGTTCATTGAGAACCTTGCTGTCCCTAAGGGATCAATTGCCGTGATCACTGGCGCTAATGGCTACATTGCGTCTCACATCGCAGACCAGTTCATTCGACATGGGTATAAAGTCCGCGGAACGGTCCGTAACCCGAAGAAGAGTGCTTGGCTTGTCCCACACTTTGAGAAGAAGTACGGGGTAGGGAAATTTGAACTACACGTGATTCCTGATATGCAGGTTGATGGCGCGTATGATGAGGCTATCAAAGGTAAGTGCTGCTGTGGCCCCCGAACAAAGCATCAAGCTCCGAGAACCCGCCCTGCTTCATGCATGCACTTTCGAGTGCACCGTTTATATGTAGGATCATCTGACTAAATATCATAGGGGCATCAATTTTCGTACACACTGCTACCGTCATCGACTTCAACGGCGACCCAGCCGAAGTGATCGGAGGTGCAGTGAAATGCGGAATGGTCGCTATCAAGGCAGCATACAAGGAACCGAACATGAAACGGTTCGTCCTTACTTCATCAGCCTCAACTCTCATGCCACTCAAGAAGGAAAACTTCTTTGCCCTAAAGGGCCAGACGGTGGATGTGGACACATTTGGTCACGACGCCAAGGAACTGGCTTGGGCGCCTCCTCCTTGGGGTGTTGAACACGGCGGAGCGATTTACGGCGCGAGTAAGATGGAGCAAGAGCAGAGCATCTGGAAGTTCTACGAAGAGAACAAAACCAATCGGCCAGATATCGTGGTGAACTCGAGTAAGTTGACGTCCAATACTGTCTGATGCAACATAGAAGAAGCCTCGTTCATGACACGACCGCACATGCTTACTCTCATCCTCTCTGCTAGTTGTTCCAGACTTCAACTTTGGAAGAAGCATTGACCCGTCTCAAACTGGAGGCTCGTCATCGTTCGGCCTCATCGTCGAGCTCTTTGAGGGAAAGACTCTTCCCGAGCTTTGGCATCTTCCCCACTACTTCGTCGACGTCGAGGATGATGCTGCCCTGCACGTTGCGGCGGCTATTCTGCCTGATGTCGAGGGTGAACGCATCTTCGCGTTTGCCTACCCAATGAACTGGGACATCATCTTGAATATCCTTCGGAAGCAGAATCCGGGGAGGAAGTTTGCCGAGAACTTCCACAATGATGAATACCCTGTGACAGTGAAGCCCATTGCGAGGGCAGAGAGCCTGCTGAAGAAGCTAGGCAGGCCGGGTTGGATCTCTTTGGAGCAAAGCATCGCGACCAATACCGAGCACCTGAAGACTCTGGACAATGCATAGACGGATTTCAACGAGCTTCACTAGAAATCAGACGAGATTTTGAACAGATATGGGATGCAATATGATGCACAATCACCGCCCGACCAGGGTCTTGGGACGTCATTAAGGGAAAGATGCTTACGCGCTTACACCCGTTCGTTCATAAGAACGCGGGTTGGTAGCACCCTGAATTAGCGCAATCCTTCGTGCGCACCTCACTGGCTGTCTCGGAAACAGAAGCGAGCGAGATGATTTGATTGAAGATGCCGTTGTGTTTGCGATGTGCGGTGACTGTACACGCGTTCCTGGATTATGAACCCCTCAATGAGGATTGGCCAGTTATATGCATGTTTTCTTCGATCCTTCAACTCTAACCTTGGCTATCCATGTTCATGACGAGTTGAACGAGCCTAGTGTAACATTCCCAATCCAGCGATACGCACCGGCGGGATAACTCAAAGGCAAACTTCGGATGATGGAATGGTGCGCCTCCGAGACAAAAACAACGGTCTATCTACCCCTCACCGACGCCACATCTCTTTTATCATCATCAAGTGCCTCAATAATCTTGGGGGTAGTTGCCTGTCAGACAGCTGGCGATGGCTTCGACCAATACTTCCGAGTCATTTGGCAGCAACCAAGGACTCTTGCAGTCGCTCCAACAACATGCGACATCACCAACCATCACCTGGCTGTTGCTACCGCTCATCGGTATAGCATTCCTGCGCCATGTCTTGCGACCAAAGGCAAACGAGCCCCCGAGCTTGCCGGGCCTCATCCCCTATGTCTCGAATACATATCAGTACATCACCGACAACAGCAGATTCCTCGAGCGCGCCACCGAAGCACTGAAGAAAAGCAGCGTCGTGAAGTTCAACCTCGGCGCCGACACTGTATATCTCGTTGCAGGCTCTCACAACGTGCAGAAGCTGTTTCGCAACAGCTCGAATAACACGCTCAGCTCGGACAAGTTCATCGTCATGGTCAATGGGCGAGTGCAAGGAATGACTGACGAGGACGTGGCGGTAATGTACAACGATAGATCTGGTCGTCTAAAGACCCCGGCTGCGGGAACCGAGAGCATGCCCGAAAATCAGAGGTTCTGGGTCGGCTTGCATCACGTCTTCAACGAGCACCTTTTCCGCGCCGAGGCTACCGCGAGGTTGGCGGAGTCGTTCATCACCTTTTTCGGCGAGAAGCTCGATCAGCAGCCCCGCGATGAGTGGAAAACCTTGCAACTGTTCAAGTATCTCAAAAAGGATATGGCAGAAGCAGCGACAATCTCGCTTGCAGGGCGAAAGCTGATTGAGGACCATCCGGAATTCGTCGACACCTTCTGGGAATTCGACACCATTGCGATGCAGCTCATGTATGGCCTTCCAACTTGGATTAATCCAAGACCAAAACAGATTCAGCGCAAAACTCTAGCCATGATGTCGGACTTCCTGACTGACGCGTGGGCCAAGTTTGACTGGAACGGGCCCGATGCCGACGCGGACTGGGAACCGATCTTTGGCTCGAGACTCCAACGTGAACACTCAAAATTTTGGGAGAAAAAAAGATTCTCGCTTCAATCGCGTGCTGGGATGTACATTGGAAGTATCACAGGGTACGGAACGCAGTTTCTCTCTGATTGTGGAAGTCACCTGACTGACATGAATACTTTCGAGTAGCATCAATTCGAATTCCGTGCCCCAAACGGCCTGGGCTGTCATGGAAGTGGTAAAGGATCGGTCGCTCTTCCAGGCGGTCCGCCAAGAGGTTGATTCGGTGTCCATCATTGATCCCAAGACTGGAAAGCCAACCTTTGATGTGGGAGAACTAGTGACCCTGCCTTTGCTTCAGTCCATCTACGTGGAGACACTACGAATGCACGTGTCCATCAACATCACTCGTGAAGTTATGGAACCAATGGAACTGGATGGGTATCATCTCAGTAAAGGCTCTTTGGTGCAGGCACCGACGCAGATTGGGCATCGCGAAGAGTCAGTGTGGGGTGTAGAGGGGCACCCTGCGTCGGAATTCTGGGCGGAACGTCATATCAAATACGTCGAAAAAGAGGATGAAGATGGCAAACTTCAGAGAGTCAAGGAGTTTGCCGTAGCCGGAAGACCGAGCGATTTCTTTCCATATGGTAAGCCGAATACACCTAAAGTAGTAATCCCCATGATCCTGGCTAACATGCGCGTTGTAGGTGGTGGTGTATCCATGTGTCCAGGGCGTTTCTTTGCTAAGCAGGAGATCATGCTTGCTGTCGCTATGATTGCGTCTCGGTTTGATATTGAATTTGAAGATTGGGTCAACTTTGATGGGTCGCATTCGGAAAGGCCTCCTATGAATGATAGGGCGTATGTAGGTGCGGGAGCTGTACCGCCCGACAGAGACATGCGAATACGCTGGAAGAGACGATGGTAAATCATGTTAGACTGCGGTTGAATCTGAATGTTGCTTTCCATGGACAGGTTTGCGAGAACACGTCAAAAATTGGCACAATTGAAGCCGTGGCGCACTACTTCGGGTTGGGTGACTCAATGAGTTGTACCTGCATATTGAGAAGTAAAAGGGTTGTAATAGTGCCATTAAGGTCATGATCATTATGGGTTAACTATGAATACAACAAGGTATAGGTACAGTGCTCGCTTTCATCAAACAAATTCCTTAATTCATCCGGTAAACAGCATCCTTCTTGAAGTATCTGCTGATATCGTTGTCCTCGCCGCACTTGGTGCAGGTGTGGAAAACCTTGGCTCCATCATGTCCTGGGCCGTAATGGTCAGGACCCATTCCTTGGGGTCCCGGGCCGGTGGTGCCAGGGACATGAGAAGAGTGCGTACCTTGGTTCAGACCGGAAGATCCAGTGTGTCCTCCGAGACCAGTGCCAGCAACGTTGCTGTGGGTGGTGCCGTGAGTGCCGGTAGGAGACTGGTTGTAGGGATCGAGCATGCTGGTCTTGGGCACACCAGGCTCGTTGCCGGTGAGGCTGGAGCGGTGGTGGTCATGGACACCACCAGCGTGGGTGCCAGTGACACCACCGTGGGTTCCGTGGGTGTTGTGGCCAACAGGAGAGTTGACGCCGCCAACAGTGTTGTTGCCTCCGAGACCAGACTCATGCAAGTCATCGCGGTGATGTCTGTGGGCAGCCTGGCCAGCAGCCACGGCGGCTCCAGCACCAACGCCAGCACCAAGACCAGCACCGGCAGCTCCGTGTCCGGTGCGCTCACGGCCCATGTCTCTGTCTCTCATGCGAGTGTCGTACGGGTCGTTGACGTTGCCGCCGGATAAAGCCGCCTGGGGGTTGTGAGCAGCGCTGTGGACGCCGCTGTAGGGGTCACTGCCGGCACCCCCGACTCCAGCACCGGAGCCGTGGGGGTGAGTGAAGTCGCGTCCCTCCATAGAACGGTCGACGCTGGACGCAGGATCGTGGTGTGTTGACGCCGCAGGGTTGTAGTGTCCACCACCAACGGCCTGAGGACCTCCGTGGCCGACGGCAGACTCATTGGGGCGCAGGGGCAAGTCCTTGTTCACAGCAGAGCCATCACGGCCAACGTCGCCCCAGTAGGGGTCCTGAGCATTGGCGCGCTCAGCGTTGGCGAGGTACTCGCCCTTGTAGGGCTTGTTGTGGCCAACACCGTGGCCGACCTCGACACCGGAGTCATGGGGACGGTGGGTGCCAGTGAGACCTGCACCTGGCGCGCCGCGGTGGTCGCGGTCCGAATCAACTCTGGGATCCAGCTTGTTGGCAGCTCTGCCGGAGTGAGGGCCGTGAACTCCATCGGGGTCGTTGTACCCGGTGGTGGTGTTGCCAGCGACACCTCCAACTCCGCCGGTAGCACCGTGAGTGTTGCTGTGCAGACCTCCGGCATGGCCGGTGCCGGTGGTGTTGTCGTAGGTGTTGCTGCCAGTGAGACCAGTAGTGGGAGCACCACGGTGGTCGCGATCGGAGTCGACTCTGGGGTCGAGCTTGTTGGCAGCTCTTCCTCCGTGCGGGCCGTGGACACCATCGGGGTCGTTGTAGCCCGTGGTGGTGTTGCTGTATCCTGCGGAGTTGCTGCCGGACAAGCCTCCAGTGTGGCCGGTGGTTGTGCCGTGAGTGGCGCCGTGGGTGTTGCCAGTCAAGCCGGAGGTGGGCGCGTCGCGGTGGTCTCGGTCAGAGTCCACTCTCGGGTCGGCCTTGTTCGCTAGTCTTCCGCCGTGGGGCCCGTGAACTCCATCGGGATCGTTGTAGCCAGTAGTGGTGTTGCTGGTGTGATGCGTGCCGGTACCGGTGGTACCAGGGATATGGCTTCCGGTGGTGCCGGTGGTGCCCCCGGTGTAGCCACCGGTTGTGTTCTTGGAGGTTCCGGTTGTGGTAGAGTCGGAGGGGAATGCTCCGGGTGGCTGGTCGCCCTCGTATGTGGTCTTTTGAGGGTGATCGTCGCTGTGGAGGGCGTTCTTGATCTTAGCTCCCAAACCCATGATTGCTGATTGACTTATTGATGTTGTAGAGGTAGTAAAGAGTTATTGGAATGGCAAAGTATAAGGGCTCGAGGCTCGATTTTCGGGGTATCAAAGTAACTTGTGTTTTGTTGTTGGTATCAAATTGTGTTGTTGAGTATTCTTCTGAGTCGATTAAGCCGAGGGACAGAGAGCATCAAATACTGCTTCTCGACGCACGATGTTCATCCATTCTCGTCCAACAACCAGCGTGATGTCACCTTCGTCAACTTCTCTATCCTAGAGGTCCAGACCATCTTGCCGCCGTCTTCGCAGCATCAGCAGGCCATGTCTCAGCTCCGAATTGTGTTGCTATGAGCTCATGTGGAGTTCCGCTGGCAAGACACTGAGCTCCCGAGCGCAAAACTTCGGTTCGAGAAGCACCTTCATGACGGCGAGGGAGGGATTCATGACGTGAACTGCGGGGATGTGTGGTCGAACTTCCATCCGCTCCCGCAGTAGTGGAAGCTTGTCTCCGGTCTTGGACGCGCTCCGGCACACGGATCCGAGGAGGTTCGCCCTTGAAAACAGGGAAACGGCCTCTCCACTCACGATGTGGGATGTCCCTCCATTGGCAGTCGTCATTTAGGAGGGGCGCCACGAGAACACCCGCCACACGGTTACGTTACCCCAGGAAATTCAGGTTTAGCTAGTGCCACAGTGGCTGTCATATGTGGCGTTGTCTGATGGATGGGGATCTGCTGGGTGCAGAATTCAGTCTTGACGGTTCTGACGCTTGAGATCCAGTCGATGGCACCGGCTGACGCGGCGAGAGTCTCTCATTTGTCAAAGTCCTTGACAGAAATCCTGGAAATTGCACGGCCAACAATGGCCCTCTGTGAGGTTAGTGTAACTCAAGCAGAGAGGGGTTTGAGACGAGAATAGCCGATGGCAACTGTCAATGTGGAGGTAAAGCCCAATTATGACGCGGTTGTGCAACCAACATGAAGATTAACGCAAACAAGCTCATTCTTCGTCCTTGAGAGCTGAATCTTGTGCAAGATAGCGCAGAATCAGCAATATGAGGCGTTCAACACCGTCTGCTACGTGATTTCGAGACCATCACCAGGCAAAGTCCCTGTCGTTGCCATGCTTCAATTGCCTGCCGCCTGTCTCTTCGTTCTCTGGGTGCCTGGCCTTTAGGATTGCTTCTGCTGGCTGTGCCTTGTAAGCGCTAAGCTGTTAATCCATGTACCCTGCCCTGTTGAATGGGTTCATCTGCTCAGTCGCTGTTCCTGATCCGCGGCACCACCCCAATCTTCTTTTCTCCGACAAAACTCAATTCTACGACATGCGGCAGCCTTCTTCGCTTGCATTGACTCCTTATCAAGCACTACAGCAGTCAATGTAACTTGGGGGCCCTCTGAGGCCAAAATCTGATGAGCTTTGGTTCGTCGATGGCAGGCCTCCATGTTCAGACTTGGCAAGGGTTGAGGGTAGCTTGCGCCCGAGACAGCAGCCATTTGGGGGATTCTCGTCTCTTTACCCCGCCTGAAATCCTGCGCTTAACTCTCTCGTCAGCTTTCTAAATCATGGAGGCTGTTCCTGATGGAGGCGTTCAGTCGCGGGGGGAATGCCCATCTCTTTATAACCGTGTTATATCGGATAGAATGTGCCGTGCGAAATGACTGGTCTCACGCAAGTTTCTCGGCTTTCGAGTGACATACCAAGCATCCTACTGAGAGCTAGCTCAATCATTTAGTCCACCGCGTTCTCCGTGCCGATACCGCTGCCAACATGCTGAACCGCCGTGGGCCAATCTCGAAAATCGTCGGCAGCGCTGTCGATGCCGCGAAGAAATTCCAGTCAGATCAGAAACCACCGTCAGCAACGCAAAAGACCAACAATGTGCCCATACAGCCAGTCCAAGTAGGGCCATCGGTCGCATCTGGTCATACAACAGTAGCCCAACATCAAGCGACGGGGGATGATTCCGACGTTGACGAAGATTGGACCCTAGCGCTAGATGAAGCTCAGCAAGCACAGTCACAGTCCTCCGGCAATCAATATGGGGCACCAGTTGAAGACATCGAGGGAATGCTGTCAGAATTCATCGTTCAACACCCGCCACCAGAGACCTCTGGCCTCGGAAGCGAGAAGCATGGTCTGCCAATGCCAGTCATACTCCCGCAACGTCGCCCCGAGTCTCGACACCGCGGTTTCGTGCGAGCCTACGCCCCGGTCCTACAAGAATGCGGCATAGATCAAGCCACCTGGCTCGAGTTCCTCGATGGCTTCGAGAACAGCATCAAAGGAAGTCCGTGGTTCGGGGTCGTGAATGCCGGCGTCATGGGCGCAGATCTCGCTCACACAATCGTTGGTGGGTTCGCGCCCATTACAATGCTGGTGACGCTCTCAGTGCAAACGGGGCTTGAGGCATCGCGCAGGGGTTACGTGAACTACAAACAAAACAACTACCTCGAAGTCATGAACGAAAACTTCTTCAAACCTCGAGGCTTGTATGCTCTTGTTGTAAAGTACAAGCCGTCTAGCAGCGAAGTCGTGGAGAACATCGATCTGGATCACAATATCACCCAGGCCGTAGAAGGCAGCGAGAAACAGAGCAAGTGGAAGAAGCTACTGCACTCGGGTTCGAGTATGACAAAGAGCGAGGCTGAGATCCCCGAGCCAGCGCCGCTCGTCTTTCCTCAACTCGACAAGATGGATGAAGGGCAAAAGCAAAACATGGTGAAGAAGTTCGGAGACTCCATCTCGAAGTACTACGATCGAAAGGCGACAGACAGATTCAGGAAAGAACATCCTGATTCGAAGCTCATGCAAGAGGATTCGTCTGCAGAAGAAGGCCCAGAGGCTTCGAGTTCGACGGAGGGGCACAAGGGCCCCATTCGACGTCTGAAGCAGAGACGACAGGAACGCTTCGAGGTATCAGGCAGAGAGCGAAAATTTGGAAAGGAAGCTCGCGAGAAGCGGAAGAGGAACCGACCGCTGAAGAGGTTGATGCGACAAGATGCTCTGTACCTGATGGTTGTCAACCTCCCAACTTCGGATGAGATGGATGCGGTCCTTGCTCAAGTCGAAGGACAGTGAGTAAGCTCTCAAACGACGAAGGTTGTATCTAGATAGACTGCTTAATTTCTTGAGAGGAACAGGTTGTTAATGTCTCCGTCTTTCATCATGAATCTGACTTCTCAATATTAAGTAGCCCATTACGCCTACATAGATTTCGTATCGACATTCTGCACCCCCTTTCCAGTGACTGAAATCTCTTGTGAGGCCGAATCTTCAATGCTCGCCTCCAAAATCCTAGGTCCTTCGAACTTTGCGGCAATTTCTTCCAGCTTGAGGCCTTTGGTCTCCACAAACGTAAAGTATGCTATAACGAGGAAGATCACATTCCAGGAAGCGTTGATGAAGTAAAACTTCCATCCCAAATCTGCCATTGCGTATGCCATTGTGAATGAAGCCAACAGACTACTCAATGTCAGCAGAGAGTTTTGAAACGAACAGCGTGGTAAACTTACCCGAAGCCAGAGTCTAGCATGCGGAAGATTGCGATTCCCGTAGCTCGGAGCTTGTACTGCGAAACTTCCGTGGGATACAGACTGGTCATTGGCGTGATGGAAAAGGCGTAGAACCCTTGGAACAGGAAGATGACTGCAATCGTGCCGTAGATTCCGGATTGGTTGGTTGATTCGCCATATGCTTAGGAGATGTTAGTCATTTTCTCCCGCTCATGCCACGCTCCCTGCAAATATGCCGGCTGAAGGTGTGGACCAGAACTCACTCTTGATAAGGCCGCCCACAATGTAGAGCATGGCGATCATGCCGCCCACGCCAATGAAAGTCTGCTTCCTTCTACCTACTATATCGAGCATGAAGCTGCCAAAGACTGCAACAGCAAATGACCAACAGTTCAGGATGACTTGAATCTGTGTTTGCTTCACTGTGTCTCTGATACCAGCCTGATTCAAAATCTTTGTAAGGTAAGACCTAGACCCGGGTAAGCCAAATTAGAAGTCAGGGTATCTGAAGGATGGCACTTACGAGATGATAAAGTTGCCAAACATGTTGATCATGGGACCAAATGTGCAGAGAATGGCGAGGCGTTTCCGGTTGGCGGGGGTGGATACAATCTCTCTCCACGGGTTTCGAGGGTACTCTGCTTCCTCCTTCTTCATAATGCTTCTAATCTCATCCAAGCTCTCCTGACCTTGTTGCATATCTTCAACGCCCTGACCTTGCATGATCACAAGAACCTCAAGAGCCTCATCATCGCGGCCTTTCGCAATCAGCCAACGAGGCGACTCCGGAACGAATGGCACTAGTACAACTGCCAACAAGCTAGGGACGAATTGAAGCAGAGAGGGCAGACGCCAGGACCAAGTACTTTGGATGTTTTGGCTGCCATAGTTGACAATAGCCGAGGCCAAGCTTCCCACGTAGAAACAAGAGAAGAAGAGACCGAGAATTCGGCCGCGCTTGCGAGCTGGCAGAAGTTCTCCGAGCAGAGTGGGAGCAGCGCCATTGCTGATCGCAGAACCGATGCCAACGATGATCCGAGAGACAACGAACATGGCGATGTTTTGCGCTGCGGCTTGGAGAATAATGCCAAATACTGTGATGACTGATGCGACGAGGATAGCTCTTCGACGTCCGAAGTAGTCTGGCACCGGCTGCATCAAAAAGGCGCCCAGAATGCCTCCCATCCATGCTGCTGCGTTGTTGAGACCTTCCAATGCAGGGGTCAAGTGGAAGTATTCGGTGTACGAGGGGAGGATAAGGAGGCCGTTCATGACTGAAGCATCGTACCCTAGAGTCTTTGATTTTCTGGTTAGTAGATGCTCCAACTTTGGGAAATTGTACTTACTGCCGAGTTCACAATGGCTACAGCCAGAAGCAAAGGAGACAACACCTTCAAGTTGGCCGGTACCAACCTGGAGACATGTTTACGCTCAAACCCCATGTTGCTATTGAGTGTCTTTGGGAACAAATCGCCTGATTTCCATTCATCATCATTCCATATTGTCGCATGGCTTCTTGATCACCTTTATATCCCACTGATTGAGAGTTGTGGTGATTTGTGATCTGCTCAAGTTGATTGGCTGTCTCGAGGCCTCGGGTGAGTTCGGGCGAGCCTATCGCTAGCCCACTTGGTAACTACCGGCTGGAACAGAGTTACTATCCCAGATTGTCATCGCGGGGAAATGTCACCTTTCATACGAGCTTATTCACTCGGGCGAGCTCGGGCGGGTCTTGTCAGATCTAATCATTGGCCAGGCCGGCGGCGCGACTTGATATGGGCCATCCTGAGGCGTGGAATTCGCTTCGAAATGGCGGGACGACTGGCGGTGGATGATAAGCTACTTAAGACGGCTTTTCTGATGGTTTTGACCGCTAACACATTCGAAGCCCAGCTCACCAGAAACTGAAGCAGCAAAAGATTTCTTCTCAAAATGCCCGGAAGCGTCCGAGAGTGGCCCGCGTGGCCGGAATACACCGATCAGGATGCCCTTGAACCAAAAGATCCCGACTTTCTCGACACCAAGAAGGCAATTATATCCCAGTTTGGCGCCGAGGCGCTGAGAGAAAGCTGGCTTCGAGTCTGTGAACAGCTCAAGGCGGTCACTGATGAGATAATCGACAAGGGCCGAAGCATCATTCCAGTCTTCGACGCCCGCATGCTGCTCGATAAGGGCTTTACGGAAACCGAAAGAGACGAGGTGAAGAGAGTCGGCACATTTGTCATTCGTGGGGTTGTTCCCAAGACCGAGACAATGCAACACTACGCAGATCTTAAACACTACGTCGCCGAAAATAAGCAGAAGATCCAGGGATGGCCAAGAGAGACTCCCTCGATGCTGATGCTGTACGACTCGCCCACTCAGAACGCCATAAGATCGCACCCAAACCACCTTCAACTTCAACGCCTCCTCAACCAGCTTTGGCACGATGGAAGTGGTGAAGATACCTCGCCAGACCCTTTAGTCTACTATGATGGAGTACGAGATAGACCTCCGCGACAAGAATTTCTCGGACTCGGGCCGCACATTGACGCCGGGAGCCTAGCTCGATGGGCAGATGCGGCATACAGAGAGGTGTACGGCAACATCTTTTCCGGAAAACCTGAGCTACACGATCCATACGACCTTAGCTTACGGAAAGTCGCAAACCAAGAGTTATATCCAGGCGTTGCTCATTCATCGGTCTTCCGCTCATTTCAGGGGTGGACTGCATTGACACGGACTGCCCCAAGCGAGGGAACACTCCTCGTCTACCCTAACGTGGCTACTGTCATTGCATACATGGTTTTGAGACCGTTTTTCAGGCCTCCTGTCGACTCTGCGGATATGATGGATGCGACCAAGTGGACTCTCGATAACTCCGGCATTTTCCCTGGGACGTTCAAGACCCAGAGCCAGCGGCTTAGTCGCTCATCACATCCACATCTCAGACTAGAAGAGTGCCTGATCCATGTACCGAAGATGGAGCCGGGCGACACCGTCTGGTGGCATGCTGATGTAAGTTTTGATGTGATTTTTGGATTCAGCAGCCGCTAATCGTGTTGATGCAGGTCTGCCATGCAGTTGATCCGGTGCACGAGGGATCAGAGAACGCATCTGTCTTATACATTGCTGCATGCCCCACGACTACAAACAACAAGACATATGTGAAGAAGCAATTGTCCGAGACTCTTGCTGGACGACCACCGCCAGACCAGCAAAAAGGAAATGAATTGGATGAAAGGACACTCAAGGGACACGTGGGACTGCAGGATCTGAGTGCTGAAGCAAAGATTGCGTTTGGTTTCGGGTTGTGAGGTTGATGAGACCGAGATCCGACAAGAATGATACCACTTGATATCATGAATTCTGTGCCTCTGTGTCTGTCTCGTCCAACGAAGACCGAAGGATAGCAACTGCCCTCTCTGCTATGGCATTGCGTGATTTGACCTCGTCTAGGTATTCAATGGCGAGTTGCACCTCGTCCGTAAAGTCAACTTCGGCCCCGGCCTGTGCTCTGTGAGATTCTCTAAGTAGGAAGATGGCAGCAACGAATATGTGCATCGATAATGCCCTTGGAAACTAGTCAGGGTCTCTCCAGGAATTAAGACATTCGGAGACTTACCATTGTCTCCGCATTGCGACTGGCTGATCCCAATTGTGGGTTATCCAGATTATGTCCATGGCGGAACGAATGCACACTGCCCGTGCCCAGTCGTACAGGCCGGGCACTGCTAGCCATTCCTTTTGTAGAGAACGGTTTATACGCATGCGATGATGGAGAAGCACGAGGCTGATGTCGAATCGTTGCCATTTGATCCAGGGGTGAATGAGCTCTAGCTCCTGCATTTCTTCGGTCTTTCCACTATCGGGCTGGAGATGGTCGGGTAAGGTGTTGATGACCTCTGCTAGTTCATCATCAGCTAGGCGAACGACTTCAGAAACTGATTGTGTGCCCTCCCGCAGAGCTGATCTGAATCTGTGATACACAGTCGAGGTTCGTGCCATGAATATGTGATACAGCACTGGATGGGGACCATCAATATCAGATTCTGCCGAAGGCAGTGGGACATTGAAGTCTCCTTCGTCTACCTGAGGCACATAGTAAGGGACCGCAAGCCTATTTCAAGAATTAGCACTGCCCCTCTCACCTCACTTCTGGGGGAAAGCCCTACCATTCACAAATGATCAAGGTCCACCACAAACGCCTTTGAGCTTCGAGGCCCAGCTCCGTAGGGGGATGTGGAGATCGGGTGCCGTCCAGACCGAGGATCCGTGCGATTCGTATTGCGCAACTCCAGAGATGACGGTATAGACCAGAATCTCCGAAATTGTGGAAGCACATGCCAAGTACTGCAATCGCCTGAACAGGGCGGATTGTGCTACTTCTCATATAGTCTGCTTCCTCGAGACAGAACAAGGCAGTCTTATACCACTGTTGTAGCATACTTTCAAGGTCTCCTGAATGCCGACGGACACAATCAGACGTGGGCGCATGGATTTGAGAAGGTGGGCGTGGCTTCACCTGCAGGAAGTATCTCGCGAGCTTCCTTGTCATCCATCATCAATAGGGCAGCCTACTCGAGGCAGTCAGATCAGTGCCGTAGCCTCGGAAGGAACGATTCAAGTAGGGACTGACCGTGATGACACTGAAATACACTGATAACCAACCAGGATCGCAATCAGACAAGACAGCGCCCTTTTCTAAGTTATCCATGAACTGAGTATGTTCTCGATCGAACTCGGGATATTCAAGGGCATAGTGGACCCAGGAATTCCACTTCTTGTCATAAGCGATTAGCAGCTCGCTGGACTTTCGGCAGGGTACGTCGACCGTACTCCATCCTTGACGATGTCGAGACACCTGTGAAAATGGCGGAGACTTGAATACCATCTCCTCCAGCGGGTCATGGCACTCCAATAACTTTTGCGCAGTCCTCGGCCTTCGAAGTGATAAATCAGAAGCGGGGCGGACCTGAGAGGCTTCAAGAGCTATTCTTAGTCGCTGATTTTCCTGGACCAGCTCATCGTATGTGGGCAACTTGACTGGATCTTTCCCTCTATGATTCAAACAGCAGTCAGCTTATTAGAGTGAACATGCTCAAGATTGAGAAGCGACCTTGTAACTTCACCCCGCACCATCACAAGCTCTCGTGAGCATGTTTCAGGCGTGCCCTGGCGAATGCAAGTTGAGCACGGTAATCTCTTATCGCACTTGACCTTACGAGCAGCGCAGGATCGACAACTTCGTGGGGCGCGCTGGGTCTTGCGATATGAAGACAGAGTATCAGACGACATATTTAGATCTCTTGATAGAGATCCCTCGACGTTTGGACGCGTCGAGCAGCGGTTTTGGCCGGGGTCACGTTGGTGGCTATAGAGATGTTCTCTCCAAACACAGGCCTGAAATGGAACTCGAACAATAGGATTCAAGGGAAATGTCGATCTTGTTCACTTTCTGGGCTCGTCATGTACGTCAAGAAATTAGACAAAGGTGCGAGATGAGATGTTGACGAGGAGTAAACTCACCCGAACTCAGCCGAGAATATTGCTTATCAGCAATGTGATAAGATAAGCTTGTTCTTATCTCGAGAGAACGATACGTACCATGACTTTACCAAATCCCCTCACATTGTTGGCCCTCGAATTTCATCAGATTTGATACCATCACCACATCACTCTCTATAAGATATTGCCTATAATAGGCTCTTGAGCCGACAGACTCTACCGCCCCTACCCCCCCTCCCCCTTCCCTCCAAGAGTCCCTGATAGCGAATCTAAGATACATAACGGAAACACATCTTTCAACATGGCGTCAGCATTTCATGGAGGAGTCATCCACTCGCTTGGGCCGAACCAAGTTGAGATACTCGAGAGCGCCGGAATCATCGTTGAATCTGATGGACTGATTTCTCAATTCTACACTCAAATATCCGTCGATGAGCTGTCCGCAAAGCTGCCCGGCGATCAAAAAGTCAATGTTCTTGCCAAAGGCCAATTCATATCCCCTGGTTTCATCGACACGCACAACCACGCTCCGCAATGGGCAATGAGAGGTCAGGGGCAGGGTCTTCATATCCTAGACTGGCTTGATCAAGTTACGTTTCCTCACGAAGCTCGCTTCTCCGACCCTACATACGCCCGCAAGGTCTACGAGAGCTGCGTTAAGGGCTTCCTCAAGCAAGGCATTACGACCGCTTCCTACTACGGGTCAAAACACGCTGAGGCAACAAAGATTTTGGCCGACATCTGCCATCAGCTAAATCAGAGGGCCTTCGTAGGAAAGTGTAACATGGATCGTAACGCTCCAAGCTACCTCCATGATGAATCAGCCGAATCGTCTCTGAAGGAGACGGAGGAATGCGTCAAACACATTCGCCAAATCGACCCGACCGGACAGCTGATTCGCCCTGTCCTGACTCCGAGATTCGCTATTTGTTGCACTCCCGACTTGCTCAAAGGTCTGGGTCAGATGGCATCCCAAGACCCAGAGCTAGCGATTCAAACGCATTTCAATGAAGCCGAGCAGGAGATCAAAGCGACAAGAGAGCTGTTCCCACAGTTTTCCAGCGAGGCAGATCTCTACCAACACTATGGTCTCCTGAACCAGCGTTCGATTCTTGCACATTGCACCTTCATGACGGACTACGAGATGGACAGGGTCAAAGAGCTTCAGTGCGGTATTGCGCACTGCCCCATTTCGAACATGACAGTTGGAGGAGGCTTCATGGCGGCCTCCATACGTCAATTTCTGACCAAGGGGATCAAGGTTGGCCTCGGAACCGACAGCGGTGGCGGATTTTCGTCAAGCATGCTTGACAGCATCCGTCAGGCAATCATAGCTTCCAACGCACGAGAAGTCATGTCAGGCGGCAAAGATAAGGCACTATCTCTAGACGAGGTTTTCCACCTCTCAACTCTCGGTGGAGCTCAAGTGTGTTGTCTCGAAGACAAGATTGGAAACTTCGCTGTCGGCAAAGCGTTTGATGCGATACTGGTTACAAGCCCCCTTGATGAAGCATTTGGAGTCATGACGGTCCGAGAAGAGACAGACAGCCTTCGGACAGTGTTTGAGAAGTTTTTGATGACTGGAGATGATCGTAATATTGCTCAAGTGTACGTGCAGGGTAGGCTTGTGAAGGACACATTATAGACCTAAGTTGGTTTTTCAAAGAGAGTTCATTACTAGAGTCGAGTATTCGAACAGTGATACCAACAACAAAAATGTCCTAGCCACGATTCATGATCTCTCTTGACTAAAATTCGCATGCAGCCATTTAGAATTTTACTTGACCCATCTTGAGAGAAAATTGGAGACCGTCTCACGGAAGGCTTCCGGCTCATCGCTTGGCGGACTATGGCCGGACTTCTCAAAGATCGCGAGCTCGCTGTTTGGGATGCCCCTGCTGATCTCTTCTCCATATTCAACAGGTACCACAACGTCATGCCTCCCGGTCGCGACGAGTGTTGGTGCAGTGATGTCCTTCAGTTGTGACCGCACATCAAGCCGCGGAAGGTTGTAAGAGAAGGCAAAATTATGCGTCTCATAGTGGAGGTGCTCGTGAGCATCGTTTCCCTCAAAAGTTGTGTCTCTGGAGCCACTACTCGCGGAATCGTCTTTTGGCTTGTAGATTTCAACAATCTCTGCAAAGGCAGCAGCAAAGTCCTCGTTGTCTCGAATATTGCCGCTGTTGAGTCGGACCTGCCTATCTGGGTCTGGTGTGATTCGGTCGCTGGTGAGGATAGTCTTAATGAAGTTGAAGGCCCCACGGAGACCGCATGCCCATGTATCTCTCAGGATGAGAGCCAGAAGACGATCAGGATGTAACAGGGCATACTGCAGGGCCACAAAACCTCCATAGGATCCTCCTGCTAGAACGAACTTATCGGCACCTGCCCAGGATCTGAACCATTGTGTTAGTCGAGTCGCCATCAACGCGATAAGTAACATTTCAGTCCTTACCTTAACTCGTCTACGTCAGCCACCCAACGTTCATCAGTGTAAGGCGGCCTCAACTCGCTTTCGCCACTGCCTCTCGCATCATACACCAAAACTCGAAAATCAGAGGTCAAGAAGCCGAACGATGAAACCGGTTCTCTATGGTCGGATAAACCAGGCGCGCCATGCAAGACTATAATGAGAGGTTTGGTCTCGTCGCTGTCGCCGAGGAGTTTAACCTGGACTTTAGCCCCGTCACTAAGTTGAACGACGGAGAAGCTCGCCATGTTCTTATCGACGAAACTTATTTGAGTGCTAAAGACGGTCTCAATTGAAGCATATGAGAGACTGGGGTTCTCCTTGGCCTTTTGTACACCGTGAGGGGATCATCCCGCTTATAAATCATGTCTCGATTATGTGCATTATATATCAACTCCCATCGCGTCATCTAACAACAAGATGATACAGTAGTCAACAACCATGCTTTTGACAGCCGAAGGATCGAGACTTGAACAAGAATGGCAAGCTGTCAGATTCTTGTTTCAAGAACGAATCAGAGTATGGGACTTTTGTCGCGACCCATGGTTACTACGCTTGATTGGGAAGAAAAGAGGTTATCAAGTTGCCTGACGCTACTCCGAACCAGCGAGTCTGTCATTTGACACCTTGTTCATCGTTTTCAACATCTAGAAAATTGATGAATACCTGGTGAATCGATTGTTCATCTCGATCCAAATTGATGGCTCGGCATGTAAATCAAAGCATTAGACGCTCTCTTTGATAGCTAGACTGAGATTCAACCAAGACAATAAAAAGGGACGCACCGTTGTTACAGAGGCCGGTTCAGAGGGTTGTGTTGAAAACGGTAAACCTTGAAATCAAATGACTCGACGGGTATTTTGCTCTTGGTCATAAAACCAGCATCCCGAGTAACAGATGCATTCTATCTAACATCGCGGTCTCTCGGCTCAAATGAAGTTACTCAGTCCCATCACTGCTAACAAAGTCTTGCATTGTTTGGGTTTAGACGATTGGGACCTTACTGACCACTCGGAGCCCGCGCGAAGCTTGATTCCAGCATTACTTAATAATTTGGACGAGTTATATCAAACAATGAGACCCAAGCCAGGCTTAGGGCTCTTCGATAGCAAGCAACACGGATCACTTCCTGGTCACCCATCGAAATAGGCTCAGCCCTCCAGTTCTCCAGGGGCTAAAACAAGGGGAGACTGTCGCTGGAAGCAGAAATTCTAGCCTGGTGTGGGGTGAGAAAGAAAGGGGCCAGCCAGATTGGGACATCAACCTAGGAACGAAGGTAGGACCCTTGCCATCGAGTCTCGGTCAGGCCGACAACAGGCCATAACATGTCATCTTTGAGAAGAGTATATGAAGATGCTTATGCTTCAAGAAAGAGTCTTTCACAGATTCGAAAGGCTAGTGCAGTACCCAACGTCATGGGAGTAGCTTTCAGCAGAGATGAAACTTTACTGCGTGAATGGAGATCGCGTGTAGCCATGAGGAAACAATTTCGAGCGAAACACTGACTTCGGGATGAACTGTGCTAGGAACTTGGCTTTGCTTCCTGACTCGTGACAGATCGGATGTAGCCGAATTGGGGGCCTTCTCCGCGACATCCCCAGCTGAAGGACTGCTTGGAGATCGTGGGGACCAAAGCCGACAGCGAGCTCTGAGTGTTCATCCACTTTTTTGAGTATTAAGCACTTTGGAGCCTCGACCGACTGAATCGCAAAACTTAAGCCTCCTCAATCAATCTCTCTGTCTACTGACAAGCGATTTTTTTTTGAACAAACAGCCTTTGAGGATATGGGGGTCTCCCAATAAACCAAACGCTGAGGAATCACAGCGTTGAGACTTGCGAAACTTTACAAACCAAGACCTCCGTTATTTTGCAGCTTTTGTGAACATGGACTACTTTCTTTTGCCAACAATCAACATCGTCAAGCCAACAGGGCATACCCCGGCCAACAATTAGTTTCTTTGGGCGAAAGCAGTGGATTCGATTTTTGGCTCGCGATTATAACACACCTGTTCAATGTCGCAGTCCCACAAGGCGCGGCTGAGCTTAGCTGTTACTCTGCGGCGATGTTCCGAGCCCTAGTTCACGATGGTTGAAGTGGACTCTGATCCTTTTTCAGCCCAAGGGTCTCAAGGGTCTCCAAGGGGCTCTCAAGATGCTTCGTGAAGTGCGACTTAAACAGTCTTTGAGTAGATCAATCATTGCATATAAAGTGCGTGACTTAGCCTGGTCGGAAGTATCACTTTACATTGCGAAACAACAAAGTCTTAATCTTAGTTACCACTACTTCGGATCTCATTCATTCAAACTCCATCGGCTCTCTCATTTTTAGTCGCTCACTTTACTCAAATCATGAGACTCTCGTTTTCCACTCTTTTGGCCGTCCAGGCACTGGTCGGCTCTAGCATAGCCGCCGCTTTGCCGGAAAAGGCCATTCTTCGACCAGTCCAGAAGCGACAAAACTCCATCCCAGCTACACCCCTTGGACCAGCCAAATTCACCCCGAAGACCAACGTCACCTTGCCCTATGAAGGGCTCAACGCGACCAACGCCCTCGTCAGGGCTATGATGAAGCAACCTGCCGTCTTATTAGAGAACATCGAGACAATCACCGATGTTGAGTGCTCGGCTGCTGGACTTGTCCTCAAGTTTAGCGCTACCGAAGACTACAACACATGCTTGGGCGCATGGCCAGCAAAGGACTTCATCATTATCACGAACCACAATGGGACTTGCGACAGCGAGCACGAGCGCGGTGTCTACGTGGTCCAGAACTACACCTTTGACAATGCCACCTTGACTCTTACTGCTTCGTCTACCAAAGCAGAGATCAGTGATCAGATGAATGACGCAGTCATCGATTTCCAGCACACTGGCACTGCTACGACCAAGCGTGATCTCTCCGGAACCATTTCCGCAGACCTTTCTGGCTCCACACTCGTTGCGACGGATGCCTTGAATATTGTCGCCAATGAGGCCAGGCTGGAAAGCACAGTCACCTTAGCCGGCCATGTTCACTACAACTTCTGGAAGTTCAAGGTTGACGAGTTCTACATTGATGTCGACTACTCGTCTGCTTTAAACCTCAATGTCTCTGCTGCAGTCAACGCCCAGTATTCGACCAACTTGTACAACTACAACCCTCTTTCCGTATCTGTTTCTGCCTTCACTATTCCCGGCATTATCGATGTCGGCCCCATAGTGAACTTCGGTCTGGGCATCGAATTTGCTGCATCCGGTGTTGTCAAGGCGTCTGTGGACGTCGTCTCCACTATTGCCGATGCTCAAGTTCACCTTGACTTTTTGGACTCCGCCAAGACCTCTACCACAGGCTGGAAGCCGCAGACCAACGTCTCCACGGATATCACCGCTCAAGTTGAACTTCAGCTAAATCCGTTTGCTGAACTGACCGTTGCCCTGGGTGTCAAGCTCTTCAATGGCCTCCTGGACATGTCTGCTGGAGTCGAGGCGAAGCCTCAGGTCGTCAACGTATTTGCGGTGGACTTTGACTTCGCTTACACCAGCGCCAGTGATGTTACCTTTGCAAAGCCTACTGGGGATCAGTGCAAGAATGGTGCTTGGTTTGCTAGCACTTTCCACTTGGGCGTTGATGCATATGTCACGCAGTTCTACACCAAGAAATTGTACGAGGTCGATGTGCCGATTTACCAGTCGCAATGCTGGAATTTTGTCCACTAGATATAACTTTAGCTTAATGGTATATAAACGAAAAAATGTACTGAACGATTCTAGAGGCTTACGTGATATCTTTGCGCTACTGTGTCCACAGTAGTCAAGGAAAGCCATACCGTTGTAGCTGTCACCGGAATGTTGAAAAGAGGCACCCACTCTGTGGCACTTACGATAGTTTTCGGGTCAACAGCTACTCTGACAAGTATGCTACCATCAATAGTATATTCCAGGTGAAGTTACTTTTCCTACGAAGTACTGGCCCAGGCCCACTCGGCGTGTGTCTGGTACGGTACATCAAGGAGTTACAACCAACTTCATGCAGCGATTTGCCTACTTAGGTATATGCAGCAAAGACTGAACCTCAACATTATATGTCGTATTTGATATGAGAGGCTTAAAGTTGTAAACATTGAATCTTTTGGAGTCCCTGTCTTGATCCTAAGTTCACATGGGGAGCGCTGGCTTAGATCTCGGGGTGGTCTAAGTGAATTGGGAATAGGAAACCCGAAGTCCTAGATTGCTAAATCACATAATTAGATTGACTAGTGGCGCTATCAACACCCCTGCGAATTCCCACTCAGCGAGACTCAGACGCATTTAACAGCAGCTTTTAGAGGCCAATAGGTTACAACCCTTGCTTACACGGTGCTTGGCGTTTAGGGCATATCACAATTACCTTCCCATCGCAGTAATAGTGACCGTCTTGGCCTGTATACGAGATGAGGCGATGATCGTAGCACAGCTTTGAATAGAAGGTCGTCGATGTATGATCAACTCCATGTTGCTCTTCATCCAGAATGACACGATGGAATCAGACTATTCTGGCGACGTACATAACGTCTCTTACCTGCTCTACGACAAGCACTTGCTAGTGTGGTCTTCCAAGATCAACTGAGTTAGTCGCATAATCGCATAATGTCTAACGTCAAGCGCATCGTCGGCCTGTTAGGGTTTTCATCGGGTGTCCTGGCCAGCCCGTTGATCGCGAAGGTTTCCACCGAAGGCACCATCGTTCCCGATAGGTATATCGTTCGCGTTGCTCCAGGCACCTACGACACAGATTTTGAAAGCCACTTGAGCTGGGTTGCCAACGTCCACAAGCGCAGCCTATCTCGTCAGAGCACTGCTGGAGTTGTGAAGACCTTTAGCGTCGGCGACTTCAAAGCTTACGCAGGCGAGTTCGACGCTGAGACAATTGCGGAGATCGAGAAGGACGGATATGTAAGTGAGCCTTGTGTTTCTGCAATCCAATATTCAAAGACTGATCTTGAGATTCAAGGCCGTTAGCGTCGAGCCAGACCGAGTCGTCGAGGCGACAGCATTGGTTACACAAGCGGCTGCTCCGTGGGGACTTTCGAGCCTGTCTTCGACAACTCCCCTAGCAGACGGCAGCAGCTCCAGCCCCTACATATACGATGGCACCGCTGGAGAAGGGACCTACGCCTACGTTCTTGACTCGGGAGTCACCATTGAGCATGCAGAACTCGGGGGGCGCGCCATCCGAGGCTACAACGCCTGGGCACCGAATTACCCTTTTGAGGACGAATTCGGCCACGGCTCCCATGTTGCCGGTATTATTGGCGCAGCTACATACGGCGTGGCGAAGAAGGCGACCGTCGTCGACGTCAAGGTCGTTCGGGGCCTTGTAAGTGCACCGGTTCGTGGAAGCCTGGGAATTGCATCGTTAGCTGACGTTGGGATCTCTACTAGGGCTACTCAACGGTTGCTCATGTCTTGGATGGGTACAGCTGGGCCGTCAACAATATCACCAATACCCCAGGACGGGTCTCCAAAGCTGTCATTAACATGAGCCTAGGTGAGTTGAACCCATACACGCGCGCGCAGCCGATCTTTGACTATGCAGGGAAGGATTGGCTGACTTTACCGAAGCTTTCCCAAAGAGCGACGCGATGAACTCTGCAGTAGATGCGGCTTTCGATCTGGGTGTCACAACGGTGGTCGGTGCCGGGAATGATGGTAAAGACGCTTCGACTAAGTCTCCCGCCTCAGCTCAGAAAGCCATCACGGTCGGCGCGGTCGCTTGGAATTGGACTCGTGCGGACTGGAGCAACTTTGGGGCCGACGTCAACATCTTTGCGCCCGGTCTCGACATCCCATCGCTTTGGAGGCAGCCTGGACAGGTGTCGGTGGTTTCTGGAACGTCCATGGCAACACCCCATGTCGCCGGACTCGTTGCCTATCTCCAAGCATTGTATCCTCTCGAGAATGCGGCAGCTGTTGTAGAGAAGTTGAATGAGCTGGCATTCAAGGGCGTTGTAGGGAATTCGGGAAGTGGGAGCGCAAACGTCCTCGCTCACAGCGGTGTTGTCTCCGTCTGAGTTGCATCATAGACGAGGGGTAGAAGAAGATAGAGCTCGATTTAAGAGAGCTTGCATGTAGGCTCATGCCATGATAATGCAGCCAAGCAGCGCACTCGGAAGGTGTCAACATGACGATTATCATAAGCAGCTCAGTACATCCTACGAGATACGCGTTGTGGGGTCCTTGTCACTTACTTTAGCTATCTCGCGGCTATAGACGCAAGTCCATGCAGAGCCTCGGCAGTCTATTTCTAGTTCCAGTGCGCCGGAAATGTTGCAGAATCAGGTCGAGAAGAGAAATGTTCGGCGAGAATTGCGGAGTCAAGTTGGATTCCTGCGCGTGCCGTGCATCTTTGCCCGTCTCCTCACCAAACCACATTCCTAGAGACCCTCTTATTCTCCAAACACGTCATGCAAGAATGAAACTTGGGGTAAGACTGATGGATCAAGGATCCTACGTCTATCACTTGCAGACGTCTCAACGCGGCGGGGAAGCTCTTGTAGACTTGACAGCAGCTTCATCGAATGGTTCATCAACGTGAGATCTCATAGCTAAGGTAGGGATCACGTTGGATCCCCTCTTTCCCCCGCACTCTACAAAAGGCAGTAATTCGCCGATGAGGGACTCTTTAGTCTGAACTCTCGGGGGTTCGGAGTTCATCCTCGTGTACCCACTCGGGAGCAAACACCAAGTCCCCCGGCCATCTTCCCACGCATCAACCAGCGTGAACCAGCTCCAAAACATGCCGGACACAAATTGGATCGCGGCGGCATCCCCGCGTCTTGGCGAAAGTTTCCCGCACTACCCCGCAGCGGCGCAGCCCACTATCTCGTTCTAGAAAGATAACCCGCGGCGATGACGGTCCTTGACTGGGAGCCGGTCATCCGGGGCCTATTGAGAGATGGGGAAGATATTCTTGGTGATTTGTTCGGTAGATGGGTTTCGTGAGGGGTTCATGGGATAAATATGTCCGTTGCTGCTCGAAGATGCGCTTGAGCTTCGTAGGTCGACCTCAATCATCAAACCTTCACTTTTAGCCCAGATAGTAATCGCCATCATGTCGTCTCCAACAATGAAAGCCGTCAACTACCAAGGCCCTTACAAGGTCAAGGTATCGGAGGTGTCGTTGCCCAAGATCCAGCACCCTGACGATGTCATCGTCAAAGTTACCACTGTAAGATGGACCTCTCCCCGCCCACATGACTGAAGCTAACCAAGTATACAGGCAGCTATTTGCGGCTCAGACTTGCAGTAAGTCTACTAACATCGAAGCAACAACAGCGCATAATTACTCACTATTCACAGCATGTACGAGGGAAGAACGGCCGCAGAGGCCGGCATCACATTCGGTAAGTCACTGATTACATTTGTTCACCGATCATGGGACAGTTTCTGATACGTTGTAGGACATGAGAACATGGGAATCGTGGAGGAGCTCGGCGCCGGTGTCACTCTTCTCAAGAAGGGAGACCGTGTCGTAATGCCATTCAACGTCGCCGATGGCCGCTGCCACAACTGTGAAGAGGGACGGACAGCATTCTGCACTGGTGTAAACCCTGGATTTGCCGGCGGTGCTTATGGTAGGCCAGTATCTTGTGTACCTTGACAAAATATGAGGGCTTACATTTTTTGAAGGATACGTTGCCATGGGCCCCTACCCTGGTGGTCAAGCACAGTATATCAGAGTTCCTTACGCCGATTTCAACGCTCTAAAGCTTCCGGCTGGCAAAGAATTTGAGTCAGATTTCATTTTGCTTGCAGGTACGTATCTATCATCTCCATGATCCTTCAAATCTTGCTGACCTTGTGCGCTCTACCAGATATCTTTCCCACTGGCTGGCACGGCATTGAGCTCTCCGGCTTCAAGCCCGGTGAGAGCGTCGCTGTTTTCGGTGCCGGCCCTGTGGGACTGATGGCCGCTTACTCGGCGGTTCTTCGCGGCGCATCAAGAGTTTATGTAGTCGATCGCGTTCCCGAGCGTCTTCAGTCCGCTGAGAAGATCGGATGTACGCCAGTGGACTTCACCAAAGGCGATGCTGTCGAGCAAATTAAGAAGCTGAATGGCGGAGAAGTTGACCGCTCTGTAGATGCTGTTGGATACCAGGCCGTGAGTGCCGGTGGAAACACTGAGCAGCCCAACATTGTATTGGAGAATATGATCAAGGTCACACGAGCCTGCGGTGGACTTGGCATTCCGGGACTTTACGTTCCGAGGTAAGAATTTGTCCTTTCACTTGGCTTGTTTTGCGGCTCTAACGATGCACGTTTATAGCGACCCCGGCGCGTCCGATGATGCTTCGGCAAAGGGCATGATCAGCTTGAGTTTCGGTAAGCTCTTCGAGAAGGGACTCTCCCTTGGAACCGGGCAGTGCAACGTCAAGGCGTACAACCGATACCTGCGTGATTTGATCATTGCGGGCAAGGCCAAGCCCAGCTTTGTTGTCTCACATGAGATCAATATCGATGATGCAGAAGTCGCGTATGAGAAGTTTGACAAGAGAATCGACGGCTATACGAAGGTTCTTATCCACCCCAACGGCGGTTTCTAATCTATATGAATGTGTTTGGGGTTCGGGGAGTCGGCGGCTGTTGTCATATTGAAAAGCAAGAGACTAGGGGCGTTGTTGATGGTGTTGTGAGTGGCTAGGCGGCATAGCGAGGTTTCTTGACCACATGTTGTGAGATGATGCTCAACAACATGCAGAAATATTCAATTGGATCATTTCCTGTTAATTTGCCTTCCAAGTCTCAACTCTCTTGATGGATGTTTCATACTAGTGCTCAAGTCCACGGAAACACGACAATGGAAAGGAGGGTTGGCTCAGAGCTATTCGTGGTAAATTGAGCAAAGCATGTTCAACTTACTACTGTCGGTCTCGCTTATTGCAGCATTTCACGCTGGCAATCAAATTTGGCAAGAGCTAAAGTAATATTTCGATTAGAACTTATGAGAGTTATCGTGCCACTCTGGCCTATTGTGGTAAAATGGTGATGGTGACCTTGGTCCACGACTTTCCGCCCGACCCTTTTCCACATCATCCGCATCAGAGACATGCACTTCAATCTCTTGAGTGCATAAGATGCCCATTTCGATCGCGCCAACTTTGGTTTCATGATACTCCTCCCTCTTTACGATGCTCTCCCTAGACTCTGAGCGTTCCATCGGAATTGTGATGTTGGTGATAGGAGACCTCGCCGCATGTTTCCGACTCTTGTCTGTGCCTGCAGTCTTCGTGTATGGCCAAGCGCTATCTTCGCTGGTTCTTGATAGGGATGAGGCATTTCCGCCGTATGATTTGACCATGGTCGTCTTCGCCCTTCTCCAGTACTCCTCCATCAAGCTGTCCAATACTGGTAGTGAAGCTGTCACAACTCCTAAAGACAAGTCCAGGCATGCCCATATTAGGGTTTCGGTGTAGTCCCATGTGTAGTCGTTGGTGTGTGTGGGGAGAATCTGATGCAGTAAACCACTCAAAACTGCTAAACCCCCAATCATCCAGATTGCGAACAGTCGAATCTTCTTTGCCATTTCCATCCTGATTTTCCATAGTATAACAGCAGGCGCGGTCATCAAGATGAGCCCCTGGGCCACATGCAAGCCGGTCAGAATCTTTGACTGGCTGTCCATGTTGATACACGAAGGAGCTGACTCTCGTCTTCCCCGGGTTGCCAGGTTCCACTGTGCTGCCGGCGGACTGCATGCAAAGACGTTTAGGAAGATGGCGAGTAAGAAGTATGCAAAGGTCGATCCGATGAAGATGTCGCACGCGATTCGCCACCACCTCGGGAGTCTGTCCGCTAGTCTTCGCATGAAAGTTGCTATGGAGAGCTTAATCATACCCACGGCAACGAAGAATGCTGTCTTGGAAACCATGGCCAATAAGACGCCATTGTTGAATTGTTCGTAAGTGACTTCCCAGACATGGAGGGAAGCTCCACCGATTGCGAGGGAACGAAGTTGCGCGATTGGGTAAACGAGAGCTACAAGCTGTCGGGGGCAGAGTCAGTTCATGGAGGTATTCTCGATCTATCATCTGTCTGGCACGTACAGCAGCAACGATGATGGTCCAGTCGTCGCAGCCGAACTGCATGACCGAACCTTTTCGCAACCTAAGCCATGCTCTTGCAACTGTTGGCGCAACAATAGCTAGGATAACGAAAACGAGGCCTGCCAAAACGCCGGGCAACTTCGTCTCGTGGGAGTAGTCGGGAGGTTGCTTGGCGACGAGGGAATAGCCTGTCATCGGGTTGGCAGTCGTCATTCCGGCCATGCGGAAGAGACCCTTGACGATGAAATAATCATTCTGAGTTGAGGGGGGTTCTCCGACGAACGCCGACGTCCCCGTCAAGGGGAGGCTGCTCGCGTCATCTGGTATCGAGGGAATATCCATCAGATGCCGCCATTAGTATCGATGGAACTCGGCGCGAGTTTTGGATTGAGAGAATCTACAGGAAAATATTGGGAAACCCTTGAGAAAAGTGTCGGGGGTTGTCATGATTGATCTACGATCGAGAAAGGCAGCACATGTGCCGCTGACACGCGCTTCTGAAGGCAAAAGCAATGACACGACCGCATGAGGATTGAGACCCCGAAGTCACTTCCCTGTCGCCCCGGAGTTATGAAGAAAGTCATCTCCTGCGCCGCACGTAAACGTGGGTGATCGTTCCTTTTGACACATGGTCATAAATGAACGCGTGAGACTCAATGCAGGTGATGGCTAATTCGGCATCTCCTCCGGCTGGAAGCACCTCAGCCGTCTTGGCCAACAGCATTTGAGTTGGCAAAAACAAGTTGAGATCCACTTGAGACCCAAAATGGCGAAGATCTTGTGTTAAGGCTACTTTAGGCGCGATTTGGAAGTTTCTTTTACACAAGATCAAAGACATCGTATTCATACTCGATGCAAAGTGTCATGAAGTTACTGGATGTTCGGACTACGCCGAAAGTATGAAAACATAGATTGATGATGTTTGTTTGAGTCAAACTTACCATGAACACTAGTGAGCCTCATCTCTTTCTAATCCCCAAGTCCCACAAGGATGCAGGCCATCCCGATCTAGGCTGTGATCCGTGAGCTTCCGCCTGCCCCGTCGCGTTTCCGCTTAAATCCCCACTAACCCTGCAGCATGCATACAATCTCTCTGGGCTCTGCCCATTCAGGACGCTGGTTGCCGGGATAGAGGTTTGTTGACATCGGACTTCCCACATGAAACTGGCCAGGATGGGGTAACAGTAGTAGTAGTTCGGGGCCGTGGCCAATCTTCAGCACGCGCAGGCATGCTCGAAGAACCTCATCTTTCCGTACGTGGCATATGATCTATCATTGGGCCACATGAGCGCCAAACAGAACAACGACCGACGTGACAGCCCATATTAGGCTCTTGTTCAGCGTACGCTGGGCAGCAGCGGCGGAGCCCTTCGGCGAAGCCGTGGCTGACGCAGTTGCGTAGGTCCCCAAATGAAGTTGACTGGAGATACTCGTAGCCTGCGCTTCGTTGACTGTTGCCCTACAAGGCTCTGCTGTGAAGGTCACATTGGTCGTGATGGCACATGACATCGGGCTGGTGACTGGATCGTCGTATTTCCCATCGTAAAGCCCGTGATATGTCGTCAATGACGCGTAGTTGATCATGCCCAAAGCAGTTGGGCATGTCCCAGTGAAGGTTGGCGTTGGGGCTCCCTGCTCAATGGTGAAGTCGAAAGTGTCGTTGCCGATCTTTTCGTTGGCTGAATACTCGACCCAGGATTTAGAAAGATTACACCAAGGTCCGGTGTGAATAGTCCAGGAAAACGTGTACTCGCCCACGTCAAGCACATCGGCATAGCGGGCCTCTATGTGCGGGTTGTCGAGATAGGTTGTGTCGTTCTTCAGGATGGACCCAATGGTGTTGAAAGGTAGTCTCTGTATCTGTCCATGAGGCTTCTTGTAGATATCCCAGGAGAAAACCCAGCCGAAGTGATAGGCGACATTGGGGTTTTGCAGTGAAAGAAGGACCGGGAAGCCGTCGTTTGTTTTGGAGTATTTCCCACCTGCGCGGGGGAACACGAGGTCGAGCTCAATGGCATTGGTCGGTAGCTGGGCCGTTGCTAAGTGCGTTACAAAGAGTAAGACGATCGTGACCATGCCGTAGAAGACACCCATAGTGCGCCCGAAAGCGCCTCGAAGAGGCGGATTGAATGAATGTCGAATTGGGCTGACGGAAGAAACCACTCGTGCATCTCACATCAGAAAAGGAGGAACTTCGTTGGGGAAATTGGACGAATCCTTCGACCCCATGAGATCTTGGCAACTTTAGCGGCTCCGTCTCTCGGCCGAGAATCCAGTCAGCTCCGGTACGAGGGCATTTACCAACTGCACTAAGAGCGGTCCACTATTGATACTAGATTCGGGCTATTTGTATTGTCAGAGTATCAGTAGATTGCAGCAACTCACCAACTCTAAACGGCATGAAAAATGAAGATGATTTGCCAATCTGAGTGATCATGTCGATGAAACTTTGGAGGGGAGAAATAATCATATTCACTCATGAAAAAGAATATAAATGTAGGTGAAGTAATTATTAAACACCATATGTGGACCTTATAGACGATAATACCATCAGTGTTGCAAGCTTCTTCCCTATAGCTACCAGTAGACTCTCGAGGGCTCGTGCAGAAGCCGAGAAGCCGATACATATGTATGTTGCAAATCCCATCAGATCGCTGTTTGCTGAAGAGACTACGTAGTCAATTGTGGCTCTCAACCTTGCGATATTTTGACTTCAAGCTTAAGACTGATCATTCGTTTCCATTGTTGATCTTGACCTAGCAGTCCAAGCCGGACATTTTCTAGTTACTTTCCTTCAATCCATGTCTTCTTCAGACTCCAGCTATCCACATATGTCTCTGTCTCCGCGGCACAATAGAAAAAGGGTGCTCGACTTACTTCCTCTCCCCCAGTGCCACAATTTCCGCCTCAATAGCTGCTCCAAACGCCGTCGTGTTACCTGAGCCCTTCATATCTGGCGTCAAAACCGCGGCTTCTGCGCGTCCCAACACGTTCTCAATGGCCTTCAGCACCAAGCTTGCAGCATCCGTAAAGCCAAAGTGTTGGAGCAGCATCTGACCAGCCCAGATCATGCCAATAGGATTGGCAACGCCTTTACCAGCGATGTCGGGTGCGCTGCCGTGCACCGGCTCGAACAAGCTAGGAAACTTGCCATCTGGGTTGATGTTTGCTGAAGGAGCAATGGCAATAGTACCTGTGCAAGCAGGCCCCAAGTCCGAAAGAATGTCGCCAAACAAATTACTTCCAACGACAACGTCAAAGATGTCTGGTCGTTGTACGAAGTGGGCAGTGAGGATATCGATGTGGTACTTGTCAACCTGGACATCTTCATAGTTCTTGGCCATCTCTACCACACGAGAGTCCCAATAAGGCATGGATATGCTGATACCATTGCTCTTGGTGGCACTTGTGAGACGCTTGCGAGGACGGCTTTGGGCGAGGTCGAACGCATAACGAAGAACCCTGTCAACACCTACTCTGGTCATGACGGTCTCTTGGATAACAGTCTCTCGGTCGGTTCCCTCAAATATTTTGCCGCCAATGCTGCTGTACTCGCCCTCGGTGTTCTCACGAACAATCCAGAAGTCGATATCGCCTGGCTTCCGATTGGCCAATGGAGAGGTAACGCCGGGCATCAGACGACAGGGACGCAGGTTGATGTATTGGTCGAACTCGCGGCGGAACTTGAGCAAGCTACCCCAGAGAGAGACATCGTCGGGAACTTGGTCTGGCATGCCCACGGCGCCGAAGTAAATTGCGTCAAACTTGAGAAGCTTCTCCTTCCAGTCCGAAGGCATCATCTGCCCATGCTTGTGGTAGTATGCGCAGCTGGCAAAGTCGAACCACTCAAATTCCAGCGTAAGTCCGAAGATTTTTGCGACGGCTTCGAGACTCTTGACACCCCATGGCATGACCTCGACGCCGATGCCGTCGCCAGGGATGACTGCGATCTTGAGGGATTGAGGAGACATTGTGGCGGTAGGTAGTGATCCGACTGGTTGAACTGATGTGATGAGACCAAAATGACATTGACCTCAACTGTCAACTTATGTAAATGGATTTGTGTAAGACGTTTGACAAGAGTTCAGAGTGTTCCTGAAGTCGGAGGAGTCGTATCAGCACCCGGGCGAAGACCGGCGTTGCCTTCGCTTAAATGATGAGCCGCGGGATCCGGAAGCCGACACCCTTCTTCCATGTGCCGGGTCACTTCGTCCGTGAGGCTATTGTATGAATCACCTAGAGCACATCGGGAGATAGTATCGGGGTAATTTTTCTTGCAGTTGGTGCCATATTTCCTGTGCACTGCATGTGTGCTATTCCATTTAATTTGGTGATATCTTACTCATATGCTCTTATTACCTTAAGTCATCTCGGCCATCTGCTCGAGAGCCACTGAAACATCTAGTCACTCAAAATCGTGCAATTATAACATTTGAAAACGCAGAAACCTTCTCATCTTCCTTCAATATGGTCAAAGTCGCTGTTTTGGGTGCCTCGGGGCAGATTGGACAACCCTTGAGTCTCCTACTCAAATCGGTATGACTCCAAAAGCCTCAGTCATACGGTATCCAGTGCAAGGCAACTGACATATTTCATCTTAGTCACTTCTTGTGACAGATCTCAGACTTTACGATGTTGTTCACGCTGTGGGCGTGGCTACGGATCTGAACCATATTGATACTCCTTCAGTCGTTAAGGGTTACCTCCCCGAGAATGATGGTCTTCAAAAGGCTCTTAGCGGAGCGGAAGTCGTACTGATCTCTGCTGGCATTGCTCGCAAGCCGGGTATGACTCGTGATGGTTAGACCCTCATTTCCAGCACAACCTGAATCTTTGGGCTTACACACTTTCAGACTTGTTCAAGACCAACGCCGGCATCATTGCAGACTTGGCTGCTGGAGTTGCCCAGTTCTGCCCTAAGGCATTGGTTGCAATTATCACCAATCCAGTCAACAGCACTGTCCCCATTGCCGCCGAAGTGTTGAAGAAGCACGGAGTTTTTGATCCCAAGCGCTTGTTTGGCGTCACGACACTGGATGTCGTGCGCGGATCCAAGTTTGTTGCTGATGTCCTTGGCAATATCAGCCCACAGGATCTCAAGGTACCTGTTGTTGGCGGGCATTCCGGAGCAACAATCTTGCCGTTGATTAGCCAATCCCAGCCCCCAGTACAGCTAACCCAAGAGCAAATTGAGGCTATCACAAATAGTAAGTTCATTCGTCGTAAAGATGGCAAACGCGCAAGCTAATGTAGCATTTGCAGGAGTCCAATTCGGCGGAGACGAAATTGTCAAAGCCAAGGCCGGTGCTGGGTCTGCGACAACATGCATGGCGTACGCTGGTTTCCGGTAAGTCGAGTCCTTTCAGGAAATACATCTGTTTAGTCCATGGACAGTTACTTATCATGATCCCCTCTTAGCTTTGCTCAAGCCATTATCAAGGCATCTCAAGGCCAAAGTGGTATCGTGGAACCTGCCTATGTCTACCTCCCTGGGTTGCAAGGAGGTGAGGCTGTTGCCCACGAGCTTGGAGTGAGCTACTTTGCTGTCCCGGTAACCTTCGGGCCCGGCGGTGCCGAGACCGCGCATCCCATTGGATCTTTGTCTGATTATGAAAAGGGTCTCTTGCAGGTGGCCATCGATGAACTGGGAGGAAACATCAATAAGGGGGAGGCCTTCATACAGTCACGGGCGTAGCGGCACCGGCCACCTTTAGGTTAGACAGTTGATAGTGACATTGGTTCTAATGTGATTCTTACTGCCTACCTCGCCCAGTTTTCTCTCAGCTAAGATTAAGAGATAACGTAGCCTGACTGCGTTGCCTTTTGAACTCCAATGTATCAGTAAGCCGTCTCGCCCTTGATCAGATCCGAGGTCCAATAGAATGGCTTCACAGGCGTCAAAGGCAAATGACGAAGCTTTCGCTCTTAGTATGGATATTGTGCTTCTGCGCCTGCATCGTTCACAATGTCTAGCAGTGAACCCCATGTAGCTCCATCGAACATGTCGAAAAAGTTGTCAGCAACTCCAAACTGTCTATCCATGCCCTGATTGGATGAGTTCCTGTTGCGATCCGGAAACGTTGTGGGTATGGGAGCAAAATAGGAACCCATAGATGAGGTGTTGTTCTGAAAATTGAAGTCAGGCGGCGAGAAAATCTGGCTGGCATCAGTCGGACGAGCTTGACTCTGGTTAAGCCGAGGGCTGTTTGGGTTGAGGTCGGATGTCTCGAAGTTGAAAAGATTCTGTCTTTGGCTTTCATAGACCCTTGAAACGGGATTGCTATCTCTTGACCGTTGAGCTGGAATCGGGCTTTTAGTGTTATGGTTGGTGTTTGATATTGGTAGTTGCCGCCGCGGAGACATTGTACCAAGATTCATGGGCCGATCTTGTCGCCCAGACGCATTAGCGCTTGCCATCCTCCTCTTGCTTCGCTTGGCAGACTTTTGTGCGGCATCTTGACCATCCTCATAATCTGAACCCTCAATGGTATCTTTTCGGACTCTCTTATGTGTTTTGGGTCCCTGTGTGATACCCTGAAGTAGGACAGACAGCACTTCTCTGCAGTGTCGAGCCATTGCCCATCGTTTTGTCAACTTGTTTAACAGTTGCAGCGAAGATTCGATTCCTCTACTTTCCCATTAGCGAATTGGCAAGACACTCCAGCTGGCAACTTTGATGATACGCACGATATAGCTTTCTCAACATTGCAAACTTTGAGCCGCGCTGCTAGAGCCAGCACAAGACCACTCATCCACACAGCTGACATGTATCCAGGCCAAAACAAGGGACCTCCTGCCTCTGAATACTGCTCAATGATGCGGAGTATGGCGTAGGCTGCGTTTATGCAAGTCTGTAATGCGTCACGGAATTCTGCACGTCTTGAGTCAAGTGAAAGGGAGGGGCGATTAAGTAAAAGTATGGTGTAATAGTAACTGACAAAGGGAAAGACGGTGGGGTCCGGAGTTAGCTGTGGTATGTCTTGCAAGGCTGCGGTGAAGCGCGGCTCTGTGAGATCGTTGCCATAGGCCGTCACATCCGCCTTGAGGAACAGGATTGTTTGATTATCCATTTCTCTAGCGTGAATAGACTTGTGGAAGACTTCTAGAACTCTTCCCACTAGCTGTGAGTGCCGAACATGATGTTCTAAAACAGCTTGTGTTTCTCGACGGTGGCGGAGGATCGCGGCAGCCTTGGGTGATATGCTGGATGGCGGAGGGTCGGTACTGGCTCTCTCATGTCGACCAGGTTCTTCGTCTACTTCGGGCGAGGTCTCCGTCGTCTGATCTTGACCCGCTGGAGATGATGCCAACCGTTCGGGGTGGTTTGCAGGTAGGTGTAGGAAGGTGTTCTCTACTTGGCCGTGAAGATCTGACTTTGCAACGGGTTCATGGAGGTCTCGCTGGCCTGGCGGGCATACGTCGATATCTGAGTCCTGAATGCCATTCGGATGCCCCAGTGACTGGCTGATGAAACGGTCGAGAACGTAAAAGCTCCAGAAGGTGCGCTTACGCATTGAGCGCTCATCCGGAGACAGATGGTCGTATCGTACTGGGCATCTATGCATGCCAGATTGAAAGATTGACTTGGACAGCAAGCCACTGACAGACGACGCATGGCGTAGCGCCATGGTAGAAACGAAATAAACTTGAGAAGCTAGCAACGCTTGGATAGAAATTGTGTCGCAACGAAGGGCTAGCATGCTAAGAGTTGGTAAGAGGTCTGAAGGTGAACGTATAGCTGCTGACCCCAGGTCGAGCGGCCCATCTGTGTCAAGCTTAGCAACGTTCAAGATGCACTTGAAGATGACAAATTGGCAGAGCGATCTTGAACTGCGCCGGTTGAAGTCGGGTGCGTAAAGATTTTCCAAATCTGCTAGACACTCTGGCCCTTGTAGAAAGGGAACCAAAGGATGCCATATCCGGAAGTATGTGAGAAAGAGGTCCCGAGCAATCGTGTAGTCAGGCAATGAGCTCATATCAGTCATGATATCCATCCCTGATGGCATCGGTGATGTCTCAGCGTCCGACTCATAGTTCGCTCGACTAGCGCTGCTGCATCCTGGCCTCTCCCCCGAAGACTCTGGATCATTTCGGTCGTTGTCGCCTACGATGCAATCTTCGGGAGATGGATCATCGTGGGTATCGGCTCCAGCAGCGTGACGTCCATCGTCTGCCTCGGTGCCTTCGGCTGTTGAGAAGGCCCTTCGAACGGTGTTGATGAAGAAGACGCCTGAAGAACTGCCAACAAACTGGCTTTCTCCGTTGGCAAGAGCTCTGAGACTTCCGATCTCTGGCGCCATGTTGAGAGACTTGTTGCCAAGCCGATGGGAAGCCGAGCCACGCTCCGTCGATGCTGCTTGCTCTCATCCGCCCTGGAAATGTGTGAATGTCGTCAAAAACGCGCTGACGCACAGCGCCTTGAGGGGTGTGGTGCGGCGGAGTTAGATTACCCCGTGGCTGAAAAGGCTGTCTGCCGAAGATATCCGCCCACGGAAGCTAAATGCGATTCATTTGCCCCCAACAAGAACCTCCTGCTGAGTTGACCATGATAACGCTACGATGAGCGCGAAAACAAAACTAACTAGAATAGCTACTTAAGACCGTTTTACAAATCATTTCAATGATATACATGTGGTCTCATAAGAAGAGGTCGTGGCTAGCCACACCCAGATAGTAATAACACGGAGCTACTAAAAGTATTCTCATCGCTATGTGCCTCACCTATGGCCACACACGAGATAGCCTTGATGCGACATGGCTTAGGAACTGCAATTACCAAAGGAATGCGCTTTCATAACTTTCCGAAACTTGCGGGCGCGTCTGCCGCCTCTTTTCACTCGTTCTCGTGTTGAGGTTGGCTCTAGAAACCGTCACGCCCTCTGCGAGTAACCCAGCAGCTCCTCCACCCGCGTCGCGTATCCCCGAGGCGACTGACATATCCGGGTCTATCATGAGAGTTTCTCCGTCTTCTTCCATGCTTTCTGCGCGCGTCATGACCTCGGACTCCTCGATATCATCATCACCGTAACTCTCATCGTCGCCTGGTGTATTATCAGTCGGCGTGTCGTTCGTAACAGCAACCTCGGACGCGTGAGAATCTCGATTGGACGTCTCGCTTGGTTCTTTCGAGGTTCTGTCTGCCCACCAACTCTGAACAGCTTCTGCTGAGTCGATAGGATGGGAGCCCCAGTACACAGGGCCAAACTTTTCCCCTTTGACCACCTCAATTGATGTTCTGCCATGGGCCGATGATGCACTCCCAGTCGATCGGAGGCCGGCTTTTGGGATATCACGAAATGCTCTTTCCAGTTGGTCCCCTGACACTTGAGCCAACAGTGCGCAGAGAACTTGTTCGGTTTCCATCAAACGCTTTTCCATGGTCACGATGTAGTGCTTCGGAGGCCCACTGCATAAGCCTTATGTGTCAGTCATGACAGATAGAACAATCAAGAGGAAGACTGGAGAAGAGACTGGGCTTGACGACCAAAGATTGAGACTGACCGTTTTCTCTGTTCAGGCCACTGACATGACACATTGTTGATACCGCATTGTGCACATTTTGGCCTAAAGCAATGAGTTTTCCTGCCATTACAAGACATCAATCAGGCGGCAACGAGCGTACCTCTCCCCACTACACTGTTAGTTGTCCAAGGAGTCAGTCAACCTCTGCTGGTTGTAGGTGATGAATGGCTCTTCTCAACCCACCTTGTGTTTCCGCGCTCTGCAGGCCAAGCAGGCCCCACGGCTCCGAGTTATTTTCTTGGTTCCTTGGCCTGCCATAGGTATTGACGGACAAGTTTGCTTCATCCGAGATCGGGCTCAATTGGCCGTGGAGAGACGCTGGTGAAAGGCTTAAGAGACGGAGGAGATGGCCGGACGCGCGTAATATTTGAGCCGCGGACAAAGGAAGCTCCGCGGAGAAGTCGAATTTGGGGAAGAAACATGTGGGTACCCATCGATTGCCCCACGCTGATCTCTCCTGTGACTGAATACGACCAACACGAGAATCACGGAACATTAGACCTTGTTAGAAATTCTGTCTTTTTTCTTTCTACGTCGCAAGATCGTGTGGCCTATTGACGTGCCGCATAATCCCAGAGCTACGTTGCTCCTACGCGGACTGCTCGTAGGCCTCGGCCTGCTCAGGAACGACCGTCAATAACCTCTCCTTCAAAACGCCACGGCGTGCGTTTTCCATGGCCAGTGACTCCATTTGACCGAGTGTCTCAACGGTGTGGGTTCCCAAGTGAGGTACGAGCAATGCTCTTTCGTTCTTGACTAGTCGCTCGTCAACCAGCGGCTCTTTTTCGTAGACATCCAGCCCAACCGCTGCGATGTGGCCCTCATCCAGGGCGACGGCCATAGCTGCCTCATCAATGACAGCACCACGGGCGGTATTGATCAAGACCACACCCGGCTTCATCTTGGCGATCTCTGCGGCTCCGATCAAGTGCGTAGTACCGGCTGACAGCGGGACGTGGACAGAGATAATGTCGCTAGTGCTGAGAAGCTCATCGAAGGAAACATATTGACAGCCTGCAGCGAGATCATCCGACAGCGGCTTCCGGTTGTGATAGATTGTCTTGAGCCCAAAAGGCTCGGCACGGCGCTTGACTGCACGACCAATGCGGCCCATGCCGAGAATTCCCAATGTCTTGCCTTGAGGATCATGGCCAAAGTCAAGACCCTTTTTGAAGTTGCCGCTCCTTAGACTGGTAAAAGAGGGATTCAACTGGCGGATGGCTCCGAGGAGAAGGAAAATGGTCAGATCGGCAGTGGCTGACGTGACTGGGTCTGGCGCATAAGTGACTATGATGTTGCGTCGCGTGCAGGCATCGACGTCAATCTGATCGTATCCGGCGCCAGTATGGCAGATGTACTTCAAAGACGTAGGCAGTTGGTTCACGAACTCTTCGTCAAACTTTCCAGCAACCTGTCAAGTGTTAGTACTTCGAAGGGTGACGTGACAAATCACTTACAGCTCCACTGGACGACGTTCTAAAAATGGCCTCGATGTTCTGATACTTGCTGCGCAAGTCGTTGAAGAACTGGTCTCGTGAGGTAAGTCAAACCCCCCACTTCCTGGCACCCCCCTGTTTCTGGCACCCACAAAAACGATGGGATCACAACCCAACCTCCTCATTACTATTAACTATTGATCCTCAACCACACCCACTACAATACAACTGCCAGCCTCACTAGGGCATTCAGAGTCGCTGGATTCAGCCGTAATAACCTCCTTTTCACCCGCTTCGATTTGAGCCCGATGGATATCCCTGATGTTCGCAAACTTCGTGTTGGGATCGATCTGAACAGTCTTCCTCTTCCTAACTGCAGCGTTGGTAACTTGAGCCCTCAGGTGAGCCAGCTGCTGCTGGGCAGCTGCCAGTTGCCAGGCCTGCTCTGTGAAGCCTTTTTTCACCTTCCTGAACAGCAGCCGTTGAGTGCTGGTATCATTGTCGAGTTGGGTGTATAAGTGCAGTTGACCGCTGAGCTCTGCCAGCTTCCTGGGTGTCGACCAGACCACTGCAGAGGAAGCAGAATCCCATGGCTCAACAGGGTAGTTTGTTGACCATTATGGCATCGCTTTTGCCCCGACTGGTTGGTTTGGGTGTGGTGGGCTTAGCAGAAGGCTCAGGTAATACCATAGGTTCATCAGGGGCTTAACCATCGCTACAGGGTGTAGACCAGTCCACTTCCAACCACTTCTGATGTTCGAGACTGATAGACCAGCAAGTCGAGCCTTCTGGTAACAGTCCAGGAAGTTCCTTTTACCTATAATGGTAGAGTCGTTCCATTGAGACAAGTAACCGAGCTCCTTCCGATAGGCTGACTTAACAGGGCTGAAGACAGACTGGTCAAGTGGCTGGAGGACATGAGAGGAGTGTGGTGGTAAGAACAGTAAATGGATATTGTTAATATAGCAATTCCACATGAAGTCTGTCGTCGTATGACTCCCATGCCCATCCACAATCAACAGTCGAGCCTCGCCTCAGCCTCGGGCATAGTCTGTGGGATAAACACCTTCTCTAACCATTCAATGGCAGTTAAGTCTGTAGTCCAGCCATTATCTGTTGCTGTAAACTCCCACCCATCGTATGGAACCAGATGTAATGGAAACCACTGTTGTTGGACCGTCTTCCCTTGAAAATGATAAGAGGACGAAGTGCCCTACCCAAGGCTGAGATACACTCAATGATAGAGACCCATGCCCTCGACCCAGGTTGTTTCTTGCGAACAGACGTCGTCTCAGCCATGCCCAGCACTAACCCATTAGCTCCTGACCCTCGAGGATGCCAGTCTCATCCATATTATATCTGTTGGCTGGTTTGATGTCCTTGATCTCAGGGATAGCAAGGAACTTAAACCAGTTCCTAATGACCTCAGTAGATGCCCCATTAACGCGTCTAGAATCGATGGAACGACTTCTCTGAACCTTAATGATAGGGTTCCTTCTCACGAAGGCATAGATCCAGCCTTTTCCTAATGGTTTGGTATCCCCAGCAGCAGCCAGAACTCGCTCTGCGAATTCCTTCACCTGTTGGTGCGTTGGTGCGAGGCCCAGCGAAGCCTGAATGCGAACCCATTGTGCCAGCTTACTCTCCTGGTCAGGAGACAGCCTCTGCCAGTCAGCAAAGCCACTTTCCTAGTCTGACCACCTTGGAGACGTAGTTGGAGGGTTGATCGTGGTATCCCATACTCCAATGAGGCTCTCTTTTGACTCTTGCCGTTTGAGATGTCCTCGAGAGCCTGACGAAGCTGATCTTCGGTATATTGAGGCATTAGATATAGAAGAAGGTATGTGCAAAAAATGAGCCCATTTGGACTCGAATTGAAAATGTTGTGATAAAAGGAGGTTGGGGGTGGGCATTGCGTTGTGGTGGATTTTCGCGTTTTTGTGGGTGCCAGAAACAGGGGGGTGCCAGGAAGTGGGGGGTTTGACTTACTAGTGACCACTTCGGGATTGGCCACCAGCTTCAAAGCCTCATACTCCTGTAGTGCATGGCGGACGGCGTTGAAGAAAAGGATGCGAGGTTTCGATTGCGACATGTTGGCGACTCTGTGTATCGGCATCATCTCCGTCTACATTGACTATGTTGATTGACTGGCGACATTTTGTCTTCCTTTAAACCGTTGAAGCCATCTTCATTGGGTGCTTGCGCTTAGTCGATGTACGCCGCGCTTCAAGCGCCGCGGTTAAAAGATTAGGCGAAGGCGTGTTTGCCGACGGAACCCAATTGCCGGTGACGGCTGCGACAGAACTATTCGCTTTACTTGGAGTTGTACTTTGTGTCGTAGACTATCAGAAGCTCTTGCAAGATTGGAATTCTGCTGGCTATCCCTTCATCTATCACTCCAGAATCTTGCGATGCTGAAATGGTAAGAGAAAGACGTCGGTTGTCCCTGGTGTCGCATCGACTACTCGTGGGTTTCGAATCCCCTTTGCGCATTGTAGACGGCTCATTGACGACTTCTGAGCAATCCAGTGTTTAATTGATGCTCGTTCTGTCTTCAGCCCAAGGGACCTTACTCCATGAGCCCCTTCAGAAGACTGTGTCCAGGTCGGTCAGGGGATAGCTGGCATCAGCCCCATTCACCCCTACATTGAGAACTTGGCTAGACTATGTGACTCTTCCCCCAAGTCTTCGCCTAATTTTCCCTTGCTCGCTACCAATGTTGCCACTTGTATAGTCCTGGGGACCTCGGTTCGAATCGTCGGCTTTCCTGAAGTAGAAAGAGGGGATACGCGTAACTGCGTACGGACGTAAGAGGCAGATCGATTGGCCACTATTGAGGGGCAAATGAGCAAGCATACCACTACAATAGCAGCTAGCAGGTTAACCTTGATTAGTCTTGGTCGTAGACTCGAGGCTCTATTCGTAATGGGACTATGAGGAAATCGTATCAAGCATTAGCGGTTAGCTCTAACTGATCGACACTCAGTAGCAACAGCGTCAACCTCCCAGACTTATGGCAGCCCATTCTACCAGTCTTTGAACTGACATACAGAAAAACCGCATGGGTACTCTCACTCAGGGTAACGACAGTCTCGCATGTTTCGTAACGCTCGCAGTCAAGTGGAAGGAATGAAGTCGCAGAGAGACAAGCACAGTTGCGCACTAGGGTTGAACGAAAACAACTTGACATGGCCGAGTCCGTAATTCCACGGATGTATGCTATTACCACAGTTCATTGGCACATGTAGTCTTTCGCAATGTTTCCACAATTCCATGCAGCATAGAGCAAGACCCCGGTACCTAAATACCGGACGACGAAATGATATGCGATAGCACTGGGTGAACAACTTTGGTAGGAAACTCGACCGCTCACCCTAGAGTTCAAGATCCAAACATCCTGATGCAATAGCAGCTGTAATGATATCTGCTCTTCGCCTTGTCTCTGCCATTTTCCTCTTCAAGTGTTCATGCTCGCATGGGTCTTCTAGGTCCGGGTTGCGCCTGTCTGTTAGAGAAGGCATGTGTACGAGTTTCGTCACTGTGACGTCGGAAATTATTATCTAGTCGCATTCGGCTTCGATTTGACGACGCCAACTAATGTCGTTCGCAGTTGGACTTCTTTCCAAAATTACTACTAAATCAAAGAGCAGTTTAGCGATCGGAGTCCGGCCTAATGCTTTTGAATAAAAATATCCGGTGCGAGAGGTATCTAGAGAACCTACCAGACAATTTGCTCAATTTTCTCTAACAATTCCATTATCTCGTTACGATTTCGGCTCCGGCTTCTGAAAGGCACAACGGTTCTCGAGTCGATATTTGGCACGCAATACCCGCGCAAATCGTCTCGTGTAGATGGGCTCGCCCTCGGTCCTCGTGCAAAGAGTCATTGTCTATCCATTGTAACTGAATATTGTCGGGCACCATGGCGAGCTTTTCGACACTCTTGGATCGGAGCCATGTTCAAGACTACTATTCATCGTTTGTTGGCGTCTCTCACATCATGGATGGTTCGCATTGCTCTATCGACGAAGACTTGCACTTTGTGCCGATGCCAGTCAGCTTCGGTCGCGTCTCGAACTGTCGAAAGAATGGTCCTATCATACCAAAGGAATCGTAGCCTGCTTGCGTATGATCATCAGATCGCGTCTTGGGGAATTTGCCTCGGTCGATCATTAGACTGCGAGATGGGCGCGGTCGAGTTGATTGAAGTTGTCGTCGTCGCCCATGACTGGAACCCCGAACTGTCCGCATGGCTCGCGTTTGCACAGGGCTCAATTCAATCAATCTTCCGGATCCAAAGGATTCATGTCGGCTTTATCTCGCACGGAATTCGGTTTCGAAGATGACGGGCTCGATTTACTCCTTCTGTCACCGAGATTTTCCTGTTCGATAGGTTGCTTGCCCAGGAGAAGATCCCCCACACGAACGAGGTCCAGGACGTGGAACGGGTCGCCTGTCGATCGTAGTCGATTGAATATTTCGGTTGCCTCGGCTTCGGGCCGTGAATAAAGGTCCCTTATCAGCTCGTGGAGATCATTGTTCTCTTTTTCAAGTTCTTCCAGTCGGTTGACAATCGCCTGTCTTCTGGTTGTCTCAATCGGGGTATCCCACTCGCATTCGACGTTTTGCGTGGAACATCGCGAACAGATCGGTCGGGTCGCGGAACACTGTGTTATCGAATACTAATCAGCTTTGTGGCTGGCCGTATCGAGATATTAGGGGTCCGGCTTGGCTGGTTCGAACTTCTTAAAGGGGTGGATGGAGAGGGGAAAAGGTTGACGGTTAACTGTCTAATCTATTCATGATTTGACAAGTCTTTTGGCCACTTTGCCCCACCTTAACGGCGATGTCAACGACCTGGATAAGTACCGTTGCTATGTGCGGTACACCACCAGGTCGTGGCAAAAGGTACTTTTCTCATCAGGGGTAGGAAGCTAGAGGCGGGCGAATTTTCCCTTTTCTTCTCTCTACGGCAAACAGCAATAGGGTGTACAACTTACCTTTACTTTTCTTCTGCGGCACTCAAGGCAAGCTGCTGGTACAGTCTGTCTCTGCCGTCGAAATGGAGGTTCCGTTGAGATCACGCGAGGACCAGCGCCGGCTGGCAAGAGACGCCTGAAGCTTGTGGCTGTCGCAGGAGCATCTGGGCTCGGAGCGTCCCTTGTGTCATCGTCGTGTTGCGAGCCCAACATTGGTCCAAGATGAGGAAGAAAGAAATGATGACAGCGGTATTGCAACACGGCTCTCCCCATTAATAGCCTCGGAAGAGTATTTATAGCCAACAGTTATTGAGTGGAATCAATATTCCAACAGCATCTCTTGGCCACTGCACATCTCTTCTCTCGGCCATAGTACGGATACCCAACTGATACACCCCGCAGGCGTGGTACCATCCCTGCTGGCGTTTGGAAGGATTTCCGTCTGCACTGGCCTAGGCCGTCGAGAAAGTGAACTTGCCCTGTCGATTGAAGCCCCCTTTGGAGTGCTAGTTTTTCCACAGCAGCCAATCTTACACCCTTCAGTACCTTACCCTTCAAGCGGTCCGTAGTGTGGACGCGATGGTCATCCGCATGTGGGCGTGATGTGGCAAGTTAATCGGGCCCTGAAGATGCTGCGGGTCTTCTGCTTGCTTTTTACTATTGTACCTGTAGCGACTCGGGTGTGGCTTTGCCACAGCTTTACGGTCACGATGAAGCGGAGGGTCCCTTCCGATTTGATGAATGTTTGCAGAAGGCAAACTGATTCTTGTCTGCATCTACTTGAACCCCATCGAACGTAGCATTGGCTCGAAGAGTTCCCATCGACACGCTCTTCTTACTTGAGTTGAAGTTGACCAAAGCTTTAGCCGGTGTTTAAGCTGGGAATCATGCAACGAGGACTGGAGAGAAGCCATGGCGTGGGTTTTCGCTTGTGCCCTAAAAGCCGTGCCTTCATGATTCACGGACCACGAAGCGCAGACTGCACAGCACACACATGGCGGAGGTTGAAATCTCGATAGTGATTTGGTGGATAGGTCAGAAGATCTAAGCCCCTCAACCAACATGTAGGGGCGTGTCTCAAAACTCTGGTACTTGATGAGGCGACCGACCCCTCGATTCACGAGCTTCCCTCGTCCCATGTTATTACTTACCTAGTGGTACTGCGTACCTCAGATATCAAGGTCAAAGTTGTACAGCTGATAATGCACCCTTCACAAGAAGGCTTGGTGATTATCACGGGTAAATTGTGGTTTACTATCAATTCGAGACCCCATTTACTATTCCCTTGAGGTCAAAGTCGCCGTCAGCTCGGAAGGAGTCCAAATCAATGAGTTGACAGCACCAAAGTCCTTCTAAACCATTCACCCATTCTGGTCTGGTAATTGTTTGTCCACCTCCCTCTATCAGCATATGAATCAAAAAGGCGGCTGTCGACGGGTTCGAGGGTCGGCCTTCTTCTCTCGCACCGCGACCTGGAATGTTAAGCCCCCGTTCTCGAACCTCGATGCCATTGACTGCACCAGCTACAGAGCCGTGCGACGCGGCCAGCTTGATCAAACTTGAATTTACTAAAATCCGGAGGTGGTGGGCGCCATGTGCTGCGACTCAGGGTAATATTTTTCACTACTAGCTCAATGGGCCACCCAGCCACGGTGTCTTCATCTTAGGGCCATCACATTTTGGACACTATTATGGGCAATCGCGTCTTACAACCCCATACTACAAGCGCAAGTACAGTCCTAGACACCGTGCCGTCCTTCTCGGGGACATTCCTATCACCTATCCTTTCGTCTTCGCTTGAGGGGGCCATGGCAACTCATCAAGGTAGAAATCAGCCCCTCGGGCTTCGGAAGTCGGGGCTAAGCTGGCCGCACCGAGCTCTACAGCGCTGTGTTCTTGATCGCGGGGCAGGGAATATTGACGCGAGCCAATTTTGCTTTTCGAAGGCGCCCAATGGTCGATCGTGATCAGCTCCACGGAGTACTCCGTGGCAGCAACCACCTGAGTAAGGTACTTGGGTAGCCATTGGCAACGATTCAGCGACGAGCAACTCACGACTACTGATCATTCCTAACTGTCTGTAACTTAGGATAGTTTACTTCATGCTCGGTAGTACAGAAATCTCAGCGCACTTGGGAAGCAAGCACTGCAAACAACTCCACGATTCAGTGCTTCGGCGCCACATGTATCAAAACCCCCTTTCAGTCAAGCGCAAGAATCCTTCTCAGAATATGAACTAGACCTGTACACCGCAGAGAAAAGTGGTCAGAGGCGCAGAAGGTTCAATCTAGGTCGCACATGGGACTACGACCATGGCAGCATGGCTGGGGTGTTTACCTGCATGTGGGATCTAAGTCTCGGACAGAAACAGCAGATCCAATATCGCCCACCGTATGATGGTAGCACAAACCTGGTGGAGACTTCCTTCTACATCTTCGTCTCTGGTTCTTAGACACAATCAATCATTTTGCCACTTCAGGAGGGGAAATGCCATCGCGACGAGTTCTTAGCCTCCTCCGGATGACACGGGAATTGCCGCGAAAAGGTGTGTACAGTTGTTTAGTTGCCGCGGGCAGCGTTCTTCATACACATGACGACGCTCTTCCGCATCCCTCAAGGCCACCGAAGCTGCGACCTTTACTTGCGATAACCGTCCCAACAGCTGAATGTTGCCCTGCGACACAAACAGCAACGGGCAGGATACAGGGGTAAAGGACCACTGTGACCTTGCTGCCTGGTCCCTCCAGAGGAATCGTACTTCATGTTGACAGAGCTCGCAAGTTACAACTGTTGGGGCCCAAGAAGTTGCCACCCAGTCGAATCGCGGGTGGGCAAATCCGCCAGGAGTCAGGGGTCAAGCCATTCCGATTTTGCTCCAAGTTGGATCATACAGAGAAGCCGTCCATGAGTACCTTGCAAGGCTATTCCGATATCCAAGTTAAGGGAGATGGGGAAGGGAGAATTGATGACCGGAGGTATGAATTACTCGAGGCGGTGTTTCAACCCCAGGCATGCCCTACACGAGGCTCAGTCTTGGCCAATGATCTATCTATCATACCTTGGGTGAATGCGAGGAAGAACGCCCGCCTCCGACTCGAGCAAAGCGTTCGGTGAGCACCGATTTCAGGAACGAAGCCATTACTCGTGAAGCCTGTCCAGAGCATTGTGAGGTGCTACAGGCCTCAAGGGTCGCCCGACATCTAGCTAAGCAAATTTCAACGGTCTTCTGTAAATATCAGACGCTCTGTGCTCCAGGCATGAGTAGTAGGGCTTCGGGAACCTGTAGAGTCATTGTGCTGCATCAGACCGGTGCTCCCCCTTGAACATCCAGTCCACATGCATCTGAGGCATGAAGTGGCGAGCTCTGTCTCCTGGCCTTTTGCATCCCGATATCTGGGTGCGAATATGAGAACTATTCGAGGGGCTGCATGACGACAAAAGAAATAAAACGAGAGGTTGTAGGTAGGTACAACTGGCCAAGCGACAACCATCTGAATAGACAGTAAGATGTACCCCTATTCAGCGTGCCCGATATCCCCCGAGACACAATGTGCGCAGTCCCCCACTTCTCAACATAGAATCCGTTTATGAGCATTAAACCCAAGACAATGAATGATAGGTCGAGTTCCTCGAGGTGAAATTAGCAAGCAAAGGCCAAAGAATACACATTTCGGAGACGAGATGATTCCTTCCCAATCATTAGCAAATGGTTTCCCAAGTCCAGGAAGACAAGACAATTGCTACTATCAGAAGATAGAACTTCAATTAGAAGACCATTACCACAAGGATAATGAATCATGATGAGGATATTGAAGACAGAAAGCAAATCACTGGCGATGTGCGCGGGCAATATGCTATATGACAGCCAAAAGATCCATGGAAGCCGGATGCTGGAGAGACCAAAATGCTACTTATATCGAATTCCTTTTACTGCGTTGTGTAGACTGACCCTGGTGGACAGCGCGCTTTTCAGCGTGGTTTAGTTGATCATGATAGGTTCACTTGACTATCATGGATCCCTTCGCCTCCGGTGTTGTATCACAGCATCACTGAAGAAGACTGAAGTGGGATCGATACCGCGCCTATGCCCTCTCGAACAGTGGTGGCCATTCATCCAGCCCAGGGTAAAAAAGTCGTCGTAGCGTAAGGTAAGGGGTCCCACTGGCGGTTGTGATCATTAATCCTTGCGGATATTAGAAGTACCAGCTTGAAGGACAGCGCGTATAACAAACATCAGCAGTATTTAACGGGCGCTGAATCTTGGCAAATCCAAGAGCACAGCCAAATTCGCGGGTGCTCGCTATTTAAACACCATCAAATCACCAGACGGTCTGGCATCTCTCAGTCGTGTTCCAGGCCGGGCTGTCATGGTACTCGTTGTCCTTTACAACCTCTACAACACGATCCTCAGACGGTCGATTCGTTAATTCACATATAGATGGTTATGCATTTAAGCAAGAGTCCGAGCCCATCCCAACATTACCCAACTGAATGGGCGTGAATGTCTTGCATGTGCAATAAACTCTAACCCCGACAACTTGACAGCCGGTGGGATCACGGACTTCACGGGCTGCTTTCTCCTCACCTCTCTGCCGGAATCCGGTCGAGCCGTGACGGTTCGGACGCGTCACCGAAGCTGGGGTCGAAAATGAAGACAGACTGATTGGTTTGTGTAACCATCATGAGAGTTCGGGGACTCTGATGGGATTGGAGGCCCGAGTTTCCATGCGAGTGCCACGGCCTTTCACTGGGCAGAGGGCCGTCTGATGAACCTGGTCACACCATCTCGACACTGATAGCCTCTTGGAATCAACGGTAAAAATGTGGGCGCAGCCAAACCGGTTTGTGGCCAGACCGGGCCGATGAGCGTGGGCAGGGCCCAGGGGACCGTCCTATCTCAAATCAAAACCTTGCAAACCTAGAGCAGTCGCGGGTTGGATTTCTGATTGAAGGAGAAATGTCGGCAATTCAATCAGCGTCGAAGATCATTGTCCGATAATCGTAGCCCTGCAGCGCTGCTTTGACCTGTAATACATGACTGGTGACCGTCCACTTTGCCGCCGGCACTCGTCGTCGATTGAGCTTTGAACATAAACAGTGTATGTTGAAGACGGATTTTTTTCCGTTCTACGTACATCTCCCATAATTTCTGTGTTATTTCATTTTGGTGGCTTTATTGACAAATCCCACACATATAGGCAGGACAGGAATACTATGAGGTGAGATCAGCACACACGGGACACAAGAGACGAGCAACAAGAAAATTTGGATCGAAAGAGTAACGACTATGTACGAAGAGAAAACGACACCCTACACTACGACCGACAACATTCTAGCTATAGCCACAAGTGTCCATCACGAAAGACCAAGTTTACTTGCAGGCTTGTCGTCGCCTCGCCGTCCCCGTTACCAGAACATGCAGAGCCTCAAGCCAGACGATAATCGCACATACTGAGCACTCTAGCATGACGAGCAACAAGTTTCTACGAACGAATCTATTTGACGGTCGAGCCGATGGGTCCGAAGCGGATGTTGGAGTACGTAACAGTGGCCTAGTTGGTGTCGGCGTCAGCTCTATACTTGCCGTCTACTTGGAAGAGAAACGAAGGGTCACTTACACTGGCAAGACTGCTCTCAACATCAGCAGGAACACCGGAGGTGGTGGGGCAGTCTCCGCGGGCGGCGCCGGGCTGACCAGCCTTCTCGGGAGGGTAGACGGAGTCGAGCCAGAGCATGTTGGCGTAGTGATCATCCCAGAGGGACATCACGAGCACCCACTTGCCGCTGAGGGCCGAGTTGAGCTTGGAGAAGCCTCCGACCTCGGAGAAGCGGTCGCGGTCACCAAAGGCCTTGAACTGGGCGGTGCAGAACTCGGGGGTGACGGCGTTGCCGGACACGCCGCTGATGGTCGAGTTGGGCATGTTGATCTTGGCGCCGTTCTGGACGAAGTACTGCGCGACCTTGTTGTTGGAGAACTGGGTGACAACGCTGGGTATTCACAGTCAGCCACTGAGTCATGGTCTCGCCTATCAAGGGCTAGGGGAAGAACAAAGCAGTAGAAGGATGACTTACGTGAACTTCTTGGAAGTATCGACCGTCTTGCCCTTACCATAGAAGCCGGTGACACCCATGCGGTAGGGGTTAAAGTCACATCCGTTGGCATCGCAGTCGCCAGCGAAGCGATCCGCGGAGTAGGTGCCGCCACAGCCGGACGTCTCGCAGACGTGATATGCGTTGTTCGTGCATGCGTGGGGTGTCACGGCGAAGGAGTGGGAGTTGGACTCTGTCAAAGGGTTAGCAAGAAGGCTCCAAGGGATGGCAGATATGGGCGAGAAATTGCGTACCCCAGACGTCCATCTCGGCGCAGCAGGCACCGTAGGGACCGACGCCGGCGTTAGCATCGTTGGATGACGGGACCCAGCCCTCGATGTTGGCCTTGCCGCCGACGAACTTGAGATCACGGGCGCACTGGGCGTCGCAGTATCCAGTGCCGTACTTGGCACCAGCCTTGTTGGTAGGGTACTTGGCCATGCCACCATCCGCGTCCATCTATTGAAAGGTAAGCAGCTGATACGGAAGTCTTTCAATCCTTGTGATTATCCTCGAAGATTGTTGACTTACTTGCACAAAGTAGAGGGCACCGTTCAGACCACAATCAACCTGGGACAGGTCGACGTCGAAGGCCAGCTCGTTGCCTATTGGATGTTTAGTAACTGACACGAAAGCCTCTCCATTGGCCAGACCAACCTGTCAATGTGAACATCTCATAGGCCGAGGCCGAGTTCATGAGATAATGACGAGAGCCAATGTTCTTGCCGTAGGCGTGTTGCGTAACGAACTTCAAGCTGAGAGCATTGCCAGAGGTGGTGACACCGTAGGTGGCAGCGTAGTCGGCCCCCTCAAGAGAGCACTTGGAGGCGCAGTCTGTTGCGGAGCTGCAAGCACTGGTCCACTTGTTACCGTCGTAGCAATTGGTGCCGGAGGCATCGTGAAGCCATCTCCAGTTGTGGTCGATGACGACCTCGCCGTTGACGTTAGTGCAGCTGGAGGCGGTGCACTTCTGCCAGGTCAACTTCGGGTGGGTCTCGGTCTGTAGAGTACCTGCCTGCTGAGCAGACACGGCGCTGATTGCAGCGAGGAGAACGGAGAGTGAAAGCATCTTGAGATGAGATGTCAACAGCTGAGGATGTTCTGGCTGGTGAAGAAGCTCCTGAGTTTCACGACATCTTGCGTGATCTTTTCGGGCTTCTTATAGCCCTTCCTGGGACTCCTTGGGAAGTAGATCTTGACGAATACTCTTTCATGGAGATCCAAGTTCCGTTCGCAATATTGACCAAGACCTCAGTGCCAGGCAAGGGATCACCGGGAAGCGCACCGAACATCCCTTTCGTCCCATGACCGGTGGGATCTTCCATGCCTACTACGGAGGCATTCATCCGTTGAGCAGTAAACAGCATCGATCCCACTTAGGTAACCAGGCATCCAACGGTCCTCGACAAAATGCCAGGGGAAACTTTCAACTTACCCCTGAAGGCTGCGGGAACCGGAGGTCCCCCCATCGACCAACAAAGCGTTCCATCAATCGCTCGATGCAATTTAAATTGCAATCAATCCTCATGTTGGTATAGGTGCGGGGGAGGAGAGGCGTGCCTTCGAGCCCAAGAACGCGGATTGTACGGTACTAGGCGGAATCGGGCCCCGGCATCGTATTACGCACGACCTTTAGGTGAGCTACTTTTTCTTCTTGGGTCATGATTACAGTAGGCCATCTACTTTTCCCTTCCAGTCTAGATGTCTTTTTTAAACGGACTCTGTTGAAGTTCAATATGATTGTTGCCGGTCCAACTCCAAGTTCAACTTACGATATAACCTTCTAGTAGTTGCATCTAAGACCTTATGCTTGCCAAAGCCAACGATGCCAATACGGAATAAGCACTCGTTGCCAAGCCTCTTGGTAGGCTTATCTGTCTTGGGGCTTCTTCCACCTAGGGATGGTCCCAGAAATAAGGTCTAGATCGTCTTGGGCCTGCCGGCGTCTAGCAAGAACGCCTTGGGCGACCAAGACGTCCGAGAAGGTGTTTCGGAAGAAGCCTTGCGGATGAAACGGGGGTAAGTTGGGTGATGGGTGCTTGTCTTGAGGAACCGGGCTGTAAGTAACCCGGACCAAGAGTTCATACCCACTTCCTGAGCCCTTTTAGGAGATTATCTGCCCACGCCCTCCAGAAGAAATACCACATTAAGGAGCTTATTCAGGCGTCACAACGCGATCGAGAAGATCTGGCAATGACTCGATTGATGACTCTCTGCAGTTCCCAAACTTCTTTCCTAATGGTGATTCCGTCGCCAGCGCGCCGCCGCCAACTCTCATGTACCTCACCCAGTAAGACTGGGCTCGGGTCAACGGTGAATTTCCGGCTTTGGTTTCCATAAGCAGCGCTGTTGATGTTGTCATGTGGACTGAAGCACTTGCCATACTTGGACCGGGGTGGGACCCTAGTCTGGGGTAATTCTCCTGAAAGGCCGGCATTTATATTAGCCCCAACAGGGGTTGGAGGCATGCATAAATCATTCCACCACACACGATCCGAAATGAGCGACGAGCGAAGCGCCGCCGACCAGTCACGCGGCGGCAGTCGAGGAGGGGTAAACGGGATGTGATTATAGGATAAATGTCTTTGATCCAACCTCAATTACTTTCCCATGGGAGTTCGATATTGCTTTTGCCCCGGTGGCCCAACCATGAGGTGAGAATGAGGTGTTGCTTGGATGTGACTTGCCAGTATCGGACTGGCCGCCGGTTGATATACGGCAAACATTTCGTTTTCCAAAGTAAGCAGCACCCAAAGATGTCTCTGATGTGACTTTTTGGAAAAGAAATCGGAATATCCCACCCCGTTGTCACATTCTATGACCTTGGCGGGTTTCATGAAGAAAGAATTGATGCGACTGGTGATAAATTATGAGACATCTTCACTAGATTAATGTTGAGGACGATGAGTTGAAATTGAGCAGCTATGAGCCCAGATTCGAGTTTCGAGCTCCATGAAGTGCACTGAGTTCTCAAGCTCTCTCACGCCATGCATCTGCGTGTGTAAAATCTGCCTTGGGTACCATGGTAATTGTCTATGGATGCAGTACTGAAGCATTCTATCATGACCGTTATTGAAGCAGGACTATACAGTATGTGTATCAAGGGAATCCCTTGCTTATAGGCTTCTCTCACGAGTCTATTGCGCCAGAAAAGTCTTGAGTAGATTTATAGAATGTTGGAAACAGAGCGACAGAACACTGTTACTGAGGTTATCTGCTTATGCACTTGTCTCATTTTCTTTGGCTTGGTCATGTTGCGATTCAATGAAATTATGTCGTGCTTTTGTTACTTACGCTTTTATTACTCGCTGTATCCTATCTTTAGGAAGTTTCGCTAGTTCCTGCCACTAAGAAGAAGTCTCTCTCAAATTCTTAGAGTATTAGAATATTTCCTACCAGGTGCAATGAAGTGCAATGAAGGAAGAAACTTCTCATCGGGTCTCGAAGGAATCTCAATAAGCGATTCGAGGATCCTGGATGGCACCCAGACTCTTTTACGTTTGTCGATATACATAAGGTATGCTATTGATAGAATATTCACATAGCCTTGAGATGGCTTAACATTCCATTGATCGAACCAGCAAACTACCTTTTATGACAAAGCATTGTGCCGCCCATTGACTCTGAGATATTTCCCTATATTAAGATGATTACTATTATTCCCGTTGTTTTTGCACGAGGCATTAGTAGTCTGGTTTGGCATTTCTTGAGCTTATAATTTACGTACATTCCAAAGAGAATATTCATTAAGAGGTACTAAATAAGACTTATAGATGGTCACTATAGTTAGAGTAATGTAAAGGATAGTCATAAAAAAGAAGTACTAGAAAGAGGATGATAATGATAACATCAAGGGGAATGGGTATAGATAGACTTGAATTATTCTTTTTATTTTCTTACCAACTTCAATGTCTGTAAAATCCCATCTTCCTTTAACTGAATGTATTTAAATAGAAATATAATCATCCTTTCTGCTATTAGAAGAGTGAAGTACAGTGCTCATATATCTTGCCGCAAGGATGACTTTCAAAATGTGAGGTGGGATGCACCTTCCTCTTTCTCTGGACCTCCGGGTTCCCAGGATGAGAGTGGGGCATTGGATAGACGCGCTAGTCCCTTTCCGAGTGGCAGAATTCGAGCCGTGTGAAGCGTCTCGCTTAACCTATGACCCACTCAATTCTCACGTGCAAATTCGCACAAACCTTGGCGATTTCTCACTGTGCGAAAATGACTCCCCGCTTTTCTCGGTGTTCCCCCTGTTACCTAAGGCAGCTCACCGCCCTGAAACGTCGACTCGGCGCAACACCAGAACCTCCGCACACCCACTTTGGACGCGCACACAGGACAGGCCGTCCCGAATCGCAGCCGGAGCTTCTCCGACAATCAGCCATTCCCACTCAGCACCGCCCATCGCATTAGGAGGGATAAGACCAAGGGGGCCATCGCCTGGCCCTGCTCTTCTCTTTTTTCGAAATGTCATCGTCGTTGGCCGATCAGGAACCTCAGCCAGAGGACCAGCAGCAGCCGGCGGATCATCAGCCCGACCCTCCATCCGATTCCCCTGCATCGCCAAATGCCTCTCAGCAAGCGACAGCTCACGCCTACGCCAGCAATGGACTTCAGGTCCTCCAAGCTGCTTCGGATGCTGCAGCTGCAGCGGCTATCCAGAATGTCCAGCACCATCTGAGTACCGTTGCAGCCGCTGCCGCCGCCGCCGACGAGCAGCAAATACAGCAACAACACCAACAACACCAACACGAGCCTCAGACTGTTGAGGAACAACAGCAACAGCAGCAAGAACAGTTGGTCATGTCCTCGGCTGTTGAGCAAGACCAAGTTCAGCATCATCAGCCCCCTCCTCCACACACCCCGTCCCAAGCGCCGCCTCACCAACTTCCGCCGCAGGCTTCCCATGCCTCGGCAGTGACAGGCGCTCCGCCAGCATCTCCGCTGGTGACAGATGGCTCTCTTGGTGCCGTGTCACAGAGCGCCATGTCTGCCTTCCCTCACGCCTTCGCCCCGATGCCGCCGATGCCACGAGACCCGACGGTCAACCCGAAGCTGACCCGCTTGCGACGCGCCTGCGATATGTGCTCCCAACGCAAGGTCAAGTGCGACGAGTCCGGTCCGCCGTGTAGGCCATGCTCCGAACTCAACGTCGAATGCACCTTCAACCGAGAGCTGAAGAGACGAGGACCTCCGAACAAGCATGCCGAGGCCGCGAGGGCCGCTCGAAGGCAGAGAATCGAGCCTGGCATGAGCGGTTCGCCCACCACGGCCGCCTTCACCTCATATGGCGCTGCCGTTACACCCTCGCCTTCGCCGCACAATGCTGCGCAGGCTCTGGTTTCGATAGCAGAGGGGCCGGGTCGTTTGGACGCAGAGGCCATCGCGCCCTTGCCCATTCTCGAGCTCTTGATCGACGACTTCTTCACCTACATCCACCCGCTCGCCCCATTCCCCCACGAGCCGACATTCAGACACTCCTTTGCGAACAGAGAGGATAGAACGAATCCCGAATTTCTCGGCCTGCTGTCCTCCATGATCGCCTCTTTAGTGTCTTCCTTTCCCCGGAGTGCCAGGCAGCACCTCAAGACCCAGCACAGCACCCACCTCTTTCCGAGGGCCATAGTCATGATTGAGAGGTGTCGAGATATCGCCCTCGATACGCGGGGCCCTCGATGGGCCCTGAAGCAGAAGACGTTGGATGATGCCGCCACCAGCTACTTTCTTGGGCTCGCGGCAGGCTACACTTTCCAAGTCCCTCGCTTCCGCTACTTCATGTCCGAGTGTCTGTCTCTCATTCGGGAGCTTGGCTTCCACCGGCCCAAGCATCCCAATGAGCTTCCCACCTTTGGCAACGATAACTGCTCGCCCGATCCCCTACCTTTCCACCACATCAAGGACCAGATCGGCAAGCGCATCTTTTGGTGTCTGCTGCTCGGCGTCAGGTAAGTTCCCTATCTTCTATCATGTAGTCCACGTACATGTCTACTCACACACACATCAAAGGTCATTCTCACAACTAGGCGCCTCCCATGCCGACTTGGTCATCGCGCCGTCGACTCCTGGACTGCCATACCCTGCCCTGCCCGAGAACGTCGATGATCTTTATATCATGGCCAACGAAATCGTGTACCCTCCCGAAAGCTCTGTCACGCTGCTTACTGGTTTCCGCTTTGCCGTCGACATCTACACGACCATGAACGCCATTGTCAGCGTGGAACTCGTTTACGGCATGAGCACCCTTCCGTGGTCCGATCAGAGGTCTCTGCTTAGAGACGCTCTCATTGCCGCCAAAGATATCATCGACCGGCTTCCGCCTGAACTTCAGCTCAGTGCTTCTCATGAGCAATCCAGCGGGTTCGGTACCCTTGAGGATGCCGAGCTCCAATACGTGCCTCCCGCGTACCCTAGTAGCCAGCCTCCTAATGATGTTCGAAACGTGATCAAGAATCACCCCCAACGCCGGCGGCAGCTTCAGTACGAGATTCAAAAGGCCAACATCTACATTTCCCAACTGGCTACGCGTTCGTTCTATGTCGAGTTGTACTTCAACTTGCGCGACGTACACATGTCCGACCCCAACAAAGAAGAGCACGTCGGGGATAACGCCGAGGAACAAGCTGCCAAGGGAGCCGAGGACGCAGAGGCAGCCCGTGTCTTTGAGCTGATGACGGCAGAGCGGGAGCTGATTGTGCAAAATCTCCTTCACGTGCTGGGCTCCATCTCACAGCGCAACCTCGAGCCTAACGGCGGTTCGCTCATCAACAAGGTTCGACAGGTGGCCTCCACCCTCCTCAATGATGCCCCGGAGCGGAAAGGCCCGGTAGCTATGAAGTCGGAGGAAGCGCTCGTGAAGCTCATTGACGTCCTTCTCAAGCTCGAGGGAACAGGGCCAAGCGGTAGCAACATGGCTGGAGAGAACATGACCCCGCAGGATGAGGAAGAGGAGATGCGAAACTGGGCTCATTTGCGTGATTACCAACAGCGCTTTGCTGCCCATGGTGGTTTTGCTGGAAATATTTGATGAGTTGCCATGGTGTCTACTTTTGCCAACGGCACGGCATCAATTAGGAATGTCTCAATGTTTCAACTATAGGAATTCTCAATCTGGGAGCAACGACATGGGTAAAAGTTACCCTCGTCTATAAAATGGCTTTGAAGGCGAGGCAGAGAGAAGGGTAATCCCAAGGAAGTGGGACAAGACAACGGATAATAATGATACCAGATCATTCTCAACACATCATCATCCTCCGTCCAACTGGAGAGTTCTCTTTCATCCCTTCACACGCTGCATGCATGAATACGTGACTTTGTAGTGAGGGGAAGAGATGGGATGCAAGGCAAACGAATCAGAGGCATTGTTATTCCAGGCTGAAGGTGCAACCTGCAGGAGGCCGTCCATCCACCCCAGGAACCTTCCAGATGGAGGCCCAAAGGTGAAGCTTTTGCCAGTAGAGTTCTTACATCTCTCAATTATCTAGAGAAAGCTCCTGCCAAAGACTAATTACCTAACCTCAGAAGGAAGCAGCTTCGCACCTCCCTAAATCCAGACCTCTAGGTTCCCTGGGCCTTGCACCCAGCACAATATTTCTCCAATAACATAACCATCGAAGTCTTCAAAATCAATTATACGGCCGTAATCATCACGTTGTCTCTTCGTCAGAGTCTTGTCAAGCCCATGGTGGTTGATGCTACCGAAGGCCACGAGCACACCCATACCGTCGTCTTTCTCCATCGCTTCCCCGAGACCACCTCTAAGGAGGAGCTTAGTCGAAAGGTCCTGTCCGAGAAACTGACGATGAATCACAAGACCCTCCGCGAACAGTTTCCATCGGTCCGCTGGGTCTTTCCCTACGCCAAAGCCCACGCGCGTCCTTGGAACAACCTCACGCCCGAAGATCGAACCGCAGTCGGTATGAACGTTGGCAGTCTCCCCTACATCGCACAGATCATGCTCCAGGAAGCAAACAAGGTTGGCGGTCTCGATCGCATCATCCTCGGTGGAATGGGACAGACTGCCGAGGCAGCTCACGATGCGATGACGTCCTTTCCCGAGTGTAAGATGGATGCCTATCATAATGCCGACGACATGTCGTCGTTCCTTCGAAAGACCTTCCACGCCGACTGCACGAGTCTTGAGCATCTCAAGCTCGCTGGTTTCGTGGGAATGCACGCCCAGGACGCCGAGATAACGTTCGATGTCAGAAGCATGGCCGTCTTGTCCAAGGAACTATCCACAATGAAGAAGAAGATCAACGCTACCCTCGTCGCGCAGACCCCTCACAAGTTCATCAACGGCGGCTACAAGATTCAGACCAAAACCTGGGACGGCAGCCGCATCGATGATTTCGCTAGCTTCCTCGAAGCCATTGGCGTGGAACGCGGTCTCGATATCAAGACGACGAGCACCGAGACGCTCATTCCCAAGAACCGAGAACCGAACAAGAAGTGGGATCCCCGTGATACTCTCAGCGACACCCAGAGATACGCTCAGGAGATCCTGGAGCAGAAGAAGGAGAATGAGGAGATTAAGCGGAAGCTGCTTATTCGCATCGAGGCTGACAAGGTCGAGCGCAAGATCAAGGGCGCACGCGAGAAGGCGAATCGAGGCAGCGTCAACAGTAAGAATAAGTGGCTCAAGCCGGCGGATTCTGTCAATGTTCTCGGCGGTGTTGGGTACCGCTCCAACCTCTCTCAGGAAGAAGACGAGGATGAGGTACGAAACCCATTATCCCTCAAGTCAGAATAAGCTAACACAGAGCAATCCAGCAATGAATAAATCAGCAGCGGCGCTTTTAGCCTCATCCAAAAGGTCGACCTCATTAATCCCAAGAAGGATAACATAACGAAAACTCATCTCCATAAATAATAGACAGTCTATTTCGTCCGGCTTTCCAATCCTTCAGACTGATACCTCATGTTCTCCGCGCAGCGTGACGTGAATCATACATGCTTGTCCTTGATGCCCTCTCACAATCATCGGTCATCTCTTCTTCTCCCATGTCTTGACTTGTGTGTCTTCGTAGAATTCTCGAAACAAAGGCTAGAAAGAAGGAGGAGAAGCAGGAAGACACACACTGATGATTCCATGGTGTGCATCCAGCTTTTCAAAGCAACGCGGCACACATCATATGAGATCGAGGTTCTCAAAGACAATTACATAGACTCGTGCAAGGGCTTCTCTCAATCTCGGACACCTTCAATGATATTCTTAACTCCTTCGCCCCTTGCAGTCTTGTCCCAGGCCTGAGTGGCCGTCTCGAAGGGGGTCACACTCGACAGCATCGCTTTAGGCTTGACCTTGCCCTCCGCAATGAGCGACAAAGCCAACTCATAATCACCAGAGGCGTATCGAAAACATCCTCGGACTCTGAGTTCCTTTTCGGACAGAACCAGCATGGGAACTTCAGGCTTGGCTTTACCTAGCCCAGCCTGGACGTAACTGCCGCCGCTCTTGAGCAGAAAGATCCCCGTCTGGATCGACGACTGTGCTCCCGACGCCTCGATGACAACGTCCACTCCACCGGTCACACCGACCGTCTCTAGCAGCTTGGCAGCAACATCTTCACTCGATGTCCCAGGCTCAACCAAGAATGTCTGACAGTCGAGAAACGTGTGCGCAAAGTCTAGTTTCGCCTGAATTATATCAACCAAGATGACGCGTCGGGCGCCAAAGGCCTTGGCCACAGCCGCGCAGAGCAATCCGATCGTCCCACACCCAGTCACGACGACATCTTGTCCGTACTTGATCTCAGCCAGGCGTGCCGCGTGGACGGCAACGGCGGTGGGTTCCACGAGGACCGCCTCCTGGAGGCTCACCTCGTCGGGAACCTTGTAGACAAAGTCCTCCGGCATGACGAGATACTTTGTCAAGGCCCCGTGGGAGTCCGGAGGGTCGGCGAAGAACCTCATCGAGACGCACAAATTGTATTCGCCTCCTTTGCAGGCTGAGCAGCGCCGGCAGGGAACTCCTGGCTCGATCGCTACGTTGTCGCCTACTTTGACGTTGGTGACGGCGGACCCGACTGCTTCGATGGTACCGGAGGCTTCATGACCCATGACGATAGGCTTCTCGTCGCTGACTTTGCGCTGGAACCCTCCTTCTTTCCAGAAGTGCACCTGGTAGAGACCGATCAACGCCAAGCCAATTGGCCTGAAAGGATGGTCGACTTACATCGCTCCCGCACACCCCAACGAACTGAACCTTAATTACCACATGGGAATCGTTCTCAAGTGTGGGAGTAGGTCGGTCAACGATTTTAGCTGAACCTGGGCCATACAGAAACCAGGACGGGTTTTGCATCCCCGCTGTCGCCATCTTGAGACCAGATGTATATGGCGTCGTGAAATTATATAACGGTCAAGAGGATAATCTAAAGATGAGCCCGTGAGTTTGGTGGAATTTCTTCTCAATTTCATGGAGATAATTGGTGATGTATATCGAAAAACTATTTGCTTTAATCTGAATTGCACCCACATACTAGAGGTATGGGAGGCGTTTCTCCTCATCTCAAGTACTTCAGTGCCATCGGCCGAGTGTCGTCCGAAGCAACCCTCGCTCAGTGACGTATGGGCTTCATGTTGTCTTTGAGATGAATGATCGGACGTGAAGAGCGCATCTCATCTCACATCACGAATCTGGCTTCAATTGGTCTTTGCATCATCAACCTTGTAATGTTCTAGAACGGCAAAATCAATTGCCTACCTCAAAACATCGACATGGTCCTCCTAAACATGGACCTCATTAACAAAATAAGAATAAAACGAGGGTATCAGCGAGACCGAGCGACCCCTCACGCCCCAACGGGCCGTGTCGCGCCATCATGCAGCGAGCCACTTTGGTGCTCCCAACAGCTACAGCTAACATTTACAAGTGGATTTGGAGTTGGGTCATGTTAGGGCTGTCGGGGAGGGGTAGCTGATATCTGACAGGGCTCATTGGGTTCTTGATGACTTCTCAATGCTATTGGTCGTGATCGATGCGTTGGACGTGTCCGTCGACCAACATGATGCAGGCGACAGCGGGCCGAGTCTTTTCGCTTTCGGCAATCAGATTCCAGGATCCTGCATGAAGCTGTGAACTTTGCAGCCGATCGCCAAAGCTACCCCGGTGCGGACTGATGTTGTCCGATCGCGCTCAGCTCCCATTTAAAGCCCAACATCGTCATCCAAGTTTGACGTGGTTTTCAACCCGGTATAGACGGCGAATACCCTGCTAATTCAAGGATAGAGATAGACTCATCATGGCGAAGAACGACTACATCATCAAACTTCCCACCCTCAGGGAACCTACTTCAAAAACGCCCGAAAATGCACGAAACATCATCAAGACTTGGACGCAGGCGTTTGAGAAAGTGCTCGCCAACAACGTCAAAGACGGCCTATCGACGGTCTTCCGCGAAGATGCTTGGATCAGAGACTTTCTCGCTCTCTCATGGGACTTCAGAACCATTAACGATCTCGACGAGATCACGACATTTTTTAAGGAAAACCAGCCTCGGGCAGGTATCCGCCGAATCGTTCCCCGGGAGAAGGGCGCTTTTCAGCCGTCTTTCGGGGACCCTGCGCCTGGTGTTCACTGGGTGGAGAGCATGTTTGACTTTGAGTCTAGTGTTGGCCGTGGCAAGGGTATGGTGAGACTGGCGTTGGAGGCGGACGACACCTGGAAAGCCTTCATGATCAACTTCACTCTCTTGGAATTGAAGGGGTTCGAGGAAAAGGTGGGAGTCAGCAGGCCCACTGGTCATGTAGACCCCAAGGGGGGCAATTGGAAAGAGAGACGCGAACGACAGGTCGAATTTGTCGATGAAGACCCTGCTGTGTTGGTCATTGGCGCGGGTGAGTTACATATCTTCGATGCTGGTGGTCATAAGTTGCTGAACCGGGCCTTGTCAGGACACGCTGGGCTCAACATTGGTGTTCGTCTACGAAATCTCGGTCTCCCGACTTTGCTTATAGATCGCAATGAGCACGTCGGGGACAGCTGGCGCAAGCGATACAGGGTCAGTCTTTCTGGTGTCTTCATCATAATCCCAGGTCTGTGATGGAACAAAAGCTGACCTGAACACTGATCTCAAATGCAGACTCTCATGACCCATGATCCGATTCAGTACTGTCATCTCCCCTTCATCCCATTCCCCGGGAACTGGCCCCAGTTCATGCCCAAGGACAAACTGGCAGATTGGCTAGAGTCTTACGCGAAAATGATGGAGCTCAACATCTGGACCAGCACCACCATCGAGGAGACAAGCTACAACGAGAAGGAAAAGACGTGGACCGTCAAGCTTCGACGGGCAGATGGCACCATCCGCACCCTCAAGCCTCGTCACATCGTTCTTGCGACAGGCCAAGCCGGTGATCCCATCACACCCACACTCCCCGGACAAGACGATTTCAAGGGTGTAGTGTATCACGGCAGCCAGCATCAAGACGCCTCCCTCGTCGACAATCTCTCCAGCAAGAAGGTCCTCGTCGTGGGCTCCGGCAACTCGAGCCACGACATCTGCCAAAACTTTTACGAAAATGGCGCGGCACAGGTGACGATGATCCAAAGGGGCGGTACCTATGTCATCACAGCGAACAAGGGGATTTTCGTGATGCACAAGGGAATGTACGAGGAAGGCGGGCCCCCGACCGAAGACTGCGACATCGTTGCGCAGAGCATCCCGATCCCCGTGCAATTCGCGCTGAGCACGCACGGTACCAAGGCAATCACCGCCGTTGACCAGGAGCTGTTGGACGGTCTGAGCAAGGCGGGCTTCAAGCTTGACTTTGGGCCGGAAGGAAGCGGTATCTACCGCAAATACATCACTCGAGGCGGAGGGTATTACATTGACGTTGGCTGCAGTCAGCTGATTGTCGACGGGAAGGTCAAGGTTCATCATAGTCCTGGAGGTATCACGGGTTTCACACCCACTGGTCTGAAGCTGGCGGATGGTACGACTTTGGATGCCGACATTGTTGTGCTGGCGACGGGGTACGATGGTATGAGGTCTAGCACACGCAATATCCTAGGGGACAAGGTGGCCGATCGAGTCAAGGAATGTTGGGATCTTGATGAGCAAGGCGAGATCAACTCTGTGAGTTCCTCCATATTGACCACAAATTTGGGACAGGCGACTAATCTCGGGCAGATCTGGAGAAGCAGCGGTCATCCGCGGTTCTACTACATGGGTGGGAATCTCGCCCTGTGTCGCTCTTATTCGCGGCTCTTGGCGCTACAGATCAAGGCAGTGGAAGAGAATATTTTGGTATAACCCATACGCCAAAGTCCATGCGCGTCCACGAGATAACTTTACGCCCAAAGATAGAGCGTTAGTCAGGATTAAACGCGTGGATAAAACCGTCATCCTCGTCGTCAGCGTAATCGATCTCAGGTTTATCGGGGAGCGGAGTCTGAGAGGCCGCTGAGAGCGCCTTGTCGGCAGCAGTAGACTTCGACGCAGCTCTGGGAGCAATCTCTGCCAGCAACATGAGCAAAGCAATGGGATCATGAATACCTTGCTACACTTTCTACAGCGTATTCTCCTAGGAATATGTAGAGCATAGAGAGCAGTAGCAGTAACGATAGAGTTAAGAATAGTAGTAGTAGTAGCAGCACTGGTGATAGTAAGAACAGATTGAACGTATTGGGCGGTGGGATACTTTATTGTGTCACCCACATGGCTTACTGAACTCGCTTTGAACATGGAATGCCACCATCTATGCCGAATCCGCGTACTCCCAAATGTGCTTCTCTATAACATCAAGGGCCTTCATATCCTCGTTCTCCTTCTTGATCTCCATCACCCGCTTCTTATACTTGTCGTTGGCAAGCACCTCCTCTACTCCCTCTGCAACTTGTTGCGACGTCGGGCGACCAGTCTTGAGATTAACAGCTACACCCGTCCATTGCCCACGCATGGAAATCTCCGGCTTGTCTTCTGTGTCGCCTCCGAGCACCATAGGTACCCCATTCACTATCCCGTGCAGGAAGCCTCCATAGCCAGCATTCAGGACCCAAACATCTGCGTGCTTGAGCAGGGCATCGTATGAGAGAAAGTCGATAACCTTGGTATTGGCCGGAATCGTGAGCTCCTCGGGAAGTGTCGCGCCCTTGACACCCAAAATGGCAACGAGAATGATATCGTCGCGGTGAGCCAGACCTTGTATCGTGGGAATGATAAGATCTGTGTAGTCGATAGCGATGGTACCCTGAGCAACTCCCACAACCTTCTTGTTTCCGGCCGTGATTTCACCCCACCATTCTGGGTATTTGTAGTTCGGGTCGATGGGCTTGGGCGGTAAACATCCCGCGTACTTGATGACGTCGGGGAGATCCGATCTGGGGTACTCGAGGCTGGGCGAGCACATTTGCAGGGTAACGTCGTAGCTGGTTTGCCATGATTCGAACAAGGCTGGCGGAAGCTCGCGCGTACCGCCGAGCGCCTTGACAACGTCGTTGTACTCCTTTGCTGCCGCACCGAATGGGCCCATTGGGCTGAAGAACATCTCATTGAGGAGCTTATTCCGCCCGCGGCCGGACTCTGTCGAGTCGGGAGGCAGACCAGGTCCGAACGGCGCGGTGTCAATACTCGTGGTCACGACGGGGACAATGTTGATGTCGACGACGGGCGGTCTTGTGGTGTAGCCCTTGGGTAGAGGCGTGCCGTACATCATAGGGGCAAGACCCATGTAGAACGTCTCGTGGACAATAACGACTTGCTTGTCGGGATGCTCGACACGGATCTTTTCGAGAGTTTCCATGAGGACATGGAAGTGAGGCGTCACAGCCTTAATGAAGACGTTGCTGAGGTCGTACATCAGGCGGGGTATGCCAACAGGAATTTTTTCGCGAATGGCTTGCTCCTCGGGGTTCAACATGGGCGGAATGCTAACATGCTGGGCACCGATGCGCTTGACTTGAGGGTGGAATTCTTCGCCGGCGATGAACGTGCCTTCAAAACCGCGTTGGATCATCTCATCAGCGACCTGAAGGAGGGGATAGGTGTGTCCTGTTGCTGGCGCCGCGCAGAAGAGAAGGTAAGGCCGCTTCTTGTTGCCGTCGCTGACACCATTGTTGGCCACTGCTTCGACAGCCTGAGCTACAGAGTCTGCTGACAGTGTCATGATCTCGATGCTTTGTCTCTTTGAAGAGATCCTTAGTGTGAGTAGATAGATGCTCGAATTGTTACTTCAAAAGCAGAGAGAACGATGACATCAAGATGGGCGGCAGCACCCAGTGATTTATACATGTATGAATAATAGAGTCTCTAGGGAGGACGCAGTACGCGGGGAGCTTCAACTCGATGCGGTCACTCATCTCGGTGAGATTTCTACCCGTAGGCGCGCCGTTGGGTCGAATAGTCGCCGGCTTCATTGCGTTCAACGCTGCATCGGGCCGCATTGCGAAAGGGAAATCTGACAGCAGATTTTAGTACGTTCAACGGCCCTATCCCGCCTGTCTCTAAGCCTCAAGCTTGTTGTATGGAGCCATCAAAGAGCCAGTCAGCATGCACTAGTCGTATATCGTACACCAGTGTGCGTAAGGCAGCGAGTCATTGTGAGATGCCGCACAACCTCTATGTCCACGTGAAGAGGAGTCGAATGGGGATGTTGTAGGGTCTTACCGGCGGTATTGAAGCCCATTGGTGTCATACTCTGATTATCGACGGCCCACGTCTCTACAGCGCGATGAGAAAAGACACTGCAGGATCAGGGTCCTTGCAGCCAAGTCTCAGCCCGTCAGCGCGACGTCTAGAACGAACGAGCTAGTGTGGCCGTGGATTGAGGCTAATGGTGCTAGCATCGTGGATGATGTAAGTCGGCGAATAGGCTTCTTTCTGTAGCTTCAGGCTCCAGTCTTGCGGCTATCCGAGTGCCGAGCTTTGAGCCATCGCCCGAAAGGTCCTGACACCGCAGATCAGCTTCTCTTGAGAGTGCTCTTAGCCACCTGAGATCATCGGATGACAGGGCCTAAGGGGCATCTGTCATCACCGGTAGGGAGGCATGATGAGTTCTCAGAAAGAAACGTTCACATGCGAGGTGGGGGTTGACGCGCGGTTCGTCTTCCGACCATGAGGGAGGCTTCCCGATCGAGATGTATCGACAGTTGTAGGTATATCACATATCTAAAGACGAAACACTCTGGACAACAGCCTGCTGCCTTGTACGCGCTTCACAAGTTTGTCAGCTTTTGCGAAAGCGAGATCTCGAAGAAGAGTAAAGTAGAGAACAGGACTAGTAGTAAGATGGCGCATGCAGGTAAGCTGACGCTCTGATATCCTGCCACTTGCGGGAGTCTCATTGGCGCTCTTGGGAGTTTGATGGATTATCGATGATCTAGAAGACGATGCAAGCCATTGATGGGGCGCTTGCGAGCGAATGATCAAACTTGTGCGACAAATAATGACAGCAGTGACAGTGTTGACAGTTTGGTTTGTTTTCGTCTCTTCGTGAGTTTCTATTGTCTTGGCCATTGGACCATAGAGGCCTGTAACGTTCCCTCGGCCTCACACAATGCGGGTTAAGCGTTCCTGAATGATCAAGAATGAGCTGATGGACGTCGTTGATCAACATTGCATCGGCGTCGGCAAACAGCAAGAGGCCGCGCGGGGACGACGCTCTCGCGCGCGCGGGATGATGTCCAATCAAGGAATGTTGTATCGTTATTAATGGGGCTCGGTCGTTATGTCTCGTCCGCTTTGCTGGACCATTCTCGATGCTTAGTCGAATGTCTTGGTTCGCGCGCGCGAGACCTGACCAAAGGGCACTCTGCATGCTCCCCCATCACCGTCGTTGTACTCGAAGCCAATGTTCCAATATTTCCATATCCTTTTAAGATCCCAAACGCCCCATCAAAAGATGTAATGTATGCTGCAGCCGTCTGATGCTACCTTACTTTACGTGAGGCCTGGTTAAGCAGTCCCTTTTCCTTTGCGGTCGCCTGTCCGGGCGAACAGGTCCTTGAAGCTCCAATGCCGCCTGTCTGAATCGTCTGATGGTCCGGATGAAGGAAATATGGAGAATCGAGAGGATGACGAGCTTGACTTGGCTGAGCCGTAGACTTCGGTCGGTCGTCCTGGCAAAAGAGCAATTAGGGTTGTGTTCGAAAAACGCAACGCAGAGACTAAAGTGACATCAAACTTACGAATGTTTCCAGCCCCTCCAATCCCATATCCTCGAAACTGGCGGTCTCTCACCGCAGTCTCCTTGACATCGTCCTCCTCTGTATCGCTGCTCGCATCGTCGAGGCTCTTCCTCCTCCGCACCGGCGCCACTGTGCTCCCAGCCACGCCCGACTCGAACTTTGCGCTCGCTGGGCCTCCCGACCCGTTGCCGACAACTGGCGAGGGCAGCTCCGGGGCCACTGACGGCGTGGGTCGCAGATTCACTGTGGACACGCTGCGCACGACGGCGAGTCGACCCTGCACGCGGACGCGGTGTCGGCGCTTCTTCGTGGGGATGAGCTGGTCTGACTCCGGATCGGGTTCCCCCGCGTCGTCCTGGGAGTATCGGGGTTGGTTCGAGAGGGGAAGCATCGTGGGAATTTGGTGAAGCGAGTCGAATTAGGGGTAAGATCGGCGAAAAGAGGTTTGTCGTGGCTTAAGGTTGCGGCGCGATAACGCAGTGCTCTGGCCAGCTACCGTCGGGATAGAAACGAACAATTAAGCCCCCTGGACTGGAGGACTGTAGTAACGCAATTGAAAGTAGAAACAAGAATCAAAACAGCGGCTGGGTTTGAAGGAATGGACGCAACGAGGTGACGAATTCTCGTCGCACGGGAAGCGGGCGCGGCGAGGAACTATTTCATCAGCTCGAAGCGCAGCGACAGTATATACACACAATATTCACAAACAAGGTAGAAGAAAAGAGCAAAGGAATTAGGGCGTCGCATCATGAGCGGCAGGAAAGGTAGAAAGGGATCCAACGCCCATATGTTCGCCCCCAGACGAACGCCTCAGCCCAGTCCAGCCAACACGAACTCGCCCTAAGCTAAGCACCAGCTCTTTTAATGACTACTAGGCAGATAAGAAGACGGCGTGCTTGGGGTTGATTGCGCCGCTTTGCCATAGTCACCATGCTGATTTCCTTCTGTCAAGGCTTCTAGCAATCAAATCTGGGCTCCTTCGCCTTCCTTCGGTGTTCGGGGGCGGACGAAGCAAAGCAAAAGGTCCCCCCATCCCCCCTCATTAACTCATTAAACCTTGCATTGGCGCGAACCCCTGGCAAAGATGGGGGCTACGCTGCAAAAGAGTCCAAAGCAAGGAATTTTGGGGTGACATCGCCGGGGAACCAACCCGGATTTGCACCAGGGCCCCGACCAGGTTGCCGGCTGCTTCGGATTCTAAGATTTCGAGGGATTCTGCTTGTTTTGTTTTTTATCTGTTTCGCTCTCGTTCAGACAAGACCTATCTGTGTTTCTGGTTGTTTATGGAGAAAATACCATCTGCCAGAAAAAGCTGTGCTATGAGTCCAACACAAAGGAAGCCCTGGAAGTGAGATCGATCGAACGTTGCACCAACAGCCACAAACAGCTAGGCTCAGCAGTAACCCATAAGAGATTAGTTCTCACCTCCTAGCCATAGTCTGCGAAATAGCATTCGATGGCGCCTTGAAGCTCTGTAGATCGCGTCCGGTACACAACTTTTCAACTTGTCGTCAGGTTTTCTCATCTCGATAATCTCTCATCTCAATTTGCATTTTGTCACGATTGTATAGGTGAACTCTGGTTTGTTGAACAAAGGAAGGTATTATTGATATTACGTATTACATGATTATCAGTCTTGTGTTCGCTTAAGAAACGTCCTGCATCGCGACTTGCGCAGAAGAAACCAGCGAGTTTCTGAACAAAGAAAGGCTAGAGGTGAGATATCCATAGTAGACAATTTCATGGTGTGTTTTTTGCCGCAACGCCATCAAACATAGGAAAAACCGACAGAAAGAAAGGAAAGAGTGCTGTAGAAGCATTTTTCGGACTACTAGGCGGCCACGTTCACCGTGGCGACGCCAAAGAGGCGCAAGTTCAGGCAAGCCACAATGTTCGGGCCCGTCAAGGATAGGTTCAAACAATCCGAGGCGATGCCGTTGGACAAGAGGCCGAGCGAAGTTACGCAAGATATGAGGTTTGGTGCGCTGACAGTCACTGCCACGCCACCGGTCGCGTCGACGCCCAGGTTGACACAGCTCTGCGGTAGTGACGTGATACACTGCGAGGCCAGCGAGTTCTGGATACATTGAGCGTACGACTGCGTCTGGGCTCCGAGGAGACTGCCCACCAGACCGGTAACGCTGCCGAGGGTACAGCCCAAACCGGAAGCCAAGTTTGATACCGTGCTTCCCAAGGCGCTGACGACGAGGCCAGCCTGGCAGAGATTGAGGTTGGCATTGATCTCCGACGTTGAGAGTGTGACATCCAGCAGAGCACCGCAGGCTGCCGGAGCGCGGGCGCAAGCTGTGCCGGAAGGACACAATACTGTGCTCGCCAATCCGGCGACTGTTTGACCGACTGGTAGTCCGAGAGCTCGTTCGAAACAGTTGAGAACGGCCGCGCCTCCTTGGTTGGTGACGCTGGATATGATACAGTTGCCTGCTGTCGTGATGGAACCAAAGGCTCCAAGGTTGGCGAAGCAGAGAGCGGCGTTGGTCTGGACATTGGCAAGAGTCTGGCTGGATGCCGCCAGGTTGGCGCAGATTGACGGAAGTCTGGTGAGACAGGTACCCGCCAAAGCAGTCTGGATACATCTGACGTGGTTGAATCCCAAGACGTTTCCTAACAGAGCAATTTGTTGCAAGCTGAGACAGTTGCTGACGGTTCCAATGTTGGCGGTCGCGCCCAAGGCTGCGGTACAGGCATCGAGCGTCGACTGAGAGTATGATTGCAAGATGACACCCGTGAGACTGGCGCAAGCAGAAGGCAAGGTGATTGCGGATCCAGTTGATGGTAGACAAGTCGGGGCGGCGACGCCAGTGGGCGTCGGGACACAGCCAGATGGCGCGTATGAGCTGGTGACGACACGGCTTGCCGATGCGAGTGCCGTCTGCTGCAGTACTGTGTTTCCAACAGTCGTGGTCCGCGTGCCGGTGAAGGCACCAGTGACTCCCGTGAGGATTGTGGTATACGATGTGCTTGAGGGGAGGGCGGTCTGCTGGACGACCGTGTTACCAATGGTGGTGACTTGAGTGCCAGTAAAGGTGCCGGTAACACCAGTGACCACCGTCGTGTAAGAGACTGGAGGAATGGCCGTCTGTTGAAGGACGGTGTTACCGATGGTCGTGACTGCAGTTCCGGTAAAGGTGCCCGAGACTCCCGTGAGGATCGTAGTATACGGTACGGCAGTCTGAGCGAGGACCGTTCTCGTGGCTCCGGAGCCGGCGAGGGTAGTAAGAGAGGTTCCGGCAAACGTGCCCGGAACTCCGGTAGGCACCGTGTTGTAGAAGACCTGCGGCAGAGCCGTCTGGGCGATGACTGTATTACCGACAGTAGACAGAGATGTTCCGGTAAAGGTTCCAGTAACTCCCGTGACGACCGTGGTGTAGGGAATAGCCGTCTGGGCAACGACTGTCTGCGTGGCTCCAGAGCCCGAGAGAGTGACCAAAGACGTTCCGGCAAAGGTGCCCGGCACGCCTGACGGGATGGTCGTGTAGAAGATCTGAGGCAGGGCTGTCTGAGCGAGAACCGTGTTTCCGATCGTAGACAGGGAAGTTCCGGTAAAGGTGCCAGAAACTCCAGTGAGGATCGTCGTATACGGAATGGCGGTCTCTGCCACGACAGTTCGGGTGGCTCCGGTTCCGGAGAGAGTGACCAGCTGAGTACCGGCAAAGGTGCCTGCGACTCCCGAGGCGACCGTGGTGTAGAAGATCTGTGGCAAGGCTGTTTGGGCGAGCACCGTGGCCACGCTTCCGACGGCGGGAAGCGTTGATAGCTGCGTTCCCGTGAAGGTGCCGGTGACTCCCGTGGGTACGGTAACGTACGAGACCACAGGCAAGGCCGTTTGAGCGAGAACAGTCGCGACGCTTCCGACGGCGGGTAATGTAGACAACTGCGTTCCAGTAAAGGTACCAGTGACGCCTGTAGGCACTGTAACATACGATACCACAGGCAAGGCTGTCTGAGCAAGAACAGTGGCCACGCTTCCAACGGCTGGCAGTGTTGAGAGCTGGGTGCCAGTGAACGTGCCGGTAACTCCCGTAGGCACCGTGACGTAGGACACCACAGGCAAGGCAGTCTGGGCGAGGACCGTGGCAACGCTGCCAACAGCCGGGAGGGTTGAGAACTGCGTGCCGGTAAAGGTGCCTGTGACTCCTGTTGGGACAGTCACGTACGAGACAACTGGAAGGGCTGTCTGGGCCAGGACAGTAGCCACGCTTCCAACGGCCGGCAACGTCGACAAGCGGGTGCCTGTGAATGTACCAGTAACGCCAGTCGGGACGGTTGTATACGAGATAACTGGGAGAGCGGTCTGTGCCAATACGGTGGCCACACTGCCAACGGCGGGCAAGGTTGAGAATTGCGTGCCCGTGAAACTGCCAGTGACTCCCGTTGGGACGGTGATGTAGGAGATGACTGGGAGAGCGGTCTGGGCCAAGACGGTTCCGATAGTTCCAGAGACTGGCAAAGTTGACAGTTGGGTACCCGCGAAGGTTCCAGTAACGCCAGTAGGAATCGTGAGATACGAGATGGAGGGGAGGGCAGTCTGAGCAAGGACAGTCCCGATCGTGCCGGTAACGGGCAAAGTCGAAAGCTGCGTGCCGGCAAATGTTCCGGTCACGCCAGTTGGGATCGTGATGTACGAAATAACGGGCAATGCGGTCTCCAGAAGCACCGTCGCGATGGATCCCGTAATCGGCAGCGTGGTTGTCTGGGTGCCGGTGAAGGTTCCTGTAACTCCAGTAGGAATCGTGATGTAGGAGATGACCGGGAGGGCCGTCTGAGCGAGCACGGTGCCGACGGTGCCAGTGACTGGAAGAGTGCTGAGACGGGTTCCTGTAAAGGTTCCGGTCGCTCCAGTGGGAATAGTCACGTAAGAAATGACTGGGAGAGCAGTCTCCAGATAGACGGTTCCAACAGTCTGGCCTGGACCAGTGGTAGGCAAAGTGACTGTAGAGGTGCCTGTGAACGTGCCAGTAACCCCAGTAGGGATGGTGATGTACGAGATGGCCGGAATGGCAGTCTGGAGGACAACAGTAGCGATGCTCTGCCCGGCTCCGGTGGTCGGGAGAGTGACGGTTTGAGTGCCGGTGAAGCTGCCCACGATGCCACTGGTGACGGTGACGTAGGAAAGGGGCCGGATGGCCGTCTCTAACAACACGGTGCCAACGCTTCCGGTGGCCGGGAGGGTGGTTACCGAGGTGCCAGTGAAAGTACCAATGACGCCAGTGATGATAGTCGTGTAAGAGACAATGACGGAGCTGGGAATGGCGGTCTGAAGGACCACGGTTCCAAGGCCTCCTCCAACAGCTGGCAAGGTAGTTGTCTGAGTGCCGGTGAAGCTACCGGTGATTCCACTGGTGACGGTGAGGTAGCCAGTGGGCAGGGCGGTCTGAAGCAGGACGGTTCCGAGACCGCTGACGGCCGGGATCGTCGACGTCTGGGTGCCGAGGAAGTTGCCCGCGACTCCGGTGAGGAGGGTCGTATACGAGATCGGGATTGCGGTCTGAAGAAGCACCGTGCCGATAGTTCCGGTGGCGGGCAGGGTCGTTGCCGAAGTTCCAAGGAAGGTTCCGAAGACGCCAGTGACGATGGTCGTGTAGGACGTGGCTGGCGGAACGGCCGTCTGCAGAACAACAGTGCCAAGGGTTCCAGTGACTGGAAGAGTCGTAGTCTGGGTGCCTGTAAAGGTGCCGACGATGCCGGACAGGATGGTGGTGTATCCGGTGGACAAGGCAGGAATGGCGGTCTGCTGAAGAACGGTTCCGATCGTGCCTGTGACAGGGAGAGTAGAGAGCTGGGTGCCGAGGAACGTGGCTCCCAGAACTCCAGTAGGAATGGTGATGTAGGAGGTGACGGGGTTGGGAATGGCAGTCTGTTGAAGGACGGTGCCAACGGTTCCAGTGACTGGAAGAGTAGAGAGCTGGGTTCCAAGGAACGTGGCTCCCAGAACTCCAGTTGGGATTGTGACGTAGGAAGTCACAAGAGGAATGGCGGTTTGTTGAAGAACAGTTCCAATCGTGCCAGTAACAGGGAGCGTAGAGAATTGCGTTCCAAGGAACGTGGCTCCCAAGATTCCGGTCGGTACCGTGATGTACGAAGTGGCAGCGGGCAAAGCGGTCTGTTGCAACACGGTTCCAATCGTGCCGGTAACGGGCAAAGTCGTAAGCTGGATACCGGTGAAGGTAGCTCCCGCGATGCCAGTAGGAATCGTAATGTACGAAGTTGCTGCCGGGAGGGCTGTCTGCTGGAGCACGGTGCCGATGGTTCCAGTAACCGGCAGTGTCGTGAGTTGAATGCCGGTGAAGGTGCCACCGATGATTCCAGTTGGGATCGTAATGTATGAGGTGGCAGCCGGAAGAGCAGTCTGTTGAAGGACCGTACCGATGGTGCCGGTGACGGGCAAAGTAGAAAGCTGGATACCGGTGAAGGTGGCTCCAATAACTCCGGTGGGAATCGTGATGTATGAAGTGGCCGCCGGCAGAGCTGTTTGTTGAAGTACAGTTCCGATAGTTCCCGTGACTGGAAGAGTAGACAGCTGGATACCAGTGAATGTGGCGCCAGCGACCCCCGTGGGAATCGTAATGTACGAGGTGGCGGCTGGGATGGCCGTCTCCAACAAAACGGTTCCAATGCTTCCCGTGACTGGAAGAGTTGTGGCGCGGGTGCCGACAAACGTCTCGCCAGCGATGCCAGTGAGAATAGTCGTGTAGGAAGTTGTGGGGACGTCCGGAATAGCCGTCTCCAAAAGGACAGTTCCAAGAGTACCGATGACAGGCAGAGTGGTTGCCCTCGTACCAGGGAAGCTGGTTGCGGTAACACCCGTGAGGATCGTGGTGTACGAAGTCGTGCCGGGACTTGGGATTGCCGTCTGGAGGACGACGGTGACGAGTCCGGGAGCCGTGGCGGCGGCAGGCAAGGTAGTTGTCTGGGTTCCTGCGAATGTGCCAAAGATGCCAGTGACAATGGTGACGTACGAAGTGTTGATCACGATGACCGAAGAGCTCGAAGACGTGCTGCTGACCGATGGGAGAGCAGTTTGGATGAGAACGGTCGCCACGTTGCCCGTGCCAATGACGGGAAGAGTGGTTGTCTGAGATCCAGCAAAGTTGCCCGGGATTCCTGTGAGAAGCGTAGTGTAGGAGATGGCGGGCAGTGCAGTCTGGAGGACGACGGTTGCCAGGCCGTTGGAACCGACAACAGGCAAAGTGCTGGTCTGGGTTCCGATGAACGTTCCAGGGATACCGGTGAGGACGGTAGTGTACGAGACGCTCGGAAGTGCAGTCTGGAGGAGGACGGTGGCCACATTTCCGGTGCCGACGACGGGTAGGGTAGTGGTCTGGGTGCCAAGGAAGCTTCCAGCGATGCCGGTGACCAAGGTCGTGTATGACAAACTTGTGGTGGGAATGGGGGTCTGCAGAACAACAGTTCCGAGGCCGTCGATTCCAGTGCCAGGCAGAGTGGTAGTCTGGGTTCCGGTGAAGGTGCCAACGATTCCACTGAAGATTGTGGTGTACGAAGTGGCGGCAGGAAGAGCAGTCTGGAGAACAACTGTACCAAGGCCGTTGGCGCCGGTGCCAGGGAGGGTGGAAGTCTGTGTGCCGATGAAAGTGCCTGGGACGCCCGTGATGATCGTGGTGTAGGAAGCCGCAGTTGTTGAGGGGACGGCTGTTTGCAAGACAACAGTTCCAAGACCGTTGGTGCCGACCCCAGGAAGGGTAGTTGTCTGGGTTCCAGTGAAAGTGCCAAAGACACCACTGAAGATGGTCGTGTATGAGGCGACGGCGGGAAGGGCAGTCTGGAGGACCACGGTAGCCAAGCCGTCCGGACCAACACCGGGGAGGGTAGTGGTCTGGGTGCCGGTGAAGCTACCGGGAACGCCGGAGACGATGGTCGTGTACGATTGCACAGCCGATGTGGGAATGGCGGTCTGCAAGACGACGGTAGCCGTGATGCCGATGCCGATACCGACTCCGATGGACGGAATGGGCAGGGTACTTGTCTGAGTTCCAGTGAAGCTTCCCAAGATACCAGTGACAATGGTGATGTACGTGATGCTGACGCTGCTTGTGGGCAACGAGGTGGCAGAAGGAAGAGCGGTCTGCAAGAGAACGGTTCCGACGCTGCCAGAGATAATTGGCAGCGTGGTCGCCTGCGTACCGATGAAAGTTCCCGGAATGCCAGTCAACAATGTGACGTAGGAGAGAACTGGGCTTGGAGTTGCGAGAGCGGTCTCCAAGAGAACAGTGCCAACAGTTCCGGTGACGATGGGCAGCGTAGTCGTCTGAGTGCCTGTGAAGATACCAGGGACCCCAGTCAAGATTGTGGTGTAAGTGACACCAGCGCTGCTCGAAGTCGGCGTAGGAACGGCGGTCTGGAGAATGACGGTGCCAACTCCGTTGGTTCCCGCGGGAAGTGTCGAGGCCAATGTGCCGACAAAAGTACCCGGGATGCCCGTGACGATGGTGACATATGAAGCAGCTTGGACTGTGGGAACAGCGGTCTGAATGATGACCGTGGCAAGACCATCAGGACCAGCCGGGAGCGTAGTCGTCTGCGCGCCCAAGAAGGTTCCTGGTACCCCGGAGAGCAAGGTGGTGTATGAGACGGGGCTTGCTGTGGGCAGAGCAGTCTGGACAATGACAGTTGCGAGTCCATCGAGACCGGCTGGCAGCGTTGTCGTTTGTGAGCCCAAGAACGTGCCCGGGATGCCAGTGAGCAATGTTGTGTACGAAGTTGGGCTTCCCGTTGGCAGAGCTGACTGAATGACAACGGTGGCGAGGCCATCGGGGCCAGCAGGAAGTGTTGATGTCTGCAGGCCCAAGAAGGTTCCTGGAAGTCCTGTGAATACAGTAGTGTAGGACACAGGGCTGGCTGTTGGGAGGGCAGTTTGGATGACCACAGTCGCGATTCCGTTGGTACCGGCTGGCAAGGTGGAAGTCTGCGCACCAAGGAAAGTTCCTGGAACGCCCGTGAGCACCGTGGTGTACGACAGAGGGCTCGATGTTGGCAGAGCTGTCTGGATAAGAACGGTTGCCAGACCGCCAGGACCAGCAGGAAGGGTGGTCGTCTGGGCGCCCAAGAAAGTGCCGGGAACGCCGCTAAAGACGGTGGTGTACGAGAGCGGGCTGGCCGTCGGGAGTGCGGTTTGAATGACCACAGTCGCGATTCCGTCGGTTCCGGCTGGCAGAGTTGTTGTCAAAGGCGCGGTGAAAGTGCCTGGAATACCAGAGAACAAGGTCGTGTACGACGTTGGGTTGCCAGTGGGCAGGGCGGTCTGAATGACCACCGTGGCGATGCCGTTGGATCCAACAGGCAAGGTACTCGTCTGAGCGCCGATGAAGGTGCCCAGGACACCAGTGAGAACGGTCGTGTAGGACGTAGGGCTTGCAGTCGCAGTTGGAAGCGCCGTTTGGATGAGCACAGTAGCGATGCCGTCAAGCCCAGCGGGCAACGTGGTTGTGATGGGCGCGATGAATGTGCCGGGAATGCCGGAGAACAGAGTCGTGTAGGACGTCGGCACACCAGTAGGCAGCGCGGTTTGGATGATCACAGTAGCAACGCCGTCAGGTCCAACTGGAAGAGTGCTGGTCTGCGAGCCCAAGAAGGTTCCAGGGATGCCAGTAAGCAATGTCGTGTACGAGGCGCTTGCTGTTGGGATCGCGCTCTGGACAAGTACGGTAACGAGTCCATCGGGACCGGCGGGAAGCGTGGTTGTCTGAGCTCCGATGAAAGTACCGGGGACGCCGGTAAAGCGAGTCGTGTAGGAAACGCCCGAGGTAGGAAGAGCGCTTTGCACGACAACAGTAGCGAGACCATCGGGGCCCGCGGGCAAGGTCGTGGTCTGAGGTCCGACGAACGTGCCGGGCACGCCAGAGAAGATGGTGGTGTACGAGACCGGGCTTGCGGTGGGCAAAGCAGTCTGGAGAAGAACAGTTGCGATGCCGTTGGTACCAACAGGCAAAGTCGTCGCCTGGGTTCCAAGGAATGTGCCCGGAATTCCCGTCAAGACTGTAGTGAAAGAAACACCAGCAGACGGGACGGCGCTCTGGACGAGAACAGTTGCCAATCCATCGGATCCTGCTGGAAGAGTCGATGTCTGAAGACCAGCAAAGGTGCCAATGATGCCCGTGACGATGGTCGTGTACGAGACAGTGACGCTGGGGTTGGACGTGGCCAGAGGAAGGGCAGTCTGGATGAGAACGGTGGCAGATCCATCATTGCCGGCGGGAAGGGTAGTTGTCTGGGTGCCAATAAAGGTTCCAGGAACACCCGTGATGAGAGTGATGTACGAGATACCGCTGGTGATCGTTGGTGTAGCAACGGAGCTGCTCGTCTCCGTGAGGGGGACGTAGACAATGACCGTGTTGGGCAGGGTAGGATCGCCGCTGATGCTGACCAGGATTGTGGTGGTGATTCTTGTCGTTCCGGTGTAAGGGGAGAAGATGGTGGTGAGGTCACGGCTGAGAATCGAGGTGGGAGCAGATGTAATGGAGGGCAGCGATGTCGACGTGCCAGTGATCTCTGGAACCTGCACAATGACGCTTCCGATGCCAGAACCCACAGGGGGAATTGAGAAGGTCGTCGCAACTGAGCCGGTGATGGTGAGGGTCGTGTAAGACGCGAGGAGGACAGTCGGAGTCTGGATAACCACGGTTCCGAGTCCGGTAGGGTCGGCAGCTGGGATGGTAAAGGTCGACGCACCTGGGCCACCAGAGGTGATGGTGGTGAACAGGGCTCCCGGGCTGACAGTAGGTGTCTGGATGACGACCGTTCCGAGGCCAGTGGGATCAACAGCCGGAATCGTGAAAGTGGAAGCGACTGGACCACCAGAAGTAAGAGTCGTGAAGAAGGCTCCGGGGCTGACGGTGAGGGTCGGTGTCTGGACGACGACCGTGCCAACGCCACCAATGATGTTGGGCAGAATGGTGCTGGTTGCAGCAACGGGCCCTCCCGTGGTGATGGTGGTGAAGATGCCAGATAGAATTGACGTGGGCTCGGAGATGATGACCGAGACGATGCCATCCAGTCCGGTGATCGTGGCCGTGGCCGGGAGAGCTCCGGTGCCTGGAACGGTGGTGAAGATGGTCGAGGGAGTGACTCCTGGGGGCAAAGTAGTGCTCGGAAGCTCCACGATGACAGAGACGATTCCACCAAGGCCGCTGGCCGTAGTAGTGGTCGGGAGAGTACCAGTTCCGACGATAGTAGTGAAGACCGTAGTCGGAACCACGGGGCTCTGGCCCGAGGTTATAGGCTCCAAGAAGATGACGGAAACGACTCCATCCGCTCCCGTGACAGTGGTCGTTGCGGGTAGAGCAGCAGTTCCAGGCAGCGTGGTGAAGACCGTAGTCGGAACAGCTCCCGAGGGAAGAGTGGGAGTCTGAAGAATGACAGAGACGATTCCGTCTGGACCGGTGACGGTAGTGGTGGCAGGCAAGACTCCAGTACCCGGCTGAGTGGTGAAGACCGTAGAGAGGATCTGTCCAAGAGCCGTTGGGGTCTGTACAATGACGGAAACCACGCCATCAGAGCCGGTAATCGTTGCAGTGGCCAAGAGTGAGCCAGTGCCGGGCGCGGTTGTGAAGACCGTGGAAGGCGTAATAGACGGCGAGCCAGAGGAGACGGTCGGGGTCTGGATGATGACCAGACCAACTCCGGTGGGATCCGTTGGCAAAATAGTTGTCGTTGCCGGGATGAGACCGGAGTAGCCGCTGGTGACGGTCTGGAAGATGGCAGGAAGATCAATGATGACTGTCGCTGGGAGGCCGGTGCCGGCGGGGGCGATGGTGGTGGTACCGGCAGATGGTGCACCAAAGCGAGTCGAAGTGACCTCGGCAAATACGCCGGGGATATTGACAAGAACCGTAGTTGGATCTCCAGGCTGAGCGGGAGTTTCTGTCTGGATGAGAGTAACGGAGCCGCTGTAAGTATTGAAGACGGTTGTGATGCCACCAATCGTGGGAGACGCCGTGGCCGTGGCCACGCCAGGAACCTGGATCATGATCGTCTGGGCACCATCGGAGCCCATTGGCATAGTTGAGGTGGCAGTAACACTTAGACCAGGGATCGTCGTCGTGACGAGCACCAAGCGACGGGGGAGACCAAGAAGAACAGTGACCACATCGCCAGTCCTTGACGGAACAAGAGTCGAGATCTGGGTGGCGGAAGCCGTGATGAAAGACGTAATGGTTGTGTACGTAGTGCCGTCCGAGATGGTGAGAGAAGGCGTGCTTGAAGGCACGGCGGTCGGGACTTGGATGAAGACGGTGCCTGGCAGACCAGAGGCAGCGGGGGCGAGTGTCTGGAAGAGAGTTGAGGCGCCGGAGTAGCCAGTCGTGACGGTGATGTACGAGATGATGGACTGAGTGACCGAGATGGCGGGCGTTGTCGTGGCTGTGGCCGTGGCAGTGGGAACCTGGACCACAACGGTCGCGAGTCCATCTGCGCCGGTGACAGAGCCGATGAGGGTCTGAAGAAGCGATCCATCATATCCACTCGTAACAGTCGTGTACGAAACACCGGGCAAAGTGGCCGTGGGCAGAGATGCCGTGCCAGTGGGGATGTTGACGACCACGGTGATGTAGCCGTCGATACCGGGAAGAGAGCCGATGAGAGTCTGAATGAATGAGCCTCCATAGCCGCTGGTGACTGTGGTGTATGAGACCGGAGCCGAGACAGTCGGGCTAGAGGTGATGGAGGCTGTTGGCACCTGGATCACAACCGTGGCGAGACCATCAGCACCAGTAGCGGTACCGATGAGTGTCTGGAGAAGAGATCCAGCGTAGCCACTTGTGACGGTGGTGTATGAAAGACCGGGAATCGTTGCAGTCGGGGAGGTGAGTCCCAGAGTTGGAGTCTGGATGATGACCGTCGCCAAGCCGTCTGCACCAGTCTGCGTTCCAATGAGAGTCTGGGGAAGCGAGCCGTCGTAGCCACTTGTCACGGTGGTGTACGAAAGCCCAGGAATAGTGGCAGTCGGCGAGGTAATGGCAATCGTGGGCGTCTGAATGACCACTGTGGCCAGTCCATCGGCTCCGGTCTGCGTTCCGATGAGGGTCTGAAGGAGAGATCCAGCGTAGCCGCTGGTGACTGTGGTATAGGAGAGACCCGGAATGGTGGCTGTGGGTGAAGTGACGGCGATGGTGGGAGTCTGAACGACAACAGTAATAAGACCATCGGCACCAGTGACTGAGCCGGTCGATGTGGCAATGACAGATCCATCATATCCAATGCTAACTGTAACGAACACGCCAATGCTTCCCGTGATGGTTGGCAACGAGGCGGCAGTTCCGGTCGGCGATAGAACGACCACAGTGACAAGGCCATCCACTCCGGTGAGAACGCCCGTCTCGGTTGCGAGGACAGATCCAGGGTACCCGCTGGTGATGGTCGTGTACACAGCTCCAAGAGCGCTGGTGGCACTTGGGACCTGGATGACGACTGTTCCGGGGTCTCCAGGGTTGGCCGGCGGGATGGTCGTGGTCAATGGGCCCAGGCCGGTGAAGCCACCGCTAGTGACAGTCACGTACGAAATGACATCCACGCTGACTGAGCTGGTGGGAACCTGAACGATGACGGTTCCGAGGTCGCCAGGAGCGCCAGGGGCCACAGTAGTGGTCTGAGGAATAAGGCCGGTGTAGGCACTGGTGACCGTGGTATAAGAGATGCTGTCCGTGTTGAGCACGTTGCTGGGAACCTGAATGATGACCGTGGCAAGTCCGGAGGGATCCGTCGCCGCAGGGGGAATGGTCGTGGTCAAGGTGACTGAGCCGTCATAGGTGCTGAAGAGGGTGGTGAAGAAGCCACCCGGCGAAGCGGTCAGACTGCCAGTGGGGAGGCTCGAAGTATCCAAGATGTCAGGAACTTGAACGACAACTGTTCCCAAGCCCGTGGGGTCCGCGGCGGGAATAGTGGTTGTCAAAGTGACTGAGCCAGGGTAGGTACTGAACACCGTAATGAACAACGCTCCCAGAGCACTCGTGGCCGTAGGGATCACTCCAGTGTCGGGGATCTGAATAATGACTGTGCCGAGACCCGCAGGGTCAGTGGCATCAGGAGGCAGAGTGGTGGCCAAAGTGACGGATCCAGGATACGTGCTGAAGATGGTGGTGAAGGAAGCAGCCAAAGCACTCGTAGCAGTGGGAATGATTCCTGTATCCGGGATCTGAACGATGACCGTGCCGAGACCAGCTGGGTCTGTGGCAGCAGGAGGTAGAGTCGTGGTGAGCGTGACGGATCCAGGATAGTTGCTGAAGATGGTGGTGAACGAGGCCGCCAGAGCACCGCCAGACGAGCTGGAACCTGTGGCCTGAGAGTCGGGCACCTGGATAATGACCGTTCCGGTTGCGAGGCCGGCGGGATCCGTGGCAGCAGGAGGAATGGTGGTTGTCAAAGTAACCGATCCTGGGTAGCTGCTGACGATAGTGGTGTAGAAGATGCCAGGCGAAGCCAAGAGATCCGAGGTGGTAAGAGGAACCTGCACAACAACAGTACCAACGCTGCCTCCAACCGCGGGATCGATCGTGGTGGTGATCGGAGCAGATCCAGAGAAGAAGCTGACGATCGTCGTGTACGTGATGCTGACGCTGATGGTCGGGCTCGAAGTGGCCAGGACATTGGGCAACTGGACGATGACTGTGCCAATGTTGGCAGGGTCGCCGCTAGCCGGAGCAAGGGTCGTCGTGAGAGGAACGTCGCCAGTGTACGTGCTGAAGATTGTGGTGTAGCTGACGACATCAGAGTTGGCAGACGGTGTTGGCAACGCAGTGAGAACCGAACTGGGCTGAAGAATGACAACAGTGCCAGTCTGGCCAGGCGCGCCAGGTGCAATAGTAGAGGTCTGGATGATGGACCCGTCGTATCCGCTGAAGATGGTAGTGAAGGGCACATCAGGCGTTGCGGTGACCTCGGGCTCGAAGAAGATGATGGTGCCAACAGTGTCAGTTCCCGAGGGAGCCTGCGTGGAGAAGGATGGCAACAATCCAGTGTACGTGCTGGTGACCGTGGTGTAAGAAGAAACACCAGGGATCTCGACGCTTGAGCTGGGGACCAGCAGGATGACGGTGCCAACAGCATCAGTACCCGCGGGGGCCAGAGTCGAGGTCGCCAGCAACGATCCTGCGTATGTGCTGATGATGGTCGTGTAGGAAACGGTGACACTGGGTGCAGCGGTGCCCGTTGGCTCCAGAATGACGACTGTTCCGAGTCCATCGGTGCCGACCGCGGGGATGGTGGACGTGGCGACGACGGAACCATCATAGCCGCTTGTGATGGTCGTGAAAGAGCCAGCGTTGGAGGTCGTGAGAAGCAGAGCGGGATCTAGTACGATGACGGTCGCGGGGTCTCCAGAGACTGCGGGCGGAATCGTAGAGGTAAGAGTCTCGGTTCCGGTGTACGGCCTCGTAATGGTGATGCCCGGGGTGTCGATCGTGATGGGATTGAGAATGATGATAGTTCCCTCGGTATCCGATCCGGTCGGGAAGATGGTCGTCGCGGATGGGATAGCACCCGAGTACGAGCTCGTAATGGTGGTGAAGCTGATGCCCGCACTGCTCGTGGGTACCAGAATGACAACCGCGCCAATTGTCTCTGTGCCCGTGGGCAGAATGGTCGACGTGGAGGGTACAATGCCGGAGTAACCACTGGTGAGCGTGATGAACTGGCCAGGAGACGCTCCGAGAGCAGAGCTTGGGACCAGGACGACAACGTCTCCAGGCTCGCCCGAGGGTCCAGCGGGGAGAGTCGTGGTCAAGGTGACTGAGCCATCGTAGGTGCTGGTCAACACGTTGGGCAGAGCCGCGGTGGGAGTAGTCAAAGCATCGGTGATGCTCGGGACCAAGATGACGGTAGCACCAGGCTCTCCCGAAGGACCAACCGGAAGTGTGGTGGTGAGAGTAACCGATCCATCATATGTGCTAGTCAGGATGTTCAAGTCTGCAGTAGGCGTGGGAATGGTATCAGTGAGACTTGGCACCAGAACAACAGTCGGACCAGGCTCGCCTGAAGGTCCAGCTGGCAAAGTGGTTGTGAGGGTTACTGAACCGTCGTATGTGCTGGTCAAGAAGCTTCCCAGCGCAGAGGTAGCGCCAGGAACCAAGACGACGGTCGGGCCAGGTTCTCCCGAGGGGCCAGCCGGAAGCGTGGTAGTGAGAGTGATGGATCCGTCATACGTGCTGGTAAAGAGGTTGGGCAATGCCGAAGTCAATCCAGGAACCAAAACGACGGTAGGACCAGGCTCGCCAGATGGACCAGCGGGGAGGGTAGTTGTGAGCGTAATAGATCCATCGTACGTGCTCGTGAAGAGGTTTGGCAAAGCACTCGTGAGACCAGGGACCAAGACCACGGTCGCACCAGGATCGCCAGACGGGCCAGCGGGGAGCGTCGTGGTGAGAGTGACTGACCCGTCGTAAGTGCTTGTGAAGAAGTTTGGCAGAGCAGATGTCGGCAAGTCAGATGTGAGACCTGGAACCAGAACAACAGTAGGGCCAGGCTCTCCCGATGGGCCAGCAGGGAATGTGGTGGTGAGTGTGATGGACCCATCGTACGTGCTGGTAAAGAGATTGGGCAACGCCGATGTAGCTCCGGGGACGAGAACAACCGTGGGCCCGGGCTCACCAGAGGGACCGGCAGGCAAGGTAGTGGTGAGAGTAATGGAGCCATCATACGTGCTGGTGAACAAGTTCGGCAGGGCAGACGTCGGCAAAGCAGATGTCAAGCCAGGAACCAGGACCACGGTAGGTCCGGGCTCTCCAGATGGACCAGCGGGAAGGGTAGTGGTCAAGGTAATCGAGCCATCGTATGTGCTGGTGAAGAGGTTGGGAAGACCACCGACGGAAATCGTCGGGACGAAAATGATGGTGGCTCCAGGCTCGCCAGATGGGCCAGCGGGCAGCGTAGATGTAAGAGTCACTGAGCCGCCGTACGTGCTCGTGAACAAACCACCTCCCACATTGGTGGCGCTTGGAACCAGCACAAGTGTTGGTCCAGCAGGCAAGGTAGTTGTGATAGTGGCAGATCCGTCGTACGTGCTGGTCAAGACATTCGGCAAGGCTGGAGAGCCAGGAAGACTTGGGACCAGGACCACAGTCGCAGGGTCTCCCGAAGGGCCAATGGGCAGAGTGGTGGTCAAGGTGACGGAGCCATCGTACGTGCTTGTCAGCACGTTGGGAAGTGCTGGAGCCGTGATACCTGGAACCAAAACGACGGCGGTTGGGTCGCCAGAGGGCCCAATCGGCAGCGTCGTCGTGATTGTCACTGAGCCATCGTACGTAGACGTAAGAAGGTTGGGGAGACCAGGCGCAGTGGCGCTAGGGATGGCACTCGGCACAAGAACCACTTCTGCAGGATCACCAGAGGGGCCAATGGGCAAAGTCGTGGTGAGAGTAACGGAACCATCGTACGTAGAAGTGAGAACATTGGGAAGCCCAGTCGCAGTCACGCCTGGGACGGCGCTTGGGACCAGGATCACTGTTGCTGGGTCACCCGAGGGGCCGATAGGCAAGGTAGTGGTCAACGTGACGGAACCATCGTAAGTCGAAGTAAGCAAGTTGGGCAGTCCAGGTGCGGTGACACTCGGGACGACACTTGGGACAAGGACCACCTCTGCGGGATCTCCTGAAGGGCCGATTGGAAGCGTGGTGGTGAGAGTGACAGAACCGTCGTACGTAGAGGTAAGCACATTTGGGAGGCCAGCAGCGCCAGACGAGGGCACCAAGACCACGGTAGCCGGATCACCAGAGGGACCGATGGGCAGTGTTGTGGTAAGAGTCACTGATCCGTCGTAAGTGCTTGTCAAGATATTCGGAAGACCAGCAGCACCAGTGTTGCTCGCACCAGGTACGAGGATAACCGTGGCCGGGTCGCCAGATGGCCCGATGGGCAAGGTGGTCGTGAGAGTAACTGATCCATCGTAGGTACTCGTGAGGATATTGGGCAGACCGGCGCCGATCGAAGACGGCACCAGAACAACTGTCGCAGGATCGCCTGAAGGTCCAATTGGCAGGGTAGTTGTAAGGGTTACCGATCCGTCATATGTACTGGTAAGAAGGTTGGGCAAGCCAGCGCCGATCGAGGATGGCACCAAAACAACAGTTGCCGGATCACCAGAAGGACCAATGGGCAAAGTGGTTGTAAGCGTCACAGAGCCATCGTAGGTGCTGGTGAGAATGTTGGGAAGACCACCAGCGCCATCGCTCGTCGCACCAGGCACCAAAATGACCGTAGCCGGGTCCCCGGAAGGTCCGATGGGCAATACCGTAGTGAGAGTGACTGAGCCGGCATAGGTGCTGGTAAGCACGTTGGGCAGGCCGGGAGCATCCGTGATGGAGGCTCCCGGAACCAAGACGATTGTCGCCGGGTCTCCGGAGGGGCCGGCTGGAAGCACAGTGGTAAGAGTGACCGAGCCGTCATATGTGCTCGTGAGGAGAGTAGGCAGTCCTGGGGCATCGGTGATGGGGGCACTGGGAACCAACACAATCGTCGCCGGATCGCCGGAGGGACCAGCTGGAAGGACAGTCGTGAGTGTGACCGAGCCGTCATATGTGCTTGTGAGAATGTTGGGTAATCCTGGAGCGTCCGTAGGAGTGACACCGGGAACCAAAACAATCGTGGTTGGGTCGCCAGAGGGACCGATTGGAAGTACAGTCGTGAGAGTGACTGAGCCGGCGTAAGTGCTCGTAAGCACATTAGGCAGCGCTGAGGCATCCGTGATAGTGGCTCCGGGCACCAGGATGATGGTGGCGGGATCACCAGAGGGACCAACCGGCAAGACAGTGGTCAAGGTAACAGAGCCAGCGTAGGTGCTCGTCAAGATATTGGGTGATCCAGGTCCAGCCGTGATAGTAGGGACACTGCTGGGTACCAGAATGACCGTAGCCGGATCACCAGACGGCCCAATGGGAAGGGTAGTCGTGAGGGTGACCGAACCACCATAGGTACTGGTGAACAGGTTGGGGAGGTTGATGCCAATCGAGAGGTCGATGAGCGGAGGAGTGCTTGGCACCAGAACAACGGTGGCAGGATCTCCAGATGGGCCAACTGGCAGGACTGTTGTGATGGTGGATGGACCTCCATAAGTGCTGGTAAACAGACCTGGAAGGTTGATTCCAATTGAAATATCGATGAGCGGAGGAACGGCGCTGCTGGGTACCAAGATGATGGTAGCAGGATCACCAGATGGTCCCAAAGGTAAGACCGTGGTGAGAGTGACTGAACCACCATACGTGCTGGTGAGCACATTGGGTAGACTGGGTGCAGGCGTGATGGTAGGAGTGGCACTCGGGACCAAGATAACAGTAGCCGGGTCACCAGAGGGGCCGAGGGGCAAGACGGTAGTAAGAGTCGCCGAGCCTCCGTATGTGCTCGTAAGCACGTTGGGAAGACCAGGCGCGGGCGTAGTAGATGGGGTACCACCCGGCACTAAGATGATGGTGGCCGGGTCTCCAGACGGGCCAAGAGGCAGAACCGTCGTGAGAGTGACTGAACCATCGTACGTGCTCGTAAGCACGTTGGGAAGACCGGGAGCAGCTGTGATGGAAGGAATCGTGCTCGGGACCAGGATGACAGTCGCCGGATCGCCCGACGGGCCAATTGGGAGAGTGGTTGTGAGAGTGACCGAACCATCGTAGGTGCTGGTAAAGACGTTGGGAAGACCAGCGCCAGTTGAACCAGAGCCGGGCACGAGAACAACAGTTGCTGGGTCCCCAGAAGGTCCAACGGGCAAGACGGTAGTAAGAGTAACCGAGCCTCCATATGTGCTTGTAAGCGCATTAGGGAGGCCCGGAGCCGCCGTGATAGAAGGAATAGTGCTGGGAACCAACACAACTGTGGCGGGATCACCGGAAGGCCCAATAGGCAGAGTCGTCGTAAGGGTGACTGATCCGTCATAAGTGCTCGTAAGCACATTAGGTAGACCACCATTGTTGGATCCAGAGCTGGGCACCAATACGACTTCTGCTGGATCGCCAGAGGGCCCAATGGGAAGTGTGGTTGTGAGAGTAACTGAGCCATCATAAGTGCTGGTGAAAATATTAGGAAGACCGCCATTGTTCGCTCCAGAACTAGGCACAAGAATGACAGTTGCTGGGTCGCCTGAAGGTCCGATAGGCAGCGTCGTCGTGAGAGTGACTGAGCCTCCATAGGTGCTTGTGAGCACGTTGGGAAGGCCAGCGCCATTGGATCCAGAACTGGGCACCAAGATGACTGTGGCAGGATCCCCAGAGGGGCCAATTGGCAGAGTTGTCGTGAGAGTTACCGAGCCGTCGTACGTACTGGTAAGCACGTTGGGCAAACCAGGCGCGGCCGTGGAAGTGGGACCACCGGGGACGAGGATCACGGTCGCGATGTCGCCGGATGGTCCAACTGGGAGAGTTGTAGTCAAGGTTATGGAACCTCCGTAGGTGCTTGTCAAGATATTCGGTAGGCCAGGGGCAGCAGTTGAGCTGGGTACCAAAATGACAGTCGCGATGTCGCCAGAGGGACCAACGGGTAGCGTGGTAGTCAAAGTGACAGAGCCGCCATAGGTACTGGTCAGCACGTTGGGCAGACCAGGCGCCGCGGTCTCACTGGGCACAAGGATCACCGTAACGGGATCTCCAGATGGTCCAACAGGCAAGGCAGTAGTCAACGTGATCGATCCGCCATAAGTGCTCGTTAGAACATTAGGCAGGCCAGGAGCAGGTGTCGTGCTGGGTACCAAGATGACTGTTGCAATATCGCCTGAAGGTCCGACGGGAAGGGTGGTGGTCAACGTGACTGAGCCACCATAGGTGCTAGTCAAGATATTGGGTAGGTCACCAGCGCCGGTCGAACCTGGTACCAAAATCACTGTCTCGGGGTCGCCAGAAGGACCAACTGGCAAGACGGTTGTGAGAGTGATTGATCCTCCATACGTAGAAGTGAGGACATTTGGCAAGCCAGGAGCAGGTGTCGCACTTGGAACCAAGATGACAGTCGCGACATCTCCAGAAGGCCCAACGGGCAAGGTGGTAGTGAGGGTGACCGAGCCACCGTATGTCGATGTCAAAACATTGGGAAGACCAGGAGCCGCAGTCTGACTCGGCACCAGGATAACGGTCGCCGGGTCTCCAGAAGGTCCGACTGGGAGGGTAGTGGTGAGCGTGACCGAGCCGTCGTACGTTGAAGTGAAGACGTTGGGCAATGACGGAACCCCAGTATTGGTAGGAATGAGGATGATAGTGGCGCCAGGTTCCCCAGATGGGCCGACGGGCAAAGTCGATGTCAGCGTGACTGAGCCATCATACACACTGGTCAACACTCCACCAGGGGCAATGGTAGGCGTGGCAATAGGAGAGCTTGGTACGAAGATGACCGTCGCGCCGGGCTCGCCGGACGGGCCAGTAGGCAGAACAGTGGTGAGGGTAACCGAGCCTCCGTAGGTCTGGGTAAGGATGTTGGGAAGACCTGCGGCTGCTGTGCTACCCGGTACCAGAATGACAGTAGCAGGATCACCAGATGGGCCGATAGGCAAGGTGGTCGTAAGAGTAACTGATCCGCCATAGGTGCTGGTCAAGATGCCTCCAGGAGCAACAGTCGGTGTAGCAATCGGGGAACTTGGCACAAAGATAACAGTCGCACCAGGCTCTCCCGAAGGACCCGTAGGGAGGACAGTTGTCAATATCACCGATCCACCGTATGTCTGGGTCAGGATGTTGGGTAGACCGGCTGCTCCAGTGCTGCTTGGCACCAATACAACGGTTGCTGGATCGCCAGATGGGCCGATAGGCAAAGTGGTCGTGAGCGTTACCGATCCATCGTACGTGCTGGTCAAAACACCTCCGACAGATGGAACAGACGGAGCAGTGGTCGGGAGGCCAGGAACGAAAATGACTGTAGCTCCAGGCTCACCTGAGGGGCCCGTAGGCAGCACAGTCGTCAAGGTCACCGAACCGTCGTAGGTCTGGGTAAGGATATTGGGAAGGCCAACAGCTCCGGTGCTGCTCGGCACCAAGATGACGGTCGCTGGGTCGCCAGAAGGTCCGATGGGCAAAGTAGTCGTCAAAGTGACTGAACCGCCGTAAGTGCTCGTCAAAACGCCACCAACAGATGGAACAGATGGTGCTGTCGTTGGCAGGCCAGGAACAAAGATTACCGTCGCGCCAGGCTCTCCTGAAGGCCCAGTGGGAAGAACAGATGTCAAAGTTACAGATCCACCGTAGGTCTGCGTCAAGATGTTGGGAAGGCCTGCCGCTGCGGTGCTTGTTGGTACCAAGGTGGTGCTTGGTACCAAGACCACAGTCGCTGGGTCACCAGATGGGCCAACCGGCAAAGTAGTCGTGAGCGTGACCGATCCATCGTACGTGCTTGTCAACACATTGCCGAGAGCCTGAGTAGGGTCAACGGACGAGGCGCCTGGAGCAGAGGGAACGAAGATGACAGTCACACCAGGGTCGCCCGCAGATCCTGTGGGTAGAACAGTGGTCAACGTAACGGAGCCGCCATAGGTCTGGGTCAAGACGTTGGGCAGCGTAGGAGCAGCAGTGATGGTCGGAGTGGCGCTGGGAGCACCCGGTACGAAGATGACCGTAGCGGGATCTCCAGACGGACCAACGGGCAAGACTGAGGTCAAAGTGACTGAGCCTCCGTAGGTGCTCGTGAGGATGTTAGGTAGGCCCGCAGCACCAGTGTTGCTAGTGATACCAGGAGCGCCTGGTACGAAGATGACTGTAGCAGGGTCTCCGGACGGGCCAACTGGCAAAACTGAAGTCAAAGTAACTGAGCCTCCGTAAGTGCTGGTCAAAACATTGGGTAGACCAGCCGCACCAGAGTTACTGGTAACACCAGGAGTTCCAGGTACAAATATGACCGTGGCAGGATCGCCAGATGGGCCAACCGGTAGGACTGAAGTCAAAGTCACCGAACCTCCATAAGTGCTTGTCAGGATGTTGGGGAGACCAGCGGCACCAGTGTTGCTGGTGACACCAGGGGCACTTGGAATGAAGATGATGGTCTGCGCAGGGTCGCCAGCAGAGCCGGTAGAGATGAGAGAAGTCAGAGTGACTGAACCGTCATAAACACTGGTCAAAATATTGGGAAGACCTGCAGCACCAGTGTTGCTGGGAACGCCAGTCGCGCTCGGCACGAAGATCACGGTAGCTGGATCTCCAGATGGACCAACAGGGAGGACCGAAGTCAGAGTGACCGAGCCTCCATAGGTGCTTGTCAGGATGTTGGGAAGTCCCGCAGGATCAGTGTTGCTGGGAACAATTGTCACGCCCGGTACAAAGACAATGGTCTGCGGGGGCACGTTGATACCACCATCAGTAACGACCGACGTCAAGGTGACTGAGCCTGCATATGTGCTGGTTTGAATGTTGGGCAAACCCGGAGCAGCAGAGCTACTCGGCACAAAGATGATTGTCTGGCCGGGGTCTCCGTTGGTGCCAGTAGGCAAGACGGAGGTCAATGTAACGGAGCCTCCATACGTGCTAGTTAGGACATTCGGCAGAGCCGGGCTAGGCGTGGCAGTGGGAGTCGGAATGAGAATAATAGTCGCACCCGGCTCGCCGAAGGGCCCAGTGGGCAGCGTAGATGTGAGAGTGACCGAACCACCATAGAAGCTGGTGAACAGACCACCGGCAGTCGGCACTGTAGCAGATGGAGTGACCGTGTTACTAGGGAGAAAGATGATTGTGGCACCCGGCTCACCAGAAGGACCGGCAGGTAGGACCGAAGTTGATGGCACCAGTCCGCTGTAGAAGCTGGTGAGAACTCCAGCCAAGGCGGTGGTCGCGGGAGTGGGCGCAGCAGTGTTGCTGGGAACAAAGATGACTGTAGCACCAGGCTCTCCAGACGGTCCGACGGGGAGCGTGGAAGTAAGAGTGACTGAACCTCCGTACGTGCTAGTGTAGAGACCAGCAGCCAAAGCCGTTGTAGCGGCGGTTGGCAGACCGGTGCTGCTGGGAAGGAAGATGACGGTGCCACCAGGCTCGCCAGAGGGACCTTCAGGCAACACGGATGTCGAAGGCACCAAGCCACTGTAGAAGCTGGTGATAACACCACCAGCAGTGGGGGTTGCGGCGCCTGCTCCGCTCGTTGCACTCGGGACCAGAACAATGACCGTTCCGGGGTCGTTGGAGTTGATCGGGGCGACAGTGGTAGTCAAAGGAACTGAGCCGGTGTAGGTGGACAGGAATGTTGTGAGTACATTGTTGCCAACACCAGGAACAGCGCCACCAGTCGAGCTCGCAACGTTGCTTGGAACCAAGACAATAAGAGTGCCAGGGTCTCCAGGGTTTGAAGGTGAAGCAATGGCCGTTGAGATAATAGATCCACCATACGTCGACGTGACAGTAGTCAGAGGAATGGCGGGCGTGGCTGTGGGAGAAGCCAGCACGTTGCTCGGAACGAGAACAACGAGGGTGCCAGTCGAGCCAGTTCCCGATGGGAGCACAGTCTGGAACGAGGTGACCGAGCCTCCGTAGGTGGAAGTGAGAGTGGCAAACACTGCACCGGGTGAGGATGTAATGGCTGGAGCACCGGCACTGAGGGTACCAGGGTCGATAGTAGAGCTCGGGACAAGGATGACGAAAGTTCCCTGGGAGTTGGTTCCGGTAGGGAGGATAGTCGAGGTCGACGGCACGGATCCGGTGTAGGTACTGATGAGCGTCGCGAAGTTGGCACCTGGAGTAGTTCCAGGGGTTGCCGTGGCGCTTGGAAGAAGGACGATGACGGTCCCCAAGCTGTCAGTCCCAGCAGGAGCGAGCGTAGTGGTCGATGGAACCGCTCCGGTGTATGTGCTGATGAGAGTCACAAGCGACGCGGGTGCCACAGTCGGAGTTGCAGCTGGCCCTGTGGTCGGAATGTTGATCGCAGGAGTTGAAGTTGCAGGATCCTGTCCAATGGTGGGGGTCTGGATGAGAACGAGACCAACGCTGCCGCTGGCAGTAGGCAGGATAGTGGTGATCTGAGTTCCGGTGCCAGAATATCCAGTCTGAACCGTGATGAACGAGAAGCCAGGAGCCGTAGGTGTAGGGGCAACATTTGTAACCGCGGGTGAAGAAGGAGAGAAGGGAGTCTGGATAATGATGGCTCCAACGGTCTCAGTTCCGGATGGGAAAACTGTGGCGGTAGTCGGCACGGCTCCCGTGTAGCCAACAGTAGTAGTGAGGAACGAAAGGCCAGACGTGGGAAGAGGTGTCTGGATAATGACAGTTCCTGGATCTCCAGCATTCACAGGTGCCAAGGTTGTAGTCGCCGGTGCAGTGCCGAAGAATCCACTCGTCAAAGTAACAAACGATGCTGGAGCAATGGTGACTGAAGGAGCAGCAGCAGAAGTAGGCGTCAAGACGATCAAAGTCGTCGGGTCGCCGGCGGAAGAGGGAGTAAGCGTAAGAGTAGACGTGGCAGAGCCAGCAAACCCGCTCGTGACGATGACGTTGGGCAAAGCGTTCGTGACGCCGGGTGCCGCGGTTCCAACAGATGGAGTCTGGACAACCACACTTCCAGGGTTGGTGCCCGAGGGAGGGAAAGTGACCGTGGTGGACAAAGTGCCGGTGCCAACAGTCGTGGTCAGGATGAAGCCGCTGGGCACAGTAGGTGGTGGAGGGTCACCGCTGATGCTGATCAAAACAGTCGTGCTGATTCTTGTGGGAGTCTGGATGAGAACGATGCCAACAGAGTTGGTTCCCGTAGGAAGAATCGTCACCGTTGTCGGCTCAGTGCCGGTGAATCCAGTGACAGCCGTGATGAAGCTGTTGGGAGCAACAGCAACGCCAGAGGTAGGAGTCTGGACGACGACAACTCCGGGCTGGGTGCCAGTAGGCGGCAGAGTAAAAGTAGTCGGCGTGGATCCAGTGTAGCCAGTGGTGACAGAGACGAAACCGGGCGCGGTGATGGCCGGGTCGACGATGGGAGTCGTTGCGCCTCCGGCTCCCGGAGCAGTGGGAGTCTGAACAATCACGGTTCCGATAGTGTTGGTGCCGGAGGGCAAGACAGTAGATGTCGCCGCAACGGGTCCGCCTATGGAAATGGTGATCTGGATGTTCGGCAGACCCAACGAGATAGATGGTACAGTGACAGCACCGCCAGAGAAGATGGGGGTCTGAACGACCACGGTGCCAACCGTGTCAGTTCCACCGGGGAAGTAAGTGATCGTAGTCGGCGCAATGCCAGTGAAGCCCTGGGTGGTGGTGATGAAGCTATTGGCCGCCACGTTCGTGGCAGAGACCGAGGGGTTCGTGAACGGGGTCTGAACGACCACGAGACCAGAGCCACCTGAAGACGGCTGCACGGTGACGGTAGTGGGGAGTGATCCGGTGAAGCCAATCGTGGTGGTCTGAAGAATGTTGACCTCCACAGACACCGTGGGCGTCTGGATCAAGACGACACCGAGGGTGTTGGTTCCCGTCGGTGGCAGGGTGGTAGTCTGAGGAACGGATCCGGAGAAGCCCTGGAAGAGAGTCGTGAAGACACCAGCGCCTGGAGCGGCAGTCGCGGCGACAGTCGGTGTCTGGATAATCACGAGGCCCACCGAGTTGGTGCCGGAGGGAGGGAGAATGGCGGTTGTTGCTACCGGTCCGCCCTGGGTCAAGGTGATGAAGGAACCCAGGCTGAGACTGGGGATAGACAGAATGATGGTGGGCAGGTCGATGGAAATGGGCGGGATGGTGAGTCCAGGAAGCACCAAACCAGAGTTGACTGCACCTGGAGTGGTAGCAGCACCGGTCGGCAGAGCTGTGAACAAGGACGAAGGCACCTGGACGAGAACAGTGCCAACTGTGTTCGTTCCCGATGGCAACAGCACGTTCGTCTCCACGGCGGGAACGTCGGCTGGTGTTGTGACCGTCACGAAGGGCACACCAGAGGGGAGGTTCAGCTGAGAAGCAGCTGGAGTGGCAGGGGTCTGTACGAGAACAGTTCCTAGAGTGTTTGTTCCCGTGGGAAGCAAAACGTTTGTTAGCACAGCGGGGACATCACCAGCAGTAGTTACCGTAACGAATGGCACTCCGGAAGGGAGGGTCAGTTGGGGAGCAGCTGCGTTAGTCGGGGTAAGGACGACAACCGTTCCTTGAGCGCCGCTGACAGCAGGAGGAACGGTAAAGGTCGAGGGCTGAAGGCCGTTGAAGCCGCTCTGGATGGTGGTGAAGGCACCCAGAGCTCCAGGTGCGAGACTGGATGGGACTCCGTTGGCACCAGGATCCTGTGTCTGCGTCTGGCCTGGCTGAGCAGTAGCAGTGGCCAAGGGGTCGCCCAGAACCACAACCGTGCCGACAGTGTTGGTTCCCACAGGAGGGATGGTCAGCGTGGTGGGAGTTGACCCAACAGCTGGCCCGGTGAGAGTGGTGAAGGAACCAGGCAGAGCCCCCTGGGACGCCGCGGCAGTCGCAGCAGCTGGGTCCGGAGTCAACACCAAGGCGACGGGAGCAGTAGATGCAAGGCCCTGTGGGAGGACGGTAACGGTGGTAGGTTGAGAACCGCCAAACCCAGTGGTGATGGTGTTGATCACATTAGGAGCCACAGTGGCAGCAGAGCCCGCAGGGTCAGGCGCAGCAGAACCGGCAGCGTTGGTCAATGGCGTAAGGACCAAGACTTGAGAGGCCGTTTGGGTTCCCAGAGGAGGCAACGTGACCGTGGTCGGCACAGATCCGGAGTAGCCGCTAGTGAGGATATTCGGGAGAACACCTGCGTCCGAAGCCGCCGGGTTTGCGGCGGATACACTGGGGGCGGTAGCTTGCGTAGCAGCGTTTGTGATAGGAGGCACAGCCGTAGTTGCGGCAGGGTTTCCAATGGTGACTCCCGCGCTGAAGCCGACGGGCAATTGCTCGACGACGGTGGCAACCGGGTTATCACCCTGAGAAGGGAGCGTCAGAGTCAACGGATCTGTGCCGTTGTAGTCACCTCGGATAGTAACGAGGTTGGCAGCCAAAGCGGCCGGTGCACTCGTGGCCGGATCATCTCCGCCCAGTCCCACGGCGACTACAATAGTTCCGGGGGCAGAAGCAGAGTTTCCTAACAAGGGCAAGGTGATTGTGGCACCGAGACCGGCAATCGGGAGCGCGGCCAGGGTTCTGAAGAGGGCAGGCCGAGCAGTGATTGAGGGAGTCTGCACAATGATGGTACCCAGAGTCGGGTTGCCGGCGGGAACGATGGTGAGCGAGACTGGAAGAGATCCAGTGTTGCCATCAGTCGTAATGGTCGTAAAAGGGCCGGTGAAGGAGGTGATGGCAGGCTGGACAACAACAGTCCCGGTCTGGCCGGTGCCTGAGGGAGGAACAGTGATGGTGACTGGTGATCCGCCCGTGTTACCACCGGCCGTGATAGTTCGAAAAGGTCCGTTGAAGGCCGTAGGATCCAGACTCTGGACCAGAACGGTGAAGACGCCGTCCGTCGCACCAGCGGCCGGGGGAATAGTCACAGTCGCGGGAGCATCACCCTGGCCGCCGCCAACGGTAACGGTCGTAAACGGACCAGCAGCGGGGCCTGTGAAGCCATCCGTGGTCTGTACAATGACCGTTCCGGTCTGTCCTTCGGGTGCCGGGATGGAAAGTGTAGTTGGCGTAGCTCCGGCAACGCTGATGGTCTGGAAGATGGCACCAAGAGCTGGTGCCGCAGTCTGTACGATTACCGCACCAACACTGCCAACCGTCGGGATAAGCGTAAAGGTTCCGGTTTGGCCGTTCTGGCCCTGAATGCTCACGGTTGTGAGCCTAGCAAGGAAGTCGGCCTCGCCTCCGGGAGTCTGGATAATCTGAAGCACGGCATCGGCCCCGGTCTGCGTCACACCCCTGTTACCGGGCAATGTGATGGCAGCGGGTGTAACACCGGCGTTACCGAGAACCGTAATGACGTTCTGAGGACCAGTAACAGTGATGGAGAAGGTGTCAAAAGTCTGCGCAAATACGGTACCCGCAGATCCAGCCGAGTCCACGACGGTGAAGTTCCTGGGCACGCCCGTGGCACCACCAACGTTGACGGTAGCAAAGATCTGAGGCAAAGCCGCAGCACCTCCAGATGCCGTGGGAGCGATGGTGACCGGAACTGATGCAGGGCTGGGTCCAGGGTTGACGACGCTGCTCGCCCCTGGCGCAGACTGCGTGATAAAACCACTTGGGTCGATAGGAGTACCCAGGACAGTTGCTGTCTCTGGGACACTGCTGCCAGTGGTGGCCGCAATGTTGGCAAAGGGGGTGAAGACTAAATAGGTTCCGACGCCATCGGGACCAGAGGGGAAGATTGTGATTGTGCTTGCCTCAGATCCGGCCTGGCCACCTCTTGTGATGGTGACATAGGCGTTTGGGATTGATGAGACTTGGTCAATGATTCTAAGTGGCCATGTTAGCTTGAATGTCTAGGTATGAAATTTGAGAAGCGCGAATAACTTACCGGGTAACTTGGGACGTAAGTGTTCCCAACTTGTCAATCTCGGTGACCAAGGTCAATGGAGCATTAGTGATGGTGAGGGTCAGCCCATCATCGAGCACCAGGACGGTGTTGACTGGCAAGTAGGCGCTGATGTAGATGGGCTGTCTGACGATGAACTGCACCGGCTGTACTTCGACAGACGTGATGCCGGCAGCACAGACGGGATTATCGGGAAACTGAGGCAAGGCGATGGCCGGCCAGTACTGGCTGGCGGCGACCAACAGGCCCAGGATGGTGTTGAACTTCATGGTGATGATGAAGCGCTGCTGCGTGATTCCAGCACGATAGTCTCAAGACCGTCCAAGACACCAGGTCTGGAAGCCGAGCAGCAGCAAGATTAACCTTGGTTGTGTAACGTCGTTTTTGCTAATCAGGGCCGATCCTTTTCTTTTGTTTCCTTTCGGATATATTAAGGTATAGTAGAGTCGTACAAGGAAATATCTGGTCGACTATTGACCATGCAGTGGCATCTCTCGAATAAGACGGGAGGCGCCGCTGTTTCAACGGGGGGAGGAAAAAGAGAGAAAAGGCAAACAAGAGAAGCGTTCGAGGCCAAAGTGTGTGGACGCCGTGAAACAAATACTAGATGTGTTTCTTGTACGACGGTCAACGAAGATGGCTCGATTGTTTTAATGGGGAGGTTCTGCTGTAAGCTTGTTGCCGTGAGACTGGTGCGTTCCTAACCGACAGAATGGGCCGAAGGCGTGTGGAATGTCGTATCCTATGCGGAACGATGGCGGGATCTGTCTTCGGCCCAAGGCGCATGCCAAGCTGGCTCACAATGTCTCTGTGTGGTGAGGATGATGGATACTCTACCTCGGACTCGATTGCAACGTCCAAGTAATGACGAGATGTGAAATAGGGTAGATATCGGAAGCGAAGAGAGGCAAATAGAAGAGCGAGAGAAGAGGCGAGAGGGAGGGAGAGATGGCGAGCAAACCGTGGCGAACCTGCTACCGGGCCGAGTGCCTCTCGTCGAGGATACGGCAGAGGCATGAGAGAGAGAGAGAGAGAGAGGCCAGAGCCATCTCATTCGAAAACAGGAGGATTGATGCCTCCCCTGACTTCATGGTTACCTACTCTGTGACTGAATCTGGCCGAGTTCTGCTCGTTCCGGCCAAAGTTGTGATGCTGTTCAGAAGCGATTGGTGAGAATGGGGTCTGGCGTTTTTGGAGATCTAAGACAAGGCCGTCAACCGAGAGGGAACTAGAGCCGCTTCGGGAGCCCACGGCGGATTTTCCGCGCTCGGCGTAGGTGAGATAGAGAGAGAGACCAAGACTGCTGTGATTACTAGGTAATACTCGGAATGCTCAGAGTTTGGTTCATTGTAGACAATCACATTGTTTGTTCGTCGGTAGCGTCAGCGGTGGTGAGTGATGTGGTTGAGAGCCACAGGAGCCTAGGTATGCGGGCAAGGTAAGAATTCACATAGCTAATGTGATTTGACTAGCATTAGACTCCCGTCATCTCAGATTCCGCGCCCGCAGGAACGACGACGGTTGAGATGACAACATCCGCTTGGCCCTATTGCTTTGCGGGTCGTCCGAAAGAGGGGAGGATTTGCTCCCGTTCTTAGTAGCTTTTCTGGCACCTTGCCGACCTTACTTATTAGATGCTTAGCAGAAGCTCTCTCCGCTAGCTGCCGCCCAGGTCTGGGATGACTTGCAGCCTCCGTACGAAAGCGTTGCTGGTGGGTCATAGCTAGGCATCTGGTCGTTTCTGTGTGTGCTTGTGAGTGAGAGAGAGTGTGTGTGGGAGGTCAGTCAGACGCAATAAGGTGCGAGACGGTTCGAGGGAGCTGAAGTTCATCTTGACCAAATCCGTCCAAGTCTCTCCCAACTCCCCCAGCAGGGGGCGTTCAATGTAGCCGAACCGTTGCTGGCTGTGGGCTACTTGTTGTGGCGGGCCCTCCTCCTTCGGCCGCCTCTTTCAACCTGCTCTGGTGCCTCTTTGGGAATACCACCGCCACAGCCCGGAAACGAACTGAAGAAGAGTGGACGGTGAGTCGGGGGTCCCCCATCCCGAGGGGGTGTGTGCATTACCTAGTCAACTCTGTCGGTCGGTCGGTGAGAGTGGAGGAGTGAGGAGTTGTTGTCAAATAATACACTAGCAGAGTTAGACCGCAACTAAAGACGGGAAGGGAATGCGAGAGATCTACGTGACAGTTGGCGCGGTTTTCCCCGGGGGAGCCGTCGCGGTTGGTCAGCCGTCATCTCGTCTAGTTCCAAGACACACACCCTACTAAGAGCCTAGACCCTTGAACTCAATCTCACCGTTCCCACGGAAGCTTTGACAGTTTTTTTCTTATTTCCGATCTCTGCTTCTTGTTCGGATCCGGTTACCACTCGCCCTTGACCAGGACGGCCCGTGACAGTTGAAGCTATCCCAACCTGTCTTCCCGAACAAGACAAGCAGTCCTGGGAGGACTACAGATACCCTCACACACGACCGCACGCGGACAGTGGCGCTGAGCGAGGCCAGGTATTGGAGTCTCTGATCAGAGGCATCACGATCGCAGTCACAAAGACCTTGGCAAGTATGCATTCAGCCGCTTTCTCGAGCAAACCCCCTCATACTGTTCCTTTGCAGCTCTATGAGGGCTTTGTGGGAATTGCGTCTGTTCCGGCCGTGAGACTCTCGAGAGGTCCTTGGGGGGGCGTCTTTCCAGTCCCCAAGAGGGTTGGATGAACAATAGAGTTGACGCCCGAGTGGACATGACGCTCCGGAGATGGACGTCAGATGTCGACAAACGGCTTGGCGGCTGGAGTGAAGGCGGCACGGGAGGCATACGATATCGGTCCATCTTCAGATCAAGATGTCCTGATATAGAGTTTGTCCGCATTCCTTCTTCAGCCCGAGATTCCTACTACTCTTGGACCCTGAATCCAACCGCAACAACCTCGAACCATCCAAACATCAGCTCACTTCAGCTCACCTCTCGCCTCTTACAAAAATGTTGCAGCTCGTCTTTGCATTCGCTGCCGTTGCGGCTGGCGCAAGGGTCTACCGCAGACAAGAAGATTGCTCCTCCACCACAACGTTAGATGCCCTCACCGTTACCAGGGTTGAGCCGATCTCGATCTATATCCTCCCTCAACAACTTGCACCAACAGGGACCAACAATGATCCCTTCACCGCGGTCTATACAACAGTCTATCCCACATTCTGCCCAGAGTGCTCTCAGGGTCTGAGGCCGGAGACTTACACCATCACCCAGACCTGCACAGGCATCACAGGATGCCAACCATCGGGCAGTGTCCTTCCTCCGGGATTCACCACAACCCAAGCTACCTGCACCGACTGCCCAACACCATTCAGTGCCGTCCTCACTATCCCTCAGGCGACTGATGCCGTCGTCACTTCAACCTTCCTCGAGACCATCACCGAGCCAGGCTTGACCACGACGCGCACCATCGTCCAGACCTGCGCGAGCGAGCCTTGCTTGCCTCAAATCACCAACGTCCCTGGACGCGTCTCTACCTTCGATGGGGGTCTCTTTGCCGAGCCGGTTACACAAACAGCCACAGTGTCGGTCTCAGTCACCGTGACCGACAAGTCAACTGCAACCGTCACTGCCGATGCTGATCCATCCTTCCGTCCTGGCAACTTCAACAGCGGTGCCGGACATGTCGTCTCTTCAGACAAGTCTCTTGTTCTTTGCGTCAGCGCATTTGTTCTTTTGTTAATCATGTCTTCATAAGCGAGCGGGTGGAGCGAACGGGAAAACGCGTGTGTGTGTGCCACAGATTATGGATGATGTTGATGGCCATTAAGACTCATGAACTCTTAGCCTGCGTGTTGCTTCATGTTGCTTCTATTACTTCAAAGGACAATACTTGATACCAATTGTTTTCAATACGAGCCTTTGAGGGCTTTTACTTTCATTTCCTTGTATAATCTCACTTCAGTCCAGTATATACTTCATCATAGTACCTTATTCACCAGAGGGTCTTCAACATTTCTTCCATGTAGTAGATATTAGATATACACAAAATCAATGAGGTCTGAGCACTTCTTTTTCCAAATCAAACTCGATCATAAAATCACTTGCTCCATTTGTTGATCGCGAACATTCTGCGCATTCTTCGTTTTCCTTCCCTACCACGACTACTTAGCCTTATTCGGAAATAAATCTTTGTGCCAATACCACTAACAAAAGTTGTGTAACTATCACCATTCTACATCCGACTCGCGAAAAGACCGCTTTTGAAAGATGCTAGATCCCGCAATATTAGAGTGCGGGTAGCAATCAGATCATGAGGGTCCCCCTGATATTAGTCACATTTTGGGGTTACACGCAAATTCCAGGGTTCGAAAGCCCAGTGCCTCGTCTGGAAGTGGTATCACCCCTTTTGGGAAAAATAAGAGTGATCTGCGTCTCTTAGCGATGGTTCCCATTGTCAAAAGAAATATGCATCGTCGGGTCTCGTCTGCATGTCATTTCCTGGGCGATCATTTCATCACGGCCCTGTCCATCGGGTCTCGATGTGACGACAAACCCCTGTGACCCCATTGGCCCCCCCAGGAACCATCCCGAGATCATGGACATGGGCACATATGAATCCGAGAGTGAGGTTTGACCTCATACTCGGCTCTGGATCTGCACAGCTGAACATCTGGAAGTCTTGGAAATGTCTGCATTCGTTGAACTTTTGAAGCCATCTTGGACCCTGCTGACTGGATGTCGCGGCGGCTGGAACTAGGACTGCTGATCATATGCGATTCCGTCTAGTCTATTCTAAATTCTATCTTTACCCTTCTCTTGCGGGGCCGTCTCGTCGCACTCCTCCCCTCCTCCTCCTCCTCCCGCGGGACCCCGGCCGTAGCTACTGAGGCCATTATCTCACAGTTTTTTTTTTTTTCTGTTTACCGGCCCGTACTCACGGGCAAACCCTCGGCTCGCGCATGATCTGATGATGTGTCTGGATTGGCGGGAGGGCCAAATTCCGCGCAAGCCACGGATGTCACTAGCCCATTTCTCCTCATTCCATCGACAAAGGCAGCGCTACGCAAACTCTCTGCCCACCCGTTGCTACCAGGCTGGCCAGCACTAAGATCTGCAAATCTCCTCCCGTTGCGTCTGTGCGTGATGCAAGATGGCCCTCTCTTCTCTCTACTTGTTGCCAGCCGGGTGGGATGTGAAATGTGATGAGATGTGACTTGAAACTGTCGCCCCCGGTGACATCTCTGGTGGCATAATTGTGGCATAGATGGTGTATGCCACCCCTCAACGTCGACGCAGAGACGATAGGTACGCCCTCGGTAGCTATCTAGGACAATCCGTCAATAGTTTCGTGTAAATCTTTTCTCATTTTTCCCTCATTCGCGAATATGTGGCGTGACATCACTTCGCTCCGTTCGTGAAGGGGAAAAAAACCGCCGTCAAGGCCCCAGTCATGCAGATGATGTCGGTGCCGCAGCCTTCATCACCTGCTCCAACCACCAAACGTGAATGCGGACATCGTCAGTGAGCTCAGGGTGGAAACTCGTGGCAAAGATGTTGCGCTGCCTCACAGCGACGATATCACCGACCGAGTCGTCCGCGGTGCTCTGGCTGACGCCCTCAGCGGCCTTGGTCTTTCGCCCCGGAAGAACGGCAAGGACCTCGACAGCCGAGGAGGCCGGCTTGTCGCCCTTCTTCTCGCCCGCCTCGGTGGAGAGGATCTCCTCAACGATTGGGGCGCGGATGAAGACGCCAGGGTAAGGGGATGACGCCGTTTTCGTGTTGCCATCGCCCTGCGTCAGGAAAGGCAGGTCTAGGTCCGCGACGAAACTCTCAATCTGTCGGCCAAAGTGGTTGCGGTGGACGCGCACACCCAGGCCGCCGATGAGCTCTTGGCCGCCCTTCTTGGTGGCATTTGCCTCATCAGCGAGGAGGATGGCGCCGGCGCAGGTTCCCCAGACTGGCTTACGGTCGACTCTAAAAAGGAGAATAAGAATTAGACGTTGTCTCACGGGGAAACTCTCTCCAAGACCTCCATGGTATTCGCAAAAAATGAATGAGATGAGAAGACGAGTGAAAAAACACCGAACGTGGTGTGGAATTCTCTCAATTTCGCACATGACATCATGAAAAACACAGCCGGATCTTTCGTGAGTGCGAGTTGAGTGAGGTGGCTTACTTGACGAATTCCTTGAGGGGTTCCATCAACCCAGACTGCGCCGCGATAAACGAGATGGTTGTGCTCTCTCCGCCTGGAATGATGAGGGCATCGCAACTCCGGAGCTCTGCCTCGGTGCGGACCTCGATGGCAACGATCTCGGGTCTCGGGCTTGGCACCGAAGACTCGGCCGTAGCGAGGTAGACGGCGGCCTTCCGTACGAGCTGGACGTGCTCGTGAAAGCCGCCTTGGAGAGCCAGAACGCCGATGGTAAGTGAAGACATTTTGAGATGTGTGTTGTAAGATTCAGCGCTCACAGGCTGGTGGCGTTCAGCAGGGTTCTTGAGGATGATGGGTAGTAATAGAGTCGCGAAGAGTTCCGAATGTTGTGTTTGAGTCATTTACACAGACTCTGAACGAATGAAGTCGAACACCACGCCCCGGACCAGTGAAGAGCAGCGAAAGCTTGTAGACTATCCGCGCAAGACGATTACTGTGTAGGATAACGGGGATTTGGGGGTTGCTTCGTCGGCCTTGGCGACAACGGCTTCGTTGAAGACCCTTGCTAGCTAAAGTAAGGTACTTTGCGTCGCCCGCACTGCAGTAATCGGCGAGTTAGTCAGAGAGGTTGGCTGGCGGCCATGTAACGGTGGGCTTAGCAGTAGTTCGCCGCCGACTCGCTCCGCTGTAGTTAGGGTAGGTAGTCCACAGATTGTAGACCAGGTATGTCCCAACTGCTGTGGGCGCAAAGGGCGTAAAGGGCGCGGGACAGCTTGATGTCAAAGACCAAAGATCCATGCAAATGGTGTTATACTACTTGGTAGTTGATGTCAATGACTGGCGGAGCAACGGGACAGGGAAAGGCGTCCGTCAGATGGAGGCACGGATGATGGAACTGCAGCGGCGGCGGCGAGAGAAGATTCCATGCATACGGAGCTTGTTCCAGCTTGACTCTGCAGCTCGGGCGGAACAAGATGGGGCGATCTGGGTGTTGTCCCGCGCGGAACAGACTTCGAAGGGAGCGGCAGGGCGGGTGTGTTGGAAGGGGGGCCGAGGGGGCATCGCTCGGATCTACATCCGATGACAACCGCTCTTCTCTCCGCCCGCCCTTCAGTCTTTGGTAACTATCGCCGCCGTTCGGAGCATGTGGAAGGTCGGTAGAAACTTGTCACCAATTGTGGAGGAAGCATTTGGCTCAGCCGGGTTGCGAGCTACCGGGGTGAGATGCACATTGGTATTACGATTACATACACTATATGCGCGCATTGTCAGAGTGACCCATGATCAAGAGAATATGTCGGGCCATGATCCATCCACAATACGAACATGTCCCACAGCACGAAACCCTCAGCTTTCTCCTTATCGGGCAATACCAACGGAAGCGTGTCAAGAGTCCAGACATCCAGAAATGTCTCCCGCCACCCGTTCAAACACCGGTGCGTGGGACTGGGCCGCCCTCCGCGCGCCCGCCATGGCCTCTACGACTTTGCCTTCGGGGGATACTTCGATGACACTGCCATTCCATTAAGGTTCTCCATGTACCGGGTCCCGGAGTAACCGTATCTTGCCTTTCCGAGATCGGGCCCTGACCCGTCGTCCCCCCCTTCCACGCTTGCTGCAGGCCATCCATCTCACTGAGTCGCAGTCTACTGCGCAGTAGGAGGTACACCATATTCATGACTGTCTGCAGACTTGCTGGGTGGTAAGCTCGGCCCTAGGGGTCCCCTACGGCCAAGTGTCGCCGCCGACTCAGTCGCGGACCACGCGCTGCTTTGCTCGGCTCGCCTAGGCGGAGGGGTTTTTCTGTACCACCACCGTTCAGTCTTGTTCTCCAAGCAAATGGAAGCGATCCGCGGGAAAGACGGGATGACTCGGTACAGCAGAAGTGTAAAAATTTTCTCTCTCTCTCTCTTCGTCCAATCTTGGACCCCTCGCTGAACATGCCGTGTCATCATCGAAGTTGTTGTCTGCCGCCATATACATATTTGCCCCCCCTCCGTTCACATCTCATTCTTGAGACCCCTTTTCCCCGGATTTCATGACATACAACCAGACCCATCGTGAAGCGGAGCATCTTGAATCCTCGTTAACCATTTTGAGGCCCTCCTTTCTCTCTGATTGATTGAAAAAAAAGATACCCCTCACTTCCAGAGCCGTTCTATTCCCGTCTCTTTCACTCAGACCTTCTGTATCATCCCACCTTACACCTCTTCAACTCACTATTATCGCTCATCTCATAGCGGTTCATCCCTCTCAAAGATACCCCCCTGAAAAGTCACTTTTCAAACTCATATCACAATGACCAACAACGACGCAACCAAGCCTAACGGCACCAACGGCGATGCTAAGAACACGTTCGCCGTCAAGGCCGGACTCGCCCAGATGCTCAAGGGAGGTGTCATCATGGACGTGACCGACGCCGCCCAGGCCCGCATCGCCGAGGAGGCCGGCGCCTGCGCCGTCATGGCCCTGGAGCGCGTCCCGGCAGACATCCGCAAGGACGGCGGCGTCGCCCGCATGTCCGACCCTGCCGTCATCAGGGAGATCCAGAACGCCGTCACCATCCCCGTCATGGCCAAGGCCCGCATCGGCCACTTTGTCGAGTGCCAGATTCTCGAGGCCCTCGGCGTCGACTACATTGACGAGAGCGAGGTCCTCACCCCGGCCGACAAGGTCTACCACGTCGAAAAGGCCGACTTCAAGGCCCCCTTCGTCTGCGGCTGCCGCAACCTCGGCGAGGCCCTGCGCAGAATCGCAGAGGGCGCCGCCATGATCCGCACAAAGGGCGAGGCCGGCACCGGCGACGTCGTCGAGGCCGTCACCCACGTCAAGCAGGTCACCAGAGACATTGCGCGCGCCAAGGGTGTTCTCGCGACCGAGGGCATCCTGGGCATTCGCGCCCTGGCGAGAGAGCTCGAGGTCGACCCTACACTCCTCCAGCAGACGGCCGAGCTCGGCCGTCTCCCCGTCGTCAACTTTGCCGCCGGCGGTGTCGCCACCCCCGCGGACGCGGCGCTGATGATGCAGCTCGGCTGCGACGGTGTCTTTGTCGGCAGCGGCATCTTCAAGTCTGGCGACCCGGCCAAGCGCGCCAAGGCCATCGTGAGAGCGACGACGCACTACAAGGACGCCAAGGTCCTCGCCGAGTGCAGTGAGGGACTTGGTGAGGCCATGGTCGGCATCAACTGCGACAGCTTGAAGACGGAGGAGAAGCTGGCCACCCGTGGGTGGTAAGCAAAGGTGTTCGGAGGTTTAGGAGCTTAGACTGCTGGGAGGCAGCGTGTGTGTGAGATTTGGGATGTTCATATGGGTTCATGACTCTGCGATATGAAAAGCAGTGATTTTCTTTTTCAACCAAGACATGGAGGCATTGTGGCCGCATCAGCTAGCGAAGCCGAGGGGGTCCTTCTTCTACGGAGCATTTGGAAAAATTGGGCATAATAAAGTCTACCTCGTTTGAGGCTGAATCTTTGGTTATTGATTCTCTTTTGGTGATGTCTCAGAGTGACTTGCTGTAATTCCCCGAGCAAAGAGCACGCACCCATCCCCGTTGTCTGGCACACCACCTTCATGACTCTAGTTTAAGGTTTCTGACACGTTCTATGCATACGAGGAATTGTTCTAGAACTCTCAATCGCGACAGATTACACAACCTCAACCAACTCCTCGCGACGAAGAGCCCGGGATTCTTAGCAGCACCACTTCGGGGTGGATCTCGAAGATAGCGGCGGACATAGCTCAGTTGGGAGAGCGTCAGACTGAAGTGGGTTCTGAACCCTAGAAACTTCATTCAATCAATCTGAAGGTCGTGTGTTCAATCCACACTGGCCGCAACATCACCTTTTGCTCAGGGCGCGCGCACCTCGTTTTGTGTTTATGTTTGGTTTTAGGGCGTCCTTGCTGGATTGATGATGTCTTTTTCTTTTGATATATATATCCTTGAAAATGTGACCATAAAGTAGCAAGTGATCTTCATTGCGAATTCAGGTGTTGAGTTGGCTCATGGGAAAACGAAGTACATCGTGTTTCTCGCCTCTTTGTGAATCAACGTCAAGCTCTCGCCGCCAATCTTACTCATCAACTCCCTTTCATTCATACTGAGCGAGACATTGATGGTGCTCGTGGTTCCAATTCAACTTGACCATGAAAACAGTTCTTCAGACGGGTATGCTGCTTGCAGTGGATAGACTAGATATGAGTACTGCTTCACCTTCATGCTTACACTTACCTAGGATCACCTAGGATCACTCATTCATCTTCGCAGGCCCCCAGTAGATTCCTGAGTTACCATTTGCGTTGATGTCCTGCGGCGCCTACCAGATTCCTCAAAAGTATACTAATTTACCTCTCAGAAGAAAGCCATGTTGACCAAAATACCTCAAGCTTGTCCATCTTGACCAAAGATCGGCGATGTTACCTTACCGTCTTTCTGTAGAAGCTATCTAGACAGCATCCACCGACGCAAAGTCTCTTCTCCAGTGTCGCCCATGACGTTTTTCCAGGCCCTCGAGTCGGATCGTCACGAAGATGAAGCAAGCTAAAGAACGCCCAGCATCTTGGCACGGCAGCTCTGCACGGGTTGATTCTTCAGGAAACACTTTGTTGTAAGCATCAAATTGGACTGCCTGACTAAAACACATGAGTTGAACGTGGCCTGAAGCTTTTCACCCACGCAGTAAAGCTTCGAAAGGAAGCACGTGTAGTCTTTGACAGCAGCGAGGGGTAATACAAGCAGCTCACGAGATTCCATTCAGGAACCAGAAGCCTCAATCTTCCACACAGAGGTGTGTCCTCAGATAAAAACCTCTCTTCATCGGACGATTCCAGCACATATCTCAGATCCAAGAAGTGGCAGCAAGTAGGCCAAGCCCTCTCCCTTGGCGGCGTTGCACCGTCTCTAACAAGTTCATGTAGTGAGAAAAGACGAGATAACGCCCTTCCCGTCAACATGGCTGTGGGACGCCCTGGCTGATAACTAATAACTGTCGACCAGGCCCCAAGCCCTTCTCAAATCCATTTGGAATCTTGGAAGGGGTGGAAGTCTACCCATCTAGGGCTGAGAACAAAGACATGGAGAGAAAAGTGCTCAAGAATGGCCAGGAATGGATTTATGGCGTGGGGGTGAGCACACTTGTTTAGTTCCCGAAGGCTTAAAAAGACCCAAAAGGCTTAACAATTCCTCGGGACCACCGATCTTCTTTGAAGCCCAACAAGTCCGGTTTGAAGTCCGGCTGCCCGCTTGGGAAGCAAGTGGAATAGTATATTCCTATTCTGTCCTGCCCTATTCAGCCTGTCTGTTTTCTTGTTCTTCTAGAGAGAAAATCGCAAGGCGCGTATTGTCTGGTGGTAATGTCTCAGCCAACATCGAGATGCTCAAAATAGCGCGTCTATGCCTTGGAAATGTTGGAATTTTTGGTGTTTTTGAATCTTGATTACATTTGTGAACCAGGAGCGCCTTGCGCCTTATCCATGGTTCCAATCCTGATGAGGATTCGCTATGCGGAGTGTTATGTTTACAGATATGTTACAGTGTCTTGTACAAGCAGCCTCGCCTCTCTCTCAGAGGCTTTGGCAGCAATTATCCATCACCATTTTACTGTACACCGGGAGTCTTAGTATCGCGCACTACCTCTGCGCTCCCTAAGGCTATGGCGGACCCTTCGCGCGTAACGCGCCACCCTAGATTTGACATCGAGATTGTAGCCCGGCATGGTGCCAACAGCCTGGGAGAACACCCCCAGCTTGCCGCCACGGAACGAGTCTAGGGCCAGCTCAATGGTATCGATGAGGCGCAGCGTCTGCATGTCGTAGAAGAGACCGGCGAACTGCATCTCGTCCAGCACGGCGAGCACGGCCTGTGTGTCACCGTGGCGGTACCAGAGGATAGAGGCCAGCTCGTTGTAGAATGGCGTAGAGACGCCGAGGACATACGAGGCCAGGCCGAGCTCCTTGACCCGCGGGAGGACGTTCAACGCCAGTGGGGAGGAGTGCGCAAAGGACTGGTCGAGGGTCTTGAGGCCCTGCAGGAGGTGCATGGAGTACAGCGGACCATGGGAGTCCATGCTGAGGGCGTCTGGCTGGGCCTTTTTGGACGACTTCTTGTGCAACGAGGGCTTGGCCTTCTTTTCCGGATCCGGCTGGCGCTGCTTGTCTTCAGAGATACCCAACCTTGCGACCATGGAGAAGACGTCGCGTTCCAAAACGTTCCAGACCTCAACGTCGGTGTTGCACTGATCCAGAAGGGCCTGTAGACGGACAGCTTCTTGGGCGCGGGCGTCCCTCCGCGCAGCTTCGAGCTTGGCGGCCTCTTCCAGGTCTGATTCGAGCTCCTCTTCCGGCTTGAAGGAGATGCGCGACGAGGTCAGCTGGTCGCCTTGCACCTGGCGCATTCCAAGCGCGACCTCAGCCGCGCGGCGCAGAGCAGGGGGGTATTTTCGCAGGATGGCATCGCGAGATCCGGACTCTAGTTCGGGTTCGACTTGCGAGGAGGAGGCGTCGTCTGCAGCGCCCGGGGTAGCAGCCTGTGGCGGGACCTGGCCGCCGCGCTTCGCAATATCGTCAAAGATGGCACGGAAAACCTGTCGCTCGGTCGGGGTGATGGTGGACTTTCTCTCGCCGTCTGGGCCGCTGGGGATATCAGTTCGTTCTTGGGCAGGGCCATCCCATTCGAAGGGGATGCTTTGCGAGCCGCGCCTTCGGGGATGGGGCCGGCCTGCGGTTGTCGAGAGGGATCGAATAGAGACGGAGGCCCTTAGGATTGTCCTCGTCTGGTAGAGGAAGGGCGTCAACGTCGTAGCCATTGTGTGCGTGCTGTGTTGTATGGCTGGAAGCGCAAGCTGTGCACTTCACACTTTGCGATGGTCAAAAGTTGCGAATTCGCAGATGCAACAAAATTTCCATCCAAAAATCCAACAGGGGAAGCTCGGGCCATGCAGGGACCGACGACAGGCGTGACAGGGCGCTGATGGCTGACGTAATAGACATTAAACCCCCTGCAACCGCCGGGGACCTCGACGCGTTGCGACGCGCTTTCAATTAGGCAGGTTCGCCTCCACCGCGCTCCTTCCGTCGTGATTCACTCCTTCTGAATTGCCTCTTTTTTCTTTCCACCAATACTTCCAAGTTTCTCTTGGCTACCTATACAACTTCCACACCTGGCTCGGGGTTGCTCTCACGACAGGTCAAAAGACAGTTCGGCATTGCAATCGCATTCTCCGAGTCGCAATTCTCACAGTACGTCACAGACTTCCTCTTCATTACCACTTCAACCTGCTTAACATTGTGAACAGCCTTGCTCCGAACGACCACAAACACCACCTGATACGCCTCCGCATACGGAACCACGGAAATCACTACTTCTCTCCGGGTCTACCGCCGTCGGATCGCACATTTTACCTCTTCCCGCCCATATACATCCCAAGCCGCAGTCATGGCTCGCACGAAAGTAAAAGCCGAGGAGGACCAGGGGATGAGCGCCTTCGAGAAGATGCGCCTCGCAAACATTGCGAAGAACAAGACCATGTTGGACGACTTGGCCAAGGCTTCGAATAAGATCATGCCTCCCAAGCCCAAACCAGCACCAAAGTCCCGGTCGACTCCCGTAAAAAGGGAGCCTGTTGCTCCCACTGGCCCGGTCCGTCGCAGTGCTCGCGTTGCAGGCTTCGATGCCGATAACGAGACTCTGAAGCGCAAGTACGAGGTCGAGGTTGAAGAAAAGGCTGCACAAGAAAAAGCCAAGAAAACGAGAATCGGTGGCAACCTCAGTCTGGGAGACATCGCCGTCGATGGCAAAAAGTTTAACAATGGAATCACCGGGTTGAGTGCACTGGTCCCTCGGGGTGCCCAGCCCGGCGTCCCCACATTCACGGATGAAGACGTGGAGAACACGTCTGATAAGGGCCTGAAGGAGTTACGCAAGAAGATGGGCAAGTTGGAGCTCTACGAGAAATGGAGTCCCCAAGGTAAGCCGGACAATCTGTGTTCGCCGTCAGTTGTAATTGCTCACCATCTTCCAGATATAAAAATCTGTCCTTTGCGCATCTACGCTGCCACTTTCCATCCTACCGAGGACAAACCCCTGGTATTCGCCGGCGATAAGGAAGGCGCTCTAGGTGTTTTCGACGCCTCTCAGGATGGCCCCCCGGAGAACGACGATGACGATGAGGACGCGTGGTTTGACCCCAAGATTGGCGCCTACAAGATCCACACTAGAACGATCACGACCATCATCGTTTCTCCGTTCGAGCAGCAAAAGGTCTACACGTCCTCATACGACTCTACCGTCCGTGTGCTTGACCTTGAGAAGGATGTGTGTTTGCCCGTCTGGGAGCCCGAGGACAAGAATGAGGATATACCCTTGTCCGCCATCGATATTCCATTGACGGACAAGAACCTCATTTACTTTTCTACCCTCAACGGCGCCGTTGGAAAGGTCGACATCCGCGACCCCAAGTCCACGGAGATGTGGCAGTTGTCCGACAACAAGATTGGAGGTTTCTCTCTGAACCCGCGAGAGCCGCACCTCCTGACCACGGCGTCTCTCGACAGAACTGTCAAGATCTGGGATTTGCGAAAGGTCACCGGCAAGGGAGATATGAGACACCCTGCCATGCTCTACGAGCACAATTCCCGGCTCTCAGTCTCTCACGCATCATGGAGTCCCGGCGGGCATATCGCCACGTCGTCTTACGATGACACAATCAAGATCTATGACTGGGCGAACCGTACCGACTGGGACAAGTCCACCGAGATGGAGCCGAAGCATATTGTAAAGCACAACAACCAGACTGGCCGTTGGGTGACCATCCTCAAGCCCCAGTGGCAAAAGAGACCCAAGGACGGCATCCAGAAGTTCGTCATCGGTAATATGAACCGTTTCGTCGACGTGTACGCCGCCAATGGCGAGCAACTTGCGCAGTTGGGCGGAGACGGCATCTCGGCTGTCCCCGCTGTGGCTCACTTCCATCCGACGATGGACTGGGTGGCTGGTGGTACAGCAAGTGGAAAGCTGTGCTTGTGGCAGTAAGCCTGGAGGTTTAGGTACACTACCACTGGGATTCCGTGTATATTGGGTTGCCTTCTTGGCAATAGGGGGAGGGATGGAAAATGGCATGTCATTTTGCGCGGCGTTGGTGGATAGGAGGTCTTTACTGCAGTGGCGGATGCTTCAGGCCGTCAACTTTATAAATGCGTTCTGGAGGGTTCTGGAAGATAGGATACTTGAGCTTGTCTACGATCCAGTATATAAGCAGACGCCGTCATCTCTGTGCGGTTACGGTGGTCAGGGTAGTGCTGAACGCTGTTATGCGGCTTGGAAGCCGTCTATAGGATCTCGGCCAGGTGTTGTTTGGATAACGCTGGGGCACTTCGGAAAAAGAATGAAAAAGAATTGAACAAAAGAGTTCTTGTTTACATTGCTTTGACTGGTGACCGTTTGCTGTTGAACAGACTGCCTGCCTGCCATAGAGGTGCATACCCGCAGTACCCATTTGTGTCATGATGTGACAGCCTAGGATTGAAAGCAATACATACCCGTGTCTAATTATCTTTGAGACACAAGGAAACAAAAGGCGATTTTTCGAGAATAATATGCAAAACAGCCCGGCTGGATGAAATACTGGGTGGGCGAAGCTGTCATGGGTGGGACATGGCCACCGTTCCAAGCATTCGCTGCTTGCTATCTCCGAAGGTAATGGGTACTACAATCCTGTGAGGAGATGTATCAGGAGGCTTACAGCATACCCAACAGTCATTATCCTTGGTCTTGATCAGGCTTCTACCATGGGCCCTAGTGTCATGTTGATCGTGCGGTTCTAACAAGTGATCAGCCATGCTACTGCGGGATGTAGATGGCAGAGGTCTCCTTCCATTCGCAGCCTTCATCCTACTTTCTCTCAACAATGCCCCGAAGTTTTGATTTTGGTGTTGTGGAGTACAAGAAGGGCCCCAGAGCCCGATTGACCTTGAAATGGTGACCTGTCCAGCTAGCCTCTGGCTTTCCACTGCGTGAGTAGTTGGGAAACTTCGAGGCGGTGAGCAGGAGCCTGGGTCATCGCTAGTATCTGGTTTTCGTGAATTGAATGTAGTTGATAAGTATTACTATGCGTTCTATTGCACTTTAGACGATTCTTGCCCATTCAAACATATCTTCGGTGGAAATTGGTGCCGTAGTAACTTTTTCTCTGTGTTTCACGTCAGTTCTAATTTGAAGCTGTGTTGAGCGAGTGGCTGCGTGTCGGCTACCACCACGACAAAATCCCGCACAAGTATCAATAGTTGATTATGCCTTTATATCTACAAATGAAGGCATATAAAACGGCTCTTCTTGACGGAAAGGTTGTATTGTTGATCGTCTCCGTGCTGCTCAGAACTCACCCCCGCCTTAAACCACCCGGTAGGCATCATAGATGACTGTGGCTCCCAACCGAGCACCACTACCAACCCACATGGCAGTGTTCACAATATCCTTGTACCTTTCATCTCCCGTCTCCATCTTGACGTTCAACCGGAAACTATACTCGGAAGGCTTGACATCATTCGCCCTAGCCGGATCAAACAGCCTCTCCATCACCTCCCTCGGCCCAGTCCGCCACCCCGTCGTCTTCACAGTAATGTAAGCCGGCGACTCATCATCCGTCTTGAGCAGATACGACGTCTCAACGGCAGTGCTGAGGGTCTCGTTGACGACAATCTGGCTGTCTTGCCCACCGGCGACGACGGTGCCGGTGCCCCACTTGGCCGAGAAGGCGCCCCCGGAAAAGGAAATCCAGTTCCGCTGACCGAACGGGCCAACGCCGACGGGGATGAGCGGGTTGAGGTCAACAACGATGCGGAAGTCGAGGTCGAGGGATGGGACGGGGAGGGGAAAGGCGGCATATGTGCGGTTTTCTGGGAGATTACTCTCGTTGAAGGGGGGGCTTTGTTGCGACGAGGGACTGGCAGAAGTTAGTATTTAAAGCTTGTTGTTCGTGCGAGCCTTGAGATTCTTCATCATGAGATAGAAAGAAAAAGGCAGTCACCTACGCCAAACAGGCTAAGAAGGTGAGCAAGGTGAGCAGTGCGTGAGGGGATCTGAGATACCTCATGCTGGGCTAGATCTCGAGGTAAACCGTTAAGAGACGCTTTGGTGATCCGTGGTTTTCAAAGTTAGAGGAAGCCCGAGATTTGCAGCGGTCATGGAAAGCTTGAGACGGAGGACAGACACGCAGTGAGCAGAGGAAATGTGAAATGATGTCAAGAAACGGATTGAGTTCTATATACTGCGCAACGTCGTCACTTCCCGTCTCCCCCTCTTGCGCGGGTGTCGATGCCCCGCCCCCGCAGTAGTATTCGGCGATGGTGACCGGCATTTCGGGTCCGGATCTCGGCTTCAGTCAAGCTCTGCGATCGCGCACCTTGGTGTCGTGGCTACTTCAAGCCGGACTGCTGCTAGTCGTTTTCATGGGTTATTCTTGCATGAGGATGATGGATGATGTCCAGCCCAAGTACCGCCGTGGAAATTGTATCTCGCCATTTGCGACGGCGCCTTCAGTTCATCTCTGACACCGCTTCAATTGGAACAAGAGTTGCTGGAAGGCTGGAAGCCACAAGGAAGGAAGTGGAAGCAAGAAACACATCATCCATGGCAGCGAAGCTTTTCGTATGAGAACTACGTGATTTTTAAGTGGTCGGATTTGAAGTGAGACATTGAGACACAGGCTGGTGGTATTGTTGTTGACCTCCGCCCACTGCGCAAGGCTTAAAGACAATTATCAAGCAAGACAAAAGACGCAGTGTAAAATACGTAAGTTTGCGATGAAGATGCAATGACACATCAAGGTGCTTATATGGATGCGAATTGTTTTGGTTATTTTCCTGTTTTGCATTCATCCAGATTCAGCATGAATATGATATTCTCGTCACTGGAGAACACCTCAAGTGAGAGCTACAGGCCCACAACAGCATGGCGCATCTTGCATGAAAACTCTTGTCAGACAACAATAAACATTGAAATTCGCCGACATTGAATGTCGTTTCTGCCCCGTTTGTTATTTTCCTCAGTCAAAGCTTGGGCGGCTCTCAACAAAAGAGGGGACTTGATATGGGGCAGATCTGGGATGTCCCCGCGATGCGAATCTCAGTGCTCGGGCAGATGCTCATGCCAGAGAGCGTCGTTTGCGGGCACTCTGGGCTGATGTCATTTTAGGCTTGGTCCCCTCGCTCTCGCCATGATTTTGGGTCTGTGAGTGAGTCTGAGCCTAGTGAGTGACAGAAGCTTTAGACTGTGTTTGGCCTCAGAACAGTGAATATCAACGTGTCTGGAAGGCGAATAATGAGTGGTCTCGATATGCATCTGCTGATGAAGACAATACACAGTAATTAATGTGTGCCTCGGGTCTGGCGGGTGCGAAGGTCAGGCTGGCGGCGCTGGGCCGGAGTGGTCGGCTCACATGGCAATCCATGTCGTTTGTCAAGATCTTGTGATGGGACCCGGATGGGGCACTTTGGCGTCATGAGAGCGGCTTATCGATAAGAGAGCTTAATGTGAGGCCAGTGGGAGGGGTGGGATATGACCGGGATCCACAGGGGACTTGGTTGCAGTCACTCAGGTCGTACCTTTGTTCTTGTGGGCCCCCACGGCGCCTTCTTTTCCTTTTCCCTTCTTGTGTTGCCTCTCATCTCTCATCCTGCTCATCTCACTCTCACCTCTGTAAAGAGACCTGAGGAGTGAAAAGAGGAAATGAGATACAACATGTCCTATCTGCCTAAGTAGTCTATGACCAGTCATAGACGGCAACTGGGTAAGCAGAGGCAGAAACAGGCAGGGGCCACTCCTACATGGGCCATCACAAGCTTCATGCAATCAGACATTGGAGCGACCCAAGATGAACCCACTCTGTTCAAGACACCGGTCCAATGGGAAAACAAACAGAGAGAAAACGAGAGGAATGACTGGACCCCTGAGAGGAGCACCTACGGCATCCATGCATCCCAGGTCCACAAGGTACGGGTACATTGCGGATAGAGAGCAGGAAATGCGCGTACTTTTGGCGCAGCATCGCGTGCAGCTGCGCACAGAACTTGGGGGAGTCCAGCTGCTGCTAAGGTGCTGCTAGTGCACTTCCGAAAGACAATGGAGCAAGTGAGACTGTGAGAGAATGAGTCTCTGACTCTCTCAAGACACTCTCATTCTCCCAGAAGAGGCCTGGCTGCTCCCGGTTATCTCGACTGTCTACTTACCTTATGAATACCTGAGGTGACTTCAAGGTGAATGCAACGGGACCGAACTGCCTAACAAATACCTTGGTACTAAGGTACTATCCATCAATTGTATCCCAGTCCCCGTCTTTTCCGGGGTTCAGGCGCAGCAATAACCTTCATTCAACTGTTCCATTTCCTATCTGATCAGCGAGGTGCCTTCTTCCTAGGTAGTAAGTAATCTGCAGGCCTCATTCTCGTTGCTTTGCGTTTTCTTCTCTCCTACCTACCGTACTACTAGCTAAGGCAGTAGTGTACCTTACCTTCTCTGCCTTACCTAACCCTTTTGACTCTCGTCTTTGTGCCACACTCCTCAACTTCTGTTGTCTCTCTCTTACACAGTACATTCTTCAAGGTTGCCGCCGTGTCTCTGGCTGCCTTTCCGTCTTCATCCCAAACCAACGGCCCAACCCACGGATACTCTTCTTACCTCACCTTGCTTACTTCGCTACCTTGCTCACCTTACCTGACCGTTAACTCTGTACTTTATCGTCATAAGACTTTGGGCCTGGCCTGCCTTGTCTTTTAGTCCGTTACCCTCCCGCGACCTCGAACCTTATCGTCATCGCCCGAATGAACCCGCTGTAGCCAGACGACTCTTCCTCCACCCTCCCGCCCTCCTTTCCGCAGTGCGTCGCTTCCGCTGCCGCAGCATCGTCTACTTCGCTTTCGCCCTTCCCCGCCTCTCCACCATCCGTGCCGCCCGGACAAAGAGGTCGTAAACATACCCAAAGCACTACCTCTCCAAGATAGCTTGCCGCCTTCTATTTGTTCGACTGTATCCGACCGACCGACCGACCGACCGAAATTATACCCTGATAGCGATGGCGTCGCCCGCTCAAGCTGGCGCTGCGAGCGTTAGCTTTGGCGAGGACGATGTCAAAAAGCGCGTCGGCAGGAAGTTGCAAAAGAAGCGGCACGAATCACAGACCCCGACTATGGAGTTACCAGAGAGGTTAAAGGAGGGCGACGATAGTAGAGAGGAGGATTTGGTACCGCAGCAGGGCCCGCCCATGTTTATGAACATGAACCAGTCCATCTTCGGGCTCATTGCTGCCGCCGGCTCACGGGTGGACTTCCACGACCGCTTCGAATCGAGCGACGAGGAGAGCGCCGACGAAGACGAACCCACACGCCGTCACGGTGCCGACAAGTTGGATGGTGGCGACGACAAGGTCCACGGCATCGGCCACCTCTTGCATCGCAAACAGCGCCGCCAGAACGACTCCGACTTGTCAAAGACGACCGTCCTCAAGAAGGATTCCTCTTCCAAGACTGAGAAACACCGGCGCAAGATCTCCGGTTCCAAGCTCCTCCGATCGCTACCGGCGCTCCCACGTCTGCCACGACACAAGTCCAAAAAGGAGCCCTCCAAGCTGGAGCCCACCTCCGAGGAAGCTAGCGACACCTCCGAGCCCTCTCCGTCCCAACCCGCCGATGATACAAGAGAAGACGATGACCAAGACGGCCACCGCCTGGCCCCCGTCATGAGCAGGATGCTCGAGGCAAAGGCCGAAATGTCCGCAAGACCCAGCTTCGACGTCGACCGCCGGTCTAGCGACCAGCTGAACTACAGCGACTCGGGCGATTCAAACTCCACTGCGTTGGCTCGCCGTCTGCAGGATATCTTTGAGTTTGACCATCCCGAAGCTGTCATTGAGGGTATGTACATGAATAATGCTCCGTCGACCACGGGCGCAAGTAGCTGATACGCAAGCAGAATACCCTTGTTGGTTGCTCCAGAGCGTATTACTCCAGGGCTATATGTACATCACGGCAAAGCACATTTGCTTCTATGCCTACCTACCCAAGAAGGCGGTGCGTATTCCACTTACCTGCAACCCGTCTTTCTACAATCAATACTGACGGAATAATAGCACGAGGTCGTCAAGTCAGGCTATCTGTCCAAGAGCGGCAAGCGCAATCCAAAGTACAATCGCTACTGGTTCCGCCTCAAGGGCGATGTTCTAGCATACTACAAGGACCCCTCCAACGTCTACTTTCCCAGCGGCCAGATCGACCTCCGTTACGGTATCTCGGCCAGCGTGAACAACAACAAGGATGGACTCACCTTCACCGTCGTCACTCACCACCGGACCTACCACTTCCGCGCCGATAGCGCTCCCAGTGCCAAGGAATGGGTCAAGAGCCTGCAGAGAGTCATCTTTCGTTCTCACAATGAGGGTGATAGCGTAAAGATCTCACTGCCCATCGAGAATGTCATCGACATTGAGGATACCCAGATGCTCGAGTTTGCCGATACTTGCAAGATTCGTGTCATTGACAATGACGAGACCTACGCCATTGACGAATACTTTTTCTCCTTTTTCAGCTTCGGCAAGGACGCCATCAGTGTGCTCAAGATTCTCATCGAGGATGCATCGTCTAGCGCAAAGGATGCGGCCCTCCTCAAGGCAGCGCAAGCTCAGGAGGAGCAGGAGAGGCAGGATAAGCAGCCGGTGCCAGCTTCAGCCCGCAGCTCCATGAGCGCAAGTCGACGCATCGCGCCGCCGAAGCTTAGGACGACCAAGCTGCCCGATGCTGTCAAGGCGACGCTGTCACCACTGTCTGCTCACAGCCCCTCGGCTCTCAGCCCACGCGCCAGCATGGATGCTGCGCGAGCTAGTTTCGACGCCTTCAGGGGGTTCCGCCGCCGTAGTTTGGACCTGTCGACCATCATTCGCGATTCCTCACCCCGGCGCAGCTTCAGCGGCAACCGACGCTCCATGAGCAGGAACCGTCTCGACGACTCTCGTCACGGAACCCACAAGCAGGGCTCTACTGACTCTTATGTCCAGTCTTCCATGGAAGATCCGAGCTATTCAGGCATGGTGGCATCATCGAACGAGGACCCCTCGGCAAGCCAAATTCTACGCGGCAGCGATGTCTTCCAGAACCCCACGGTGCGACGCTCAGCTTCTGCCTCCCGGACAGAGCTCGAAAAGAACCAGCGCCGCGACAACAAGAGTCCACCTGCATTGGCCGCATACAGTGGCCAGCATGCTGCAACGACAGGTTCCATCAATGACGGCGACAAACCTCCCGTGACCCCTACGCTGCAAAGCATCACCAAGATGGGCGCATTTCCCCTGCAGCGTGTGGGCGCCTTTGCCCAGTATCTCAACAGCACTAGCGGTAAGTTGGGCTCCATGCTGGCGACGGAATCAATGGGCTACGTCGAAAAGGTGTCGGGCATGTGGCGAGGCGGCCGAAAGCACTACGACGCTCCGCCTGAAATCAAAACGGATGATGAAGATCTATACGAGGATGCAGAGGGCAAGATCCAGACTTCCATGGATCGATTCCGCGCGCATTTCGCGCTGCCCGAGACGGAGAAGCTTCAAGCGACCTACTTCGGCTACATCTTGCGTGTCCTGCCATTGTACGGCAAAATCTACATCAGCGACAAGTCCTTCTGCTTCCGTAGCTTGCTGCCTGGAACGAGGACCAAGCTCATTCTCCCCTTGAAGGATATTGAAAACGTGGACAAAGAAAAGGGTTTCCGGTTCGGCTACTCTGGCTTGGTGGTTGTCATTCGTGGTCACGAGGAGGTCTTTTTCGAGTTTGGCCAGGCCGAACTCCGAGACGATTGCGCTGTCACTCTGTTGCAAAGCCTGGAGACAACACGCTACCTCAAGGAGTCGGGAGACCTGGACCTGGACGAGAAGGAAGAAGAGGAGAACGCCATGGCCGAGCGCGACGCGTTGAAGGAGGCTCGCCAAGTCGAGGAATTCCACGACCACGAACTTCGCCTGCCGAAGGAAGGCTCAGGCGTTAGCGATGCTCCGACTATATTATTCGACGACCCCAAAGCCTCGTTCCTCAACTTCAAGCCTCCTCACTCGATGAAGATTACTTGCTTGACGATCGGCTCCAGAGGTGACGTTCAGCCGTACATTGCGCTGTGCAAGGGCTTGATTGCAGAAGGCCATAAGCCTCGGATCGCTACTCACGCCGAGTTCAAGGACTGGATCGAGGGCCACGGTATCGAATTCGCAAAGGTCGACGGTGATCCTGGTGAGCTCATGAGACTCTGCATCGAGAACGGCACGTTCACTTGGGCTTTCCTGCGCGAGGCCAATTCCATGTTCCGCGGATGGCTGGACGAGTTACTGGTTTCAGCGTGGGAGGCTTGCCAGGGCTCTGATCTCCTCATTGAGAGTCCCAGTGCCATGGCGGGCATTCACATTGCAGAGAAGCTCTCGATTCCCTACTTCAGAGCCTTCACCATGCCATGGACCCGGACCAGAGCCTACCCTCATGCATTCGTTATGCCCGAATACAAGATGGGTGGTGCGTACAATTACATGACGTACGTTATGTTTGACAACATTTTCTGGAAGGCGACTGCTCATCAGGTCAACCGCTGGCGTAACAACACCCTCAAGCTGCCAAACACCAGTCTCGAGAAGATGCAGCCCAACAAGGTTCCTTTCCTCTACAACTTCTCTGAGTACGTTGTCGCACCGCCTCTGGACTTTTCGGACTGGATTCGCGTCACCGGCTACTGGTTCTTAGAGGAGGGTACGGATTTTAAGCCGCCTCAGGAACTTGTCGACTTCATCGCCAAGGCGAGAGCGGATGAGAAGAAGCTCGTGTACGTCGGCTTCGGATCTATCATCGTGAATGATACGGCCAAGATGACCCAAGAGGTCATTGACGCCGTTCAAAAGGCCGATGTGCGCTGCATCTTGTCCAAGGGCTGGTCGGATCGTGTGGCCAAGCAGGGTGAGGCGGAGAGTGCAAAGGATGAGCCCGTTATCCCGCCCGAGATTTTCGTCATCAAGAGTGCGCCCCACGACTGGCTGTTCTCACAGATTGACGCGGCTGCTCACCATGGTGGATCCGGCACGACGGGTGCCAGCTTGAGGGCTGGAATTCCTACCATTATCCGGCCCTTCTTTGGTGACCAATTCTTCTTTGGCGGCAGAGTCGAGGATATTGGCGTCGGTATCTGTCTGAAGAAATGGGGTGCAGTCTCTTTCGCTCGCGCGCTTTGGGAAGCTACGCATAACGACCGTATGATTGTCAAGGCTCGCGTGCTAGGAGAGCAGATTCGCAGTGTAAGTCACAACTCCCGGGGTTCAAGTGTGAAACTTCATGACCAACTAACACAACAATAGGAACGCGGCGTGGAAAACGCGATTCAGTGCCTGTACCGCGATATGGAGTACGCGACGAGCTTGATCAAGAGAAAGGCAGGCAAGCACGCGCATGCTGAAGAAGACGAAGACGAAGAGGCCGAGGAGAGCTGGACATTTATAGGGAACGACGAGCCCGACCCGGACATGACGACCAAGAAGCTCTCCGAGATGGGAGCACTTCCCGGGCTTCCGGGGGACAAGCCTCTGGGAAACAGAGTAATGCGCGTGTCACCCTCGCCCTCACAGCAGCCGGTGGCTTAGGGGTTCAACCAGGAGTTGCTCAACGAGGCGCTAGGGAACAGCATCCTAGGCGATTCGACTCCGAGGCCAATATGTGAAGTGGATGAAATGGGATCGGAATGGGAACGCGTCGGGGGGTTCTGGGACGTTAGCTGATCGAAACGAATGAACATTTGGCTGGCATGGCGTTTTACGGACTTTGCTAGAGGATTCTGGGGAAGAGTTGCTATTTTCCCTGGTTCGGAGTCTGGGGTGGGAGACGGGGGAAACTGAACGATTGACTGACTGGTTTTACGGGGTTGTGGCGTGATCAGAACGGCACTTGGGGACACGGGACAACGCGGCACCCATACTCATGGATAGAGAGTACATTAATACTCGATTATGACTTTTCTTGGTAACGAAGTAGTAGTCCTGTCTGGAATTACAGGCGAACGAGAGCAAGGTTTGCTACAGACCTAATAGAAGCGTACAAGTAGACCTCCCCTCAATAACTTTGATGTGTTGAGTTCTGTTTGATGCTCTTAGGTGGAGGTCTCATGCACAGAATCGGAGAGCAGCTAAAGTCTGGGGGAAGCTCTCTCCGCTTTACACTACCTTGATCGACCTGCATCACGATGTACATGGGTCATCACACTATTGGAGCATCTCCCCATTACCTTGGGTAGGCAGAGAAGGGTGGCAGCATCAAGGCATTGCCGGGAGAGAAAAGAGCTGAAAGCAGCTGCTGGCTAGGGCCGGATGAGAGGGATTTGTTGACAAGCTGTAAGAAATCAGGAGACAAAATAAGATCTAGAATGGGAGGTAGGCAGGTTGAGGTTAGGTGGTGGGAGGCTGCGTTGCTGCTCATGTGAGGTGCCGAGTTCACGCCACTTTGGAGAGGGAGTCACTGATGCAGGTGGTCGGTGGTCACTGGTGTTTGCTGACCACTGCTTTTTTGCCTCCCCAGTGTCTCTCTCTCTCTGCCTTGGGCAGGTATCTACTCAGTGGAGCTTATTTTCAGGGCGCGTGACAGAGAATGGGAATAGCTGAGGTAATGTTGAATGTCTTTGGGGAGGGTGGGTGTCATGAAGCTTTGTGAACTCTTCTCATCAGGTTCACTTACTGGAGCTTTCTTGCTTCTTGTTCACGTGACTCATTGTTGGTTGTGCTTGTTTGAAGAGGCTCCCAACTGTAACCCAATGATGAAGAGCAGAAAGGTGTGACTGGCTGGCAGAGGTGGGATGATGGATCTGGGTGCTCACAGCTGGGATAAGAGAGAAAGAGAGGCCTCATGCACTGCACACTGCACAGGGTGTGAGGCACAGTAAATTGAGTGACAGACTGTGAAGTGAGAGGGGAGTGAAGTGAGGCACAGGGTGAGTGAGGGACGAGTTGGGGAATGGACAAGGGGTTGATTCGTGAAGCTCTCATGCAGGGGTCACCAAGCGGCCAACAGTTGAAGCCGGCTGGCGCCATGAGCGGGAAGAGGAGAAGTAAGGTACCTACCTAGGAAGAGGAGCATTGCTGCATCGCTGCATCACGGAGGAGCAGGCTGGGGTGCTACAGCAGGTACAAATAGACCATCGCATCCCACTCTTTCAGAAGGGGGTGGCTCGGCTGATAGTGGTTGACGGACACCAAAAAGGCTGCCTTTTCCCCCTCTGCCAGCGACCATACCTTGTACCTCGACAGCTTAGGTCTTGTACCTTTTCTTCCATCTCAGCATCGTATCACTCCAGGGCCATCACACCACAGCTCTGCCAGTCTGTCAGATACCTACTTCACAACAAGCAAGGTGCTACAGAAAGAGTGCATAAATCACCCGTATTCGACTTCGATATCATCACCAACACAGACGTAAAAGTCAGATCAAGTTGCAGCTGCTGTGCCTCCACGTTCCATCACCAAACACTCGAAGCCTTGGCAAAGCAGCGGACTGCCGAAGACCCCGAGGTACTTTGTCTCTCCAGAACAGGTACCTACTCCGTACACACACCAACACCACCAACGCAAACCGTTCAGTGTTTCCGTTGCCAGTCCTCGGTAAACTCTGCTCCACTCAACGGGACCACCCTGCCGCCTAAAAGCTCCTTTCGGAAAAGCATTCCTGCGAAAGGCCGACCGACCGGCCCCACCTCACTCCCCAGCTACACCTTTGCTAAGGTGTCCAGGTGGTCAGTGCTCCCCGACAGCCGACCCCACTCCGTCTCGCGGCTCACCTTGCCTTCACCTTGCCCTGCTTGCGGTGTACGTCACGGTTCGGTCCAGACCTACCTTACCCGCCTCCACTCGAAATCCCCGAGCTCCAAAACCTCCACACCCCCCGAACCCCAAGCGAGTAAGAGCATCAGCAGCACAGCACAGCACAGCTCGACTTCCCATTGCGACTCGTATCGAGACCAGCTCCGACTTCATCCCACCACGGCACGTTACGGATATCACGCTTCAAGCCAAACGGACATCTCACGCGACAACATCCAGCATTCCGTCCAATTGCATCACGTCACCAAAAACTCAATTGCGCCTACAACCCGAGGAATACTCGACTAAGGCAAAGGCAGCCAAGACCCAAGGCTAGGAAGAATACGGACGTCCCACGCGTTTTCTTCCCTCTCTTGCCATCCTCCACCATCAACCAACCAACCAAGACGACGGCTTTACATACCTGAGCTACCTTACCTTACTTACCCATCTCACACCTCCAATCTGTCCACCTCGTCCCATCGCAACGCTTCAGAGCTTTCCCCATCTGTTGCGTATTGATCAAACACTCCCCTCATCAGCTTCGGGGCAATGGGATTGGCCACTACACCGGCACCTTCTCCGATTGTTACTGGGGGAGTCTCATTAGGTTCGTCGCACCTCCTCCCTCCATGTTCGAGACGTCATTGAAGGTTCTCTTCGCTGCCGCCTACCGCGCCTCGTGTCACGTCTACTTTCGAAAGAAAGAAAAAAAAAACCCCCCTTGCTTGCATCTTCCAGTTCTTCATCCACTTGCGCGCATGCGCGTGTTTCAAAGCTCACCTTGCTGACCTTGGCCCTTTCCCACCGCGACAGACTTTTAGACCAAACCCTCCCAGTAGCCTGCCGTCATCATGGGCAAGCTACTTTCACTCGGCGCGAGACTGCGCTACCCGATTACCATTACAAAACTCCTCAAGCGCCCCGGCGACGCTGTCCAAAAACAGGAAAGCGTGCTCGAGTACTCCTTCAAATGGATGCGCGAGGTCGGCGACCCCATCGCGGGCAACACCTGGCAAGAGGAAGAAACCACAGTCGTCGGCTGGGATAGTCCGGCCGAAGGCACACTCAAAGAATGGCGTCTCAAGGAAGGCATGACATTCACCCGCGACGCCCCGTGTATGATGGTCGAGGAGGCCTGCTCCCACGAGATCCAGTTCCAAGGCTTGTGCGCCATCTGCGGAAAGGATATGACCGAGGTGAACTGGGCCACCGCCGAACGCGATACTCAGCGCGCCACCATCAACATGACTCACGATCAGACCGGCCTCATGGTCAGCGGCGACCTGGCTGCGCGTGCCGAGTCCGATACCCAGAAGCGTCTGCTACGACAACGGAAGCTGAGTCTAGTTGTCGATCTCGACCAGACCATCATCCACGCCTGTATCGAACCTACGGTTGGCGAATGGATGGAGGACCCGTCAAATCCCAATTACAATGCCGTCAAGGACGTCAAGAAATTTCAGCTCAACGACGAAGGCCCGCGAGGGATGGTCACATCCGGCTGCTGGTACTACATCAAGATGCGGCCCGGCCTCGCCGAGTTCCTCGAGAAGGTTGCCGAGCTTTACGAGCTACACGTCTACACGATGGGAACACGCGCATACGCTCTCAACATTGCCAAGATCGTCGACCCTCAGCAGAAGCTCTTTGGCAACCGCGTCATCAGCCGTGACGAGAACGGCAGCATGATCTCAAAGAGTCTCCAGCGGTTATTCCCGGTGAACACAAACATGGTGGTCATTATCGACGACAGAGCAGATGTGTGGCCGAGCAACCGCCCCAACTTGATCAAGGTTGTGCCGTACGATTTCTTCAAGGGTATCGGTGACATCAACTCGAGTTTCCTCCCCAAGAGACAGGACATCCTGCCCGCACCGCCGGAACCCGAAGCGAAGCCAACGCCAGCCGCCAACACGACAAGCGCAGCACAGACGAGCGGGGCGTCAACGGCCGACCAACCAAACGGCAAGGTGTCTGCCATTGACGAGCTGGTAAAGATGAGCAGCGGCGACGACAAGGTCCTGCAGGAAGCACAAAGCGGAGAGCAAGAAAGACTGTTGGAACAGCAAATCAAGGAAAGGCCGCTGCTCCACATGCAAGAGGCACTTGACAAAGAAGACGAACAAAACGAAAAGGTGACACAGGAAACCGAAAATGGCGCACATATCATGACAGTACAACATCGGTCGCAAGTCCTTCGCGACGACGACGCTGAGCTGCATTACCTACAGCAACACCTTGCCCAATTACACCACAAATTCTACACCGAATACGACGAGAAGCGCGCTGCCGCACCTGCTCAGTCTGCCCCTCGGAAGAAGACGGGCGACGAAGGCATCGACCTTGATGCCGTTCCAGACGTTGGTGAAGTCCTCGATACGATGAAAGCCGCGACCCTTGAAGGCACTACGATTGTCCTGTCTGGCCTCGTTCCCCTGGGCGTCGACGTTTTACAATCCGAGATTGGCATCCAAGCGATGAGCTTCGGCGCTCAAATTTCGACCAGGGTATCCAAGCAGGTCACCCATCTCGTTATTTCGACGTCTCGCCCACGGACGCAGAAGGTCAGACAGGCAGCCAAGATCCCGAGTATCAAGATTGTCAGCCAAAATTGGCTGTCTGATTGCCTCAGTCAATGGCAGCGTGTCGACGAAGCGCCTTACCTAGTCGAGGTCCATCCAGCAGACCGCCGCCAGCTAGCCATGTCCGAGTCAACCGACGCGGAGACAATCTCTGATGCCGATGGCGATGATGCACGGCCGCACTTGACAATTATTGACGAAACGGGCGAGCAACGCGTACTCGAGGAAGACGATGATGCCTCGGACGAAGACGAAGGCGACCAGGACGGCGATGAAGAGAACATGATGCTCGAGTTTGAGGACGGTCAAGTCAGCCCGATAGACGGCTTGAAGTCGTTTGACTGGGAAGGTGTCGATGACGAGATGAAGGAGTTCCTCGGAAGCGACGACGACAGCTCGGATGCCGATACGGAAAGCCGTAGTGGCGATACCGATGCCGGCGAAGACCTGCCCTCATCCCAAGAGTCTTCAAACGCGGTCAGTGGCGGTACCAAGAGGAAAGCCATGGACGATGACACGGCTTCCGACGAAGGTGGAAGTGCACTGTCCAAGAAGCAACGCATTGCCAAGAGTCGTGGTGCTTCCAAGCTGAGCTCAGTACGGACTCCCAACGTCGAGGACAACAACGAGTCGAGCAGCCTGCCTACTCCTCAAGTTACTGGCGATGAGGAGGACATTGCGCTCATACCGGACAATGTCGCGGCGAATGGAGTTGACGACTTTGACGAGGACGATCTCGAGGCAGACCTTGAGGCCGAGCTCGCTGCCGCCGGAGAGGACTAGTGATCCTTACCGCCGTACAGTGAAGGGCATGATGCATATAAAGATGAGCTGAGAAAGGGGAAGACCGCGAAAGTGAGGAGGACCGCGAGGAAGAATGTGAGGAAGAAAAAGTTGGTTGGCTATGGTTCATTCGGTTTATACCCCAGCCTTTACGTTGGCGAAGCATGGCATGGAGTTGAGATGTGCAAATATTTGTAGGATTCAAAGTGCAGTACTGCTTGTTGGGGGGTTTGGTGAATAGACGATCAGGTGTTGGGTCGGTGCATATCTAGCCACTTGAGATTTATGATCTATTCTATGAATCAACTCCAATACTATCTCTTTGAAGCTGAGTGACAGTGTACAGTTCTCAATTCTGTTCCAATTCCTCACCGAAATCAAAGGCGGAGTACCGGTACACCTCGGTGAAGATGAGAAAATGGGTCCACACTATGCCTTACATAAGCGGTCGGCCAATTGAGCGAATCACCGTCGACCCGAAAACAATCACCTCAGGCACCCCAGGCCAAAGCTTGTCCCCGAATCTCGAGCTCGACGACCACCATATCGCATCGCAACCCACACACCCCCGTCGAACTGACGCCGATACCCCCCTTCCGCTCTCTCGAACGAAACAGCTGTTTGTTCGATTCGCATTCAATTGACTCCCCCGACCGAAGGAGCAATTGACCGACAAAAGTCACTCGACGACACTCTATATACCCTTTAGACGAGCGCAGCCGACCGCGTTGGGTCGGTAGGAAACGATTGAGACAGGATGGCTCAGGATATGCCGCCCGTGGGGGGTTACCAGGCTGTGCAGTACAAGGTGAGTTTGTCTGGCGTGGTGGAGGGGCTGGGGAGAGCATGGAGGGTGAGGGAGCCGCAAGAGGAGGGATTGAGAAGAGACGCTCGGGTCGAGCGGGTTAGCGATGGCAGCAGCAACATGGCAAGAGGAGGCATTTGGGATACGAAATTCCTGGACATGGCGTCATCGACCGTTTGGATTGGCACTCCGACCGAGAATACCCAACTGGATCGATGAGAGGTTGCTAGGCAAGGGACACTCGGACTTGGGATCAGGGACACTTTGGACTCAAGACCACGGACATGGGGACGACGGGGAGCCACAGATTTCTGAAGGAACCATGCTGATTATTGGTAACAGCGCAACTTGCCCGCCCGTGGATTCCGCCCCGGCACGATGTTGATCGGCATGGGACTGGTGATGGGATACGGATGGTATCAATTGACCAAGGGTATCCGGGAAGCCAAGTACGTTGCAATCCCTTCGCCCCCACCATGACGATTGCTATTCCTCTTCTGGCCGGATATCGGACGAAGTTGCGGGTGGTCTGGTAGTCGCATGCCTTCTGCTCAACGAGAGGCAGTGGACATGGATGCCGGAAGCACGCAACGGCGAACATATACTTGAAAGAGGAATAGAGCATTCAGACGGGGCACATGGTCGTAGGGAGAACAGTGCTGACAAGACACAGCGAGCTGGCGAGAGAGAAGATGTGGGCGCGCATTCACCTTATCCCCCTCCTCCAGGCCGAGGAGGACCGCGACCAGGTTCGTAGGTGGTACGCCGACCAGGCGAGAGAGAAGGAGCTGTTGGGCGAGAACACCAAGGTCTACCACAACGAGAGGTATGATGATACACCCCTTCCCTCTGGCCTACTATTGCCCGGTGGAAAAGAGTGTCTATGGGGATTTGGAAAAAGATGGCTAATTGATGTCGCAGATTCGTCCGTCCTACCTTTGCTCTTGCGCCGCAAAGCAAGAACTAGATTTTTCATATCTGTACCTGGTGGAAGAGAGCAGGGTTATAAAGGGAGATGTAGGAGAGGAAGATGGGTTGAGGCAAAAGAAGCTGGCAGAACGCTGGCGTGTGTATATGATACTTTTCGGGATGGAGAGAATCAAGACGACTTGTTCAATCATGCTGATCCTTCAACAAGTTCTAGGCTGCCTTGTGGTCTTGTCGGTATGCCTCGAGCGGGACAGAAGAAAGACGTTACTGTGTTGAGGTGATGCCTATCTGCGTGCAGTATGCCTCTCGAAAGTTGCAGAGAGAATCGGGCTGTTAGAGGAGCCTTACCTGAGGGGCTCTGAATCTACCTCTAATCCCTTGAGATGAGTAAAAATTGCAGTGAAGGTTTTACGACGATCCGGTACACCTTTCATCATGCAGGCTGACGGCTGCGCCTCTTTGTGACCCCCTTGGCAATAGTCGAAGTGTAGAAACACACCCTAGGACAGGCTGCCTATGGTTCCTGCTGTACTGAGAGCCGTCGGAGGAGTGGTTGCTGGTCTCTCCGCAGCTCTGCGAGTAACGCTGGACTTTGATTTGGCCACACATGCCTCGTCGAACCTCGATCGCCCGGGGGGAGTTAAGATTGCTGTGATGTGGAGAAGCCGTAACTCCCCCCGAGCGATCGGTGCCAAGATGATTGGATACCAGTTTTCAGTCGGGGATAGCCCAAGGGTCCTGCCAGATTTAAGAATGTATGGAAAGAACATGAAGGTTGCACTCTGACACATATGGTTCAACGACGTCAGCTAGTTGGTGCCGGCAAAGAGACTACTGAGGGCAGTCTACAGGCTAGATGAATCGGATTTGAAGATATCTGGATAAAGCTAGATATGGCAGTGGTGGACACTGTAGGAACATATAGGAAAAAGTAGAAGGTAGTTGCTTGGGTGACCGCAGAGATCATTAAAGGAGTGACAAGCAAAGTCCACTGCTGTTGCTCCTAGCTGACAACACTCCTTACTCGGAATTCAGCTCTCTTCGACAGCGATGTTTAGTAAAACAATGAGGACTATACTAGATTGGGGTTGTGTTCCGCAAAGGCAGCTCTTTTCGGGTTATGATGGTGAAGATGGCGAGGTTCGTGGTCAAGTTAAGGTACTTAATCATTTCAAGGTATCGGCCACTCAATAACCCTCCATCTTTTCTTAGATCTGGCTGAAATGCGAACGAGAACAGGTAGGCGGCACAACTCTAGCAAAGCGGGCTCCATGGTGTTCTATCACTGCTTGTACACAAGCATACCAGTCAGACGCCCATTTAGGGGTTGAATCGTCGCGTTACTTGGCTTCTAAGAAATGTATTTCCTCGTTCCTGTCGCCTTCAGCTCTGTCTCGCTGTAATCACTGTCCTTCAAGAGCTGCGGTCCATGGCAAAGACTTTATTGGTCTAGTCAACACTTCGTGTCAATACGGTTTCCTCAATGTCCGGACATAGAGAATCCAGGACTACCACTTACCTCTGCAACCACGTCGTAGCACATGGCCCATTTTGTGAATTGCGGCGTCCTAGTCGGAGCATTCGCATCCATTTCAATACTTTCCCAGTCCGTTGGGTGGCCAGTGAAACCGCCAGCTAAGAGTTTCTGATCCCTAGCTTCTTGCTCTGGCCCATCAGGAAGGGTGAACAAGACGATGTTCTCGTGGCCGACATCAAACATCTTTTCAGCGCGTGGTTTTCTAAGAGCCTCCCATTTCATCAGAGTAGCAGCCAGATTGTCTCGACTGTTACACCAGCGAAGGGCTGTCCTGAGGGCTAAGCCGTCCTCGATGCCTTGGCTCACCCCTTGGGCAGTATGCGGCAACATGGCATGCGCAGCATCCCCTAGAAGTAGGCACCGTCCGCCAAATCCTAGCCAGTTTTTCATCTTGGGTGCTGTGGCAATGTGCCACTTGTCGATAGGGTAACCCCCACGTATCACACATTCGATGTAGGCACGCAGCGGCGCTCCGAACCCTTTGAACATTTCGCGGATCTCTTCAGGGTTGCCATCCGAGTTCCAGGTTCCACCCAGATCCGCGTCGGCGGATGGAAGCCCGTAATGGAGACTGCATAGAAGAATGCGAACGGTACCATGAGCAGTCGGTCGACCGACGCAGTACAGTCCGGGACCGAACATGAGATGGTGCGAGCAAGCGCCAAGCGGAGCGGCGACTGGGTCGTTCTGCACGCTAGTGATATCAACCTCTGTCTGAAATATGCATTCGGTTGTTACTGTGGCATCCACGTTTTGTCCGGGGAACATGAGCTCCCGGACGCGTGACTTGATGCCATCAGCGCCAATCACAATATCGGCCTCGTAATCGCTGCTATCCTCCACGATTACGCGAAGTTTGCCGCTTTTCTCGTCGATGATTTTGGCAACGTTCTTGTTGAATAGATAGTTGGCTCCTGCAGCAATGGCAGCTTCGTAGGTTATTCGCTGCAGTGATGGCCTATCGGTAGGCTTCCGGACCGCCCCAGCGGGAATTGCTTTTGTGACCGTGAACGGCTCATCGTCCTTATATCTCCATAAGATGTCACTGACTGTTTCCACAGACACCTTGTCCAGAGATTCTGTGATGCCAATCAGGCTCAGGCATTTCACAGCGGACGGCTGTACGATGAGGTTCCCTCCCCGAGTTTGAAGTCGAGAGCCACGTTCGAGTACAGTCACCTGGTGCCCGTCAGAAGCCAAAGCCGCTGCTGCCGTGTTCCCGGATGGCCCCGCTCCGATGATCAATATAGTGAACGAAAGTTGCGAGGTCATGTTGATTCGCTTAGTGCCGATGCCTCGTTGACGACACCTCAGACAGTCGAAGATTGTGTTTCCCACTCATGATAAGCAACGTTCATCGTGCGGAGGTGATCGGGAGGTCGCAACTCAAGTATGCAGCCTGTGTTTAGTCGGCACGGTCTGCTTATTAGCCGAACTCCGTCGTAACAGGGTCGCCAGTACGATTTAACTTTGGGATTGAGTTGTACTAGCCACTGTAGATAGAGACTAACTAGCATGGCAGGTGAAATTGCATTTTACCACGTGCCTAAATGTCAATGACTGTTAGGCCACAATAACTACACCAAAATTCCTCCTACCTGCTCAATTATCACTACCCATCTGCTCACTGCCTCTGAGTTTCTCAAGCTTACGAAAGTGTTGGAGGTTGTTTCCCTCACAATCCTGGGCCGGGATTAGGTCCGGGCTTCACCCGGCCCATGTAATGCACCGGACCGGACCGAGCGGGTCTCCGTATGCCCGGCATAGAGCCCGAAGAAGCTGAAAGCTCACTCTCTTCTGAATCTTTGAGCCTGCGTTCCGCGATCTTGGACTCGCAAATTAATGAGCTCCATCCCCACACCCAGTTGAGTTTCGGCGATTCTGCATGTTTGCCGCATCCGGATACGCGTATTATGATACTTTTCGGGATGGAGAGAATCAAGCCGACTTATTCAATCATCCTGCGAGCTACTGATTGGGCCCCATAACTTCCTACGTCTTTTGATCGGCACATTTCTACCAAACGAGGAATAAACTTCCAGGTCGAAGGTCACGTCAACGGCTTGTGGTGTCGGGTGCATGAAGTGAGTCGTTGTGGTACCAGGAATCCAGGCAAACTAAGTCAAGCATAAAGAAGTAATAGGTTGCTATCCTATGCGTCTTTGATTCCTCGAGATGAGTCTCAGTTGCAGTGAACTTTGGTCAGCTGGACTGCATGCAGACCGGTTGCCACCAACGTGGCCATTGGTCAAGGGTGTCCGCCTGGCCTGCAGGCTGACGAGTGAGCCTTTTCGTAGTCCTCGGTAGGAAACAAAATCGAAGTGTATAAACATGGCCCACAGCAAGCTGTATTCCTTCTATAGTATGTGAAGCCATTGAGGGGAGTTAAGATTGCAGTGAAGGCCAAGCCAAAAGAATGAGGCAGTGCAAAGACATCCTGTATTAGGTGTCAAAAATGCGGGCACTGAGGGCAGGCTGGCCTGTGGGTAGACAGCCGCATCTTTCTGTGTCCAATAGAAGAGTAGAGGGAAAACCATGGTTCTCAAAGGCCATGTTTCTGACAACACTACAAGTGTTTGGGGGTTCAAATTGCAAAGAACACATTGGAGGGCACAGTTGGGCCCTCCGTTTACAGACACCCTCACTCACTCCAGATGTGGCAGCCTTGTAATTTGGCATGCTGTCGCATCCACCACATTCTGCCCACCTGTAGAGAGCTATCCCTCAGTATTTGACAGCACTCCCCATACCTGGAAGCTGTCTCATCTGTGAAGCTTTTGGGTTCGTTCGAGGTAAAGGCGGGGCTCGGTGTATGTTATTGGACATTCTCTCGGCTGGAGGGCGTGGCTCTATGTGTGAAAGTGAGGCAATCGACATATTCTTGCACATAGCCGGCCTTGTGTCGGCCAGAACTGCAGCTTGTTCGGTCGAAGGGCCACAGCACTTGCGCAATCACCTTGAAGCTGGGTGAACGACAGGAAGAACTTCGTGTGAAGCTTACCGTGTAGATTGAAAGGATAGCCAGGCTTTCTGAGGCTCTGGGCTTTGCTACGACCCAAGGATGCGGAGCATGTGAGTTGATGAGATCCTCTCCGAGAGCCCTGTTTTGTTGAAGCCTGTACTGTTCGCTTGTTCTTCGACGCTGTGAGAGACGCTATTATACTCCGTGCATCCGAACGGAAGCAGCTCACTTGAGACGACCCTAGTATCTATCTCTCTGCATATTTACGGCAACGGCCCCTTGTCTTGGGCTCACTGTGCAGCGTCAGACGGAGCCTTCTTCAAGATCTTCGAGGACCAAAGCATCCAAGGATTGAACCGGTGAAACTTATTGAAAATTCTCTCTTCATGAGAGACGTTATATTGGCGAAAAAAAAGCTACCTGCGAAGGATTCAATATGTAGTGATAATTGCAATTCTTGCAAGGCGAAGACAAGTCTTGATTCCGATGGAATGCCGCCTGGAGACCGGTGGTGTGGGCCCGAGCTCCCGAGCCGCTCCGGCATCTCAAGGTGGAGACGCCGAAGACACGGCGAATGATGCCAGATTCTCAATATCCTGGGCCTAAGCTTATTGGGAGTTACTATTGGAAGGGAAGTTGAGGGATGTAGTCAAGATCTGGCGAATTCCGGTAAATAATACCACTAATTTGCACGCAATGAGCATGGTTTAAGTAGTGAAGTCTGTGAATTAGAAGAAGCCCAGGCTAGGACGATGGAAGTAGGAAGAGTCGTCGGCAATCCCTTGAGAGCTATGGGAACTACCAGGCCAGCTAGAATCGGATGACATCTAATGAATCTAAAGGGCAAAACTGAACCATGATGTCTAGTAGGAGAGCAGTGGAGTCTTCGTTTCCGGTGATGGCGGGTTAGCTCCGAGGGGTTGGCCTGAATCTACTAAATGAAAGAGCACTGGCGAACTATTCGTACCTTCGCATCTATTACTGAGGTTCCATACTTTACCAACTAAGAAGAAGACTAAGCCACACAAAGCTCCGCAGTCTTCTCGTAACTTTCGCACTCTAGCCACTGGCCTCGGTCCGCGTATTCGGTGAGCGTGCGAGAGTCGAGTCCGAGGCCCTCGCGTTTCTCGGGTGAACCCACTCGAGATCGTCAACTCCGGCTTGGTTCATTTGCAAACTCGGATCAGGGGCAACGAGTACGGCATAAAATCTGGGGATGTTCGAAGTCATGAAAGAGAAGATGTGTATATAACAATAAGGTAACTCATCACTATCATTTTATTCCTTCCTCATTCCAGAAACACATTCGCTCCCCTTACCTTCGTCGCTCATTTGTATTTTTCATTCATCTTATTTAAACACAACAACCATGCCAATATCATCTAATACAGGAGTCCGAGTGGCTGGCATTCTTTTCTGCCTATTGAGCTCAGTCAGTGGCCGATATGGATCTCAGAAACACCATCTTGCTCAGAAGTCAACTTCAAGCTCATCTACCGATGAAACCATCATCTTCGGTTCGAAGGAGACTACAGCCCTCACATCCGATGGGAGAACTGCTTCTACTGTGGTCCTCGACTATAGCCACAATGTTGAAGGCTTTCCTACCTTTGAAGTCATCTCGACCTCTGGCGATACCTCAAGCTTTGAGATTTCCTTTGCAGAAAGCAAAGCCGCGCTTGACTCGTACATGGTGAATAGCTTCTTCGATCAATGGTCCCTGAATCCGAGAACGAAAGAAGAACTAATAAGAGACAGAGCGATGGTCCTCTACCTCTTGCGGCAGCAATGAACACTTACAGAGTGAACCAATACAACATCACCGCCCCTTCACTCATCACAAACCGCCTCATCCAAGGCGCTTTCCGCTACCAGAAACTCAACCTCTCGTCCGCCGGGTCCCTTCAACTCCGCAACATCGGCGTCAAGCCCACAACATCCACCACGCCCGTAACGAAGCTCCCCGGATCTTTCGAATGCTCCGATGAAGACCTCACACGCATATGGGCCACTGGCGCACGAACGGTTCAACTCACCGAGATTCCCAAGAACTCCATCCCCGACTTTCTACAAGTCTCAGACAAAGGCGCCTACGCAGAAAGCCAGGCACCGCAAGGATTAGCTGGCGCCGTGGCCGCTCAACTCCTCAACTACCGTCTCGATATTGAAGCAAAACCTGTCAAAGGCGGCTTCGGCGTCTCTGTTCTGTGTGACACGCTCAACAGCTGTATCTATTTGTCCTTCAACTTGGACAGCCACACCATCACAGCCCACGCCGGCTCAACAAGCCTAGACACTCTCCTCGCCACGTCCCCATTACCCGTCAGCACCACTCTTGGAACCTGGCACGCAGTACACATTGACGTAGCAATGACATCTATCATCGTGACCCTCAACAGCCTCCCCGTTCTCAATCTAACCCAAACCTCCCGCTATTTCGGCTCCTTCGGCTTCGGCGCCTCCTTCGGACACGCAGCCTACTTCCGCAACCTTACCGCCAGCACGCCCACCAGGGAGACCATCTACACGAACCCGCTCACATCCCCTTCCTTCCTCCCAGACTTCATGATGGGCGCAAACCCGGCCGATACAATCGTAGACGGCTCCCGCCGCGACAGAATCGCATACACGGGCGACCTCGACGTCGCCCTCGGCGCCGCCTTCGCAAGCACCTTTGGCACAACCTTCATCGACGGCTCTCTAGACCTCCTGGGCTCCTACCAAGCTACACCAGGCTTCTTCATCCCCACCGCCAAGATCCAGCAAGCACCTCTGATGGAACCCCTGAATACAAACCTCACAGGACTCATCGGCTACTCCTTCAACTTCCTCAGCGCCCTCGCCCAAAACTACGAAATGAGAGGAAACCTCACCTTCGCAAAGCAGTGGGCTCCAAAGGTCTCCAAAATGCTCGACTGGGCCGACTCCCAGGCCCTCCCCAACGGCCTCTTCAACCTCGCAGACGAATCCTTTGGCGGCGACTGGAACTACTACGACAAAGCACAATCCGGCATCGTCACAAAGTTCAACGTAGTCTACGCCTACGCCCTCCAACAATCCCTCCCCCTCCTCCGAGACGCAGGTCTCAACACCACAGTCTACCAAACTCGCCTCGACACCCTCCGGTCCGCAATCAACACAAACCTCTGGAACCCAGACCTAAACGCCTACATCCTCTCCTCGAACTTCACAACGGGCTTCGCACAAGACGCAAACGCCCTCGCCATCCTAGCCGGTGTCCCCCCCTCGCCCAACACCACAGCCTCGATCCTCTCAACCCTCGCAAGAGACCTCATCCTCCCCGCCGGCCCTCTCGCCTTTTCAAATTCTACTGTGCCCGCCGGCTTTGCGCAGAAAATCAGCCCTTATGCGTCATCATACCACCTCCGCGCAGCATTCTCCGCCCATGACGCATCCACGGCAACGACCCTCCTCAAAACCCTCTGGGCACCCATGGCCAATCCCCAACATGAGAATTATACGGGTTGCTTCTGGGAGACGTTGAATCCAGACGGCACACCCGGTCTAGGCGTCGTAACCTCCCTCTGCCACGGCTGGGCTGCAGGCCCGACGGCGGAACTGAGTCGGTATGTCTTGGGCATCCAGCCTGCTGCGCCTGGGTTCGCGGAGTGGAAGGTTGAGCCGCAATCGTTGGGGCTGGAGTGGGCTAAGGGACGGTATCCGACTGTGTGTGGAGATATCGTTGTCGACTGGAGATTTGAGGGCGGCATGTTGAGGATGGAGGTTGAGAGTCCTGCTGGGAGCAAGGGGACGATATACCTGCCGGAACCGTTGGTTACGAGCCTTGAGGAGTCTGTCATTCGGGTGAATGGAGTTGTCAAGAATGGGACTCAGTTTGAGGTTAATGGAGGGGATGCGTTTGTGCTTACGCAGGAACCTCTGGGCGCAGGATTGCTGGCTTGAGACGTCCAGTCGAGCGTGTATATAACACGAAGATGGACGAACGGCAACAATAGTAATAGTCTTCGCCAAGGCATCATCAACAAATAGCTAGAGTGAACAAGAAATCGATTCATCAGCATCATTAAGTAAAGTCTCATCATCCATGCAGTGGTATACCCAAAGTCAGACAGCCAACCAACGACCAGAAGCAGCAAAACCACCAACGCCGACCCATGACCTCAGTACTACACGGCCACATGGCCAGCCTACAACATCTCTGCCACTCTCCTCTATGCCTGGAGCTGAACAACTCTGAAGCCCTCGGAGACAGTCTTGGTAATGTCCTCGTTCTTGTGCTGCAACAGCCCGAGAGCAAAGGCAACATCGTTCCATTGGCGCTCTGTCTCGCAGCGTGTAAGCCTGGCGGCAAGCTTCTCGGCCAGCTGCTTGGCGTGCTTGTCTTTCTCGACGAATCCCAGGAGGAACCGGATGATTCTCCGGAAACTCTCCTCCTCCAGGCCCTTCTCCGCAGACAGCAGGGAGAACATGTCGACAAAGTGGTTGTAGACAGCGTTATCCTTAGTGCTGAGCTCGGTGAAGAACATCCTCGCCAGATCAGCGATGCGGCGGTCCTCATCCTCAAGGCACTTGGCCATCTCGCCCAGCTGACCCTTAACCTTGACTTGACCGGCCAGAATGAGGAATGTGAGCGTCATCAAGCATGTGCGCTTAACAGACTGGTCCTTGTCCGCAAGACGACGGTACAGGAAGTCGGTGTTCTCGTCGATGAGGTGGTTGAAGCACACAGCCATGTCGCCGAGAGCGATGACGGCGTTGGAACGAACTGTAGCGTCGGCTGAGCGCTCCATGATGGTGATGAGGAGGGGGAGGTTGGCCTCGCAGTATTCCGAGCTAACGCACATGAGCTTGGCCAAGCAAAGAGTTGCGGCGGCCTGCAGTCCCTTGTCGGCATACGTGGTGTTGTTGGCGCAGATTTCAGACACCAGAGGACCAAACTGTGCCAACAGAGATTCGGGCCCAAAGAGAAGCTCACGCTCACGAATGTGCGCCATGGCTTCGGTGAAATCATCTTCAGTCGTGCCACCAATCAAGTCCAGGTCATCGGGCTCGTCCTTCTTACCCGCCTGAGCCGTGGACTTGTCTGCGGTCTTCTCCTTCTCCTGCTCCTGCTTACGGCGCTTGAAGTCGAGCTCGCAGAGTTCAAGGTGCACAATCTGCTTGATGGCAACATGGCCAACAATGAAAAGAAGCTGAGATAAGCCGACAGCCGCGTCTCGCTTCTTTGGCTGCGGTGCCGGAGCAACAATTGTCTCGTTACCATCCTCGTCGACGGAAACGGAGTCGGCCTCGTCTCGCGAGACTGGGCGGGAGCTAGGCTGGGAGCTTGCTTGGGACGCTGAGCGTGACCGGGGAGCGGCAAAGACCTGCTTTGTCTTATGGCGAATGATATCGGAGCAGAGAGTATCAGGGTGCTTGGAGATGGCGTAAATCGCGTTGATGGCCTGCTCAGCAACACCATACCACTCCTTGCTCTCAGACGGGACCTCGGTAATGGAAGCCAGCTTGGACAAGACAGCGTGGTCATTCGGCAGTCTCGAGAACTTGACGGTAGACTCCTTTGCTTGACGACCAGTAGGGTTGATCCGGCGAAGAGCGATGCAAGTGTACTTGGCCAGCTGAAGATCAGCGCGGCCATGTGAACCTAGACCAGTGCGCAGCATAGTTTCCATCTCTCCAACAACAATCTCGGGGTTGGCAGTCGCCAGCATGCCGAGCACAATGATGGCACCGCGGCGTTGCGTCCTGGAAATCTCGCGCTTTTGAACGCCGTAAACCTGCCAGAGCTTGGCGATGACAATTTCGGGAACTAAGCCCTGCTTCATCATGGTACTAAGGAGTTGCTCCAACGAAGTCAACTCAGCGGGAGTTGCGCCAAATGTCAGACTGATCATGTTGCGGGCGATGAAGTTGGCCGCGTCATTGGAGGTGAAGGAATCGGGCGCCTCGAAGAACAGACGCTTGTAGACGTCAATGAGATGGCTCTGAACACCTTTGCCCTCATCACTGTTGCCCTTGGTCCAGATGAGACGCAACATGCGTCGGATGCCGACCTTGTTCTGCTCAATGTTGTAGGCGTCACCAACTTCAAAGTAGTCCATGGCCTCGATGACCTCGCTCTTGTTGCGTGAGCCCAGAAGCTGGCAGACAGTGCCGGTAGCCTCGTGGAGAACGTCGATGAACTTCAAAGCCTCAGAGTAGTATCGCTTGGTAAGGGTAAGCTTCTCGATGGCCTCAGACGTGGCGGCCTCTTCGCGGGCCTTGCGGACGGCTTCGAACTTTTGCTCGTCGGACATGGGCGCAGGCTTCTGGGGCGACTGCTCAATCTGCGTGGCATCGTCGAGAAGTTGCTGATCAACAGTGGTATCTGCTCCTTCGCCGAGCCCTGGTGCTCCTTCGGGCGGTTGGAGCGCATTCAACTCCTCATCCACCTTGTCAAGACGCGCCTGCCATTCCTTGCGGGAAAGCTGAGCGCCGTGCATGACTGTGAAGGGATGCGTCTTGATAAGAGCACCCAGGAGCTTGATGGCGTTCCTCCTGACGTGACTGCTCTTGTCTTCGAGGCTGCGGCACGCCATTTCGGCAGCGCGTTGTCGTCGTTTGGGGAACTTTTGTTCGAGATCGCACAGCTTGACGTAAACTTGGATGGCTCTGCATCTGCAATAGGGGTTGATATCGAGGAAGCGCTCTTCCAAGACGTCGAAGAAGGCGTTGAGTTGAGACTTGTGGTTCTCGCCGCGTTCGTCCTGCTTGACCAAGTGGGCAACCATATTTCCACAAACTTCGATGAGAGAGCAGCGCAGAGTGTAAGACTTTGAAACTGGTTAGCAGTGCTCTACTGACATGCGAATGGGGAGGAAATTACCTCGCTGTCTAATTGTTTTGCAAGCATGGTCATTTGCTTGATGACCAGTCTGGGGGCCAGCTCAGAGAGCTTGACGATGAACTGCGAGACGGACTTGGGTCCCTTAGTGTCGTTGGAGTTGAACTCCTTGTTACTGAGTTCGCGGAGGATTTCATCGGCAAGCTGCGGGTAGTCGTAGGTCTCGGCGAGGATGTGGAGGAACTCGGCCATGGGCTCGGAAAGGTGCTCGAAGTATGTGAGGTTCTGGACGATGGAGATCTGGGCCGCTGCTGGGAATTAGCATGAGTGCGCAAGAATGCGCCGCAGGGAACGACGAACCGTATGCGTGACCATGGTGCTTGACGGCGATGCAGAGCACCTTGAAGGCGTGCATGCGGATGGATGTGCTCTTGACGCGCTGTTCGCTCTCGAGGACCATGTAGACGGGTCGGGTCAACAGGCCAATGAAGGTATCCCTTTCGGAGGTTGTGAGGAAGATCTTGGTAAGCTTGAGCTTGAGGACCTTGCTCATGATGTCGAGGGCAGACTGCAGTTGGGTGGCCGAGTCCCATACGCCGTCCTTGTCTCTTGGCGCATTCTTTTTTGGCTTGCCGCGACCTCTTGCGACTGGTGCTGTTGAGGACTTTTCGGCGGCCTTTGTCTCGACAGCGGCGATGGTCCACTGCAGGAGGAAGCCGTAGATCTCGAGAAGCTGCTTATGGTGGGCGAGTGTCTCCTGTTCATCGGGAGACTCGAGGTCGTGGTTTATCGCATCGCCCTCGGCGGCCAGACCTGACATGATCAAGTCGAAGATCTTGCTAAGAACCTGTGGCGGGAGGAAGGCGGTGTACCTAGAGGAGTTGAAGAGCTCAGAATGGCGTTCTTTACGGGACCTGGAAGGAGAAGACGAAGACGGAAAGGAGGACAACAAAAGAGAGGGATCTGAAGGATGAGGGGAGACGGGTGCGCACTTTAGAAGGAACTGCAGTGAGTCGAGATGGGCACTGCGGGTGATGGCCTCGGGGTTCTCGGCGACGGCATCAACGATGGGGTTGAGAACCGGGTTGATAACGGCGGCGGTGAGGCCTTCGGGATCATTTTCGTAGTCGAAGAGGGAGCCATCAGCTTCTGGGGTTGGAATACTGGCGGGATCGCTCATGTAATGCTTGAGCGCATCGTTGATATCGAATGCGACCGAGTCCATGGCTGCGGTCTAGTCGAGGTGTGCGCACCCAGCGACGTAACGCGATCGAGGGGCGGGGAGAAGGGGGAAGAAGATGGAAATCAAAAGGATGAAATAGAACGAGAGGAGGGGTCAAGGTCACTCAGTGTCTGTGACCAGCCGTGGTGTTGCAAGTTGCTGGTGGGTTAGTAATGCAGAGCGCCAAAAGAGGAAGGGAAAGAAGGCGAAGGAAGCGCAAAAAAACGGCCTGTGATGTTGACGATGTGTTTTGGCCTTGCTTGTGTGTGTGTAATCCGTCAGTGTAAGGCAAGTAGGTAATTAATTAGCAGATGGGAGAGTGGAGGGGGATGAATGCGCCTAGCAACCGAGTGGGAATTTGTTTATTGTTTTCTTTTGCGCTCCGACGCGACCGGCAGTGTCTGGCAGTTCCATCTGCCACTTCTTTTGGGGGGGGGAAAGTCACTGTTTTCTGAGGTGCGGGGTCAGTGTAAGCGAGATGATTGGTCAGCGCGATGTTTTCCAGGGGACCATCACACTGACCACGGCCGCTGTGCCCCTCCATTGCTCCTGTTTGGTGCCATTTGGGTCCATTCGGGGCTCATCCTGGGACCACCCGCGATGTACCTTTTAGGTGGTAGATACCTAGGTACTCGGGGCAAGCCGCAAAAGGACGAATGCGAAAAGAGCCCAGAGAGAAAAAGAGCCCGCCGACGTGCATCAGATGGGACGCACCAGACCAAAAGAAATCCCAAAAGATTCCCTCCTTCATTCTATTCACCTGTTCGCCTGCTGCCAGATGCAACGAAAAAGAAATTCAAAAAAAAAAACAAGAAGCGTCCAATTATACCCTTGGTCACCTCCCAAGACACCCAGACACCTCACCGTACATCACAGTCCTTGCCGTGTACGCTGCAG